CTCAGCCCTCAGCGGTCTTTGCTCACCTCCTTGCCCTCCGCCCTCCCCTTTATCCTGGCCATTCCATATTTCCCCAGTCCAAGCACTGACTGACACTTCTTTTAAGCTTTCTTCTTTCTCTAAACGTTTTGCAGAAGAAAATAGCGCTGAAATTCAGAAGTTGTTCTAAACCATGACCATCGAGCTGTACTCTAGGTACTCCAATCAAATTCTAATCCATTGTAAAGTTCTGATAGTTCATAACCGATCTTACTTTGGCAGATACAGTGAAAAGTAATGCTAAAGCTTGATCAGAGAGATCAAGACTTTGAAGTTTGCTAGACTTTGGTCAATGGACTGTTTGGAAACTAGACTGAAGAACACTTTTGAAGCCTCATTCGACAAAACTAGAGTAGAACCAGAGTTCTATGAAATTCATTTAGCTCAATTCCCTGATCAGTTTAAATCCTTAAAACAAAAAAGGAATTCCAGAATGGTCCCTGACTCATGAGCAATATTTTGTTCACGTTTCCATCGTTCACTTCTTTGCACCAAGCACGATCCACGATCCATAAGGGGTGCCGTGATGTGCCTTTTACCAGTCTCCTTTCCCCTTTCCCTTCCAACTGACCACTTCTTTTCCCCGGTTTTCTCGAAAAAAGAGAAATGACCCTTTCCCCCTTTCCCTTTTTTCAATTTTTCACACGATTCTTTTTCTTTTTCCCTGGGCCTCCGGGCGATATGTTGTGCCAGTGTGTACCAGAGAAAAAAAATGGATAAAAGAGAGAAAAAAGAGAAAAGAGACAAACAGACAATGGTCACTCTGTGCATGGGAATAGATTAGAGATTGAAATGAGCACTTTCTGTAAATGAAGTCAAGTAGAGAGTAGCACAAAGATGAGAGTGTTTAGTGAAAAGAAAATCCATTGTTAGGCTATCCTTAGATTGCTTACACACAAAAAATTAGATTGAAAACTCCTTGACAGGTCTTGAAAAGACCGTAAATTTGTCATGGATTGTTTAAAGCACAATATCTTTTTTTCCGCAAACTCTATGGTTCCCTATAGTATTCTCAACAGATTGATTACTGTATTAAAACTGATAAAAATCTCGTTTTACTTCAATTCCTTTAGGAAAAGGTTTTGGGAGGGCTAAGTTTGATCAGCTAAAACTATTGGTCCCCACCTAGCTAGAATCTAACTTCAGTCTTTGGTTCTAAAGGATTTTTCTGTCCCAATGTCGAAACCCAATATGGAAAGAAAGAGGGAGTGGTGGAGATGACCACCGGTGACCACGAGTCTAAGCCTTAGAGAGGAGAGGGGTCAGCCTGGCACCCGTTTGCCTGTCTGCTGGAACCCCTTGGCACGTTTGAAACAAGAAATTCTCTGGGAATTCTTGCGTTTAACCCTTGGAGATTTTGTTGTGATGGTGGGAATGAAAGGAAGAGAAAGAGAAAGAGAAAAAGAAAGAGAAAGAAGTACGAACGGAGCCTGGCACCTCTTTTGCGGGAAAAAAGAGATCGACTTCCCTTTTCTCCTTTTTTAAATCTTTGATATTCTGAAGTTGGATGAAATGCTATTAGTGAGAAAAATAATAAAGGGTGATGAGTTGTGAGTGATGAGAAAAATGATTGAAAAAATCACTATAGCTTGGTGAAAGATAATGGAGCTGAGTTTTTAGGTGCTTCAGGATTCCCCGAGTCATCAATTCTTAGATATTACTGGGTATGTAAGATTCTCTTTCTTAGTTAAGCTGATCATGTGCTTTTATTCACTTACAGTACTTAGTAGACTGAAGAAATTACAGTTACAGTACTCTGTAGACTTATTTATCTAGAATATTAGTATTAGTATCAAATATTAGTATCAAATAGAAAGCACTAGTATATCAAATGTTCTAGTGTCTAGTTTTTTTCAATTTTGACCTAATAAATCTGTCTAGAGTGTTTTCTAAAAAGTGAATAATCTAGAAAACTATCGTTAAAGACTTCCTGACGTTAAAGACTTTAAACAATTCTGATTTTAGGCTTAAATGACTCAAAAATTCAGCAGAATAGAACAAAATCTAAAGAATAAGATAAAGGATAAACAGATTACGATAGTTTTCGAAAATATCTACAGTTTAGCTAAGCAGTCTAAGTCTAAGCAAACAGATCAAATTATCCAAATCCATTTGAATACTCAATGAACAGTATTCATTGAGTATTCAAATCGAAGTATTCATTACTTGTATTCATTAATTGTATTCATTACTTGTATTCATTACTTCATTCATCTTTTTCCCAATAAATTCTCGTATAGTCGCTTTGTTTCAGAGTTAAAGATAACCATTGCAAGGGGGAAAAGGATTTTCTTATTGAAAAAAGGGAAAAAAGAAGAAAAAAAGAGAAAAAGAGACGGGGTGCCGCTTGGTGGTCAACGGTGCCATCCGTGAACGGGGAATATAGGGTGAAAAGAGTAGAGAAGATTGAAAATGTGAATCTTTTTACTTCTTCGAACAAACAGAGAATGTATATGATCATTCGCTCATCAACACAACAATCAGAAAGCTTTTGAAGATCGAAATTTGAGCTTTTACGACTTCTGGATTTTCTAGATTTCAAATAAGTCTAAAATTCTAAACAAAGTTTGTACATTGTATCCAGATGTACTTGTTTTCTATAGAAAATGGTTTTTAGAGGAAATTTTAGAGATCTAGACCTGATTCTGATCCGATTTTGGACCAGGTTCAGGGTCCAGGTCTGGTCCAGGCCTGGCCTAGGGCTACTCTTGCCTAAGTCTACCCTGGCTCGCAAAGGGATTGACCTTTAGATCCATCCTAAACCTTTAGATCCATCCTAAACCTAATCTTTGTGCTCGCACGCTCTCTGGCACACTCCGAGTTCTCATTTTGCTAATTTCGTGTTCCAGATGGTTTAGCATCAATATCTGTACCTTTTCTCTATCCATTTATAAAGAAAAGCATATATATGTTAATCAGAAATAGATTTTTTATGAAACTCTCTTACGTGCCAGGCTTTCCCATCATCAGGACAAGAAAAGAAAAGAGAAGAAACAACTAAGAATTAATGAAGCTTGCAAATATCGATGAAAGGGTTAAAAGGGTAAAGAAACAAAAAGAATGATCACATTAGGAAAATCCATTATCTTTTACGGTAGTTTTCGAAAAGAGGCACGTTTTAGGAAACGCATCTCGAGCCAATTTTGACCCTGAAACCCAATTTTGACCCCAGAATTGTTCTCCCATTTTTTTTTTTGCTATCTGCGCAGTGTTTTCAGGAAGCAAAATTCGTGTTCATCTCCATTTCTATGTGCTAAAAAACATGTTATTCTATAGGTTTTTCTCCTCCTCTTTTCCATTCTATTCTCATTTTCTTTTTCTAATTGAATGTTCGGACACTTGTTTATGCAACTTCTCTCTATTTTTCTCTCTATTTTTTTTTCTGCAACACACCTTTCCAAACCTTATTCTCTTTTTTGTTATACACGAATTGTTGACTTGTTCAGAGCAAATTTAAAAAAAACAAACCCTACGTGGTTTTTTTTGTAAGTAAATAACAAAAAACAAAAGATTTTTAAAGATATTAGCTTTAGCTGAATATCTTTAGCATTAGCTTTAGCTGAATATCTTTTAAAAGAGAGCTAAAATTCAATTTTTCAAACTCCAATCAAAATTGATCATTTTGGCTCTATTTTTGCATAAGTTTACATTTTTTTTTAAAAAATAAAACTGATATTTAGAGCTTTCTAAAGATATTCAATCATCGTTAACTGAATATCTTTTAGAAGAAATGAAAAAGATTCAATTTCCAGCTTAAACTCGAATCAAGGTCAATCAGTGCCATCTAGTACCAAACTCTTCTTTTTTTTTTCTTTCCATCTTTTTCTCTCATTTCCCAATCTTTGCATAATATTTTTGATATTCGAGAGGAGATTCTTTGAACTCCGATACATCAAAACAATCTCTCTTTTGCATTACATCACACAAGGAGAGAAAAGAGAGAAAAGGAGGGGTCAAGAAGAGAAATTGGGGGGAAAAGGAGAATAAAACTCAGCTGTGTGGAATAAACAGGAGATAGTGGGTGAGGAGAAGAGATGGCAGGGTGATGGGGAAGGGGTACGGGAAGGACGGGAGGGACAGGAGGGGAGGCGAAGGGAAGGGGAAGGGGTGGCACTGCCAGTCAGGGGACGGGCCCCTGCCCCTTCCAGCGTTAAACCGAGAAACTGTGGTCATCCCAACTCTATCCACATACATGCCCAATCAATTCCTCTATATTGGTGTGAAATCGTTTTCTCTGTCCACGTTTTTGCTAATAATTCTTGCTGAATGAAGAATTCTGTTGATTTGTCTAAATGAATTGGAAATTTATCTTCCTTTTATTCAACAATTGCTAGAATTTTCATTTTTCTGTACCTAATTCTTATCAAAACTTTTTTTTCGAACAATTATTACTCTATTCTTATAATCTTAATGACGTTTTACTTGTTCAAATCTTTTTTTTCGTCATTTTTTATTCTTTTCCTTAACCCAATCACAATCATTTTCTGTTTTGAACACACAAAAAAAAGAGAATCAACAAAGCAAAAGATTATTTTGTTATTCAGCTTTCTAACTTTCGAAAAGATTCCAATTTCTTGCACAATTTGGAAATGATGGAGATAAGCGTTGACAAGGCTTGACCCTGCCTGCCATCACTGTGAATCACATTTTATTTTCTTGTCAAGCATGTTTCTCTTCCGAAATCAAGTCGAAAACGTTGTTTACTCGAAACTTTTCTCATTTTTTGTGCATTTTTCCTATTTCTCTCATTGGGAACACCTTGAAAACATCAAACAAACACGAAATATTTGCCAGAGTTTCTCTTTTTTTGATAAAGTGTTGACAAAATAGTTTTTTTTTTCTTTTTTTTCTTTTTCTTCTTCTTTTTGTTCTATAAAACTCTAAAATTTTCAGAAATTTTCAGAAAATTTTGATTTGACACGTTTTTACGGAAAAGAAAGGAAATATATTGGTGTTGAAAGATGATGAGAAGAGCCGAACCGCCACCTATCAAAGAGAAACATTTGAATGAAGAGGACGAGGAGGAGGAGGAGGAGTTGAAGGTATATAGAGAGATATAGAGACTAAATATAGAGAGATAAATAAGATATAGAGAGATATTTCAGCTAAATATTGTCTAGATATTGAATATTTCCAGGAAGATCTCGATGACGAAGGAGTGATTGAGGAAATCGACGAGGAGATCATTGATGAGGTGTGAGAAATCTTGTCGATCACTGCAGATAATGGCTATCTTTTAGATAATAGATATATTTATCCATTATCTAAAAAGCTATTGTCTAGTTATTTGACTTCAAATATCTAGAATTGGCTACAAAATACTGTAGAAAATGTCTATTTATTGAATGTAATCAGAGGAGAGGGTTTTCTTGTTGTTTTCATAAAATAATCCAAATTTTCTCGGAGCTCTGGGCTGCACGGATGGCACAGTCGGTTAGCCGGTAGTTTAGAGAACCGGCTGGGGTGGGAGGGGCTCGGGTTCGACGCCCGCATGTGTATCCGAAAGCTGTCTCTTCCGGTACTTCCTAACAACTTTCCCATTGTTAGATATTTTTGAATTTTCAATTTCAAAATTTTAGGACATCGAGATGGACGAAGAGGAAGAAGAGATCGAACTAATGAGAAGCGAGGGAATGGTCGATGTTTTGGAGGAGAAGATTCGCAGGGATTACGCGCTAAAAGTGAGTTTTCACGACTTCTAAACTCACTTTCATTGCAAACACTTTGAGCATTTCACCAATTTCCCCATTTCCAGTCACTCGCCGGCATCACGCTCAGCTCTCGGAAATGCGCCGGCGAATCGCCGAACAACACCACCACCGATGAGGTGTGTTTTTTCTCTAAATTTTCAAGATTCTCCTTTTTCCATAATTTTTGGATATACTGATATCCAGCTTGAAAAATTCGGTTAAAAAAATCGTTGTAAAAACTAAGGGTTTCTTTGAAAAAATCATTGTATCCGAATTTTTGTCATTTTCGAGTGTACTGATGTTTAGAAATTGTAAATTTAAGGAAATTTTCTCTCCGAAAACCGATCTTATTGACAATTTTCTGGATATTTTCGCAATTTTTACTTCTGTTGGTCAGCAAAAATCTGTTATGTTTTCCCAAAAAATTTCAAACAAAAGAAAAAAAGACATGAAGAAAAAAAATTGCGGCTGTTTTGCACGCATTTGTCTGGAAAACACAGCGGGAAAGGGAATGGAAAAGTGGGCGAAAAAAATAAGGGTTATCAGTTTTAACAATAGGTAATTGAAAAGGGGGAAAAAGAGAAGATTTGAAAGGGAAAATTTAAGGGATCAAATAAACGCGTTCTTTTACCTTTTTTTGTTTATTTTTTCTTGTTTTCCCCAAAAATTAACTAGAACAAAGTCAAGGTCAGTTTTAGAGGGGAAATTTCGGGGTTTTTGGGCGCGTGCCAGGCACGGAGATCAGGGAAAATCGGGAAAATCTGATGAAAGCTGGGGGAAAAGGGAATATTATGGCTACGTCATAGTAGAGATGACAAAAAAATACACAGAATTATTCGAATTAGAAATCTACCATACATAAAGCAAAAAGAGACGTCTGTTTGTCTGTCTGTCTGTCTGTCTTTCTGTCTGTCTTTCTGTCTGTCTTTCTGTCTGTCTTTCTGTCTCTCTTTCTCTCTGTCTTTCTCTCTGTCTTTCTGTCTGACAACGCGACGCTCCGTGATTACGTTTGCTCTATTGGTTAGAAATATTAGTGTATGTTGCTTATCATTACAAAGCCTTGGATTAGTAGTTGCGCTTGAATATCTGCAAAGTACTGTAGCTTGTTCAAATTATAGTCAGCTTTCCAGCTCTAGTTTTTATTTACCCAAAGTGAACATCAAGCCAATCTAACCCGCTATCATTCTAGATTCTAAATAGCTAATCAAAAAGATGATGGGAAATGGAAAAATTGAAATTTGAAGAAACTCAAACATCCCCAATCTTCGAACTTGGCACCACCCGGTGACTGGATGAGATCGAACGAAATTTCGATCTCATTTTAGGTTTTAGGGATGGTGGGAGTGAGCCTAAGCCAGTCACTCCCACCACTCCTAAAACTTTTTTGAAAAAGAAGCCCTTTTCCTTTTTTTCTTGCACTTTTGGACTCAACTTTCCTCCTCTTCTCCTTCTTCCTCTTCTTCTTCCTCTTCTCCTTCCTCTTCTCCTTCCTCTTCTTCTTCTTCTTCTTATTCCTCTCCCTTCTTCTTCTTCTTCCTCTTCTTCTTCCTCTTCTCCTCTTCTTCTTCTTCTTCTTATTCCTCTTCCTCTTCTTCTTCTTCTTCCTCTTCTTCTTCTTTCTTTTCCTTTCTTTCTAATCTCGTCTCATCCCCACTATGATTTAAATCGATCCCACTTTTTCATTATCATTTAATTTTTGAAAATTCTGTACATTGAGTTCAAGCTAAGGCTTTAGTTTATTCTCATCTCATTTTAAGCCGTCTAGGCTACACAGGAAATCAATTTACTTAAGAAATCTTAAGCTTAAAGATCGGAATAGTCCAAACTCCAAACTGTTACTTTAAACTAAAGATATTCAAGTAATCCTAAAGCTAAACCTGAATATCATGTCTTAGCTTAAAAACGTACTTTTTCCGCATTCTTTCGCAAACAGTGCTCAAAGTTCTATTCTCAAAAATATTTCGACTCTTTTTCCTTCAAAAACAACGCCAGCATATCACATAAACAAGTGGGGAAAATAAAAAAGAATCGAGAGTTCCAAAAAAGGAAAAAAAAAAGAAACCTTTTCTGCTCATATAAAGTACAAACAACTCGAGATCAGAGAAGAGAGGTTTTCACGTTGTTTTCATAAAATAACCTAAATTCTCTCAGAGACCAAAAGGTGCAAGGATGGCGCAGTCGGTTAGGCACTTGTTTAGGGAACAGGTTGAGGAGGAGAGGGTCAGGTTCGACTCCCTGTTCTTCCTTTTCTCTACTTTTTCTCTTTTTAATTGACGCGTTCCCTCAAAAGCTCAAACATCGGATAAATAATCGAGAGAAAAGGGGAAACGAGAGAGAAAGAGAAAGAGAAGAGAAATGGAAACTGGAAATGTTGAAAAAAAACACATACATATCTCGAAAAGTGTCCAAAAAAAAAGGCTGCAAAAGAAGAAAGAATGATTGAAAATTTGTTATGATATTTTCAAGGAAAAGAATAATGAATAAAATGGATAAAATGGTAAATAGTTGACGCCAATTATTATCTTTTTTTTGATCGTTGATCATTTTTTTTCTTATAGAAAATATTGGATTATGGAAAAAAACAATTCGAAAATCTGAAAGTGAAAGGATTTTCTGTTTTAATTATTTGAGTTTATTGTTGTTCGAATTTTTTTTGAATACAACTTTGAGCTCTTTGCGAAAGAATGAGAAAAAAGTACGTTTTTAAGCTATTTTTTTGTTTGAGACAGCTTTCGGATACACATGCGGGAGTCGAACCCGAGCCCCTCCGGCCCTCAGCCCGTTCTTTAAGCGACCGGCTAACCGACCGTGCCATGAAAGGATTTTCTGTTATAATTATTTGAGTTTATTGTTATTCGAATTTTTGGGTGAATACAACTTTGAGCTCTTTGCGAAAGAATGAGAAAAAGTACGTTTTTAAGCTGATTAGCATCAGATTTTAAGCATCAGATTAGCTCGCGTATAAAAACATTTTGAAATGACGCAGAGAGAAAAAGTCAGTACTCTGTTTGTGGTACTTTTCGAAATTACGTAAACCCATCCTTTCTGGTGCACTCAATTTCTCATGTTCTCATGAAATCGGGTTATTTCTATTAGAAAAATGAGCTAATTGAGTGCATGAGAAAGAGTGGATTTAGGAAAGAGCACAAAATAGTTCAATAACTTTACACTGTCAGCTAAACAATACAAAGTACACTAATAGCTATTTAAGAGGAAATCTCAAATCATCTTAATCCTTTCATTGCAGGATTATTCTTCAACATCATCTGTTGACGGTCATCGATCGAATGAGGGATCGCTAAGTCCGCCTAGTGGATCGCAGGTATTGCATTTGAAGCTACTAGAGTTTTATTACGAATTACCGTATTCTCTCTAATAGTACTGCACCCTGAGCGCTGCCTAAATTACTCGAAATCTCGAAAAGCGCTTATTCAAAGTCTACCCTGGCTCGCAAAGGTACCTTTAGCCTTTAGATTCATCCTCAACCTAATCTTTGTGCTCGCAAGCTCTCTGGCACACTCCGAGTTCTCATTTTACTAATTTCGTGTGCCAGATGGTTTAGCTTCGGTTCACTAGCAATATCTGTACCTTTTCTCTATCCATTTATAAAGAAAAACATCTACCGTATTCTCTCTAATAGTACTGCACTCTGAGCTTTGCCTAAATCCTAAATTACTCGAAATCTCGAAAAGCGCTTATCAAAACCTATCGATGTGGGATCGGAAAATGTAGCTGACGATGAGATTTTCTGGGGGATTTGAGTGTAGAGCTTCTGCGAAAACTTCAAAACCGTAAAATAGTCATCAACTCGGCTCGGCAGGTGCACTGGTGCATTACTATTAGAGAGAATTAGGTATCTGAATTTCAATTGAAGTCAATTCAAGTGACTGATTGGGTTGGCTGGATGCACTACTATTAGAGAAATAAACGCTAATTTTTCAGCTTTCCTCATCCGGTTCATTCTCCTCTGGAAAAAGTAAATCCACTCCGAACTCGAATCCCCTCCGACAACCGCACGAGAAAAAGCATAAATGTGAGACTTGTGGAAAGGTGAGATGAAGAAAGAAAATTTTAAAACAATATTTTAAACAATTACAGGCTTTCTCATATTTATCAATTCTTGAATCACACAAGAGATCGCATACCGGGGAAAAGCCATTTAATTGCCGATTTTGTGACAAGAAATTCGCTCAAAAAGCGACATTGCAAGTGCATGAGAGGACGCATACAGGCGAAAGACCGTCAGTTTTTTTTTTTTCAAATTCCTATAGCTTTACCGTAACCGTACTTTAGGAAAAACAGTAATTTTATATGATTAAAAGGCGTACTGTAGCTATAGAGCTATGGAACTAGCTATGGAACTAGCTATGGAACTAGCTATGGAACTAGCTATGGAACTAGCTATAGAACTAGCTATAGAACGCTATAAATCTTACTATGACTGTAATCAACTTTCGTTTACAACTAAGAAAGCAAAGTTTTCAGGTATAAATGCAAATTTTGCTGCAAAACATTTGCCCAGTATGGGACGAAGACCGTTCACGAGAAGAGTGCTCATTTGGGGATTCGAAATTACAAATGCCCAATGTGCGAGAAGAATCTCAGCTCACCGTCAGCTCTCTATACCCACAAGAAGACACACGGCGAGAAAGTCTTTCAGGTAGAGAATTCTAATTTGTTTTCTAATAATTCAAATTTGGCATTTTCTATAAAAATCTATAAAAATCTTCAAAATCTTTTTTAAACTTAAAAAGTATAAAATTTAACACAAAAAAACGCTTAATTTCTAGTGTGGTTTTTGCCCAAAAACATTCACATTGAAGAACTACTTGAAATTGCACGTGAAACAAGTGCACGAGCAGAACGAGAGGAAACACGTTTGCGTGCATTGTGGCAAGAGTTTCGCCTATGCGGGAAGTCTACAAGTAAATTGAATAAGCTCAAATTTGGTATCTATATCCCATTTCCAGGTTCACATTCGAACGCACACCGGCGAACGGCCATACATATGCAAATTTTGTCCTAAAGCTTTTGCATCACAAGGGAATCTGCAATCGCATGAAAGGACGCACACTGGCGAGAGACCGTATGGGTGTAAGATGTGCGAGAGGACCTTCATTCAAGTCAGTTCATGAGAAAAGCCTTTTCTGTAGCTACAGTAGTTCTAGGGATTACTTTAGCTAAGCCCTGTAGCTCTATAGCCACAACACCTACAGTTAGACTAGCTTCAAAGAATTACAGCTTTGTAGCTACAGCTGTAACTACAGTGTCACTGTAGACTGAATATATAACTACACTACAGGCCAAGCAAAGCTTTCACAAGCACCACCAATTCACTCACTTTCCAGAAATCTCAATTGACCGCTCATGAAGTGACGCACACCTCGCCGACTCCTCCCACCTCAAAGAAATCGTCGTTCATCGGATCTCCCACACAAACGTTGGAAAGAGATTGTCCCGCGTGTGCGAAACGATTCGCGTATGGGTCGAATTTGTAAGTATTTCGAGAAATGGCATCTTATTTTTGATCTCAGATGTCCCTTCTGCGGAATGACTTGCCCACCGCTTCCTTCATTGCAAATCCAACATCGACCTTTGGCTGGCGAGAAACCGTTCGTTTTAAAGCACTTAAATAACTAGTTTTCTAAAAGACATAGCTTTTAGAGAAAATTACTGTAATCATTTATCGTAATCATCGTAATCATTATTGGTTTTCATTTGATCAGCTCGATTTTCGATTATGCATTTATTACAAATTACAAATTATTACAAAACAAATTACATTTATTACAGATTAGGTATCAAAAAATAGCTGAAATTCAGGGCTATTTTTTTTTGATACCAAAGACGTATTTTTCGAAAGTACGGGCGCTTTGTAAAAAATGAAATCCTAAAAAACTTTTGCGACTACGCGACTGTTCGAGGGGGGTGGGGTACTATTACAGTATTTACGGTATGTATTTATCACAAAGCTCAGCAATACAAAAATTGAGCTGATCTAGCGGATAACTTCTAAATAAAAAAGATATAAATCGATTGGAAAAGAAAAATGACCTTACTGAACTCGAAATTTCAGATACAAATGCGCAGGTTGCGGGAAAGGCTACGCGCAAAAGATCGGTCTTCGTCCTCATTGGGAACAATGTGAACAATACCAAGCATTGGGCAGAGATTCATCCGAATCCCCGATAAACGTCGAAACGGATTCCGACGGCACGATGGAGGAGAGTCCGATGAAGGGCAAAGATTCCATTCCGAATATCTACTCCAGTGTTTATGGTAAGCCGAATGGGATTATTTGGATTAGATTGAGTGCATCAAATGATTGAGTGCAATGATAATACCAATAGGCTATAGCTAAAGTAGAAAGTTTCATTGTGATTGTAGATCCGTCATCATTCACGCTGCCGGTGATCCCGCAATCTCCGCTGAAGCTTCCAATTGGTCTCCCCCGTCCACTTCCACTTCAAATTCCGCCATCAAACTATGGACCGATCTCAGCGAGTAAACCACCATTTTCGGCTGAGGTTCGCATTATTTTTATAAAGTACAGGATTATAAAGTTTTATAAAGTACAGGATTTTCAATAGATTCAATAGATAGCTTGAGAATTCTTTTTTTCTAGAAAGTTTAAGAGATTTTAAAACGATATTACAGACTTGTTTGCAAGCTTTTTAATAAGATTACTATACCAAAAATCATACTTACAAAGCAATAGTACTGTAGCAAAGACTACTGTAACAGCTAATGGTTTATTGTAGTTAGTGCTGTCTACTGTTACAGTACTATCTGTACTATAATATTCTAATAGTACAGCACTAACTACAGTAAACCATTAGCTGTTACAGTACTCTTTGCTACACTATAAATACAGTAGTATTAAGATTCAATATCCAGCTCAAACCCCACAACTTCTAAAGCATTTCTTAGCCCAGAAAACTTCAGACTTTAAGAATTAAATTATTATTTATCAAGTAAATACAAGATTCAAGTGAAAATAGAAGAAACTTTGGTTGAGTACTCTTTCCAAAGCATTCACAAACCCATTCCACATTTCAGTGCTCACTCGGCGACCCGTTCCCCTTCTCCACTCGATCCCTGCAATCAGCCACCGCTCAACTAGCTGATGCACTCGCCGCTGCTCTTCCCAACACTCCATCCTCAACAATTGCCCCATCTCTTCCTGGATCGATGCCACACACTCCCACAATGCCCTCCCTTGATCCATCCCTCTTAGCGTCATTACTCGGCGGACAATCAACCATTCCACAACTGCAACTACTTTTACAGGTATTGAAAAAGATTTAAAGCTTTACCATTAGCCTTTCAGTTACAACAATCTCAAACTGAAGCCCTCGTTCAACAGCTTTTACTAGGCTCTCTTCCATCCCCATTGCTGACAATGGCGCCACTCGGGCTCAATCTCGGATCGCTTAGCGGGAATGCTGGTGAGGTTGGATTTGGATTTGGAAAGCTAGATAGAACTAAAAGATTCATTCTAACTATAAGAAGATTAAGATTAAAGCTAACTATAAATTCGTTACTAGAGTTTCAAAAGAAACGTTTTGCAGGCGCACTCCTCTCCAGCCTGCCCGCTCCCACTCCGGTGAAGCCGGACGCAGCCGTCGCCGCTTCGGCTCTCCTTCAACTCTCGGCGCAACCGCAGATTCTTTCATAAAGCATAATATCCCTCTAATCCTCTTCTGTGACTTTCCCTTCTAGTCAATTCACAATTCTTGAATTCTGATTCTAAAATCATCTCCATGATCATGAAAATCTAGCCATTTTTCTTTAAAACATTCTTTAAAACATTTCAATTCCTTGCCACAACGTCACAAAAGTGTTGCTTTGTGTCAAAAACAAAAACAAAGCTTTGCTTGCCCTAAAAATTGTTTTTTTTTTTTTTTTTTTGTTTTCACAGGGTATCCCTGTGTAGATATACCAAAAAATTTGATGGGAAAAATAATCATTTTTAAACCCATCAAGTTTTCAGTATAGAGATGGAATTGAGGAGAGCTTCGAAGAGCTACCGTAATCCTTCTAACGGTTACAGTATAGAAAAAAAGAAAAGCTCGAAAAGCTCTCTTCTCTCATCTCTCCATTTTTCATTTCTTCATTTCATTTCATTTTCTGTGGTGTATCTCACTCTAAATTGTCTTTCGAGTCACACAAAACCCCGAGGTTCCCTTTTTTTTTCGTTAATTTATTTCTACTTCGGGTTTCCCTCCAGCCCCATCATAATTTATTCGCATTTTTCTTGTTTCTTGTCTCCAAACTTTTCCCTCCCAGCTTTGATTTCAGTATTAAGGATTTTTTTGTTTTCTTTCAAATACGCGGTTTCCCCCTTTTCTAACGGTGTCTTCATGGATTGTTGGTGTTAAAGAAGTCGACTTTCCTCTAGACTTTCCTCTTTCCTGGCCTCAAACAGGCCACACTAGCATCAGAGTTGATTTTGAGCTCTTCATCGGACTCAGCTCAGAATTTAGCTGAGTTTATTGGCAGAAAATAATCTGACTGGCATCAGTCGCTTAAAGATTTGTTTATTTTAAAGGAAACTCTTGTGAAGCCACTTCTCAACACCAATAGCATCTCTTTAAAAAAGAAAAGAAAAAGATTATGCACACATTGTCGATCTCATCCCCATCCCCATTTCTTGCTACTTACGCCCTGTGTTTTCAAAAATTTTCCCCGGTTTTTCTTTTTTTCCCGTTGTTTTCTTGTTTTCTTGCTAAATCGAGTGAATTTCTTTCAAAAACAATTTCCCGGTTCTTCACATAAACATTAAGTCAAAAAAAAATTATAGGTGATTTGTTTTTGCTCGTTTCTTTTGTCGCAAGCCACCAAAAATGCCAAGTGTTTTTTTTTGTCACGTGTAAATAAAAAAGCTGTTGGAAGAACATAAAAAACAATGTGATACAAAAACAAAAAAAAGTTACATCACAAGTACAAAGCAAGCTACAGTATGTCGAATGGGTTTTCTAGAACTACCATAATCGTAACCGTAACTGCAAGATATACTAGCTAGAGGTAGAGTTATGGTAGCCAAAAAGGTAGCCAAAAAGGTAGCCAAAAAGGTAGCCAAAAAAAGTTGAGTTATGGTAGCCAGGTAGCCAAAAAAAGTTGACAGATTTTAGACGTATTAGTGATGGAGTGAGGGGAGGAAAAGCCAACGTATTCCGGCAAGATTACCAATTTCTTATCAATCACTACATTTTTGGCACAAATTCTGTAACAAACTGGTTAAGCGGCAGAAATTTGAATAAAACGAATCGTCAAAAAAATCACAAAGAATTAAGAGAGTCCAATTGGGCAAAGAGGAGGGTTCAATTGTGCTTTAGCAAACAAAAATCAGTCACCTACATCAACTACATCTAAAACTTCTAATACTTTTCTTTGCCACTCGATTGCGATGATTTCTCTTGTGACATTTCGCGGACAAGAATCGGCACCACTTCGCCACCAGTTCGCTTTGCGTGCTGTACTGGGTAACTCTAAAAAAAGGAAATCGTTTATTACCAAAATTACCGTATCCCTTTCGACTAAAGCGCTTTCCTGGCTTTTAAGGTTAAAGGTTAAAGAGTGATTCTCGATCTTCATCCAGTTTTGAGTTTTGAATCATTCTTGAACGATTTAGCTAATAAATTGCATTTCAGTTTACCATTTTCCCAGTCAAATATCGTCCACATGCGAGTCCTTTCATTGATTGAAGCGGCGACCGATAGGGAACAAAGAGAGCCATGCAGAGGATGCAAAAAATAAGGGAAAACAATAGGGGAAAGAATTCGGCGAACAATGGCAACTGGAATGGGTACGGTTATCGTCTACAGTTACCGTATACCTTGGGCCAATCGTGGACCGTGTTGTTTATGATTTCGGGGGTGATCGGGCCAAAGAGTAATTTGGGGACAGTACGGTAGCTGATCCCTGGAAAGTTAATGAAATCTGTGAATTTTGAGCTTTAAAGGAGCTAAATAGCTCACAAATAAATAGCTTTAAAGCTCCTTTATAGTTCCTATTTAGTTCCTTTATAGTTCCTTTAAAGCTCCTTCAAAACTCCTTTAAAGCTCCTCTTCATTTCCTTCAAACTCACACAATGTATTCCAGTGGCAGGCGGCCGAAACGAAAACGAGAAGGGCCGGCTTATAGTATTTCTTCATGCTGATTCGAAACGAGAAAGCTCCGCTCAGCAAGAGGTACTAAAATGCGTCAATGATTGGGCTGTTCGGGGCTAAATTGAAGCCTGATTACGGTATTTTGAGACATCTTTTAGTTAATAAAAAGGCAAAAAAATTTACGCATCATTTTACCGTTTTCTGGTTTTCTCGGCGATGAGTGAATGGAATTCAATTTGGTTTCTTTCCATAGTTGTGTCTATGGAATATGCATTTTATGGCAAAATTTCAGAGATTTTAGTTGAAAACTCGCAATTTGGTGCAACTTTTTATCGCTCAGATCAGTGCGCGGGGCTTCATCATTTTTTTTGTCACTACTATTAGGGGAAAATACGATAGGTATCTTTTAGAATCAAATACCGTATTGATACTCTAATAGAAGCGCATGCGCTTCCATTAGAGGGCCCCTTTAAGCCCCGCCCACTCACGTCAAGAGGAGAAAAAGTTGCACTAAAAATTGAATTTTTAACCTATGGCTATAAATTTGGTGTCAAATAATAGAGTGAAAAATTCTCTTTCTTTTCATACCAAACTCATGGTCATAGGTTAAAAATTGAATTTTTGGTGCAACCTTTTCTCCTGACGTGAGTGGGCGGGGCTTACGGGCAACCCTAAGCTCCGCCCACTCACTTCAGGGGAAAAAGGGCCTGTAAGCCCCGCCCACTCACGTCAGGAGAAAAGGTTGCACCAAAAATTCAATTTTTAACCTATGACCATGAGTTTGGTATCAAAAGAAAGAATTTTTCCCTGACGTGAGTGGGCGGAGCTGGCTTAAGCTTAAGCCCCGCCCACTCACGTCAGAAGAAAAGTTGCACCAAAAATTCAATTTTTAATCTATGACCATAAATTTGGTGTCAAATGTCTCTTTTTCTCCTCCTCAGTGAGCGGGACTTAAGGGGGGCATCTAATAGAAGCGCATGTGCTTCTATTAGAATAAATACGGTAAGTACCATTTCCCTTACCAGAAGACTGAGCGCTGCTGCAGCAATGAGTGCGATCGACGGGAGAACGGAGACGAGGAAGACAAGGCAACGAGAGATGACTGGGATTTGCACGGTGAAGAGGGCATAGCTGAGGCCGAATGACGGAATCCACAAAAGGAGGTAGGCGAGGCTGAAGGTTTGATTGAGCAAAGGTACGCATTTGAATTCGTTTAAGAATGCTGTAGGCGAACTTGTTTGTCATTTTAAACCCTCACCCTCCACTGTAAGGCTTTTTGTCGACAAAAGCGAGTAGATGCGAGGCCATGAAGAGAAACGAGCAAAAAGAGAGATTGATGAATGAAGTGGTCTCTAATAGATGGATTGCCTCGAAACTGGTTGCATAGCTAAAACACACAGTACTTGAGCGGAATACACGATCTTTGACAGCGAGATTACGGTAGTTTACCCGGTACTCTGGTAAGCTTAGGGTTGGCCAACGTTGACCGGAGGATATAGAGTCGAGATTACGGTAGTTCTTGAAAAGGAACACGTTTCAGAAAACGAGGAAATGGAGAGAAGTTTGAGAGAAGCACAGCCTCGACACCAGAACTCCCTCATATCCTCACCCAAAGCCAAGTTGCGCAAAGCCGATATCGCCGAATGTCTCATGGTAGACTAAACGAATGTTGTACAGGGTAGGCCACAGGATAACCGCTGCGATGTAACCTGAAATATGATTTGTTTCATTTTATCGTTTTTTTAAAACCATTTGCGTAGAAGCGATCGGATCGAGAAGAGGCGAATGATGCAAAAATTATATAAATGCAAAGAGCGAGAAGGATCGGAGTGATGTAGTGGAGATAGCCTGAAAATAGGATATCAGATTGAGAGTAAACTATGCATTGATAGAAGTTCCTAAAAAGTAGGCTGAACGGAAAGCTATCGTCCTGACACTAACCTTTGTAACCTATTGGATGTTTCTAGACTCTGTGCTTTAGCCAACGTATTATCAAAAAGGGTATATTTTTACGGGGCAGATGGATTACGGTAGCTTTATCAGCATGACTACTGCAGCAGGATTATTGTAGCTTCATCAGCAGATAGCTTTATTGGCTAGATTACGTTAGCTGTATCTGAAGGGCACTTTTTAGAAAACTAACCAGAGCACAATACTCAACAAAAGAAACTCTTTCCTCAAATCATTACGATTTCAAATTTCTACCAAAAGTTAGCGGTTGTACTGTATTCGCGATGAATGTTGTCAACGTGGAGGCATTATTATTGATTGAATATTCATAGGCGATGTAGAAATCCATTCACAGATTCTCAATATCCTATTGATGGATAAGTTTTGTAAGTAACTTCCGAATAAATCTGTAATCTTGTTGTCAAGCAGGTGATCGCAAAGTTGCCTTTGATACGGTCAAAAAACACCTGCAATGGTGAGATATTTTTTTCAACAGCTGTCAAGATCTCATTAGCCCCAAGAATTAGCCCGGTTGCGAAAGATTTCGCGAAGATTATTTTAATTGAAAATGTCAACTAAAAATACGTTTTTAAAACGATTCCGGATTAAATTTATTCCCAATCACGCAAAAAAGATCAAGACATCACAAAAATGGGATCACAGAGGACAAAAGCAAAAGAAAACGGATTCAGACTTGCGATGCATCGTTAAGGAATTTGAAGAGGTATTCATATTGAAGAAGGACATCCGGCTGAGTGACTGCACATTCGAAGACATCTATCTCTTGCGAGGATTGTTGTTGCTTTTGTTGCTTGGGATCACTTGATTCAACCTAAATTTAACCTTAGTAATGAGGCTTGAAGGCTTTAACTTTAGAAATGCACAGATCCGTTTACAAGCAAAATCTTAAGGCTAAATTTGGCACAGCGAAGGGCTGAGCGGCAGATTAACTTTAGTAAGAAACAAGGTTAAAATGCCATACCTTTAAAACTGAAATGGTGAGGGATTGACGAGAAGAAGCCTGCGGAAGAGACTGTTGAGTGCTTTGTTGAGAGAGTTCGAATTTCGCCTAGAAGCCAGTTGGGAAAAAAAGAAAGAACGAGGAAATACCTGCGTGAGCTGAGCAGAAGGCACCGAAGAAAGTATTGATCGCTGCTGTGGTAGAGGACCTTTTTGCAGAGATCCTAAATGAAAATAGAATTATTTCATTGGAAATGGGTATGTGGTTGTCATGACCATTAACAGCTTCACGAAGGTAAAAAGCGGGCAAGTTTTTGTATGAGAACGGGCCTTAAATTTGGATCAAAAAAGGTCCCTGATTGTTGTGGAGTGATTGTCCTCGGTTTGATCGTCTTTAGTGATGTTTTCGTTTTCGATTGAGGCGTTTTCTTCGGCGTCTTTTGAGACGATTGAGCCGATTTCCCCTTCTTTTGCTTCCTGTGCATTGAATGCTAAAACGGGTATAAGTAAATCGATGGCTCTCCCCCCCTCTTTTGTAATCGTATTAAGCACTGAAATTCACTGACCGAGTTTCTCGATCCTTTTCCTTTGCTGCATCCAACGAGGGTCACCGAGAAAAGCAGCATCGCCACAAGCATGAACATTGGCGAGTTGAAATTCAACAAGAAATTTGGCTAAAAACGGAAATAGACGCAAGAGAGGATGAAACAAACCAAGAAATCGCCAGAAAGCGATGTTTTTATCCACATTATTGCACTTGGAAACTAAAAGAAACAAAATAAACAAGGTTAAAGTGATGAAAATTAAAAATCAAATTCGAACATACCGATTTTGAGCGATGAGTAAGAATAAATGATTTAATAACATCCAATGTCTTCTTATATTTCATCATTCAATTTCAATTTTATCAGCCCTCATGCAAATTTTCTTTTACGCTGTTGTTATACGCGGTGTTACATTGCAGCTAATTCCATCATAAGATTAACTTTTATTTATCAAAACTCAAATACCTAACAACGATGAAAAGTACCCGCAAGCTATACCAAAAATTTGCAAAATCATAACAAAAAGAACAACAAGTTATATACACACACTAAAAGCAATCTATGTGGCACTGCAAAAAAGGTCAATTCTCCGGATCCGGCTCTTGAATTTCGTCGACCACTTCAAACGCGGGCACATCCGCCTCTACCTCAAAATGAATTTGATAAGAATGGATATTAACTTGAAAAATATACCTTCGAAAAAGCCTTGAGTAAAAGTGGTAGATATTTGCCTCTGTGCGCGATATCCCGTTGCAAAATTGCCACCAAAAGCTCTAGAAGACTCGTTGTGCGCATCAATTCCTAAAAACCTCAAAAATAACATTTTTAGTCGCAAGTCAACTCGATACAATTTTCTCACTTACGGGTTTCCGAAGAGTTTCTCCGCTCATCGCCCGAGCAAAACACCGCTCCACTTCCACTTGAAAATGGGTAGACAACTAAAGTCAAAGTTTCTTTTCGTTAGAAATAAAAACTTCTCACCTTTAGGTAACTGTATATTTCGTTCAAAATCAAAAATGCCTCGTGTGCCGAACAAATGGGAAGGATTTCGGCCAGACTGAGCATACACGAAGGGAGCAGGCCACCCTAAAACTTGATTGAAAACATTAGGCAAGCACATTTTTTACCTTGATTCCAATTCGAAACCATCGATCGATTTTCACAAGTATTTGATCAGTCGGTCTACGCTCAAGTCGTTCAAACGAAGCATCGAGAAGCGCCTACAGATAAAAGCTATTAAATAATTAATATGGTAAACTAACCATCGTCTCAAGAATGGCCGCCTTCAGTATTGGGGTTGCAAAATTAAGACACGGCGTAAAATCACAGACGATCGTCAGCAATCCTTCACCGATTGGAGTTGCCATTCGTTGTCCAACTTTAACGTACCTGACAAAGAAATTTTTTTATTTACCAAAGCGAATATTCAGAACCTACCTACTAATCATTTCCTTTTCCACCTCAAAATCGGCAAAACTATAGCTTCCATTCACCGCATCACCACATAAACGATCGACGAGTAATAAAGCCTATAGAAAATTCTATTGCGCTAATTTTATAAAGCGTTACCAATGAGCGCGCCGCTTTCAATTGCTTCCCCTGTGGGGCAGATCGAATGAGGATATTGACATAATCGAGAAAAACGTGTCTTCGCAAATGCTCATGTTCCTAAACAAAAGAAATCCTCGATTATTGAATAAATATTACATTTAGCGGTGGCTTTGCTTTGCGTGCACCCTTTCCGATGGTTCCTGAGTGAGCCAATTGATTTGCTTTCTTCCTTTCAGCCAATATTCCAACATTGTCAAAAAGACTAATTTCTTCGTCTTCCATTACAATGGCCGCATACGAATTCTAAACATTTTGGTATTATAAAATGAACAAAAGGATAAAACTACCAAAGAACTGGGAACACATGTTGCGAAATCGATCGTTTCTCCGAACATCTCCTTCGCTTCCTAAACATTAAAACTATCTTTTTAAAAATTTGCAAGTGGATCTAGTTAACTCGACTTAAACAATCATCCGAACTGACCTGCAAACAATTCTCAACGAATGACATCAAAAACCATGTGAAGTAATAAGAGCATAAATGGCTCATCTAAATAAATAACCTGGATACAAATCGAAAATCCAATAAGCCCAACCTGGTTATGAAAGAACTTTGATATTGTTTCGCGGAAAGTCGCACAGGTTCCCAGAAGATCGTGCCCAGTTTTATTTTCCGGCTCTAAAATGGGCATTAAGTAGAATAAGTTGACCAACTTTTACCATAATTCAACGAATACAAGGCAAGCTGTAGAACTTTGGCTAGTTGCATTGAAAGTTTGTAGATATCACGGGAGCGGAACAAGATTATACGCTGTTTTCCAGGTCTAAGATAGAAGATTGATCGATGATATTATCTCGCAATAACACAATAACAAACACAGAAGAAGCCCACGATTTTATTAACGGAATTTTATCCTCAGCTGGGGCGAGCACAGAAATCAACCGTTCAATGCAACTTGCTGCATCAGCTATTCGGCGAGTGTTTCCTTTCTAAAATAATCGAATTTAAAAAAATACAATAAACTCCTACCTCAATAGCTTCTTCAATTTGTTCGATTGTCCAAGAAAGTATTCCCATCATCAAACTTCCTGTGTGAACTCCAGGGTGCAGTCCGAGATATTTCATTTCATCTGATGTTTCTTGAGCGTTACGTTCAAACTCCAGCAACACTCGAAGGTTCATCAACCATAACAACGATGTTGCGAAACTTGAATCCCCTGAAACGAAAATCATATTTTATGCAACTTTTTACATTTCTCAGACATTAAGGTCAGACCTCTTTCTTTTCTTTCATTTTCCATTATCGCCCTTCTATCAATCAGCACATCGTAGGCACTCTGCATCAAATTTGGATAAAAGGGCGTGATTGATGCAAGGAAGGCACAAAGTGGATGAAACTAAAGAAATCAGTAATTAGGTTTGAAAATGTTCTAACTAACATGTTGTGGATCCCGGATCGTAAAAATATAACGACATATGATTTCGACACCTTTTTGGTCACCAAAGGTCAGCGTCAACACGTGAAAGAAGCGAATCAAAGTTGGAGAACTAAAAAAATTATTTTTTAGCTTGTTGCGACAAAACATGACTTACCAAGTCTGATTCGAAAGACTTGCTTCAATACAAGTTTGCAATCGATGTCCATTAGAATATTCAAAAAACAACGAAGAATCAAAGTTGTTTGATGCGTGCGCGAGTGGAACCAATCGCATTATTATTTCATCCTACAACATTTCAGTCAGTTACTTGCTTGAATATCGCAAACTTACTAAAGCCTTCAATGCTCCTTCTTTGATACTCCTTATCAAACTAACATCAAGCTTTTTAGCATCTAAAATAATATTTTATATGTTTTAATGTTAATCGCCCACCTGAGAAAATCGTTGAATCAAGGCAAAGTTCCATGAGAGTTGAAAAAAGAGGCGCGTGTATTGAAATATCAATAGAGCCTATCTACAACAAGAGTAATTACTCAATAAAAAAGAAAAACTGACCAACTGTCGCAGAAAAGTCAGATGATCGAAATTATCGAGCATCGCCTGTCTGGAAACACCGTTGAGTTGTTGAATACCAAGTATCACATTTGCCGGTGAAGCTGAAAAAAATAAATTGATTCGTATTTTCCAAGCTACTTTACCAAAATCCTTGAGACTTTCTGCAATGAATCGAGCCAAATCTCCTGAATAAATAGTTAACTTGAAGAGGAAAACGAGTGAATGATCTTCCAATTTTCCATTGATCGCCTTAGCGTTCATTCCTTTCTAAAATAAACTTAGTATTGTCAAAATATCAGAAATCAAACTTTGAACAATTCTTGTACAATCTCTCGCATTTCCCGGTGTTGACGGCTGAGAAATGTAATAATCTAAAAGATTTTGTGCAAAAGTTTGCCAAATTTGAATTACATCAACTAAGATGTCGAAACGCTGCTTAAAATCGATGCTGTTCTGCTCGAGGTGCTAAAACTGATTGATAAATCTACCAATTTCCGTCAACTCAAACCTCAAGAGTGCTGTTCATTTGTTTCTCGAATTGGAGAATTCCAACAATCAAAATCTTCTTGCTAATGACTCCTGTGTAGCGATATCTAAATTAGCAATTCATAAGTTCACCAAAAAATGTAACCAACAAGAGATGCGACCACATCCATTTAAAATTTGAATTGGCGTTCTCAGCTTCGAGAAAGGCCAGCAAACCCAATTCTATCCGATCTTCCGCGAGTCTAAATTTTGATAGATATATATATATATATATATAGTTGATTAAAGTTAAAAACATACAAGAATTCAAAACAGAAATCGAGTAGTCGTAGCAAAAGACAAACCGCTTCCGACTTCCTAAAGTAAACGTAAACCTAATGGTCCGCTTTAGAACTCACTTGAACACTTCATTTACTGAATCTGGGTCTCGATTTCTTACTTGTCCAAACGATGGCCGTCTCTCATTTCTCTCATAAAGCTCGGAGCAAATTTTGCAAATTTCCTAAACTGAAGAACTTAGATTCTAGATAAAAACACAAACTCGTAAGATGTCCAAAACAAATGGTATGTCTTTTGATTGACGAACCGTCGTTTCGAATAGCTGCAAGAGCTCTTTCACCGCCTTTATCAAATTAGTGGGATCCGTCTGTACACCTAAACAACACATTTCTAATATTTTTTCTATATTCGGGCAAAACAGGCGCCAAATCGTTACCTGGGGGCTCGATTTTGCTAAACGTGATGTGTGAGGCCTCGTGAACCAGTCGACCAACGAAATGTAACACATATGACCTAAAAATCATAATAATCAAATTCATTGTCAGCTTCATCAAACCTCAATTGTGGAAGCTGCTGATAGACACATCGCGTAAGCTTTACGACTTCGCTTGTCGAATTCGCATAGACGGGCCGATTTCTGTACAGAAGATCCAATTCTCCACGTCGAAACATTTTCGTAAACTCTTCCTGACGATTGTTCCTCGGCAAGGCCAACTAGAAATACAAATTATTACAAAAAGTAAAATTCTGACATCGCCACGAGCAAAGCAAATGTTTGTTAAATGCTCGCGATCACTCTAACTACATAAGCTGTATAAGCAATTAAATATTAGAAAAATCTAACTCACATTTTCAGAGAAGTGTTTGTCGAAATTTTGTCGACAATCCGAATCGCCTCGGTGAATGTTGTGCACTGGTTTCCAAAGGCCGGTCCTTTTCGTTACACCAGCCTAAACAAAAATGATTACAAATTTGATGGGCCTCGAATGAAGGCTTAGAAATAAAACTGCATGATGCTCTAGATAGGTAACTATATAACTATATTAGCAAAAAGCTAACTGCAAACCTTAAAAATATAAAAACGAACCCTTTTTTCCCCATGCCAACTCCGGACCACTTTGTCAAGCGGAATTTGCGGGTAGGCACCTTGTTCGTTTTGATCCGGCGGGATTTCCCCTTCGGCAACTGGCGATGCTGGACATTCGGGCTCGGGCGAGGCCGGCGTATCCTCCTCCATACCTGAAAAAAAAAATATATATCTAGATGAAAGGCAGAGAACAAACTAAAATAGAAAATTCGCAATACATTTCTTACGCAGAAGTCCCTAGCCTAGACAATGAGGATTTTGTAGTGAAAAATCTACCGATAAGTACAAACATAGCAACACCAAATTTAATTTTCCCCTTTTACTTTTCTACAATATCTTTTCAAATGTTTCTCTTCGAAATTCTTGTTCAAAGGCGTGTAGTTTATGGTCGACATTTAGAGAAAGGATATGGTAAACGATCCAAGAAACGAGAGGCGTCAACCAACTAGACAGGAGAGTTAAAGGTCGGACTAACACTGAATTCATTAACCGCAAAAACGACACTAACGTTTCAAAGTTCGGCATTTACAGCTAATGCCTAACTCTAGGACACCAAATTTTGCACTGATTTAGCAAAGATAGATTTGTGGCCCTAAAGAGGGCCGTTGGGTTTGGGCATGGAAAAACAGAGGCCTTGGGTTTTTTCGACAAAAATTTTTTTTAAAATCTCTTAGGAACACTTTTCTAGAACTAGTTTTAGCCGTGGAGTTCAGATCCGCCGATAAAATCGGGGATCACCTAACAAAAAGTAGTCTTTTTCGTTAATAATTGTACAATTGTTAGAAAAACACGGACTTCTTGTCGAGAAACTAGAATTTTTAACTGCGGTTTCGAAATCTACGTGACATTTTACACCTAGAAAACCATTATAACTAGATTAACCGATTATAATCAGGGTACTCAATCAAGAAGTGCAGTGCAATTGTTCTAGTTTTAGCCAAGATCCGCGTGTAGGTACAAGAACTCAGTGTATTACTACTTTGAAAAGGTCAATCTATTCTTATAAAAATTTATTCAATTGCAAAATAATATGGAGTGAACTAAAGCACCAATGAAAAAAATCGGATTTATAAAAATTTTTTTTTTTAAATATATGAAAAACGAAAGCGAAGCAGACTCAATATATTCAAAGACCCAAAAAAGTGAACTCGAATAAACCACTAACAGAACACAGAATTTAGAAAAGGCTCAAATTCCTTGTCGACATGCGGCACAGAGAAGTTCTCCATCATGTGCTCGAGCTTTTGCTTCATCACCTCGATAGTGCAACGTGATATCAAAACATCGTCTGAAATCAGAGTAACTTATGGGGTCTAACTTCTGAAAAAAAAACTTACGTATGCCACCATTTTAAACATAGGAGCACATGATCGACATGGCTTTCGAGGATATGCTCGATGGATTTGCTTCAGGACGCGGAAGATGTAGACCGAGAAGGACTGTCTTGGTGACTTCCTATGGTGCTTGTCTCTTTGGAGACAATCTTGGGTGACTTCGCCGCTTTCTTGGGTGGAACGTCTATGGCTGGCTCGCTGAATGGCTGGCATCGCTGAGTTCGCGCTTTGGAACACACAACTTAACGGCTTCTTTGCGCAAGGGTTTTATATGGGATCTGGGATGAGGGGGCGGGGCTAAAAAGACTGCTAACGGCAAGCCCCGCCCCCTCATTCCAGGGGCTATATAAAGGTTTCCTTTTCTAATCACCGTATCGATAGCTTATCGTCAACGACCAAGTCAGAATGTCGGCAAAAACAGGGAAAAGCAAGAAGACCAAAGGATCGGCGCGCTCCACTCGGGCTGGACTCGTGTTCCCCGTCGGACGCCTCCATCGGATCCTCCGGAAGGGCAACTACGCTCAACGTATCGGCGCCGGAGCACCAGTCTATATAGCGGCTGTGCTCGAATACCTCACGGCCGAAGTGCTCGAGTTGGCCGGAAACGCTGCCCGAGACAACAAGAAGTCGAGGATCAACCCACGTCACCTCCAATTGGCCGTCCGCAACGATGAGGAGCTGAACAAACTTCTTACCGGAGTCACCATCTCCGAAGGAGGCGTGCTGCCCAGCATCCAAGCCGTACTTCTTCCCAAGAAAACCGTTGCTGAGAAAGCTGAGTAAACGCTAATCGAGTTTTCAACTAAACCCCCAACCCAACGGCCCTCTTTAGGGCCACAAATTATTATTTTTTAAATGTTAAAGTGGTTGACGTTGAATTTAAAGTTATTGGACGAGAGGCCAAGATTTGTTTCGGGACTAATTACGCTAATTTCCGCCATTTTATTTGCTCAACTGGGTCTTTTGATCATAACCACTTAGAAGAAAGTTATGGCAAGTTGCGCAAATTAGCCTACCCCGTCTTTCGAATGGCGGTTCCCTTAAAAAGCCTTCCTCCATTTCTCATTTCTACTTTGACAATTTGCATTCGTAAATGTTTTTAATTTTTAGATCCGAAATCCTTCGAAATGCGGCTCATTCTTCATCTATTTTGTTCGACAATCGCCCGTTCTTTGAGATTTCTTCCGAATTGTAAGTTTTTTTACATCTCTTCTTCTAATAAATAAATTGATTACTGGTTTAATTTAAAACGTTTGCACCAGCTTTATCAACTTAAAATTGTTACCTGATTGTAGCATCTGTTAGATTTCGAAGCCATTTTGTTCTAAATTGACTAGTCTGCTTAGAATCACCTTCATTTTAAATTGGTCGCGACATAGGAAAGTCGTCAATGCGTTTGTTGATATCTTGAGGGTGCATGCATTTTTTTTGCGGTGTAAAGAGCATTGAAGTTTTTTTCGTTTCAAACTGCAATATAATCTTTCTAGATTGATTTACATTCTTTTGTTTAGGAGACAAAGGACCGATGTACGAGTTCGTAGAGCCGCAACAACAACCATCACCACCCGCCGCACCCAACGCCGAGCCTTCACCGCCACCACCACCAGCGTTAGTTGATTTGTTTTCATATATAAAAGATACAACACGAGGATGTTGAGGAATGATGATGCGGCATGGGACTTGTCGCTTAACTCTGATGCTCCACCACGAAATAGCAACATCGAGCCAAAGAAGCCATCGGTGTGAGTTTTTTTAGGATTCATTAAACTGCCTGGATTGACAATTCATTTCTTGTTTAGGAAACATGGTCGAAGCAAAGCAAAGCGAGAGCGAGCTCCAATTTATCAACGATGGAGGATCCAGTTGTTGCGCCACCGCGATGGACAAAGTGAAGCATTATATCAATTTTTTTTTATGATTCACTCTTTATTAAAACTCATTAATCGTCTAGAGCATGCGAAATCACTTTCTGGGTGCTCATCGTGTATTTGGGATTGGCGATTTTGGTTCTCTGCGGTGGGTGTTTTTGTTTTCGCTTTAAATGCCAACCTTTTTGTTAAGGCCAAATAAAAGGCATTGGTAAGACAAAGTGAAGCATTTTATCAATTTTTTAACCTGGTAAATAATTTATTTTAGATAAAATTAGCTCATGATAATCTTTTTGCATTTCAGTGATTGCCCTGGTTTCAATCGTCGTGCCGATCGTCCTGACCGTCATCATCTAATCTCCGACTGACCAACAAATTTGTAAAAGATTATAAAAAGTGTTTTTAAGTTTTCTCTTTCTCGCTAAACGTTGTGAATAAAACTCTTGAATGGTTTTTTTTGTCGTACTTTTGATAATTTTTATGAATTGTTTTTATGGAATGCCATACAAAAACGAAAAACCTTATTGCATACGTAGCAGATTTGCCTTTCCAGCAGATAAAACGGCTCAACTGTACGTTTTTGCAAGAACTACACTTGAGTTAGCTCGTTTAGAGGAATTTTGATATTGCGTTGTACATGGTCAACTTGACCTTATTGGTATCAAAACCGATGGAACCGACCAATTCTTACAAAGTGATAGAACTTTCAACAGGTTTTAATTCCATAGAAAATCCGATATGATCGAATCAACCGTAAGAATTTCTTGGTTTTCGTTTAGCAAGACCAGAAGTCCGTTAGAAAATTTTATATCGAGAGATCATTTGTGGCCCCTAAAGTTTTCAGTTTTCGTTTAAAACAGTGAAGTCCGTTGGAATATTATTCTAACGTTACATGATAAGATTGAAGAATACATTTTAACAAGATCATTTTGTGGCCCTAAAGAGGGCCGTTGGGTTGGGGGTTTTAGCTGTTCTCATAGTTTAATCGAATTATCCACCGAATCCATAGAGCGTGCGACCTTGACGTTTTAGGGCGTAGACGACATCCATTGCGGTGACGGTCTTTCGCTTGGCGTGTTCGCAGTAGGTGACAGCATCACGAATGACGTTCTCCAAGAAGATTTTCAAGACGCCCCGGCTTTCCTCGTAGATGAGTCCAGAAATGCGTTTGACGCCACCACGACGAGCCAGACGACGAATTGCGGGTTTAGTGATTCCCTGGATGTTGTCGCGAAGCACTTTGCGGTGCCGCTTTGCTCCTCCCTTACCGAGCCCCTTGCCTCCTTTTCCACGTCCAGACATTTCGAATTGCTTGTCGCTCACAAATGAGATGAAAAAGCGCGAGAAACGCGGCTATTTATGGGGATACCGGGAAGATTGCCAGTGGCGATAAGCCCCGCCCCTTTACGTCAGCTCCCTTTGCCGATGGCAAGCCCCGCCCCTTTTTGAGAAGACCTTTATAAACTTTGCCACTTTTCGCCATCTTTGCACATTTCATCGTACGAGAATCTAAGAAGATGGCTCGCACTATACAAACACTAGCCGGTTGGAGACGCTCTGGGGGCAAAGCTCCCCGCAAGGACCTCGCCACAAAAGCCGCTCGTAAATCGGCCTCCGGCGACTGGAGGAGTCAAGAAGCCACGTCGCTACCGGCCAGGAACAGTCGCACTCCGGGAAATCCGCCGTTACCAAAAACCGACGGAACTTCTCATCCGCAAACTTCCTTTCCAAAGGCTCGTCAGGGAGATTGCTCAGGACTTCAAGATCGACCTCCGCTTCCAATCATCGGCTGTGATGGCTCTCCAAGAAGCTTCTGAGTCCTACCTCGTCGGCCTCTTTGAGGACACCAACTTGTGTGCAATTCACGCTAAGCGCGTCACCGTCATGCCTAAGGACATTCAACTCGCTCGGCGCATCCGTGGAGAGCGTGCCTAAACGCTGAAACGTTTCCAACAGAACCCCAACCAAACGGCCCTCTTTAGGGCCACAAAGGTCTTGAAACTAAAAACTCAGCGAGGACAGATGAAAACTTGAGAAATTTTCCAAAGTTGAGCAGAATTTCTATGCAAAGCTTAAAACGCCATTTTACACTCAAAACTTTGTCAGAAACCAACCTTTGTTTCCTTGTCGAAAATCTTGCTAAATCATTTCATTGTGTAGATGAAAATATAAATAATCAAAAAAAAATTTGTTAAATGAAAAATTTCGGCCCAGGCGCTGTGCTGCGCTCCAGATAGGAGCCAAAGTTAGTTCCACAAAAATTTAATGACTGTGAGGCGAGAAGTCGGCTCAAGCCTCAATTTTTGGCTCACAGGAGCAACCTCGACTCACTTTTAGCCACTTTAAGCGGTTCTTGGAGCTTGGTGAAAGCGAATTTCTTGAAAACCTAGACTTAAATCTGGTTTAGTTTTTCAAAGATCAAAGATTTTGTGGCTCTCATACGCCGAAACGTGCTAAAGGCGTGAGTTCGCATTTTCGCGAAAAAGGAGAATTCGGCAAAGAGCCCTTGATCAGTTTGGAGAAAGGGGGGAAGAGAGGAAGAGAGGAAAAACAAGACCTCTTGTGTTTGGGAATCGGGCAGAGACAAAACAGTTCACTCCTAAACATTTTCTTTGCTGTCATTGCTATGTCATTTCTAAATCACAAATAAATACCGCATCTTCTTACCGTAATCCCTGTTCCGTGAGAGTTATCGTAATATTTTTTCGAGATTTATCGTAATTCCTGTTTCAAGATTTTGAACGTTCAAAAAAAAGCCAGAACCCAAACAAATCTCGGGCTTTAATCTGCTTTCACTCGGATTTCTTCTGACTTTTGAATTTTGCCTAACCCTGACCATTCCTTCAAATTCCAGTTCAAAGTCAATCCACTCGCCTCCATCTCATTTCCATTTGTCCACAGTCAGACCAAAGTCAACCATCTGATTTCCATTTGTCTTGTCGTCCTTTCCAATCTCATCACCTCTTTCAATTCCCCTCTCCAGATGACATTGTTGACTCTTGTCCTCCCAATTGAATCGTGTTTGTGTGATCTAATCTGAGAAAAAGACTGATTGTTCACCCAATTCTCTCTTTTTTTTCCTTTTCCTTTTTCTCAAACAAGCGCATGCTTGTCTCCTCAGAGAACAGATCTGCAGATTTGTCTCTTTTGGTAAAAAAAAGGAAACCAGCTTCATTTCAATTTCAATTGCTTTCATCTTCTTTTCACAAAACACCCTTTATCTATCACTCATTTCTTTTTGATATTACCTTTAATTAGATTTGTAAACTGTTTTTTAACTTTTAACCTTACTAATTGTTTTTTTTGTTATTTTTATGATGAATGGATTTTCAAAAGTTTACTATAGAAGCTATGGTGATCATTGTAAAGTAGATTTTAGTAAAGTAAAGTAGATTTTAGTAAAGTAAAGTAGATTTTAGTAAAGTAAAGTAGATTTTACTAAAGTAAAGTAGATTTCACATTTAACAATCATAACAATTGTAACATCTAGACATGGAAACGAGAGTCACTTTCTTTATTTTAATAAACAAATTTTCATTTTTAAACTGAGAAACTCCTTTCGAATTGACGTTTTAGAAAATAAAAGCTAAAAGAAAAATGACTCTAGTTGCAGCCTGGATGCGAAAGAATATTTTTAGATTGATAAGAATAAGTGGAAAAGGTGGAAAAGGTGGAAAAGTGGATGTTGGATTGAGAAAAAAAAGGCAATCCCAATACAGTACTGATAACTATATGTTAAATTGATAAATTTTCTCCCAATTTCATCCCATTTTTTATCGCTTTTCAATGATTCTCTTGAAAAAGTGACCTTGAAAAAATCGACGCGCGGAAAGCGAATCCAGAAATGGATTGCGAGGGGAAATGAAAAAAAGGAGAGAATTGTTGTTTTCGAAAAAGAGACGAGTAAATTTTCTATCAATTCTTTTCTTTTCTTTTTTTTTCTTTTCTTTTTCTTTTCTTTTCCATTCACTGAATCATTTTCACTTTTTTTTGAGGAAGATTATTTTTGCTTAAACCGACAACAAATCATTTCTTGACCTTAAAGATTCAAAGAAACATATCAATCTTCACAAACTTCTTGATCTCAAACCTTTTGAAATATCTCTTGGATCTTGAATCAATCTATAAAGATCTTTACATCAAGATTGAACTCTTTCTTTTACTTTCACTTTTACTAACCACGTAGAGATTTTAATAAATTTTTACGAAAAACACGGTTTTCTCTCGAATTTGCTTGTAAATGAACCGAAATTGACTTAAAAAGATCGGAAATTGAACAATAAACACTTTTTATTTAGAGAAAAGTGTTCCACTTTTTTTGAGTGTTCAACTTTTTACACTTAAACTTTACTTTCATCGATCGATCAATCAAAGCAATCAATCGATAACCACAAATTTCTTGCTTTCAAAGCGTAATGTCAGTATTGTTGAGGGTTGAACAAGAAACACTTCTTGTTCAACCCTCAACAATACTTGTTATCAACTAATATTATAAAGAATATTAGCTCAATATCACCTTATGTTCTCTTGATAGAAGACTTAAACAGTTGAGGTTTTTGGGCTTTGAAAAGCTGCATCCATATAATGCCACTTAAAATAATTGATTTGAAAGGCTAATTTTCTCTTTCGAAAATCGAATCGAATCCATCGAATTCAATATTAGATTTTATTTGATTTAAAGCATTCAATTTCAACCCCGAAAAGAGAAAAGGTTAATTGAAACCTGAAAAACTTCAGCTTACCATTAGCAATATATTTCGTATTCATAGTTTTTATAAGTTACCTAAACTTTCGCTAAAAATGAGGTAGGCTAATTTCTGCAACTGGGTCCTTTGCGCAACTCGCCATAACTTTCTTCTAAGCGCACCAATCTTTATGATTTTGGTGCCATTTTGTTGCACTTATTGAGATCTACAAAATGGCACTAAAATCATAAAGATTGGTCCATTTAGAAGAAAGTTATGGGGAGTTGCGCAAAGGACCCAGTTACGCAAAGGATCCAGTTGCGCAAATGACCCAGTTACGCAAAGGACCCAGTGACGCAAAGGACCCAGTTACGCAAAGGATCCAGTTGCGCAAAGTGACCCAGTTACGCAAAGGACCCAGTGAGGCAAAGGACCCAGTTACGCAAAGGATCCAGTTGCGCAAAAAAAAAATTGCGAAAATTTAGCCTACCTCCTAAAAATCTTAACTTTTAAAGGATTCTTCAATGGATTTAAAGGATTCAAAATTTAGTTTAGAGTTTAAGGCTCAAAATTTGTAAACCTTAGACATCTGCTTTTAAAATAAAAAAAAAGAGCCTTTTGCTGTTCTTGAGTCAAGAATACGGGAGGCGAAGTTGAACTGTCATAATTCTGTCGACTTTTATAGTTATAAATAAAATTTTATCCCTATTTTTTTGCAATCAACTAATAATATTAGTTGAATATCGAAAAAGTTGAAAATGAAGGTGCCCGCCTCAAAATAAACATTTCCCTGTTTTCATTTTCATTTTTTAAATGATTATCACAAAAACTCGTAAAAATTCCCCACCTTTTCACCCCAATATTTTGATCTCTTTTTTTTTAGCCAATCAGTGACCAAAATGTTTGCCTGAAAGTGGGAAAGAGAAGAAAATGAGCAAAACATTTCAAAATTGAATACCAAAGCAATTCCATTATCGTTTTTGCCAAAAAGCAACAACCTACCAGTGTGGACTAGTCTATTTTTGATTATTTTAGAAAAATGTTCATGGAGAAATTTAAGTTGAATCCCAGATCGGAAGAAAATATTAAAAAGTTTTCGAAAAGATCGAGATTAACATGTGAAAGTGCGACGAGGCTTTCTCTCCACAATTCCTCGCTAACTGTCACACTTTTAAAGATCTTTTTTCTCATTTTTAGCTGATCTGGAACGCATTCTAGGTTTCTAAAGAAAAAATAAATTCAGAAAATCTTTTTTTGCATTCTCTCCTTCTTTTTCGGGTTTTCAATTTTTTTGCATTTCACAAAATGTTTTCTCTTTTGAATATAATTTCCAAACTGTTCTTTAGAGATTTTCTTCCAGATTTTCCTCCAGATCTTCCTCCAGATTTTCCTCCAGATTTTTCTCTTATTCATTTAATGCCTAATCAGACTATAATTTCAAAAAAATGAGCGCCAACACGAGAACGAATTGCTTTTACAATCTCAGCACCGAGGAGAGACTCAACTATTTCGAGGTTTGTGGCTGAATATCTATTGGAATATCTACCATATTTTTAAGAGTTTTGTTTTATACGTTTATTACAATGTTTTCCCTGCAATCACTTTCCTATTCTCTCCGATTTCAGCATGAAAGCGAAGCCCAAGTCAACCGAATGTTCCTCGTTTTTCACGGTTATATGATCGGCCCGTTGGCTATTCTTGCGATCATTTTCTCAGTGATATTTATTGGTAATACTGGATAAGGAATTGTTAACTGAGCACTATGAAGCTATTCATTTGCCCGTGTCAATAGGCGTACAACGGAAAAACGAGATTTTCCCAGTACAGCGGGTATTTTTTCAGAATTTCTGGCAACAAAGTGAAATTTTCGGTACTTTTCCAGTATCGGAGGGTTCTGCGCCAAGTTTCTGTTTTTCGCTGGAAAATAACTTTTATTTAATCTTCAAAATTATTGGTACAACCATGGAAAGAAACAAAACCGAAAACAACTGAAAAAGTAGCCGTCGAAGTGATCAAATCTCGTTTTCCCTTTTCCAATTGACACTCAGATCGACAAATGAGCAGGCTCAGTCTACTGTCTTGAGGCCTACGGCAGTTTGACAAAAAAATGTCATTCAGTGACGACATTCCGGGCGATTCGTCTCCGTCGTGTCTCCCGTAAACACTATGTTCTATTGTTGAATCGCGCAATCGGTGATCTCCTTGCCGGTTTGACAGCCACCATTTCAGCAATTGTCGCCATTTTCTTCTCCGATTTCAAGTAAGAACAGTTTTCCATTTAACAGTTTTTCCACAAGATACGTTTTCCATTTATACCATAGTCAAATAATTGAAAAGATTGAGTCTAGCAGAAGTTACTGTATCCCGTTTCTTTTTACCAGTTTCCCTACAGTAATTGTGGCTTAAATTTACGACAGAATCGATTCATATTTTCTAAAATGTGTCAATTTCTGAAAACTACTGTAAGCCAGGGTAGCTATGGATTCGAAAAGAAATCATTCCCTTTATCAGCCGTGACATCGCTTTCCTCTTCGAATCTTTCTTTTTCGCGGCTTTCTGGAGTGCGCTCGTTTCGTACACAAGTCTTTCCGTCTTAAAGGTTTGTCAATACTTTAAACTTTAAAGTCAAACTTGAGAACTTGTACTTTGCTAGATCTCTTTTTCTGGCACGGGCCCCGGGCCCAAATTTCACTCATTTCAAGGGTCTAGAGGTGTTCGCAAATTAGCGTATCCTCTAAAGAAACCTCAACATTGCACATCTTATCGTAACCTATTCCGATTTTTTTTTTCAGTTATACGCCGTTTGGCAACCGCTTTCCTATCGAAACACGTTCACTTTCGATAAATGTATCTACATCATTGTTACCAGGTTTCGAAAAATTGCTTTTATTATTTAAAATCTGATAAATCTGAAGTTGGATCGCTTTCGTGGTGATTTCCGGGATGACGATGGGCGTCACGGCACTCGTTCGTGTTCAATGGATGTCCGAGTGGTCGGGGTGAGGAAGGGGATACTTACTGGATACTTTCCGTACTCATACAACACATTTCAAGTAAACACAGTGCCCAACATAGCGATACTATAAATCTCGAACGTAGCTTGTAAAAGAAAAACCTGAATATCCTAAGGTGTGTAAAGCTGAGGTAACTCGAGGAAATCCCAACATTTTTTTGCCCATTTTTTGCCCAATCAATAGCTCTTGTTTTATTCTAGGCTAAAACTATATCCTCTAGCAATTCTGAAGCCTGAATTGCCTAAATTCGTTTCTTGAAGAAAGAAATATTGATTTTTGAAGAATAGGACGTTGTAGAAGTTGTAGACAAGTTAAAATAACCAAAAAGTCTAAGAAAATGATGTGTAAAGATTTTTTAGATGCAAAGCCGAAACGTGTCTCCGACTAATGTATCGATCTCGTAACACATTCACCTGTTTTGTCTACTTTTTCACCATTGTCGTTTTCCTCATTACTGGTAGTTGTTTTTTGGTTTTTTCAAAACCCAAAATTTGTAGTGGGTCTTTTGAAGAAAGCGGAACGGAATGCAATGTTCGACGCGAGACGAGAATCCCGATCATCGCAAGGAGGGAGGATGGGAAGAACGAGGTGGGAGGGGATTGAAATCAACAGGAGAAAATGATATAAAATTGAGTGTTTTCTAAAAGGTAACAACTTCCCTTTTTTGTCTGCTTTATCTTCTTTTGATATTTGTCGTTATCCTTTGTAAACCTCACAAAAACAGGCCAAAAATAGAGAGATCGAATAACAAGGATGGGACTACTGTAGGGATCCAAAAGTTGACTCGTTTTAGAAAACGTATTAACCGCATGGTACGCTCTAGTTTTGATAGGTAAACTCATCTTCAATTTCAGATTTCCCCTGTGGAAATTGGCGCTGAACGTGAGCACTTTCGCTATTCTACAAGCTCCCCATGTTGTTTGGTTTGTTTTAACTTCAACTTTTCAGTCAAAATCGTTTCTAGGAGTCTCTACTTACTCAGCTCAAATCAATGTCATTTCCAAATTTACTACGCCGAAAGCATGGGGACATTGGGTGAGTGAACGAGAAGGAAAAATAACAACAAGATTTTCAGCTTTTGTGCGAGCATCGATCATGCTGAGAATTATCCTGGGTTAATTTGATTTTCTAAATTTCAAATTTCAAATTAATTTTCAGATCCGATTGTCTCGTTTATCACGGACTACCAGGTAAAACTCATGAAAATTTAGCAAAACTCAACTATTACAGGTTCGAAAGCTTTTCCTTGACTGGATCGGTGTTCCGCGTACATGGTTCTGCTATTCTTCCCGAATCCACGCAAGCAGTACTATTTCGACCGATTCCGGTAGAATAAAAATACGCAGGGAGAATTGCAAAAACTTTTAGAATCCAACAAAAGAAAGTCCACGCAACCATCAATGGTCGAATGATCCTTTGAACAACTTTAATCTCTTTAGAATTTACGGTGCTAATTTCTTTTGGTTTTTATTCTTTGCACATTGATCTCATTCCGGTGCTTTTTTTCGGTTAACAACTTTTATTGGACATTTATTTGATTTAAAGTGAAAAGAAACTATGAGATCTAATCTGGGGACGTGCAGGGTGTACTTGTACAAGACAAAGTAAAAAATAAACTCAACAGTAATTTTTGAGGTTTTCTTTTTGTGCAGCATTTCGTTCTGCCTCAAGAAGCCGCTGTTTCATAGAGATTCCAAGAGGGCAACTAAAAAAATGGGTAAAGAAAAAATGGAAATAGAACAGAAATTATCTTTGTAAATTAGGTAATTTTTTTTAAAACCGAAGATTAAATCACCTATAGCCACCGAGTTTTCCGTTTGATGCAACTACTCGATGACAGGGAACAAGAATAGCGATTCGATTGCGACCACACGCATTTGCCACTGCTCGCACTGCTTTTGGTCGTCCGATTCGTTTAGCCAACTATAAATCGGCACGGTTAACAAGGTTTTTAATTTAACGAAATTAAGAAGTCAAGCAGCTGCAAGAAATCATCTTAGTTTTTATGTTTTTATTAGTTAATTGTTAGTTAATTGTTATGTTTTTATTAGTTAATTTAATCAAGAAGCTTGAGAAACTATCCAACAAAAATCCAACCAACTTCTGTATATGTAATTGTTGTTCCTATTGGAATGCGAATCAACTCGTTCCAGACGTCTTTCTGGCAGTTGGTTCCTTCGAAGTAAAACGGGAAATTCGCCGTATCCCAGGCAAGTTTATCGATGGCAGAAGCTACCTAAAAGCTTTCTTTTCAAAAATATGTCTAAATCAAAATGACCTGTCCAGCCAATTCTCCACAAAACTTCCCTTCTAAATCGTCGTCTTTGCCAACAAATTGCACCTCATGAAGTCCCTTCTCGCTTTCACCAACTCGAATCTAAAAAGATGAAGATTAAGCGTTAACTCCAGCCATATCAAGCGATCCAAATCCTTGTTTAACATTCAAAATAACTCACTTTTCCAAAACGAGTGGATACAATGCTGACAATGACCTTTGTGGTATCTGTCATCTTCATTTCTAAATTTAAAAAAATATATATACATTTTTGTCAAATGAAAGCTTTGAAAGATGTCGCATTCGTACTGTGCTTGTTAATTGTCGTTCATTTATGGGTAATAATTATATTTACAATTGATAAATAGACATTTCTTTTTAAATGTCCACACAAAAAAATGGCAAGTGGTATACAGGGTAAATAACCAGGGAGAAACGGAAGCAAAACAGGAAACTTTTGCAAGAATAAGTGGCAAAACACAGAGAATTGAATAAATCAATTATTTTAGGGGTAAAGAATCAGAAGAAGCATAAGAACCAAACAACAAAAATGATCGATCACACAAACAGGAAGTTCAGCTGAATAGCAAGTTTCGGAGGAAAGTGAATACGGGAGAAAAGGATACGAATTGAAAACATGATAAATGTGTGACGTTTTGAGCCATTCAAAAGTAAAATAGAGATTAGAGAATAAAATTTGCAACCTAATAATTGAACTTTCACATTTCCTTGAATTCTAACAAAAACCGTCAAACCGTATCACAAACAGATGTAATTGCAAAAAAAATACTTATTCACAATGCCGGGATAAAAAACACCCTAAAAATTGGAGAAACACATTTCTATAGTGATAACTTTTCGAAGGGACATTTGAGAATAGCCGTATCAAGGAACTCGTCACTTTCCACAGCAAAAGCTTTAGGATTACGTGCGAAAAGGGAGTTAAACTTTTAAAAACATTACGATATCGTTTTTACGCAAAGATGTGGACTAAATTAACACCCAAGTCGACGGATTATCAAAAGGATAAAAACCCGACAACAAATAGGGGTGGAACTGGCCTGACTCCCCCAGCTTTGGTGTTGTGTAAGCTTTTCGAAAACAAAACAAACGCCATTTGAAACCGAATCAAAATGAAAAAGAGAATTTGAAAGAACTAGTTGATAAACTGAAAAACCAACACCACCAAAAACTAGGGACCCAGAAAACAAAAAGTACAACGACGCTACAACTCGAAGACTAAGACAGAGGGATCAATAGACGCGTCAAAACGGGTCAAAGAGAGGTCGTTGCGGGTGACGCCGGCCTTGAAGTCTTTTCACGAATTTGATCCCTAACAAAACTCGTATATGAAAGAGCTGCTGAAAAAAATAACTAACCAAAGGTTTTTAGCATGCCCTCGTAGAGTGGTTGCAAGTCGAGCCAGTCCCGCGCGTCCTCAGCTGGGGGAATCTTCGGGTCCTAGCGGTCCGGGAGGTTCAATTGGATATTCTAAACACAAAATTTTTGATGACATTAGGTAATGCTACTAAATCTAATAGTCCATTGTTCTATGCAAATAATCCTTACCAGGAATAGACGTTTCTTTTTGATCATCGCAGTTACCATCATCTTGAGTATTCTCCATTGGTCTTGGCACTTCTGGTTCGACAATACCATTTTTCAACTAAAATACAAATTCAAAAAGAAACCGTAGCCACAGTACCTTGGCAGCCTCAGGGCATGGGAGACCGAGCTTTTCTTTGCAATAGTGCGCGACACATTTATGAACAAACTGGTATTGATCCTAAAGCAATCATTTTAATGATGAACTATTGCTTGAAATATACCTGTGTTTGAACCATCGATGACCTTTGTGTACGTAAATGCATAACGAGATTAAATAGATCCAATTCGGATAGTTTCTAAATAAAACTGTTTGATATTCCCGAAAGAAAGGCCCTTACATTATCCTTGATCAGCTCCCGAATATGATTTACTGAAATAATCGTACCCGTTCGCCCGACTCCAGCACTAAAATAAAAGTTGAAATCATGTATTGACTCCTTATCACTATAAATTTTTATTAGACTTTAAAAATAACTCATTTCTCAACTAATATATTTTAATGTTTTAATAAAAAGGGCAGCAAAATTCTGGTATAACATCGAGTGAGCACCTTTAAAACGTTACCTGCAATGAACAAGAATTGGCGTTGGCTTTGCGCCTTGGATCTCCGCCATTTTTTCAATCATTCTCAATAATTGATGTTCACCAGTTGGACAACCATGATCTGGCCATTCTCTAAAATTAATAAATTCACGACTTTAAATCTACATATTTATTATATCTAGCCCTAAAACTTATTTAAACGATGATCGCCTTTTCTTATTTACTGCCTAAAATAGGACAAGACGTACGAGTAATGAAGCTGATGAATTGTCCTTGATGCTTTTGTCGTAATATTTTCCAAACGCAGCGTTCGCAAAACATACTCGTCATCATCTTCAAATCGTTCTTCTGATTCCACCTAAAGTCAATGTTAAACAAATAAGTCCACCACAAATATTACCGTCACTTCGTAGTTGTCACCATAGATTTGCGATTCTCCTGGTTTTTCAGGCCAGTAACGCTCACATTTTACCTAAAAATTCATTAGAAATTAGAATAACGTAAGTGGGCCACAGTTTAGTATGTTTTGCCAAAAACTTTTAACGAATCTCTCACCTTACTCATCTCAATCAACTTGCACAACATGACGACAAGAGAAACATCATATTCCTCAATCATCGCCCACCAATCACCAAGAGTCGTCGAAAGAGGCGCTTGAGCAGCAATAAATCTAAAGTTAAAATTAATAAATTCAAACGACCAACAACGCCCACTTTGTGCCACCCAAATCAATATTGGAAGCGTTAATATATCCTTCAGGGTTTTCTGTTTGATCGACACTCCTCAACACGACACGATTCGAATCATCTAAACAAGATATTCAATTTTGTCCCCTAACACGAACATACATGGCAGAATGTCTCGATAGCGATTTCTTTGAAAGTGCATGGGAGAGGTAGCTATCACGGACGAATATTCGGGAATTCGTCGTAGTTCTTCTTGTTCCAATCGAATCTTCTAAAGCAGAACATTAATGGCGATAGTTTTAACACATACGTAGAAATTTGTGAGGTAATCTCGTGGTTCGAGGAGTTCTTCGTATTTAACAAAATTCTCCATCACTGTTAGAGGATCGGAAGGAGCGACAGCAGCTTCAAAATGTTCGCCAGAGACAGCACTGTCGGCATCGTCGCTGAAATCGATCAAAGGCGCATCTTCGGGTGCATTCACCGGTACAACCACTCCATTTGTTTGAAGCTAAAAGTACAAAGTTAAATTAACTTTTTAAAAGTCTTACCTTCACCGAACTCTGTAGATCGAGCTTTTCATGATGTGTTCCGGCGTCCGCCGTGTCAATCAATGGTCCCGAGTTCATATAATGTGATCTGAAAAAAAAGAAACATTGATCTTAATACAAAAAACGAGATGAAATGAAAAAAAAACGAACTTATGAAGTATTTTCTACATAAACAAGCGGCATTAACTAAACGGATTAAGGATGGAAAACACAATTTGTATGGTTATCAAAGGTGATGTTTTGTTAACTTTCAACACGGAAAGCTCAAACGGAAACAGAATCAAAAGCTCACTCCAAACACATCGAAAAAAGGAGAAAATCTTTCGATTCTCTTTTCAGGGTTTCATTTTCATTGAATGGACACAATGCAAACAAAGGCCGCTTCGGATAGACTCCCGCGAACTGTCAATTTTCCATTGAATTTGGTCATTGAACAGAGCTTGAAAAAAATCGATCAGGCAAAAGCTTGCATTTGCAAAAGTAAGTAGGTACTTTAAAAAGTATGAACAAAATCTTTATCTTTAGGACTTTTGAAAAAACCAAAAATCGATAGTCTGAGAAAAAAAAGCGATGGGCTGCATGAATCGTGGGGTTTTGATAGCAAATACACATTGTCCGGAATTTCTTTTTTGCCCCATCTCAACCTGATAAGGTGAGGCCAAGGGGTAAAAGGTAAAAGGAAAGACGTTTATGGCGAAATGTGAACCGAATCTTTAAGAAAAAGCAATAGATATTTACAAGATAATTATGAAGTGTCTATAGGCTAAAAAGTAAATCAACCAATTTTCCACGCGACTCCTTTTCAAAAAAAGCTTCGAGAAAGAAAATCGATTCATCGACAAGGTTAAGGGCTCAAATAGGGCAGACAATTTTCCTTTTTCACGCTTGGCTCACATTCAAAGGTCGTAGCTCTATATAAATTGTCGTCGCTACAAAAGAACGCTTTAAAATTTTAGATTTTGAAAGCAAGATTGACAGACTACGGAAAATTAATCTTCAGCTTGTATAAAGTATCATGCTAAATTTCAATCGTATAAACAAAACTTTTTTGCTAAATAATTTCAAAATCGATTTCCGGCGAGACAAATTCTAGGAATATCGAGTGAGTGAGGAGTGAAATAAGGCAAAATTCATTAAAAAATGACGTGTAGTTTGAGTTGGAGCAGGGGGGATAGATCGAGAACCCGTGTTGTTAGGGGGAAAGAGGATGGAAAAGGGGTGAAGGGGAGAGAGGTGGGGCCATCGGAGGGAACGCAGAGAGAATCGAGGGGGACCGTCTCTCTTCCTGCCCCCACCACAAATCGATCGGCTTCCGAACGGAGAGAGGGAAGAGAGAATGAGAGTGCTGACTTGTGAGTCACCCCCGTGCACCTGCATCCATCGCCTACCCAACCCCCCTTTCAATTGGATGGACGGCATCCTCTCCGGGTGCCTTGATCACACAATTTGCCACTCCTCGGTAATCCTCGGCTTCACCCAGGGTAATCTCTGCTGAAACCTCAAGAACACCTGGATCCCCCATCTTTCCTTATCCTCACAAAGCAGCGTTGTCCAAATCCCTCAAGATTGGAGAAACGCCCAAACGAGATAATCGAATACCTAGACATCAATTTATTAGGTTTAAAAATGGAACACTTCTATGCAGCAATTAATAACACAGTACCCAATTTGACATTTCGCTCACCCCAAAAGTTTGTGTTAAGTAATGAGATATCTTTCGTAAAAACTTTCAAAAACATATTGTGCCATTTTTATAACCAAGCTTTGTTTCACGATAAAATTACCCATAATAAACTATTATGAAACAAGAAGGAGAGAAAATATAATCACAAAATGGAAAAGATTAGAATATGTACAAGGATTCAGTTACAAAAGATTAGAAAAATAGATACGGGAAGAAGTGATCTTTGTAGAAAGTTCCGATCAGCGAATAAACCCTGAAAGTTGCTGTATATGAATAAACAAAAAGTGTATTTGCTGTATATGAATAAACTTTACCTCTCATTTCCACCATATGCATCGGATTTGAGGAGAGGCATCAATTCGCGCATCAATTGGTCGAAGACATACTCGCCTTTAATCAACTCCTCTTGCAACGGTCCTCCACATTTGCCAGCTTTGAGACTAAAACACATGTAAAGAAAAGATGAAACTTTTAACAAACTGCTTGTAAAGCTCGACACGCTTGATTCCAAAGGGCTTATGAACTGAAATCAATTTCAAAACATCCAAAAGCACTTGTTCCTCCATTTTGCTCCTTTCAATAATTAAGATGTTACCGTCTGGATCCTATCAAAACACATTGGCTACAACAAGTAAAATGAAACGTACCGCTTGCTTTCTGAAAATGAATGGGCGTTCGTCGATGAAATCAATCAAATCCTCAGTTGTAGAAAAAATCGCATCCGGGCTAAATGTGCTAGATTAAACGTATTCAACACAAAATAAACCCAGTTTTGGCAAGCTCCATGCTAAGTATTTCCAATGAAACTCCTTGAGTATTCCTCAATAGGCCTCGAATCAAAAGAAGACGGCTCGTTTCCCTGTCGATGAGGTTGGTGATCTGAATTTAGGTTGTATAAAAAAATTATTTTAACACTTTAAACCTCGTGTTCGATTTCGCGGCTTTTCTCTTGCGAAACTCCAGCTTTTGTTGGTGGAAGGATATTTTTCTTTGACATACCTAAAGTAAGTAAAGGTTTATTAACATAGCAAAAGATTACCAATTTTCCCGGCACGAATTTTCCACGGAAACTTGATCGGATTGATTTTGCGGATGGCCGTTGCTGTGTAATCGCACTTTGCATTGTAGGAGTAATGAGCGAAAAGCTCCACCTAAAAAGTGATATTAACAATTAGAATATGCTTTAATAATAAAACGAAACTAACTTTTTGTCCAACTGGAAATTCTTCGGTCATACTGATATCACCAAGATTTACATTCATGCACAACACGTACACTGATTTTCCTTCGTTCGGACCGCACATGATTTGAGCCTAAATAATAGCATAAGTAATTAGCATCTATAGATTGCCACCTTGACAAATAAACAAGAGCAAAATAACCTACTTTTGCGTAATTTGGAGTGCTGCTAACAACATAACCCAAACAGGCAAAAGTGTTCGACCTATCCCAAAACGTTTCTCGCTGTTTGCCAGACTAAGCAGAACTTTCAAAAACCATTTTTTTTACTTACTAATTCTTGCGTTGTTTCAATCCGTGGAAGGCAATCCGTAAGGAAAAGACTTGGAATTGATGAAATTGCGCTCTTTCTGATTCGAATCTCTTCATCTAAATCACTATAAGCATCAGCTGGCTAATAAAAAAGCCAAGCCTTTATCTTCAAGAGTCAAATTGTGTTGCTTAAGGAATCGTTGAAACTGCTTTGGGTAATCCCTTCGAAATTTCATTCCAAGTCCATTTCCAGTTCTCAGCTCAGGTTTAAGGCTAAAGTTCATTGCAATTTTTCTTTTTATTCTCATCTACATTAATATCATCAAAACACTTACAAATCCATAAGTTGTGACCGTGGGCATCGATTTTTATTCCGAAAGAACACATAACGCATCACTTGGACAAAAATGGTGCGATATTCAAATGTTCGATTCCACGCCTAAAGATTTACCCGTTGATAAAATTAATTAATGTCCGTAATATACAAAGCTATACAAAAAGCCAAAATACAAAGTCACTACCTTTTCGGTGAAGATATCGTATCCGAAGACAAACGCTCGGTTCTTGACAAAATTGTTTAATTCGGAAGCATTGGAAAACGGGAGATTTATGGCCATCAGCTAAAGATAAAAATTGAAAGCCACATTTGAAATACTCCTGATTCAGTTTCTTGATTAAAACCCACCGTATCTCTCCCAGCCAAGTAATGATAGATCTCATCGATTGTCAATGCTCCTCTTTCAGCGAGCAACTCGTGAATCTAAGAGTCCAAGAGTTTGAGAAATTTTTTTATTTAATTTTAGCGTAATCTCTTTATTTATTTTGAATCTTGGTCTCGATAGCCATCTTGATAGGTTAAATGATTTGAATGACAAAGCATAGTTGCACCAAAGAAAGAATTTTGCTACTAAGAAGTCACAAAATTTGTACCAATTGGAGCCTTCGCGTCTCGACATTCTTCTCTGCTTCGGTGAAATTTGACGGGGTGGTTTGATGAATCAGATCCGCATCTGAGCTCAATATGTCGCCCCCAAGCATTCTTTGTGCTAAAAACACTTTACCCTGACCATTTTTAAATCGGGTATTCCAATGTAAGAGAAAATCCCGGAAAGTATTATGAAAAGATAATGTAAATCGCCTTGAGCCAATTCTTCCTATGAAACAAAAGCTAAATCGAATCTGTGTAATGCAAAAATTTTACAACTTCTTGGTCCAAGCTTTTCGTAGAATGTTTTTGTTTGCTGATACGAGGAATTATTTTCTATTACGAGATCCAAATCTCCCGGCGCCTTTGGGCGCGCTTTAGCATGCATAGAGTTATCCCTTTCCACTGAAATTTGGAGAAAATTGAGGATTTAAGCTAGGTAACACTAAAAAATAGGTAATAAATTAGACAGAATTCAATACTGAAAATTAACTCTTGAAAACATAAGCCGAAAGCAAAAATCACAAAAACATAATCTTGTTCTACGTATCAATTCAAAAATATAAGCTGACTGGCTCCATGTTCAGTAATTTGCGTCCCTATTTGTTCGACCAATCTTGGAATCTGTCCGTTGATAATTGCGTCAGAGGTCGGCGATTGTGATTCGATGAAATAAGACTCTCTGAAAAGAAAATGTTCGCAGAATATTTTAATTTACTATAGCATTATTAAATACAAAACTAACTGGAGGTGGGGTCGAGCCAAAGCGTTTCGTTCGTGCAATTCGCGTAGTCGTCCGTATTTGTCATATTTGTCTTCTTGTTGTCCATATCTTCGAACGAGGGGCATGGGGCCAATGGATGAACGATTTCGAGTCGAAAACGTCTGTTTGGAACGAGGGTCCAGCTCCTTCTTGATAGCTAAAGCAACCTTCTATTAGGTTGATGCATAAGTCTTTTCGTTTTTTTCGTACTTCTGTTAAAAAGTAACAAATTCACCAATTAATCTATAGTTTGCTCTATAAAAAAAGTGTTTTTTGTTCAATTTCCATCTTTTTAAATCAATTTCGGTTCACTTTCAAGCAAATTCGAGAGTGAAAAACGCCTTTTTCGTAAAAATCTATAAAAAACTCTACGGAAAAATTGGCTGAATGAATTTCTCTGAAATTTTGGCGAAATATCAAACTTTTTTTTCTCTATCTTTTATCTATTGACACGAAGATAGGTTTTCTTTAGCTAAGGTGTCTAAACCGCATCATCGAGTTAGCCCTTTTTGACTACCCGACTTCATACTCTCAAGAAAATCCAGGCATAAAATATTTTTAAACCCGTTTTAATGTTATTTTGCAGAAAAATAATTGGTTTTTCTAATGAAATCAACCGTAGTTTAATTGGTGCATTTGTTGGCTTGAAACGGCAGACGAAAAGGAACAAAAAGACTTATGCATCAACCTATTATTATAGGACATTAACGCTAAAACTAACCCTTCGCACCACCCTGGCCTTGAAGTTTAGAAGATGGAATCACTTTTCTCGTTGCGTTTCCTTTCAGTAGTCGTGCTTCCTTTTCATGCGCTTCTTTGAGGTTTTGGACGTAGGCGTCACGCTAAAAAAGTTAATGTTTTTTCTATCAACAAATTAAAGTTACCAATTTGCGCTCATAGTCTTCTTTGGTGTCATGGAGTTGCACTTCGAGTTGCTTGTTTCGGGAGCTGAACCGAGTATTTTCTTCTTTCAGCGTTTCAATTTCGTTGTTTGCGTTGCTTAATTCCAGGAAAGCTTCGTACGACTTCTTCTCTTCGGCAACAAGTTTTTCTTTCAGTTGAATTTTCTAAGGAAAAAAAATGTTGAGATTTATCGTTAAAGTTACCTCTTCTTCTAACTTGCCGAAAATTGCCTTGAGCTCGTTGAATTCTTCCGAACGCGTTCCTTCAGCGGTCTTCTCCCTTGCCATAACTTGCTGCAAGGTCATTTCCAGCTGCGCGTTAACTTTCTCCAGCTTCTGGAACATCTCCTCAAGCTTCATGTTTTTCTTGTTCATCTCATTTATGACGCCTTGACGATCGAAAAATTGAGTCTAAAGTGATCTTTTTACCGATCCAATTGAAATCACAAAATACCTGCAAAACATGCTCCCTTTCCTGCATTTCCGTTACTTGTCGCCTCAAAGAAGCATTTTCAGCGGTAAGTCTAAAATAAAATAGACAACAAACTGCAATATACCACAGACCTAGAAATTTCAGATGTCTCCTCGTCTTTGGCAGCATTCATCATCGTTTTGAATTGCATATTGTACGACTCGAGGTTCTTGATTTGCTCTTGAAGACCATCGCGAATGGCTCGTTCCTTCTTCTTCTCATTTTCAGACGATCGAAGTTGCTCCAGTTGTGATTCTTCGGCGACTTGTAGTTTCTCTTTCAACGTCCGAATTTCTTCTTCGCATTGTCGGATTTCTTCCAAGTGCTGCGTTTCCTAAATCAAACTTTTATTTAATGAAGGGTTTGTAAAGGTAACTTTTGCTTCAATGTCGGCTTGTTTAGCACGCCGGTGATTCGAATAGTCGGAAACGATTTCGTTGAGCTCCCTATCCTTTTCCTCGAAGTGTCTCCTGTAATCTTCAGCGGATCGCTCAAAAGTTCGGGCCTTCGCAGTAAGTTCATCGATTTCCGCATTGGCGTCGTCCAGCTTTTCTTTGAAGGACTTCACCTAGACATAAATTTCTTCCAAATATTGCATTTCCTAAATCAAACTTTCATTTAATAATCGGTTTTTAAAATTAGTTAGGTGTTACTTCCTCTAGCTTGCCAAAAATTGTGGTACTACGGTTGGGGGCCCACTTTTTTTTCTTAAAGGACGCTTTTTCTAGGTAATTTTTTATTTTTAATAAATTTGTAATTTTTAATCTTCATTTAAAATTTTTTTATTTATAGGGTAATTTTTAACGCTGATTCCGAATTTCAACATCTTAAGTCCGCTAAATAAATTTTAATTTCAGAAAAGTCACTAAGATTTTCCTTTTGCATTGGCACGTTCTTCGAGTCGACCCACATCACCCCAAAGAAAACCTTTCGCTTATCTCTACCTCCATCAATACGGCACCCATGCTGACATCGCCCGTGAGCTGAAAATTGTGGTCGGACGGTGCGGTCGAACAATGAGAACAATAGACTCGAGATGTCTTCAGTTCGTGGTTCGTCCAACATCCTCGACAAATCGGCGGCTTTGGTACGTGGAAATCGACGAGACATGCATTTCGAAGAGGAAACATAACGTCAGAAGAGTTCCTGGTCAAAGAAGAATGTGGCTCTTCGGTGGAATCGAACGTGGACCCGGCCTCGACTTCATGCAATTGGTGCCTCGTCGAGATGCTTCGACGTTGCTGCTTGCTGATTATCCAAACATTTGTCCCGCCAGGCTCCATTATTTACAGCGATCTTTGGCAAGCTTACACTGGCGTTGGCAACATATTTCATATGGCGTCAACAGTCAGTCAACCATCAAGACAATTTCGTTAATCCCATCAACGGTACACAGAAGCTTGAATCTATGTGGTCCCGTTTCAAGAAGTCGATGGTCAAGCGCCCTAATGGTATCAGGGTTCGCTCAAACCAGATGTACACCGACTACATTAACGAATTCTTGTGGAAGCAAGAGTTCGGCCAGGACATTTTCTTCAACTTCTGGAATCAGACTAGCGTGCTTTACAAGTGCGAATGAAAATGCCTCTAATTAACCAAACGGCTCTCTTTAGGGCCACAAATTAACATGGGAACAGAGAAATTTGCAATTTGAAAATGATGTTGAAATTCGGAATCATAAAATAAAAATTATCCCAGAAAAGAGTCTTTCAAGAAAAAAAAGGGCCCCCGAACCGGCGTAGTACCAAGAAAGGTTTATAAACTACCTCCTCGACCAAATTTGCAATCTGTTTGGTGATCTCCAGGTTGTTTCTCTCTAGCCTGCTTGCCATTTTACGTTCTTCCTCCAATTGCTTCGTCAAACTTTCCGCCTGCATTTGTGCTTCTGCTTGAACCGCATTTGCTTGATTCTTTAGGGCGAGGATTTCCTGAAGAAATGATCAACTATGAGGCATTACTTTTGCATTACCTGGTTTTTCTCCTCAATAAGTTGTCTATGCAAAGTCAGCTCCATTTCTAGATTATTCTCTTTGTTTTCTTCCTGGGAAAATGAGACAATATTCTTAACAAAAAAACATTAAGTTAATTGCTGTGACGAATCAAACTTTTTCAGCAATGTGCACATCAGCTGCTACTTCCTCTTCGTCGTTAAAGTTGAGTGTTCGGGCCCTTTGTACGGATCGGCGAACTTCTTCCGATGGCAGATATATAGTACGGCGGCGTTTGGTATATGTTTGTGGAGTTTGCAAAGCCTATAACTTCCCGCTTTTCTTATTCCGTCATAATAAACTTACAGTTCGCTCATCCTCAAAACAAATTTTTGTTTTTAACGCGTCGATTTCGGCGCTTTGTTTCAGCGTCAAAAGTTTTAACTCTTCGTTTTCTTCTTGAAGATTTTGCAGCATTGCTTTGTATTCTAAATCACAACTACACATAAGTAAATAAATGAGTGCGTACCTAATTGTGCATCTTGGAATTGCTGATTCAGGCTGTTCACTTTGCTGTTCAAAGCCATCACTGTGTTGCCCGTAATTTTCATATCAACCTAAAGAAAATTGACATATATTTTTGAAAAAATGGTACTTGAAGACGGTTTTCAATCAAACGGCAGTCACGAGCGAATTGCAAAGAAGATATGATGTTCGTCAAATCACTAAATTTTAATATTTCCTATATAGAAAAGCAGATAAACCTTTTCTCCGAATGAATCGTGACAACAATGGATGTGCGCGCTTTTCCGCCAAGCGAATCCTTCAAGAAGAGAGTGAGCTTCGAGTCTCTGTAACTGATGACCGACTTCTTTTCTGACAGCTGCCGCATTACACGAGCAAGGCATATCAAGCTCTAGACACAAATGTAAAAACAAATTTTTGCAAACTAACTATGTTGATGGCGATTCCCTCTTTAAACTGCTCGGACCCAACTTTGATACCAGTTTGTGCAATGCGTTCCGATCCAGCCAAGTCAACGAGGTGTAGCTTTGAGGTGCGCCGCTCCGCAAGATCGTCAACAAGTTGTTCCGTTGTAAGCTAAAACACAAAAAGTGAAATCTTTATCAGAAAAGTACCTCAATCACGAACACGCAGTGGGATTGACTCGATGCACTGTTCAACTTCGTTTCCACTGTCTTTCTTGCATTCCATCCTTTGGAAAGAAGCTAAACTAATAATTGCTAATCTGAAATTAGAATTACTTACCTCCAGAGCTTCCGCTGTGGAAGTAACCTTAAACCGCTTGGCATTCAAACCCGTCAATGTACGAAATTGAAGCTAAGCAGAAGTAAACTTTTTTCAGGAGTACCTTTCTTTACCTTTACGTTGTCATCCAGCAAGTCATACCATTCCTCTTGATACAGTTGCACATAACAAATGTGCATTTCACTTTGGAATTTCTCTTTGGTCAGCTAAAAAAGAAACGGATTCATTAATCACTATCCCAAGATCCAAACCTGGTCGGTTTTAGCTTTGAGGAAACTGAAGAGATCGTCGATGCATCTTGGAATTATGCCTTGATCGTTGACCGGAATAGTAGAGAAGTCATCAATTTGTGAAGGGCCCACCATCGTGTACGTTTTACCTAAAACAAGCTTTCACTCAAAAAGTCAAAAATTTTAATAAAGTGTGCCAAAAGTTTACCACTTCCAGTTTGCCCGTATGCAAATATTGTTCCGTTGAGTCCAATCGTGATTCCATCGACAACTTTCTTTCCCAAAGCTGCATAGACATCTGTCTAAAGAAAAAGAATAAAAACGTCTACTTTGCTGTTTTGACAAGTTTAAGCATTATTAAAGTTTAGAGAAACACCATTTTTGCACACTAGGTTAAAACCCTTTGCATGGTCTTGTTTAACAACCGTATTCTCACTACTTTTTATTATACTGTGAAAAGAAATACCTGTGAGGCCGTCCAGTCAAAGGCTCTATCCACCTTGTAGTCGGTTTTCTCCAATTTGACCGTCGAGCCGCTCGCTTCCACCACCCGATCGTTACCATCACGCGCTCGGACACAGACAAAAGCCCGTTCCATCTCTAAAATTCGTAGTTTTGAGCTGACCAAAGGAAAACAAAATCAAGCCACATCCAATCAAGCAAATAAGAACGCATTCTAGTTCAGATGGTGCGTACATCATGTGCTAACTAACAATTTTAAGTGATTTGCTTGCGTTATCTTTTGAATAACTTGTGCCGTTGAAGTTTTTCTAAGCTCACAGCAAGGAGCGCACGCTAAATGCAAGAATGAAAACCTTGAAAAAGGAGACAAAAGTGCGACAAAACTTCTGTCATAGAAGTCTCAACAAAGCTACAAATATTCAGTTTTTTAATTAAAGTTCAATTTTTCGTTGATTACTTTGCCAGCTCATAAAGTAATCGATTTTTTGTTTCTTCAACTGTTGCCCGGTGTGACTAGCTTGAAGAGCCATTTTGAAGACTTCTTCAAAGAGTTTACAAACGGAATCTGCCTCTGCTCGATGGACGGATTGAAGAAGATGGCATAGATGTGATCCCTCTGGTTTGGAGTATTTCCTTTGCCTTTCCACGATGATCACGTTATATCTAGAAAGGTTTGTTTTACGATTTGAGATTTTAGACCCTACTTTTAATACCGTTTTTAGCTTTTATGCAAGTTAAAAGTTTAAAATCTTTATATGAGGCCAACTGGTTTCGGGCTTTGTTCGTTATTCCAGTCCCACAATCGAATCCGCAGAACTCGTGCTCATCATACAATCGATCAAAGGAGTTCTCTCTATCACTCGGTCATCGATTTTATCGACCATTTTAACGCTGAATTTAGAAATTTCCAAGCGTACCTGCAATTTCATATATAAAATCATAGACAAAAGTCTTGGAAATTCGAAAAGAAGCGATTTTTTAGTGTTTCTACTCGAGCATTTTCAGAAGAAACTTCCAATAACAGAAGCATTTTCAGAAGAAACTTATTTTAAATATGCTCTTGCATTACCTGAAAAAAACCATTTTCAAAAATCTTTATTGGGAAGCTCAAAAAGTTAAAAAAATGTAGTGGGCAAAACTCTTGGAAATTTAACAGAGTGTCACGGACATTTTGAATAGCTGCCTGCCCGTGTCGACCGATAGACATGCGATGGCAATGGTCACAATAAACTAGACATTTTTGACTTTCTAATTAGCTATCACACAGCTTATTTGGTTGCGATTTAAAAATGGCTTTTCACTGTGTAAATCGATGAACAAATAATGGAGTGTCCAATGTTCAAAATGAAGTGTCCAAAGACTCATTGGTCAATTTAATGGTATATTTTTAGCCATATATCTGCAGATATATGTTATCGGTTATCTGATACTATTTATCCGTATTGTAGCGAGTTTTTAACTGGCAAGCAACGGGGTGAACATCCGGATTTGGTACCCGACAATCCATTAGAACCGTAACTGTAGCCGTTTTGATAACTGTTTCTAATATGATATATCTGATCTGATATAGCCGTATCCGGATATAACTGTTATATCTCATTTAGATTGGAATTTAGATTTCAATGGATTCTGATGCCCATTCAGCCCTAATCCATAGATCAAGCTTCCCACCGAATCTCGAATATCTAGAACGCTTCCTTTTTAAATTTTGCAAATCTAACAAGAAGATCAGGCTCTTCATTCCCTAAACTTTATTATTAGAATTTCCATTTACAGATTGACCTCATCGCTGCCACATTTTTGGGCTGAGTCGGCGCCCGTTCACCGCCACTTATGCTGTTTTTGCGCACTCGATCTTTGCTTTGCTTATTATAAATTTGAATCTTAATACTGTAATATTGACACTAGACTACCGTAAATACTCTAATAGAAGCCCTCCTATGGGAGCATCATGTAGTCTTAAAAGTTTACTCTCAAAGAACCGCTCATATCTCGGCGCTCAGTTATTTGTTTCTCCACGTTTGGGTATCAACTTAAAGTAGGGAGGATGGGTGATTTTTTGAGATATAACACATATTTTTAGCATTAACCAGCACTTAGAACAAAATGATTGAAAGATCGGCTTTTTTTGCCATTTCTCAATCATTTTGTTCTAAGCGCTGATTAATGCTAAAAATATGTGTTATATCTCAAAAAAATCACCCATCCTCTCTACTTTAAGTTGATACCCAAGCGCACAGAAACCAAAGCACTGATGCTGAGATATGAGCGTCTGTTTGAGAGTAAACTTAGACTACGCAATGCTCCTGTAGAGTTTTTATGGTAATTCTTGGTACGTGACTCCTTATAGATGCCAGGGTTAAGATATCCTGTGTTGACCCTTACTATCACATAGTTGAATACGCTGGTCCTTTTGCCGGTCATTTTACCTTTGATCAAGACAGAGATGTGGGTCATTTTACGGTAGATATGTCCGATTTTTAACAAAACAAGAGTATACCAAAGTGTGCTTTAAAATAAACTTTTAGCGTTGGGAAAGCTTTGCTGAAACTTTGAGAATTTCTTAGTTGGAATGCAGTAGGAATTTAGGAATGATTGGATTGGGGAATTTCTTATTTTTAGGAACCCAACAACCGACTCCGTTATCGTCTCCACTCAGCCGGCGGACTTGAGCAATATTTCTCGGTGAATGAGCACAATGGATTGGTTACATTAGGAAGGCCAGTTGACGCGTTCGCTGATGAGAAGATTACGGTAAGTGAGAAGATATTCAGTTGACATAAATAGCAACAATTTCCAGCTGAAAATCGAGGCTTCAGATGAGGGCGAACCGGCACAAATCGGGCATATCAATGTAACAGAAAATCCCAGATAGTATTGTCAAAAGATGTAAATCGCCTTAAGCCAATTCTTCGTATAAAATAAAAGTCAAATCAAATCTGTGAAAGGCAAAAATTTTAAAACTCCTTGGTCAGAGCTTTTTGTGGGATGTTTTTGTTTGCTTTAGGAGGCATAGGGTTATCCCTCTCCACTGAAATTTGAAGAAAATTGAGGATTTAAGCTAGGTAACACTAAAAAACTGATAATAAATTAGACCGAATTCAATACTGAAAATTAACTCCTGAAAACATAAGCCGAGAGCAAAAATCACAAAAACATAATCTTGTTCTACGCATCAATTCAAAAATATAAGCTGGCTGGCTCCATGTTCAGTACTTTGCCGGGGTCCGCATTTGCTCGACCAATTTCGGAATCTGTCCGTTGATAATTGCGTCAGAAGTGGGCGATTGTGCTTCGATGAAATAAGACTCTCTAAAAAGAAAATGTTCGTAGAATATTTTAATTTACTATAGCATTGCTAAATACAAAACTAACTGGAGATGGGGTCGAGCCAAAACGTTTCGTTCGTGCAATTCGCGTAGTCGTCCGTATTTGTCATATTTGTCTTCTTGTTGTCCATATCCTCGAGCGAGGGGCATGGGGCCAATGGATGAACGATTTCGAGTCGACAACGTCTGTTTGGAACGAGGCTCCAGCTCATTCTCGATAGCTAAAGAAAGCTTATATTATAGGACATTAACGCTAAAACTAACCCTTCGCACTGCCCTGGCCTTGAAGTTCAGAAGATGGAATCACTTTTCTCGTTACGTTTTCTTTCAGTAGTTGTGTTTCCTTTTCATGCGCTTCTTTGAGGTTTTGGACGTAGGCGTCACGAGAAAAGAGCGAGTCACGCTAAAAAAGTTAATGTTTCTTTCTATCAACAAATTAAAGTTACCAATTTGCGCTCATAGTCTTCTTTGGTGTCATGGAGTTGCACTTCGAGTTGCTTGTTTCGGGAGCTGAAACGAGTATTTTCTTCTTTCAGCGTTTCAATTTCGTTGTTTGCGTTGCTTAATTCCAGGAAAGCATCATACGACTTCTTCTCTTCGGCAACAAGTTTTTCTTTCAGTTGAATTTTCTAAGGAAAAAAATGTTGAGATTTATCGTTAAATGTTACCTCTTCTTCTAACTTTCCGAAAATTGTCTTGAGCTCGTTGAATTCTTCCGAGCGAGTTCCTTCAGCTGTCTTCTCCCTTGCCATAACTTGCTGCACGGTCATTTCCAGTTGCGAGTTAACTTTCTCCAGCTTCTGGCACATCTCCTCAAGCTTCATGTTTTTCTTGTTCATCTCATTTATGACGCCTTGATGATCGAACAATTGAGTCTAAAATGATCTTTTTACTTTTACGGATCCAATTGAAATCACAAAATAAAATAATCTGCAAAACAGACTATGTGACATTTCCGAGCCGACATTTCCCACCCATTTTTGCTATACATTTTTTCTGTAATATAATTTTCTAGTTTTTGCGTTTCTTTTCCAATTTTCTTATTCAAGCTTAATGTTTTTAGTTTCGGCACTAATGGTGAATCATGTGGCCGGATACATGCCCGATATTTTGGACAGCAAGTGGGTTCAAAGTAGATTTTTTCAGATATTCTTTTTTATCTTAAGATTCAAAAAGCACCAGATGCTTTTCGGCGCATTTTAAATGACACCGAGACCTGCTACATATACAAGCCCAAAAAAGAGATTTCAAAGATAGACGGAAATTATTCATCATACAATTGCCACGGATGTGTAAAAGAAAAGAAGAAATTTGTTTGATTCTATTTCTGATGCAGATTGTTGTGATTCCTTGGACAATTTAGCACATTTTGTTAGTCCACATGATTAGTTCTTTTATTATCTACTTTTTGTTGTAAAATGCTGCTTAATTTTTAGCAATGTATAGCAAAATGAGTGAGAAAAGTTCAATTACCTGCAAAACATGCTCCCTTTCCTGCATTTCCGTTACTTGTCGCCTCAAAGAAGCATTTTCAGCGGTAAGTCTAAAATAAAATAGACAACAAACTGCAATATACCACAGACCTAGAAATTTCAGATGTCTCCTCGTCTTTGGCAGCATTCATCATCGTTTTGAATTGCATATTGTACGACTCGAGGTTCTTGATTTGCTCTTGAAGACCATCGCGAATGGCTCGTTCCTTCTTCTTCTCATTTTCAGACGATCGAAGTTGCTCCAGTTGTGATTCTTCGGCGACTTGTAGTTTCTCTTTCAACGTCCGAATTTCTTCTTCGCATTGTCGGATTTCTTCCAAGTGCTGCGTTTCCTAAACCAAACTTTTATTTAATGAAGGGTTTGTAAAGGTAACTTTTGCTTCAATGTCGGCTTGTTTAGCACGCCGGTGATTCGAATAGTCGGAAACGATTTCGTTGAGCTCCCTATCCTTTTCCTCGAAGTGTCTCCTGTAATCTTCAGCGGCTCGCTCAAAAGTTCGGGCCTTCGCAGTAAGTTCATCGATTTCCGCATTAGCGTCGTCCAGCTTTTCTTTGAAGGACTTCACCTAGACATAAATTATTAAAAACGGAATCCCAAATGAAACCTGTGCAATGGCGTGCTCTTTCGCTTCATCAAGTCCCCGTCGGGTCGCGTCAGCTTCTTCAAGTGCTCGAAGCGTCTTGCCAAAATCGATCTTCATTAACGAAATGTCCGCCTCTTGACTAGCGCAGTTCTTCCTCAGCTCGGCAAGCTAAAAAAGCAAGAATCAAAATAAAAAATTTAAAATACCTCCTTTTCGAGATCGCTCACAAGGCCAGTTTTGTAGTTCACTTCTTGTTGCAGCTCTTTGGCCTTCGCCTTCACCAGTTTGATCCTTTAAATGAAGTATAAAATGAACGTGTAATCAACAAACTCGTGCTCCAGCTCGGCACGCTTGCTAGCGATCGTCTTGTGTTCACGCTCCTGTTCTTGGACAAGATGATCGAGCTCGTTGACGCGCTTTCTCATTTCTTGATTCTCATTGAGGAGTTGTTTCTCCCTAAATTTAATGCTTAAAAAGAAAACCAGCAAAAAAATATACCTTGGTCGAGGAGAGCCGGGTGATGAAGAAGAGTTGATAAAGCGATGCATGTCTAAAAAACGTGATAACGAAGAAGTTAATTTGAACGAAATGGATTGCAATGGAATGGAATGAGCGAATCTGTGGGGCGAAGGATCGAACAAGTAATCAAACTATGCAATACGGGGAACGTCATGAAATCGGCAAGAGTAGAGAAAATGATCCAGAAGACGCGCGGAAAATTCGTTAAAAACAATGTGATTTCATTTGAATAAGTGAATATCTATACTTTAATGGGCGTGTTTTGAATATGAGTATATTAAACTTATCATTGTAAACATTTGCATAAAGCGCTAACGCTCGGTACTTGGCCAAAAATCATTGATGCCTCCTTTACTTCACCTTGCCGGCTTTTTCCTTTTGTGTAAGTTTTACAATTTCCTTTTTTCTTCGTCCTCCAGTTTTTAATTTGCTGTTTTTAGCGATTGGAGCCCAATTACCGCCAAATGTGATCGTCGGGATAAAAGGAATCGCGATAGAGTGTGTTGTGTTTTTTACTTATAATCTATCTGCTTTAAGTGAGGTGGGAGTTGTTGAAAAATTCATCGATGGTGATTCTATAACGACCTATTTGGAGGGGTCAACGTAAGCTTCGTTCTGCTGTTTTAATTTATAGAGGTTTAGAAACTCGTTACCAACAATCTATGGCTCAATGTTCGACACCTGTGATCCAAAAGAGAAAAAAGTCGAATTGGTCGAGAGCACGATGCGAGACGATAAAAAGTACAATTTCACACTCGTCAAAGGCAAATTGGTAATTTTATTTTTGAAAATTCATTACTTTTAGTGAGGTAGACTGCCACACAAAAATCCAGCGCTCGTACTATTTATTTTTCAATAAAGACATGGATTTTAGAAAGTGCATGGAAAGCCGAGTGAGAGTGTGAAACTATGCCTGGGGGAAAACAACAAGCCTGGCTTAAACTGGATCATTGTAAAAGAAGGTTTTTTCTATACAAGTGTTTCGATGTCGACTTTATCATCTAGCTCCCGTCAATTGGTCACTGATTGGATGGGCGATTGTGATTGTACTCTCGACTCTGCTTAGTGCCCTGTTCACCGGCTTAAACATTGGTACGTGCAAAGGGTTGATAGTTTTTATACCTGGATCCTAGGATTGATGTCGTTAACTCTGGAACAATTGGAGGCTTACAAGAATCACGGCACTGGAAAGAAAAAGAAATACGCCGAGGATATTTTGCCGTTTCGTCGAGACAGCAATTTACTCATCTGCTCACTCACTATTGGTAAATTTTCTAATTGATCTCAAAGTATCACTTTTTACAGCAAACGCTCTCGTAAACATTCTAAATGCTCTTGGATTTGGGTATATTTTCGGTGAAGTCGCAATTTCGGTTTGTTGGTTTAATGATTTACTAGATGAATTTCTCTTTTGGAACGTATATAGCGAGTACGCACTCTCGGTGTTTTGTCCGGCATTGCTCACGCTTATTCTTGGAGAAATACTTCCGCAGGCAGTTTGTTCAAAGTAAGCATTTTTATATTTTAAATTCTTTAAAACTTATTAATCTAGATACCCTCTACAAACAGGATCTTGGACGAAGAATGTAACTCGTGCCCTTTTGCTCGTCCTCTACCCGGTTGCAAAGCCAGTGTCATTTCTTCTTACACTTGTTTCTGGAAAAGAAGCACGAGAAGTTTACAGCAAAGAAATGCTTGCAAGTTGGCTCGTTTTATACCATCATTTAATTGCCAGGTTTTAGAACTTTTAAAAGCGCATGCAAAGAATACAGATGACGTTTCGAAATTGGACCAAGGAGATTATATTATCCGAGTACGTTTGTTCATTGTAATGACACTTTCTTCATGATATTTTGAAAGAAAGGAAAATTATTTAATGTTGTTTTATAGAGTATGGCGAGAACTCTGGAAAATTTGGGTAAACAAGCAAAAGATGTTATGGTCCCATGGGAAAAGGTAGGCCTTCAGTTGATGGAAATGAATCAATAAGAGCTTTAAGGTGAAAAAATTGACGGCAAATGATGTGATCAATGATGAATTGTGGAAGAAGCTCAGCAAAATGCAATATTCCCGTTTCCCAGTCATCGAAAACGGAAAAGTGAGTTGACAGCTGCAGTTTTTGTATTTTCTCATTTACGGGTGGTTGCAATTCAACACGTGAAAGATCTACTAAATGTCAAGGATCCCAAATTTAACGGTCTCTCGCTTGGAATCGTGTCGGCCCTATGGCATAAAAGCTATCTTGTAAGGCTTTTCCACGGTTTTAATACGGCTTTTTCACGGTGTCCACTGTTTATTAGTTTCGCACGGCTTTGGAAGAAACACCAATCATTACTTTGCTAGAAGAAATGAAGAAAGGGATCCCTGTGATGCTTGTTTTCAGGTAGACAACTTCTAATTTTTATAACTTATAACCAATCAACGCATTTAGATCAAACGATGAAAGTAGCTTCGAAATCGTTGGAATGCTAACATTAGAGGATCTTTTGGAACAAGTTAGTCCATTTCATTGTTGCGTTAATTTTTATTGTTCAGGTGATAGGAGAGATCAAAGATGAAAAGGAAAACAAAAATAAAAATTCAAACGATTGATGGGGTTAGAACGCAAGGTAGTATATCCGTATTTTACCATTTGCTTAAATTATTGGATAAATTTTATGATTACGTTAAAATGCATGGATGACAAACGCTTAAGAGTTTCAAGACAGAAGACAAAGTTTAAAAGTTGCACGTAAAAATAAAAATAAAAAATCAAGGTCGCATCATGCATCATTCGAAAATGTAAGTTGGCTCCATATTCAGTGCTTTGCAGACCTCCTCATTTACTTTGTTTGGGAGTCTTGCCCCTGAGAACTGCGTAAGAAGTGGGCGATTGTGCTTCGATGAAATAAGACTCTCTGGAAAGGAAATGTTAGTATATCTGAAAATACAAAACTAACTTGAGATGGGGTCGAGCCAAAACGTTTCGTTCGTGCAATTCGCGTAGTCGTCCGTATTTGTCATATTTGTCTTGTTGTCCAGATCCTCGAGTGACGGGCATAAGGCCAATCGATGAGCGATTTCGAGTCGACAACGTCTGTTTGGAATGAGGCTCCAGCCCATTCTCGATAGCTAAAGCAAGCTTAAATTATGGGACATTAACGCTAAAACCAACCCTTCGCACTGCCCTGGCCTTGAAGTTCAAAATATGCAAGTTTTTCTTTCAGTTGAATCGTCTGAGGAAAAAATGTCAAGATTTATCGTTAAATGTTACCTCTTCTTTTAGCTTGTATAAAATGAAAGTGCAATCAACAAACTCGTGCTCCAGTTCGGCACGCTTGCTGACGATCGTCTTGTGTTCACGCTCCTGTGCTTGGATGAGATGATCGAGCTCGTTGATGCGCTTTCTCATTTCTTGATTCTCATTGAGGATTTGTTTCTCCCCAAATTTAATGCTTAAAAAGGAAACCAGCAAACAATATACCTTGGTCGAGCAGAGGCCGAGCCGGGTGACGAAGAAGAGTTGACAAAAAGATGCATGTCTAAAAAGAAAACGTTAACAAATCAGAGATCGTAAAAATTCTAATAGACGGGCATGTCCGTCATAGGCGTATATTTTTTAAACCCCCTAAAGTGCCCGTCTATTAGAGTTTTTATGGCAACTTGAAAGAAATGAAATGGAATGGAATGAGCGAATCTGGGAGTGGGGCGAAGGATCGAACAAGTAATCAAACTATGCGGGGAACGTCATGAAATCGGCAAGAGTAGAGAAAATGATCCAGAACACGCACGAAAAATTCGTTAAAAGCAATGTGATTTCATTTGAATAAGTGAATATCTATACTTTAATGGGCGTGTTTTGAATATGAGTATATTAAACTTATCATTGTAAATTGCATAAGGCGCAAACGCTCGGTACTTGGCCAAAAATCATTGATGCCTCCTTTACTTCACCTTGCCGGCTTTTTCCTTTTGTGTAAGTTTTACAATTTCCTTTGTCCTTCGTCCTCCAGTTTTTAATTTGCTGTTTTTAGCGATTGGAGCCCAATTACCGCCAAATGTGATCGTCGGGATAAAAGGAATCGCGATAGAGTGTGTTGTGTTTTTTACTTATAATCTATCTGCTTTAAGTGAGGTGGGAGTTGTCGAAAAAAATTTTCAATGATAATTTTATGTAAACGGTTCCCTTTATGACTATCATACACGGAAGAGTCGTGATTGAAGTGTTTTTCCTCTTTGTCAATTTCCAATTCTCTTTTTCTTCGAAACTTTTCTCATCCCATATGCAAATGTCGATGCTCATAAAGCTGCTGTGTGTGCGCAAAAATAATTCTCTTCTTTTCTTCTTTACCTTTCATCGTTTGTTCGTTTTGTGAGTTGCGAAGGGACGGCTCTTCGAAAGATTTTAAGCCTTGAAAGAACGCCTCGAAAGCTGAAGATTACCCATGAAAAGCCAGGAAAATCGACAAGAATTTTGTTTGTATAACAAGTGGGAACAAAAGCAATTAGCGCGCTCACTCAAATGACTAAAGATCTTTGACTATTTGGGATAAATGCTGGGGAATCATAGAATTCAGCAGTCGTTGAGCATAATGAGTTTTCATCTCGAATGGTGCGCTTTCTAAAATGTGCCAATTTTCGAAAACTACCAAAAACCTTGTTTCAAATTTTATTTTGTTTGACTATGTGGTGTTCAAGGATTTAGAAAGCTTTTGAAGCAGATTGATTGAATAAAAACTGGAAGCAAAATTACGGTAGCTTTCTTAAGGGGGCGCATTTAGGAAACACTGTTTGAATTAGTCTCAGTTCTACAGTATACTGAAGCTCTCCAGTATACTGTAGAGAGACTGGGACTGGTTCAAGTCAATAAATCTCACCTCAAACTTCAGCTGGCAATAATCTTAAAGATACCGTAAACTCTCAGTCGTTTGTCTCAGTTTGCTGAAAAGACTGAATAACTTTTGATTGAAAAGGTGAAGAGTTTCAAAAAAAAAAACTTTTTCAAACTTTCACATCCCCTTCACATTTTGTCCATGGATTTGTCGCATTCTCTTCCACAGGGAGGATCGCGTGCACAAACGAAGACTGAATGGTTATTGGAAAGGAGAGAAGAGAGTCTCCAATCCATCTCACTCACACACAAACAAACATAACGAACACACCTTCACTGTTATTTTCTTTCTCTCTTTTTCATAGTGATTTTGTGACCCAAATCTGATTTACCTATTTCTTTTTAACCTTCACTCTTTTGAGAATCTGAGTCGAAATGGTATATTAGGGTAACCCGGTGTTTAAAATGACTCACGTATCTTTTTCTGGAGAGTATCTTTTAGGAAACGATCAATGCAAGAGCTGTTTGTTGCCTCGAAATGGTTAAAGTTTGTGGATAAAAGTTCTGGAGTTTAAATGAGAAATTTGATTACTATTCTATTGACAATCCTTGAACCAATCTGTCCCAATTCTGTCCTCGAATATAGTTCAAACTATATATTTCATTAGTGACCATGTTTTTTCCTCCGTAAGCACTCAGGCACTCATCTCTCTTGAGCCTATTGTCGGTCTTTCGGACTACTTAGGTAGATGATTGGTCTTTTCAGAGAGGTGAAATCCGAAAGTGTCGACCCGATCTATCTCCGTGTTTTCTCGCAGTGTTCTTAGAATGGGGAAAGTGGGGGGGAGGGGTTGGTCCTAATCTGACAGTCCTCCTTTCGCGGGGATCCCTGCCCCTCGTGTGTCGTGTTTGTGCTTCACCACTAAGAGAAAAGAAGTCCCAAGTTTGGTGGGGAGGGTTGAGGGGGTCACAGACACATTCTTGCACCCCTCCACCTCTGGGCACAACCGCTCTCTTGTTGAGCCTGGAGGTGTCCCTGTCCCCTCCGTATGTCCTTTCTCCAGTCCTTTCCCTTTTCTTTCTTCCATTCTAACAAATTCTGTGAATGGATTTCCTGTTTTTGATGCCTTATGTCTCAGTTTTGAGTCATAAAGCTATCCTTATTCTTCCGTGATTGTTCATATAGTTCTTCTTTTTCTTCCTTCTTCGATTCTTCGTTCTTCGGTTCTTCCTTCGGTTGTTCCTTCGGTTCTTCCTTCGGTTGTTCCTTCGGTTGTTCCTTCGGTTGTTCCTTCGGTTGTTCCTTCGGTTCTTCCTTCGGTTCTTCCTTCGGTTCTTCCTTCGGTTCTTCCTTCGGTTGTTCCTTCGGTTCTTCCTTCGGTTGTTCCTTCGGTTCTTCCTTCGATTCTTCCTTCGATTCTTCCTTCGATTCTTCGTTCTTCAGTTCTTCCTTTGATCCTTCAACTTACTATTAATTCAGTAAGTTCAATTCAGGTTCTGTATTTATGTTTTTCCAACTTTAAATTTGTAGCTACTCAATAACTTATGATACTTTCAACAGTATGCCTTGTCACTTCATTACATCTCACCTCTTTCCTTGTCAGATATTCTTCAGTTCTTTGTCTGTACTTGCTGTTCTTGAGATTGAGATTTTTGGCTCACATTTCCTTTTCAAATCATATCACTTTTCATTTTTTGTTTTTTTTTGATACAATTAAAGACAGAAAGTTCTATGTTGAGATACTATCGTTTTACTTCAAAAAGAGCGACATCAAGATTTCGACAATGAGTAGAGAGTGTGCCTCTTGAGCAAGTTTTTCTAAAAAATATCAACTTTCTCGTTCTCGCTTCTACTTTTCTCCAACTAATCTAATTTCTTATCTTTCTATATACTTGAGTCCTTGGTGTTTTCGAAAGTCGGTACATTTCTCTAGATTTTTACTGATCAATCCAGAAACAAGGTTACTAGTTTTTAAATGTTTGCATGTTTTAATAAATGCACTGATCAAAAAGAACAGACTACTGTACATTTCATCACCCTCTTCAAATTATTTCAAGATTTAAAGTGTATCCCAATTGATAGTCTCGATCTCGATTTGTCTCTTTCCACATCCAAATTTGGGCTAACTGTGGGGGTGAATTGTTTGTGAAAAGGGCCAACAATCATCACTCTTTCCTATCTTCTCCTTCTTTATCTCAAGTACTTCTTTTTCTTCTTCTATATCCACATTTCCTTCAAATTGAATGACCCACTCAACTTCTTCTCTTTGTCAGTCAGAGATCTTCCCATCAATTCCCCCCTCCCAAATTGGAACGATCATCCCCTATTTCTTTTCTTTCTAAATCCGATCCAAACCACTCGATGACCGATTTAGATTTGAGAAGCTCCGAATTTAGAGATTTCATCACAATAGGAGGAAATCTAACAATAACAACAATGACAATGAGCTGAGGAAACATTTTAAACATTTAAACTAAGAAAACAAACATTTTAAAAGCATATATCATACGATAAGCATACGATTAAATCTTGCAATCTTGCTGTTTTAATATTTGCTATATCTTGTCAAATCCAGGGTTGGTCAGAACTCAAAAGCTACAAGCAAAAACTACAAGCAATCATGGCAGAAGCCAAGTAAAATCCGAAATCAGCCCATTAACACTTGGGTAAATGATGATTTCGAAAAATTCAATTTCAACTAAGACAAATGAACTTCAAAGCGCCAAACAGGGGTGGGCATATTTGGTGGAGGGTGAAGGGGTGCCGTTGTTGTTTGTTCCTGTAGTTGCCCTCTTTTCCTCGCAGTCCAATCTGTCCCTCTTCCCTCCTTTCTTTGATCACCACAAATATCCCCTTTGGTCTTTAGGTATAGTCAAACATCTAAAGGTGAAAACAATTCTAAACAAGAGGTTAAAGTCTTTAAGACTGAAAAAAAGCAAGTGACAGCCTTTAAAGCTCTTCTTTAGTATTAGGATTTATCAAAATTTGTTTACATCATAAATTTACAGGAAACTGGGCTACTTTAGATTGTTATTATAATCCAAAAACGCATAAGGGATACGGAAAGTGAGTACGGTAATGCTACAGTACCCTCAACTACCCTCAATTGCCAGTTAAACAAGACAGTACGGTAGCACCAAATGCTATACTTTAAGCCTATCTCAAAACCAGTGCAAAGGACCATTAAGCGATAATTGAGCATTGCATGTCTTCTCCCTCTTCAAGCCTGAAGTGAAATGATCGGCTGAAGTAAGACAGTCCGATAGCTAGGTAGCTAGGTATCCAGGCCATACTATAGGCCGATAGCTAGGTATCCAGGCGATACTATAGGCCAAATGAGCTTATCCATCAATCTTGTGTTTTCTCTTTTCCTTTCCTTCACTCGATTCCTTTCCTTCACTATGTGGAGTTCCAATATGGGTCTTGGACTCTTTCTTTTAGCACATTTTCTCCCTTTTCAATCCGAAAAGCTTCTTCTAATAGGGTGAAGAAAAAGGAATGAAAGGGAAAGGTGTGGAAGCGTGAAACTGCGCTAATGAGTCTGCAAATAGTTGAAAGGGGGAATGTGGGGACGAATACCCATCCCTTCACCCCTGGATGGGTCTTCTGGAGTTGGAAAAGAGAAGGAAACTGTAGCTATTTCCATCTCTTGCCTAACAAGATTATGCACCATATTGATTAGATTCTTTGGCTCCAAGCATACTTTCTAGTTAGACTTTCCTAGCTAGATGTGTTCTTAATGAGTTTTGATTTTTGATTACATTATTATCCGCCAATGACTAATATCATGTTTTCTAGAACGCGCTGTCTTTCGTAAAGTATCGTAATCTTGCACATGCACAGCTCAATCCAATCTATCTACTTTTGGTATCTTTTGGTAGCCAATCCCCATTGCACATTTGGTATAGGCTTAGCCAGAGTACTGTATTGTCTTAATTTAGCATTACCGTACTCCTTTCTTAGATTACTAAACAGAAAAAGAAACCAATGTTTTGTTTTGATTTTGATAGTTTTGATGACTGCAATTAGTTTTGATCTATGTAACTAGCTTTGATCTATGCAACTAGTTTTGATCTCTGCAACTAGCTTTGATCTATGCAACTAGCTTTGATCTCTGCAACTAGTTTTGATCTCTGCAAACCCTACTCGTGACCATCGTCACTTTGTGATGGAAAAGCGCGCTCAAATTACCTGACCTTTTTCGTTGAAAGATTGAAAAGTGAGGTGATCGAATGCTCGTGTTGAATGGGAAAACTATCTGTTCTTTTAGATGGGGACAAATGCTTAGTGTTGTTTAGAAAAGATGGAAACGGAGGGAAAGCTCTTAACGCTCTCCGACACAGAAAAGGACATCAACAATCACAAAAGACGGGGGAATTTATTGGGAATTAGGTACACGAGAAGAACAAGAAAAAGGAGAACAACTTGAGGACTTCCGGGCAGAGAAAGAAGAATCGAAGAATGCTATGAATGCTATGAATACCTATTCTATAGATATTTCTACCGTAATCATTTTCGTTCTTTTCAATCAAATGAATCTTTCTACCGTAATGACTTACCAAAATACCCTTCCTGTGCCTTTTTATGTACCCCTTGTACTCTTGAAATATCCAGTACTTGTAAAAAAACATCTGTATATTGTATCCCCAGTCTCTTTTCCTTTCCTCCTTATGAATCGATTTCTGTGTCCATCCGCAGGGAAAGTATCGTGTCAAGTTGAGTGGCCGTCCCATCCATTCCATCCATTCCATCCATTCCATCCATCCCATCCATCCATCCATCCAATTTTTGTGTTTGTTATTGTACTCTCTTATCTCCATTCTCATCCACAAAACCGTTTCACTCATTTTTTCTTTGCCTCTCTTGTTTTATGCTTCTTCATCTTTTCCCAAATGAACTCAACTCTTTAAAAAGCAAAAATTCTTTGATTGGTCAAAGACTTTTGAAACCATGACTTTGTCAATGCCAATGTTTTGAATTGTCAGGGCCATAAAATTAATTGGTTTTCTAGGTATTTCAAGTTCAAATTTGGCTTTTGATTGCTCGTCTAGCAACTGGCAAATAGCAAATATCGATTTCATCAATCAAACTAGCAAGTTTTGCTAGTCATCAAAAAGGTGACCGGTCCTAGAATCCAAATTTTCCGGCCCGATCTATGGGCTTATGGCTTGAGAATCAGTCTGCCAAGATAGATACCGTAAATACTCTAATAAAACGCCATCTCCTCGTACAATTGCGTAGTTTAACTTCTTTTTAGAAAATCATTTTTCTCAGCTCCTAGATTTTTTCTAACTACACTTTTGATACCAAAAAAATACTAGATTTCAAGGGCTATCATTTGACCTAAGCACACACTGTAGCATAAAGCAGCGTGGAGAACGGGACGTTCAAAGTTAAACTATGCGACTGGTACGCCTATCATTATGGCGTTTTATTAGAGTATGCACGGTAAATACTTGCTAAAACTGGCACTTTTTAGTACCGATATTCTTTAGTCTAGTATAAGAGAAGCTGAAGGCCGATCGAGCTAGGGTAAAGCTAGGGTAGAGCTACATAAATGGGAAAGGAGTGTCCCTTCTGTTTCTTTTCTGATAAACTCTCCCCTGAAGGGAGATCCCTCTAAAAAGGGTTGAGTGAGTAGTGTGACAGTCTGCAAACAAGCCTTTTACCCCTTCCTTTTACCCCTTCCCATTCCCCCTTCCACACGCGTGATCATCCTGTTGCTGTGCTCGTCAAATCTCTCGTTGATAGAAGTTTTGAGATAAGAAGTCATATGGGAAAAGGAATAAGGGGATTTATGGAAGGTTTTTTGATGGTTTTGGATATTACAATGATCAAAATAGAGAGCTAAATAGAGAGCTTTTAAATTTCAGCTTTTGAATGAGACTGAATGAATGCTAGCTAGATAACACTGAACTGAACAGCTAGATAACTGAACACTGAACACTAGATAACACTGAACAGCTAGATAACAAATAATTTTATGGGATGAATCTAGTTGTTCAAGATCTAGTTGTTCAAAATTGATTTTCAAACTTGTTTTTTTACATTTCTTAAACTCAAAACTTTAATTTCAATCTATTCCAGAAAAAGAAAATCACGAGGAAAAACCCAAACGAGAAACAAATTCGATTTCAATATCTTCTTTCTTCTTCAATCTTCCATCAATTGTTGATCGATCATCAGATGAGGAGGTAGTCGTCTCGAATGGGATCCCCTTACAGATTATCGAGATTCATCCCGCAAAGGGGTACTCCTCATCGCCTGTCCACCAGATCTCTATCATTTCTCCTTCTCTTTACCCTTTTCTCCTCTCCAATCAACGCCGATCAGGTGATTCTGAAACTGAATTTCTTGATTTAAAGTTACTGTAGCTAAATGTCTTATCGTATCCAGACAAGTCTGGATATCATTCTATTTCTCAGTTCAAGCAAAAGGCACCGCTCGTCAAACTAAACGCCCGAACGCCTTCCCGAACGCTGACTAGATTTTAAAGCTCGGATACAGTAATCCAGTAGTTTCTAGTTTCTTACAGTAACCATAATATCTGTAAAGGTAAAGCAGGATTACGATACACTGTATCCAACCGTCAAGACTGGGACACGCTTTAGAGTGAGTCAACGAGTCAGAGTCAGAGTCAACGTTCGGGAAAGATTGCATACTATAGTTAGAAAAGACTGGGGACTTTACTTGGCTATTCAGTCCATTCAATCAAAAATTCCAGAACTCATTGGACACAGTGGCCCCAGAGTATGAAGGAGATGATGCTCAATTGCCGATCAGCAACCATTCCCCTGTGCTACAGGTGAATTAAAGGAATTACTAGAATAAGATCATTTTTCATTCATTTTTCGCCAATACAGTTTTGCTGAATAGTTCTGAAATAGAATCTCTTAATATAAAGTTACTGTAGCTAAGTTACTTTACTGTAGTTTTCTCTTTAATGTCTACTGTAAACAAAGAAAGCTTTTATTCAATTTTTGAAAATATTTCTATAGGTGTCTGCTTCTGAAGGTTACTTAGCCGAGACAGCTGAGATGGGGACAACGGTGAGAGTGGCGCCTTCAATGCACTCAGATTCCCTCCAAATATTAGTGCACGATGAAGATTTGGTAGGAGAAAAAAAAATGAAAATCATTTTGTAAATACAATTCCAGAAACCGGGAATGCCCCCAGCCACCTATCAATACATTTTGACGGGACTCGGGGCCACGATTTTCGCGGTCGACCAACGAGGATATGTTTATCTGAATGTACCCGAGATTGACGCCGATCCACCAAATCCGAGCACGTATCAGCTCAATGTTCGTCACATTATTCACTTTTATTCATTTATCTAATCCATGTCTAGAATCATTCATTCATTTGCAGATACAAGCTCGAGAAGTAGGCACTCATCCGATTCGCTCAAGTTCCCCCGTCACTCTCACCATTCACATCATGGATGTCAACGATAATTCTCCGGTTTTTGAGCAGCCAATTTATACGGCAAATGTGACAGCGAATGGAGCAGAGAGAGCACTTATAAAGGTCGGTGATAGTTTATCGATAGGAAAATCTCGACTCTTGTTGGGTTTCCGACTCTTGCTGGGTTTTTTTGAAAGAGAGAACTTGCGAATGAAAGCTAGTAGAGGTGATTTCGATCAATCATTTGATGTTATCAAGTAAATCTAATCATCAATCTCTTTTACAGATCTTGGCCACCGACATCGATGCTGGGAAATTCGGCGATGTCACCTACAAAATTACACAGGTATTTTGGGGAAAATTGATTGATCTAGTAAACTGATTAGGTGACGAACAACGCGGATTCAAATTTTCGCTACGATTCCGAGACGAACATGTTGATGGCCGATGGACAGCTGATACCTGGCGAGAGATATCAGGTAAATGGGGAATAGAGAAGCTGGGAAATGACAGGCTGACAGGCTTTGAGTCCATAACTTTGTCTAGAGTTTTGTGTTAACTTTTGATATGATTCTAAAGAGAAGACTTTGCTCTTTCGAATGCTAAAATAGAATTTGATTGGAGCAAATCAAAAGCAATTTATTAAAGTAAGAGAAAGAAAAGAAAGAAAGAAAATAAAAGATAAATTTGAGTGAGCACAAGGTTGACGGAAAATAAATCTAGATCGATTAATCTAGATCGATGAATCTAGATCGATTAATCTAAATCGATTAATCTAGATCGATTAATCTAGATCGCATTATTCTTTCGGTTTGATTGCTGTTTAAGTGGCACAATTGTAGAATTTGTAGCAAAATAAGAGTCAAAATTAAGGCAATTTCAAATTCAAATGAATTCTTGTAGAGCTTTCAAATGAAAAAGCTGCTTCTTTTAGGTGGTAATCGAGGCGAAAGACGGTGGTGGCCGAGCATCGCAGGCGATCGTCATCGTTTTGGCCACCGATGAGAACACCGTCTACACATCGGCACCGTTACCCGGTTTGACTATATCCATTAGATATAGTCAAACCTATATCCATTATGACTATATCCATTAGATTTGGTGTCTAGTTCAAATGTGAGAGATGTTTGAAATCTTTTGAAAACTATCGAACCTAATCCCCTTGTTCAGGAATGGAAACCTTCACAATGCCGCCCTCGTACGCGATTACCACCGCGCAAAAGATTCCAAATTACCAGAGTGCTCACAATAATGGTGAATATTCAACTAATAGCTATATCTAAATGATACTCACCGTAAATACTGTAATAGTACCCCACCCCCACAATGACGGTGGAGAGTGTTGCGTAGTCTAGCTTTGAACGAATTTTTCTCGACACTGGTTTATGCTATAATGCTCGCTTATGTATCAAAAAATAGCCCTGAATTTCAGCTATTTTTTGATACCTAAGCGAGCATTATAGCATAAACCAGTGTCGAGAAAAACTCGTTCAAAGCTAGACTACACAACACTCCGCACCGACATTATGGGGGTGGGGTACTATTACAGTATTTACGGCTAAAGAATTATTAAAGAAATTCCTACAATTTAGACGAGGAAACGATTCAAACTTTCGTCACCGAAGTCACCGAGAATACCCCGCCGAACACGGTCGTCGTTTCGCTCGGGGTAACATTTTTAGAGTTTAAATGAAAAAGTCGTGACTTAATGTAAAAATTATTCAATCTCTTTTGGCTCACTACAGGACTCAAAGGGAAAGCGTCAGTCAAGAAGACTTAGAGCTTTAGCTGAACACTTATGCGATATTCAAGAAATTCCGCTCAATCACGGAATACTTTTCAAGCAGAAACAAAATCGAAACAAAAGCTAGAAAGGATTTTATCAAACACCTAGCTGATATTCTTCAATTCCAGGATGACACGAGCAATCGCCTCGTCTACTATAACATTGTGGGCGGGAATGAGGAGGGGAAATTCCGAATTGATCCATCAAGGTAGGTGAATGGATCATAGAAATGATAGAAATGATAGAAATGATAGAAATGGGGAGAAATGATAAGAAATGATAAGAAATGATAAGAAATGATAGAAATGATAGAAATGATAAGAAATGATAAGAAAGAAAGAAAGAAAGAAAGAAAGAAAGAAAAATTATAGAAATGCTTTAATCTAGAGTCCCTCTCAAGAAAGATTATCAAGATTTAATTTTCAAATCTTTAACTTAAAATATATTCTTGATAAAATTGAATATTCAAGTTATCGGTCAGTTGAGACCTTTGAAAAATCAAAGTGCCGTAAGTAAGTTGTGGTTTTCTATAACGAAATTTCATAAGGAACATTTTAAGACCAACCACAAGTTGATTGGTCAACGGCCAATGGTGGGGCGGCCCACCATTGGCCGTTGGCAAACCAACTTTGAGCTTAAATAACTTGGTGTTGGACTGTTTAATTTAAATATTCTTTGGTATCATTAGATTACATCTTTCTCTATCGATTGGTACAAAAATTATTTCAATTGAAAAGCCGAACACCAAGATATTTGAGCTTAAACTTGGATTAACAATGGTAATGGGGACTAGTTTCATAATCCTCGAGCAATTCTAAAAAGCATTTCTTTTATCCTCTACTGTATTCAAAGTTTCCACCCGATTAGAACAATTTTGGTGTCATTTGATGAGGAATCAAAAAAGCTCAGAGAATGATATCAAAAATAGACAATGATATTAGCTTTTTGGATGGGTTTTTCAGGTTTTTCAAAGTAGATGCCTTTTAGAAAACGGATTCACTAGGCCTAATCATAAAGTTGATTTCAGTGGCACCATCTCGACTCTCGAGGAATTCGATCGCGAGCGAACGGCCATGTATTCTCTCCAAATCGAGACACGGGGAAGAGCGCCCGATCAACATCTTTATTGGACACTCGTGCAAATTTCTGTTCTTGTAAGTGTTTTGTACAAGTTCTACCGAAAAACTGTTTACGATTTTGCACTGAATCTCATCAACAAGTTTTATCATAAATCTCATCAACAAGTTTTATTATAAATCTCATCAAAAAGTTCTACAAAGTATTGTAGTTACTGTATCGCCTAAAAGTATTCTAAAAGTACAACGTATTCTAGTTACTGTATCGCCTAAAAGTACTGTAATAGCGTAAACAGTATACCGGATAAAAAGTGTTCCCGCAAATATTTTTCAAATTAAATGAGAAGAAAAGGATATTGAGGTATGCTGTAGGGATACATAGACTTACAGTACTCAAGATGGCCTGACTCTTCTACAAATTGATTTCCTTTGTTAAAAGATATTCAGTTGTACCCTGGGATATTAGATAATCGGGATTTACAGTAATCAAGGCATTTTTTTAATCTGATTTTTAAATATACAATATTCATCGAGTTACGATTTCTCTTCCAGGATGTCAACGATAACTCTCCGCATTTTGTCGGCCCTCAACCGTTCCGTTTGAGGCTTTCGATCGATGAGCTGGACGAGCTGAATCCGAATATCCTCATTGGAAAGTGAGATCGATAAATGGAGAATTGAAATTTTTGAATTCTCTAGAATTTCTGTCGAAGATCCGGATGAGAACGACAATGGAAGACTCGCGTTGAGCATTCAGCCACCAATGGATCGGTGAGTGCTCAGAGAAAACGAGGGAAACGATTTCTAAGAGATGCGAAAGAGATCTAAGAGATCGTAATCCTTTCTGCAGGCTAGCTACATAAGGAAATTCGTTCTTATGAAGCTAAAAAGATGTTTATCAGAAAGCTACCGTAGCTCATTGGGATTTTAGTTAAACGATAACGATAGTTTATCTATCATAAGATAGATAAACTTGCTTTTCAAAGTCTAAAGAAAAACCTACCGTAGTCTTGTTGTCTTTTTGGTTAGGAAGAATGGTTAAAATTGTCTCAAAAAAAGTCAGAGGTACGGTAGCTAGTCTCATAAGTGCAACTTTTATCATCATTATCGCAAAAATATCATGAGAAATTCGAATTGATCAATTATCGATGAATCGATCGAATTAATGCAGAGATTTTTCAGTTTATTCAAAATCTCGAACGATGGCCTTATTTCGGTGAATGGTGATTTCACGGCTGAGCATTTTGGAGAGCACAAGGTTCAGGGGAAAATTTCCAACTTTAACCTTCAACTTTTCAGCTGTTCATTGTGGCTCGTGATCACGGGGATCCGGTGAAAGAGGCGAAAGCCGAAGCGGCTGTTTCGATATTTGGCACATTGATCACTGTGGCCACGCAAACGTCACACACTACCGTTCGTTTCTTTACAGACAAAAAGACAGACAAAAAGACAGACAAAAAGACAGACAAAAAAGACAGACAGACAGACACAAATTTCTTTACAGACAAAGCTTTTCAGCCATTCATGTACTTTGAGCTCAAAAACCTAAACGTAGTCTTTCTGGCAAGCTGCTAGCTGGATTCCTCGTTTTTCTTGGACCAATTTCTTGAAAATTGAGAGAATCGAGTGCGCCAGAAATCGTGCGTTTACAAAATACATCCAACAACAACATTAGTCTTGCTAGTGTACTTTGAGCGTAGAATGTTTGCAGAGTACGTAGAGCGTACTCTGTAGAGCGTACTCTGTAGAGCGTACTCTGTAGAGCGTACTCTGCAAACGCATCCTTTCTAGCGTATTCTTCATTTTTCTTAGAGGAATTGTTTTTGAAATCACAAGAAAATTAAAGAGTTTAGTGCACGAGAAAGGAAACATTTGCACAGTAAACAACGTATTAGGTTGATGCAAAAGTCTTTTCGTTTTTTTTCGTACTTCTGTTAAAAAGTAACAAATTCACCAATTAATCTATAGTTTGCTCTATAAAAAAAAGTGTTTATTATTCAATTTCCCACATTTTAAATCAATTTCGGTTCACTTTCAACAAATCAAAGAGAAAACGTGCTTTTGTAAAAATCTATAAAAACCCCACGGAAAATTGGCTGAATGAATTTCTCTGAAATTTTGGCGAAATATCAAACGTTTTTTTCTCTATTTTATCTATTGACACGAAGATAGTTTCCTTTAGCTAAGGTGTCAAACCCACAGAGTTAGCCCTTTTGCACCCGACTTCATACTCTCAAGAAAATCCAGGCATTAAATATTTCTAAACCCGTTTTAATGTTATTTTGCAGAAAAATAATTGGTTTTTCTAATGAAATCAACCGTAGTTTAATTGGTGCATTTGTTGGCTTGAAACGGCAGACGAAAAGGAACAAAAACACTTATGCATCAACCTATTACATTGAATGGATTTCAGAACGAGGTGGAGGAGTATGAAGTGGACGGTGGAATGACTGGTGCAAGTGTGAAAAGTGGTGGAGTGACGGTGCCATTTAGTCGACAAACAACGGAAAACCCCGCGCAAACGGAAGAATATGAAGAGGATGGTGAGGAGATCGAACAAAATGGAGTTCACAGTGAGGCTTTCATTGTTGTGTTAACAAAAAGAAAGTTGAGTCCTGGTTTTTCTCTCAAGAAACTTTGTGTCAGATATCGGCAAAAGCATTCAAGTTTTTTTGATTTCATTTCTATTTTGCGGGTACCATAATTCTGTATTGGAAGCTGTAGATGTAAGGGCAAGTATCTGCACTTGTACTGTACAAGGTTGTACTGTACATGGTAGCACTGTACTGTACAAGGTTGTATTATACAAGGTTGTACTGTACTGTAAGGAGCCTAGCACTGTACTAATGTATATAGTATCTGTGCTACTCTATCTAGAACTTATAATAGAGATAAGCTTGCACTATGTAATAGTAAAGCTCAATCCAGGATCATATTCTATAGATTTCAGTACTAGGGAAATATCTGTACTATATAGTAAACCATTACATAGTAAGAACCTAGTATTAGTACTCTTTTAAACAAACAGATATCCTATTAACTTCATCTAATTGTTAAGCTGTACTGCATGATTGAAGAGTTTGATTGAGTGTTTTCAATCCTCAACTATTCATAACTTGACGGCCAATCACATATTGACATTTTCCTGTTAATCACGAATTGTGTGTAGGCACTCAAACCACTGGAGTGTCATCGAAAAAGACTGGAGTGACGATAACAACAATCGGATCGAGCACCGAATACAGTATGGAAACGGTGAACGGGGAAACACTTGCAAATACACCATCAACTTCACAAACCACGCAATCGCAAACCCTGCACACGTGGAAAACCCTTGGCCCATCGACGTGGATAACGAAGAAACCGAACGATGGGCACACCGCACCCACACGAGCATCCACTACAAGGCAACCATATTCACAAAATGCTTGTGAGTTCTTCAAAAGCACAAAATTTCAGCAATTTCTTTCATATTTTCCACTAAACATACCGTAAACCTGAGAAAATTGATCAGAGAAACAAAATCATAACGAAATCTACTTTAAACTAGATACTAAGCTTTTTTTATGCACCAAGAATCCCATAATCAAATCACAGCTGACCAGCTGACCAATCAAGCACACAAAGCTGACCAATTCTCCAACCAAAAAACAACCCTGGCTTATAAAATGAACTCCAAAACTCAAGCATTTCAATTCATTTTCCAGCCTTCAACTCTTTCCCACCCGTTCGCCCGTTACCCTCTCCATCAACAAAACCACCATCAAGACTGGCTCCCGTTTTCGATCCACCTGCCATCACAGTAACTGTCGATGAGAACGAGGGACAGACTGAGATTGCTAAAGTTTGAGCGAAATTTGTTTCTATTGTAATTCTTTTCCAGGTCTCAGCTCATTACATCGATGGACGCGCTGGATCGATCACCTATGTCATGCAGAAAGGCGATTCATCGTTGTTCAGGTGAGCAGAGTTTAACCTGAAGACTCTTCCATAGCATACAATAGTGCTGTCTGTAAGGAGTGTAGAGTAGGCATGAGTTTGAGCAACCAATTCCCCAGCTCACTGGGTTGGACTGCATTGCAGAGTGTGTTCTCTGTAATGCTGTAAGAGGAAGTATACGAAGCTAAACGTACTTCGGGGATTGTTTATAAAATAACAATTGTTTCAGCGTGAGCTCTTTCTCGGGCTCCGTGCAATTGTTGAGGGCTTTGGACGCGGAAACCGATGCGCAATACATTATACAGATTGGAACGGTTGAGGTGAGTGAGTTGAAGATTGGAGATATTCTAATGACTAGAGTCAAGGCAACTCAGTTTGACACACTCTTGATTGAATCTAATTGCAATTCAATTCAATTCAATTCAATTCAATTCAATTGAATCAATAGCACTTTCCAGTCCTCATCTCTGGCCATCGATCCAACCCTTCCACACACTGTCTCCATCACGATAAATGTAGCCGATGTGAATGATTGGATTCCGAACTTTGAGTCCTCTCACTACGAGTTCGCCGTTCAAGAGGATACCCTACCGGGAACGATTGTTGGACAAGTGCATGCCTTTGATCAAGACAGAGATGTAGGTCATTTTATGGTAGAGATATCCAAGTTTTAGCAAAAAGGTACCAAATTGTGCTTTTAGCATTGACAAAGCTTGCTGAAACTTTGAGAATTTCTTAGTTGGAATGCAGTAGGAATTTAGGAATGATTGTATTGGGGAATTTCTTATTTTTAGGAACCCAACAACCGACTCCGTTATCGTCTTCACTCAGCCGGCGGACTTGAGCAATATTTCTCGGTGAACGAGCACAATGGATTGGTTACATTAGCAAGGCCAGTTGACGCGTTCGCTGATGAGAAGATTACGGTAAGTGAAAAGATATTCAGTTCATATAAATAGCAACAATTTTCAGCTGAAAATCGAGGCTTCAGATGAGGGTGAACCGGCGCAAACCTCGATGACAAACGTTGTTGTATCGGTGGGGGATTACTGTAAAAAATGGCGTCTTTAAAATGTGTCTATTTTTGAAAACAACCGTAATCTCGGCTCTAGCTTTTGTACAATCCATCTACTTCTAGACTTTTCGATTCTTTGTGAACCAGAAGATCAAAAGCAGACAATTGAATAAGCCAAGGCTACGGTAGTTATCGAAAGCTGACTTGTTTTAGAAAAAGCAGTACTTGAAACACAATTCTATACCCAAGTTGAGCAAAAACCTCTCTTCTATCAAGCCGAAACTTGAAATTCTGAATTCCAGGTCGAATCCACGCAATCATCGGTGATCCCCGACACGCACACTTTCCTCAATAAACCAAAAGACGGGCAAATTCAGTTCTCACTTCGGAATTACACGTGAGTCAAGCAAAAGACAACCAGTTCGAGTTTTGCGTATTGTAAAAGACTGAGCTCAGCGCCTTAAAGAGTGACCCGAATACCGTAACCTGTAGTCCTACTGTCACTAATCGTAAGGCTGGTAAATGGTAAATGGGATCATCTGGGCTCACGATCAGCGCTTATAGTGTGGCCCAGCTACCCAAATCCATGAAGAGCGAGATAATTCGAAAACGAGCTCACAATGATCAGAATCGCAAGAAAACTGCTTCAATTAAGACAAAAGTTTAGATGAATTTTTAAATCTCTTATTGATAAGATGGACAAGAATGAAAATTGTTTGACAATGACAATGACAATGACAAAACAATGACAATGACTAAAACAATGACAATGACAATGATAATGATAATGACAATGACAATGGCAAAACAATGACAATGACAATGACAAAACAATGACAATGACAATTACAATGACAAAACAATGACAACTTTGTTTCAGCTCATCGGTCTCCGAATCAGTCCGTCCACCCTACTTAGTTCAAGTGCTCTCAGTAACAAATAAACCGGAGGATACACGATTTATTATTTGCAATATTGCCTCCGGGAATTATCGGGGTAAAATAGGAAATTCTTTAGCTGGATATTTTGATTTTTCTTTAGGTGCTTTTGGAGTGACTGCTGGGAATGATGGGAATTGCGAGTTGAGGACACAAATGGAGTTGGATCGAGAGACTGTCGAGAGGTAAAATGCGAAGAAAATCGAGAAAATAAAGCCAAGTATTCAATAAGAATGAGAATCAATTTTAAAATCAATTTTTAAATCCTTCAGATTCTTCAGCTTGTTCTTTGTGCTCGTACACAAATCCTTTCTGGCTCAATCAAGTTTTCTTTCCTTTTCTAACACAAATCTAGGAAACAAGGGGAAAATGAGTGTGCCAGAAAGGATGCATTTCTGTGTGAGCACAAAGTACACCTCCTAAAGAATAAGACCATCCTATGTATTGGAATAGTACTTGCGGTACTTATAGTACTTACAGTACTTGCGTGAACAAATCTGTTCCAAGCTATCGGCTAGAATAGCTACAGCACTTGGCATAACATAGCAAGTACTGTAGCTCAAAGCAATCCTTCCAGATATCTGTTAAACGTGACTGTCACAGCCGGCTCTCAAATGGATTTCGCGTTGGTGTCCGTAACAGTCCTCGATACAAACGACAATGTCCCTCGTTTCCAATACGATAATGATCTCGGCATCTCCACTTATTTTGCCGGTGTTGCCAGTGATGCTGGAGCTTTCACAAGAGTGCTCACTGTTAAGGTAACGCTTGTGAACTTTGAAATGTCAAATAGTCAATACTTTTAAGCCGCCCGGCTACGGTAAACCGTGATTCAGTTAGTAAATGTTACCATAATCCAGTAAATGTTACCGTAACCCGGGTTGTCCCTAAGACAAACGCACCAAATTGAGCCGACGAGTTAGATTAGTGCTTTAAAATGTGCCCTGACCACCATAATCCCTTTCAGTAGCTGTTACCGTAATCCATAGACTCCAGACAGTTAATTAGGAACTATGTTAACTGATCACGGTAACAAAGGTGTATAAATATTAGACTAATTGAGTAAAGAACTTGGCTGGGAGTGAGTTTACGGTAGTGGAGGCATTCTTTAGCCTGTCAACTAGTCATAGATACAACTACGCTAGCCGGGGTACTCTTTCAGTCCCGGCTCAGCAGATTACAGTAGCCAAGCGAGTAACCCGGAGTTCAGGTTAATCAAACGATTTTTTTTAGGCAGAAGATTCGGATCTTGGAAACAGCTCGGTTGTTCAATATTCATTGGATACGCTAGCTGTTCATCATAAGGTTTTTTCTTTCGACAACTCCCACTCTTTAGAAATCATTTTCAGTATTTCAACGTGAGCCAATATGGAGAAATCACCACTCGGCAGAGTATGCCAGCTATTCTCCAAAAACAACGCATCAACTTCTTCGAGATTCGGGTAAATGCTGAAAGTAGTCGGGTTTAATAGATTGTCAGGAATGAAAGGAATCCCCCTACGGTAGTCTTTTTCTATTTTTTATTCAGTTATTCAGGTTATCCAGGCTTTAGAAAACAATCGAATCTAGCGAATTTATCCATTGATTAATCTTTTTTTATAAGCTACCGTAGTTGAAAGAAAGTTACCGTACTTCAGCTAATCAAAAATGAAGCTTCGATTAGCTTGGGTTTATGGTAGCTTTTTGGGGAATGCATTTTTCGAAATTGTGTTCATTTCATCTCATTCAGGTGTCTGCTTGTGATTCGCCGATTTCCGGGCAAAAGCTCTGCTCAAAAGCGGACGTTGTAATCAATGTAATCAGTGATAATCATCGATTCAAAATGATCACTCACGGATTGAATCCACAACAATTAAAGAGCCACGAAAAGGTCGGGTTTAATAGATTGTCTTAGATTAATAGATTTAACAGATTAATTTAATAGAAACGAATCCCTCTACGGTAGTCGCTTTCTATTTTTTACTAATAGTAAACGTGATCAAGCATATTTTTTTGCAGGACATTCTTCGAGCGCTTCGCCAATTCGCCGGTGCGTGCACGTTGATCAGCGTTGAGAAGTAGTTCTCTCTTGAAAACTTTGAAAATTTCCTTTTAGAATGGCTGAACACACGAATTCGGCTGATCACCAGCCGCGAACTGATATCTATTTCTATGCTGTCAATCCGACTTCAAGAAAGATTTGCAAAAAACACGAGTTTCGGTAAGGAAAGGGGGAAAAGAATACAAATTTCATTTCATTAAAAAAACTCTCAAATTTAGGCTCTCCAGTTCCCGGTACTTATCTATTTTATCTCAAAAACTTTAAAAATACCGATATTAGCTTTGAAATTGTAGAGAAATCTTGACTAAAGCGTTTTTCAAATTACCGTATTCTCTCTAATAGTAGTGCACCCAGCCGAGTTGATGACTATTTTACGGCTTGCAAAGTATCCACAGAAGCTCAACACTCTAATCCCCCACTAGATCTCATCGTCAGCTACATTTTCCGACCCCACATCGATAGGTTTTGATAAGCGCTTTTCGAGATTTCGAGCAATTTAGGCGACGCTCAGGGTGCAGTACTATTAGAGAAAATACGATATCTAGCCATATTGCACCTAAATCCTGATTTAGACGTCTATTTGACCCAACGTCGGTGTCAATGGTGGCCGGGAAAGTACAGCCGTGGTTCCGATTGGAAAAAATCGTCGAGGATACGCCGAATGAGGGAAGAAATCACGGAGGACCACTCGAAGCAAGCTGGAAAGCCGCTGGATACGGTAGGGCAGACGATGATTTGAGTGCGTTTTCTGCACCTATTTGCGAAAAACTACCGTAGTTAAACCGTTAGTTTTCCGCTGATCAGCCAGATTTTTGATATCATTCAATGAGGAGGCTTGTCATTCCTCATCGAATCATCAAAATTCGGTTAACTGAATCTAAACTAACGGCTTGAGTAGGGTGATTTTCTCAAATAGGTTCAGATAGAGCCAGTTAGGTACAGTAGATGGATAATAAATGAATAATGTAAGCAAACCTCTAATTCTACATCTACAATTCCAGTATTGGTCGGTCTCGCCGCGCTCATCATTCTCGGAGCCGCTCTCGCTATTTGCTGCGTTTGTGTACATAATAATAAATTCAAGGTATGATATCTTTTATCCGTCACTATGGCCGACTGTGGCTAGGAGTCCTGTATCTTACTTGAGAGGTCAAGGGTTCAATCCCGGCCTAGATTAGTGCTACTTTTTTTTCTCATAGAGATGGTTTTTTTCCCTGCATTTAGGGCTTATGGGTTGTACTTGTGTATACAACAAGTACACTGGACCATATTATTCGTGTAAATGAATAAATGTAAATATTTAGGTGTCTCAACGTGCCATGCACTCCTATCCGACACCGTATGCTCCGCACGCGAAAATGCCGATGGGCACAATGGGCACTATCTATTTACCCAATCCACCGCCACCGAATAGTAATGTGGATAAAATTTATGAGACACAGGTGAGTTGATGAAAGACTAGAGATAATCTTTAGCTCATAGCTATAGATTATCTCTAGTCTATAGCTATCAGCTATCTCATAGCTATAGACTATAGATCCCCTGTATTAAAAGGACCTTTTGTTGAGTCAACCACAAGAGATTTGCTTTCCGTTGTTCTCTGTGCTTTGAATTGTAAACGCATCTGTTCTGGAGCACTCAATTCATCCATTTCTTGCAATACCGTAATTTTGCTGCAAGGAAATGACGAATTGGATGTGTTCTTTGGAGCACAAAGTACGCTCGGACAGCTCTTACGGTGCTTTATAGCGCTCACAGTACTGTACTTATAGTATACTTTTATTGCAGTACAAGTACAATACTTCTATACATTTCCTTCTTTACAAAACCTTCTTTACAGTACCTCTTTTTCAGCAGTAGTACTTCTCTTTCAGTACAGTATTCCTGGAAGCTAATGCTAACGATAAGTAGTTGAGATTAACTGTTTTTTACTAATCAAATCCAAAAATTCAGTTCAGATGTTGGAGCTTCCGATGACTGACGAGGAGATGACGATAAAAAGTGTCAGTCGAAACAATACCTCAGCTCATCACGATCAACGGAGTATCAGAGTAAATCTAAATCTAAAATCTAAAAATTTCTTCGATTTCTAGCAAATGCCTTACCGGAACTACGGTAACCCGGCCCCGTCGGCATACGAGGGAGACTTTAGCATAGAGGAGAACATGTACGCGATACAGTCAAATGTGCCCGGCCGACTCGATCCCGTAACCAAGTACGTCTATCGTCCATCCACATACAACTGAGAAACGTTTGAATGATGATTTCTCTAGTTGGCACAACTACGAATACCCGCCGCAGCAATGTGGGTAAAAAAAATGAATGCGTACTGTAGTTGTTAGACACTTATGCTTCTTGTGTGACTCCCCCGCCCCCCTTTTTTTCCAAAATAAAACACCTAACGATTCTGATTTTGTCCCTTCGTTTGTTTGACTAGCACGGATATTAATTTGATATTTATTTAATATTAATTTGATATTAATTTGTAGAGTGGATCTTGTGTATTTATAGTTAGATTATTTCTGAAGAATTTTCATTGGAAAATCTAAGTTGCGCTCCAGATCAGAGAAAAATCGAAAAAATATTTGAAAATATAGGCGGATTGATGAGAAAAAGCAACGAGAAGACTTTGAGTCAATAGTTCTCGGCAGCGCCAAGTAATTTTGCCGCTTTCTTTCTTTTTCTCTGATCTGGCACGCAATTTGGGCTTTCTGATGAAAATATTGCGGAAATGTTGAGATTTTCCATGCAACTATTGTTTCAACTACAAATTATTCTCTAACTAAAATTGCACAAGATTTGAATGACTTTCTTGATTCGAGGAAACGACGAATAATAGCATGAAGTGTAGTTCTTCTCAATCTCTCTCTCGCAATAGTTCAATCGATCGAAATTTAGACGAATACAAACATTGGTAATCCCAACACCCGACTACGATCGAGCCTCCGATCGAAATAAATCGATTCTTTGAATGACTTTCCCGAATGGCTTTGCTTTGTACGTTGAGCTTCCTGTAAACGCGTCCTTTCTGGCGTACTCGGCTCTTCATTTCCTTAGAGCAAGGGCTCCAGATATCGAAAGAAAAGTGAAGAATTGAATGCGCCAGGAAAGGTGCATTTACATGTTTGAGCTCAAAGTACACTTTGGCCAGCTCTTTATCGACCCAAGCATCTCTAGTCGCATTCCTCATTTCATTTTTTTTTGTACCTACCGCAATTTTTCTAACCGTAGCCTGGTTAAACTTAGCTTTGACTGGCTAATTTTTGATTTTATGAGAATAGATATTCAGTCAAAGCTAAATCTGGCGCATATGTATCAATTTTTTTGTCCCCTCCCATTTTTACAACAAAATCTCCCTTCCCGAAATATGGGTAACTGATTTTTTTTTTTCATCTTTACTTTGCTAATTTGTCTTTCAACTCAAATTTTGTGCTTTCTGTAAATCTTTCTCGATTTCTTCAACTTTGAATGCTCAAATCCCTTTTTGTTCAGTATCTTTGCTTTGCCATTTTCTCGGATTTTATCGCAATATATTGCTATTTTTGTGAAACTAATAAAAGCTATTGAATTTGAATCAATAATAAAAGTTGATGATTTTAGCTTTAAAAAAAGCCGGCGAATAAAACAAAAACTTTTCTAAATAACACCTAATACCATAACACAGACAGTTAGTTACAGGAACGGGACCATGAAGTTTGCGCAACGATACACCTAAACAATACCCAAATGGTCCGCCGCAAGAAAGAGCGAGAAAATTTGATACTATCCTAGTTGAGGGGGCACCTTTTTTTTTCAAAACCACTTTTTCTGAGGTGTTTTATGCGTAGATTCCGAAAAACACAACGAGAGCTTAGGAAAAAGCATTTTAAGCCAAGTTTTGGGGCTTCAAAGTGCGCACTTCTATGGTGTACTTCACTATATGGAGCCCCAGCTTTCCACTATTGGGGCACTTTTCAAGGTAAAAACTAGAGCCAAAACCAATTTTTAACCACTAAATATTCATTTTCTAACTTAAATTGACTGGTAGAGGCAAAACAAATTGAAAAAATATTCTTTGAGATTGCCTCGACCACAAATGGCGAAAGGAAAAAATTTTGCCCAATTTGACAGAAACGTAACAGAGGCTAAATTATGCTAAGAGTGTTACACAAAAAATATTTTGAGAGACCATTTTTAGACCTTTTCCTTATGTGTATCCCTCTCATCACACTGTATGAGCGTGCCATTTGGAGCCCCAAAACTTGGCTTAAAATGCTTTTTCCCAAGCTCTCATCGTGTTTTTCGAAATCTACGCATAAAACTACCCCCAGAAAAAGTGGCTGAAAAAAAGTGTGTAAGAATATTCAGCCAACAAACTCCATATGTTGTCTTTTTAAATTTGCAGCCGCTGTTTGCCTCATTCTTTCCAATTACTTTTTGTTGCGCTGGTTGTTACTTATTATTACGTGATTTTTTACTTTTCACTAATTTTTTTCTTTCACGGTCGGAAGAATGTCGAATTTAACAGCACGGCCATCGTTACACTGTGCTGATATCTGTGGACTGAATGAAAGAGGAGTGATCAACTTTTTCCTTGAGAAAAACATCCTTCAAAAGATGATTTGTGGAAGTGGACACTCAATGGAAATTCGAGCACAAGGTGGCGAGAAATACCGATGGGAGTGTGATCACTGTATTTACACTCGAGTGAAGGGCAATCAAGCAGCTCGTGGAATTCGGATCGACGTCGGCAAGGATGCCAAAAGAAAGCAACGATGAGCAAACAAAAAGAGGTATTTTACCAGTGTTTAGATAATAATTTTTTGCCCCAGCGATACTCCATAAGAACCTGGATTTGCGTCATATTCCATATCAGAGCCGTTTCTGTAGCACAACTTTGACATTTTTATTTGACACTCTTGCCTTTTTGCTATCGTAATCGTTCTTTTACCTGAAAAAAGCACACCATCCCTTGAATTTAACATTTTTGGTCTAAAGGTGAGCATGTTTAATCTTAAACGTTCCCAATTTTTCATTTAGCAATTGTTTTTAAGAAAATTGAATGTGTTATGACGCTTTTCAATCAGTGTACGAGTTAACTCTTGGAAATTTTTCTTTGTCTTTACTCTTTCTGTTTAATTGGGCAAACTAAACTTTGTTTTTTAGAAACATGGGAGGAGTGCGTACAAAGACGGTGAAGAAAGCGTCGCGCGTCATCATCGAGAAGTACTACACGCGACTCGGACGCGACTTTCACACAAACAAGAGGATCTGCGATGAGGTGTCCGTGATCCCTTCGAAGAAACTCCGAAATCGTATTGCCGGGTATGAGTTTTTATATTATGTAATTAGGATCGTTTGATAATACTGCGTGTAGTATGTGCTACCAGATAAAAATCTAACAATTCTAGTAACGCATTAAATTAAAACCAAATCGGGGTCGGTTAGGCAGTGAGTTAGGCAAGATCGATTTGAAAACCAATGCTTACTGCGTTAGTTTTGTGTTATATCATGAGAGGTTTGAAGTTACACATTAAAAATTTATTGCCTCATTAACCGTGCTTCAGAAAAGCACTATCTTGATCTTTTATGGTCCAGGTAGTCGTTAACTGAAGCGAAAGTAAAGAAAACCTTTGGTGCGACGTCAATAATGTTATTGTGGTCACAATCCAGGTTTTGACAGAGATTTTGTCCTTTTCTGACTATAAAAAGTGATCCTGGCTTTTAAATTAAAGAGATGCTTAAATAAACAGTTAACATTGTTGCAATAATGTATTTGTTTAATTTAGATTCATCACACACTTGATGGCGCGCATTGAAAAGGGCCCTGTTCGCGGAATCTCCATCAAATTGCAAGAAGAGGAACGCGAGAGAAGAGACAACTACATGCCAGATGTTTCCGTCGTCGATCCACGCGAGCTTTCCACAATCAAGGTTGATGCGGACACCGAACAGATGATCAAAGATATGGTAAGGGCATTTTTTTTGTTAGATGTGTGGAAAGTTCAACTCTAGCTACAGTTGATCCAAGGTTGAAAATGTTTTTTGTAATTTAATCTTCACTGTCAGCTTCTAAAAAAAAGCACTGAGTTGGATTATTTTCTAATCCCCTCAGCCGTCTACGGAAGCGAGATAAATGGCTGCCTTTGGTGCGACGCAGAGAGTCCATTCTCAGGGTCACAATCCAGGCGGCGACACTGAGTCCAGTGACCGTAAGAGCTAAGAAAGGAGATCTTTTTGGGACACAGAGTCAAGTCTTTGGCAGTTGGAACAAAAGAGAGCTAACTTTTTTTAGGAATTGAACATTCCAAGCCTTCAAGTCGAGGAAATCAAGCCATCAGGAGTCCCAGGAGGACGACGATATTAAATGCCATTATTTGCTTCAATTGTTCTTTCTAGTATTCTATTGATCACACTTTTTCGTGATTGTTGTTTTCTTTTGTTTGGAACCAACAAATTTTAATGTTGTTGCGGTGTTCGCCGTGCTATCCACTGATCGCTAGTATTTGACATAAAAACATCTAGCGTTTTACCAGCACATTGCAATAATTTGTATGCGTAAGGAAACCCGAGACAGACATAGTTTAAACGTTTTTCAACTTGAAAATTGAATTCTGGATTTTCTCGGGAAGGAAATTTAACATGGATTTGTACGTTAGCATATAATGCCGAAAAATTACCAATTAATCGCCAAATGAAAAGAAACCTACAGTCAATTTATTCTTTTCTCATCGACTCCTAGATGTGTCGTCCGCCTAAAAATAAGAAGGTAAGTGTTAAAAGTTGTAAGTCTCGATAATCAAATTCGTATTTTTAGAAAGGCAAGGATCAGAAAACCAAGGGCGGTTCTCGACAAAACGGGCTTCAAATTATGCAACTTGGGCCTAAAAAATCGGAACGAAAGTTGGTTTTTTTATTGGAAATACTTTACTGGTAGGTGGTTGTTGTTTTGGGTTTTTCATATTCTATCACATTTAGATCACCATCTGTTGGTGCCGTTCCACAGCAGCCACAACCCGTCCCTCAAACGGCAGTCGAGGCTCAGGAGCCTTACTCGGATAACACAGTCAAGGATGTGAGTGCTTTTCCTCTTTAATTATGAAACAAGTATTAAATTACTTGTTTACTATTTACTAGTTGATTGGTTAAAGTGTATCCATGTTATTATTTTTGAGTTATTTTTTCTAGAAGCTTTGAATGGTGTTTTCAGGTACCGGATTTGATGCCTTTCTATGTAGATGACAATGTACGTGAGCTCTACTTTTCGGAAGAACAACTAATGTGAGAAGGAGTTCAAGGAGCCGACAATCCAAATAACAATTAAATCTTCGTATTTGTCAATGTAAACCTCCTTTGATTGCAATAAATTGTTAAAAAAAATTTTTGTGAAAAACGGTGGAATTCTCCTGGAATACGGCATAATGAGCTTCGAAAGTAGGCTTTATGGGTTTGGATGGCGAGTCCAATGGTTTTTTTGTGACATTCATTTGGCGATTAAAGCCTTGGCGTTGGGATTTTTATAATGCGCTCCACTATGGCGTTATGCTATTTTTTTGTGTTTTGTAGTCTTGCTTTTTAAGTTTACAAAGCAAGAAATCGGTGAAATCAGCTTGCTCCATTCTAGTCAGCTATTCTTTTTTTAGAGACTTTATCGCCATGACTGGAGGACTTATAATGGCGGGAGTTGCTATTGCAGCGGCTGGTTTTGGAGCGAGGATACTATTGCGAAACCAGGTGAGAGATTTTTGTTTGTTTAGAAATAGTTCAAAAATACTCTTCATGATAAAATCTTCAAAATGCTACATTCTAGTTTTAGAATGCGATAAAGAAGGGCTTTGAAAAGATACCGATTGCTGGAGAGGTTTTTGATAAATATCATCGCGGTGGATTTGAGGTAAAGATTTTGAGTTCAATGTAAAACAAGAATAAACATTTTTAGTCTAAAATGTCGAGGAGAGAAGCGGCAATGATTCTCGGAGTTCAAGCTACTGCCAAGCCCAACAAAATTAAAGAGGCACACAAAAGAATAATGATTGTAAACCATCCCGATCGAGGTATTTTGTAATTTATTGAGTAAATAAAGAATGATTCAGGTGGATCGCCATATTTGGCAGCAAAAATTAACGAAGCTAAAGATTATTTGGAATCGAATAAGAGTTAATACCATTTTTCTGTTGATATATTTTTTTGTTTTACGCATTTTGTCTCAATTATAATTATGTGATGGCTTTGCAGAATCTTCTATTCATTTGCTTCTTGTTATTTAGGTTAGGCTTTTAGTTCTTGAGGTGCCTGTTGCATATGGGTATTTTGGTTTAATAAACTTGAATATATCTTTTTATTGTAAGACGAAATGTTTTGTCACTATATTTTGAAAGTTAAATGAGCGATTGTGAGTAAATCATGCACAACTTGATAATGAGGTTCATGAGATTTTCAAATTTTAGATGCCCCGTAGCGTAGTGAGGGTCAGGAGGTCGTCGTCAACCGATCCACTATCTCCACCCACACTTCTGGGTTGATTTTTGAACGAATATTCGATTTATTTGATTGTTTAGCCCGAATCTGGCACTTCTTTACCGGTAATGAAAGATGGACGAGTTATCACATCTCTGTTTTCTTCATCACGTTTTTCAGGTGGGTATACAGAGTTAGATAGGCTCTATCCTAAAACAAAGGTCCGTGCTCTGAAACTCATTTTTTATTTACTCAAACTTTACTCATAAGGATATTTTTAATGAAGAACTTACCATCAATTGACATGTCTCTACTTTCTTTGGTTTTTCTTCCTTCCCCTTTCTGTTCATCTGAGGTGGATAGAGAGTCGGTCTTGGATGAATTGAATCCAAAAGAATTGGACTCGAAAAAGGAAAGCTCAAACGGTCTGGGGTTGGTGGTGGTGGTAGAGCCGGTCGTTTTAGAGTTGCAGGAAGTGAGTCCGTTTAAGTTGAGCTCTGTCGTCGCAAATTCGGACGAGGATTTCACGCGACTAAAAGTTTTTGTTCCCAATTACAATCCCTCCAGTGAAAAATTCCTCATCCAAGCAAGATCCACCTCATTCTCAAGACGAACAGAAAGGAAGAAACACCAAAGAAAGAGAAACATGTTAATTGATGGTCAGTTCTTCATTAAAAATATACTTATGGCTAAGGTTTTAGTAAATAAAAAATTAGTTTCAGAGTTCGGATCCTTGCCACCTAATTTGTTGTGTTTTAGTTTTGCATTTATTCACGCTACTCGAAAGACGCTTTCTACAGTCAAATCATCAATGATACATGTAATTTTCGTTTGAATCTAGGTATATAACTTTGTGAAATGTTTAGGTGTGGGTCGTTAACTCGTCGGATTCATCGTTGTTTCCAACTAAACAAGCAGCTGAAGAATTCCTGGCCTTCTTGGACTTTGGCTTCTTGGTGGCTTATGCTGTTGTAAGTTTCGGATTATTATAAATATTTCTGTTCTAATTTTATATTTAGGGTCTATTTTTTGGCGGAATCCTCGGTGATCGCTATAACCCACGAATTGTGCTTTCAATAGGAATGTGGTTGTCGGCAACGACTGTAAGCTGTTTAATCTCAACATTTTATAATTGATTTTAGGCATTTTTCTTTGGCTTCATGACGGAACAATATCACATATACAACAAAGTGCTTTATGCGATTCTTTGGATTAGCGGCGGATTATTTCAAAGTGTCGCATGGCCAACGGAGGTAACCAGTTTATTTGCAATGTCAAAGACTTTAAAAACAAATTAAAGGTTTGTATCATGGGTAATTGGTTTGGGCACGCTTCACGTGGAATTGTGATGGGATTATGGAGTGGCTGCGCGAGTGTTGGAAACATTATTGGGACAATTATCACCAGTCAAGTTGTGCCACTAGGATACCAGGTAATTTTTTTAAAGCATAAAACATAAAACTATAATTTTAGTGGGCATTCGCTGTCAATTCATCAATTCTCTTCTTTTTCGCGTTTGTTGTCTTTTGGCATCTCGTCCCTGCTCCTCGGCTTGTAGGTCAAAAATTTGAATACAACCTCATAGTTAATGTATTTTTCTTTTTAGGTTTGCCAGAACCTACAGAAACTCCAGATGAAAGAAATCGAGTTATTGAAGAAAGCAGTGAACGACCAAAACCGATCTCATTTTGGAGAGCTTGGTTTCTTCCAGGTGTAATTCCGGTACGGATTAATATTAATTAATTTTAATTATATTCTATTTAGTTTTCTCTTTCTTATGCATGCCTCAAAATGGTCAACTATGGGTTTTTCTTCTGGTTACCTATGTACTTGCAAACGTTGAAAATGTCAGAAGGTTGGAAGAGGTTTTGTTTCTTGATTTCCATTGTTTTAGCGGATGCCGATAAATTATCGATGTGGTACGACGTAGGTGGAATCATCTCGGCCATCGTTGCAGGAGCTGTTTCGGTGAATTTAAATCAAAAAATGTTATATTATCTGACTTTCAGGATCACTACAAATCAAGAACACCAATTGTTGTGGGGATGCTAGTGTGTGGAATTTTTTCACTTTGGGGATATTCCAGTTAGTGTTTATGCATTTCACAAGCGAAGTTGTTCATTTTTAGAAAGCCCACCAGACTTCTATATTAATGGTTGTATGTTGGCGATTGCGGGCTTTTTCGTTGGTGGGCCGGCGAACATGATCTCGGGAGCCATCTCAGCAGACTTGGGTATAGTTTTAAATAAGGTTTTAAAAGCTTTTTTTCCTCAGGAAAAGCGCGCGAAATTCGTGGCAACGCCGAAGCGTTGTCTACGGTGACTGGAATAGTGGATGGGACGGGCTCAGTATGTTCTGGAATCGTTTTGGTTTGAGATGTTATTTAGGTTGGCGCTGCATTGGGACAACTTCTCATTCCATCGGTGGAATTGTGGTTCGGATGGACTTTTATCTTCTATGGCTTTATAATTATGGTACTCAGGCTTTGTTTCATATTTTCGTCATTAAGCCATTCAGTTAATTCTGACGATTGTGTGCATCTTACCTTTATTTATGCGAGAAGTACGAGCTTGGCATACGGCCAGAAATGAAAGAAACACTAATTCGGAGCAAGAAGGGTTATTGCAGGTTGAGTTCTTTTTAAGCTAGCTCAACGAAAAGTTCAGGAGGATAATAACTACGAGGGTAATCACGAACATCTGGCTTAATTTACACTTGTTTTCGACATCATATCCTAGTTTTGCCGAATCTTATATGTATGTACTTACTTGTACACTTTATCTGCTCTTTAACTAAACACTTTATCAATAATTTAAAAAATAATTTTTTTTCTCTGAAAATATGTTTCGGGTTATGTTTAGGCATTCATGCCTATTTCTGTGATAAACAATTTATCTAGCTTGTGATTTTTTTCTGTAAATACCTTCAATAAACGTGTTACATGTGCATGTGTTTGTTGAAAGAAAAGCGCCGAGTTTACCCAAAGAATGCCTCAATTTGTATGTAGTTTAGTTATTAGTTAGATGATGTAGTTAACTCTCTAACTCTCAATGGAGGGTAGACAGATTGCCCTTTGAGAGGATAGAATGCGGCTTAGTAGCAAAAACGGCCTTCGTAGTTGAGTAGCTAAGCTCTCGCTTCCCACTCCAAAGGTGCGTGGTTCGACCCCACCCGGTGACTTGTCCCTTAAAAGTTAGTTCCAAATCCTTTGGTGGGTGGTTCCTTTTTCATGGTGTCCACTGTATTTACTTCATCATATAGCGCAATATTTTTCTATCCATCTTGTGGGCTGATTGCCACTCAAAGAAATTTGATGCTATCAATCTTTTCATCGTGAATTTTAGTTTTATAAGTACTGTGCGTAACCATATTCTTTCGTTCAACTGGTGCCGAAAAAGTTTTGTAATGTTTTCTGGAAGACTTAACAAAGAAAAATTTGAATTTTTCCAAAATTTGCATTTTAATCTTTTAATTTGTCCGTTATATTCAGCAGAATGAGGTCATCGAAGTCATTCCTCGTTATTCTCTCCTGCAATGTGGTGGGCGACGGCAGCCGCTTCAACAGCACTCTTGCCACTCATCGCGGCAATCGGATGTGGAAAAAAGGTTGGTGCTTTTTTATAGTTTCTTTTTTGATACTTTTTGATTTTTTTTTATATGGTACGATAGAAAGCGTATGACTTTGTTACTTTCACATGCACTTAAGCATTTTACTGTTTAGAAAAACAAGCGCGTTCCAAATGAGCCGATCGAAAAAGCCGAGTGGCCGAGCACGAACAAGCCGGAATCGCAAGCCAAAGCACAAAAGTCCGAGGCCAGATGTGCCTGCTGTGCCTCCTGCGCCTGTTGCGCCTGTTGCGCCTGCTGCGCCTGCTGCAAACCAGCTGCGCCTGCTACAAACCAAAATGCTCCGAAACCACTAGGACAATGTGAAATTGCTGGTTTGTTTGTTTGTTTTACTTAGCATACGCGTTTATTTTTTTTAAGGAACTCATGGTCCTAACCAGAAGTTGGCTGGAATCGGCGGAGAATGCTTTGGAGACAGAGGTGGTGGTGCTGCTCCCGGTGCTCCAAGTGGAGGACCCAAGGCACCACAACAAGGCGGAGTAGTAGGTCAGTGTTTTGGGTTTTTTTACTCTTAATATGATGCTCTTAATAATATACTCTTTAGGTACTTACGACCCAAACTATCAGACCTTGGCTGGCATCGGTGGCGATTGTTTCGGAAACGACAAGAATAAGGCGTCAGGAGCTGGAGCTGGACCTAAGGCACCACAACAAGCTGGAATTGCTGGTTAGAATTTTTAGCTTATACATGTTTAGATTGTTTAGGCATCCATGATCCTAATTACCAAACGCTGGCCGCAGTTGGAGCCGATTGCTTTGGACAAGACAAGAAAGCTGCTGCCAAGGGGCCTGCAGTACCGGCCAACAAAGCTGCCGTTGCTGGTTCGTTTTATTTTCAAGCGTAAAGACATTAAACTTTTTATCTTTAGGAACACACGATCCTAATTACCAAACGCTGGCCGCAGTTGGAGCCGATTGTTTTGGTCAAGACAAGAAAGCTGGACCCAAGGGACCCGCAGCTCCAGCAAACAAAGCCGCCGTTGCAGGTTTTTATTTTTGTCATATTTTTGTTTAGAATAATAGATTTTTATTATCAAGCAATTTTTTTTATTTCAGGTACCCACGATCCAAATTATCAAACTTTGGCTGGAGTCGGCGGCGAATGTTTCGGAAACGACAAGAAGAAGAAATAATCAACCACCAGCGGATTCATCAACAACTCTAATACATTTGCTATCAACAACTTGGCTAAACCTGTTTCTTAAATTTCGATTGATTAGACTGGCCTCGGGAAAATTCATATTTTGTTGTATTTTTCGGATGATCCAAGAATAAATATTTATGGCCAAATATCAAAGATTTTGTAAAGTGTTTGAAGCTCCAAAGAAATATCAGTGCTAGGTAATTTCGCCCAATCTAATGTGTGGACGATGCTGGGTGGTTAGTTGCTTGTCCTTTGTCGAAATCTCGAACGTAGTCCTCTTTCTCTTTTCTCTGGACATGCCCCCTTCCCCTTTTCTGGGTCTCCTTGGATCCCATACTTTTCACTCGTTGTCGGCTTTTACTGCGTCCCGAGGTGGACGCTCTATCCGCCCGTTTGCCCTATCCATTCACTCTAGTAACCGCTTAAAAAAGATCGACAAGGTTTCTCCTCGCGTCAAAATCAATAACTGTTTGTCCTTACTTTCATTTTCTTCCATTTCCCGCCGATCACCACGTGGGTAGTTTGCTAAACACCTATTTGTGGCTTTTTTAGCCCGCATAAAACTATCTATTGGTGTAAAAATTTGTCAACGACGACAACGGCGCGCCCAAATGCTGCACTTATTCGTCGTATGATGCAATTCGCGGCGAGAGATGGAGTACCCCTTGTCTGGTATAAAATCTTGCAATTTGCCCAGTGATATTTTCCTAAAATTTTGGGTTTTTCCCTGTTGATATCGATCAAAATGCATTTTTTTTGTACAACTACCCGATAAGCCATCATTGAGTTAGTGGCTAATCTTAAATTTTTCCATCTTTTGATGTATCAGTCAAAATCGACCTTATGATTTTGCATCGCTACAGTCCAAACACTGATACTCATTCGATCTTTTCTGTTCGAAAAGCGTACTTATAACAAAATTGAATTTTTGTCCTTGAAAGCCGTGTTTGTATTTTTGTCCATCATAAGTTTTTCCCCCACCAAAATCCTTACATGCCTTGATGCAACCCGCATCATAACGGGAAATATTTCTCTCTCTCAATATGAGTTCATCTCTCAGCACGCCGCTATATAAGGCTGAGATTCATCTTTTAACTTTGACACCTCATGACCGGAAATCCGCCAAAAAATCCATCTGATTTCCACCAAAGCATTGTTGTTCAGACAAATAATTTGTTCCCTTTAAATTTTTGATTATTTTTCTGGGAACATTTTTGCGATGAGATGGCCTTTCTCTGTGCTCGGCGCTTCATATCTTTCGTTTTCATCAAACGCTTTTTTTCCGGGTAGTCGATCGACAAAGTCTCGTCAATGAAATTTCCCAACTTCTCACAATTTCTCGTGACCATATCATCCAATTTGTTCAAATTTTCATATTATGAAAATAGCTTAATTGTTTTTTTATTTAGAAATGGTAATTAATTTTGATTGGGCGCCTTCTACGTCGGTTGCCAATTTGACGAGCGAACAAGTTGTGCAGCTATGCGGTGTGCTCAACTCAACCTTGGACCTTCAGGCAATCACGAGCACGAGCACTGCAGAGGTATGTTTAACTCTTTCAAACAAATGGAATATATGTACTATTTTTAGGTTTTCTCATCAACCACCATTCCGTTGCATCCTCGTCCCTCCACGATGATGGGTAAGCAAATTTTTTTGTTACCAGAACTGTCTTACTGTTCAGCGGTCACAATTGGATTCCTTTTTGTCTCACTGATCAATCTTTGTGCAGTTGCCGGAATCGGTGTGATGCGCTATCTTTCGAAAAATGTCTATAATCAGGTATTATCAGTTGTCTAGCTTTCAAGTTAATTTTTCCTTTTAGGTGATCACATTTTTCGTTGGTCTCGGTGTCGGCTCTCTATCTGGATCGAGTTTTTACCATCTCTTGCCAAATGTAATAGCTTTTTTATTTTTAAAGCTACGTTCAAATTTAGGCGCACCCGGCTCTGCTTGAAGAAGTCGACGAATATGGAAATCTCACTCACTCGTATCTGCGGATGGCCCATTTTTCACTTCTTGGCATCTATACGTTTTTCATGTGCGACAAGATCATAAAGATTATTCTGGAGTGTAAAAAGGTAATTTTTATATGTCGGTTCAATAAGATTTTTTGGTTTTGCAGAAATCACGTGGTGCTGAGTGCAGTACGGCGGAGACGGGTCGCGCTGGCTGGACCATTGAGAGAAAAGGAAGTGGAGACGTGAGTGATCGCAGTGAAAAAGCCTTGCTGAATGGCCATCACAAGGTAAAACCAAAGGAATTAATGCACGGATAAAAGTAATATAAATTAATTCTTGTCTGAGCTTTTAAAGTCAGCGAATATGGAAATCTCACTCGTAATCTTTATTTTTAGAGTTGTGAGGAAATTCCCCTACAACCGGTCACGAATGGAGCATTTGGCGGTAGCAGGATGAGCGAACAGGTAACTTTGGTTGGAAGTTAAGGATATTTATTCTTTTGTTTAGGCGCACGGTGTTTGCGTCCATGATCATTCGATCGAATGGCAAGTTGGTCAATCGTCTGGACAGGCAATTGCGGTTTGTTTGTTAGTTATTTACAATATCTAAATTTGTTTAGGCTGTTGCATGGATGATCATCTTTGGAGATGGTTTTCACAACCTCATCGATGGGATCTCTATTGGTTTGTCGGAGACTTTAAACTTAGTTTATAACATTGATTTTAGGTGCTGCTTTCTCGGAATCGATTCACTCGGGCGTTTCTGTTGTCCTTGCCGTTCTCTGCGAAGAATTCCCGCATGAGTTAGGTATATAAATTGGCATTGTATTTAGAATACTTCCCATTTAGGTGATGTGGCAATTTTGGTGGCTTCCGGCATGACCCTTCGCCAGGCTCTCATCTACAATCTGCTCTCTGCCATGACGTGCTATATTGGATTTGCATTTGGGGTTGGTCACGTTTTTTTTCCAATTTGGTCTAATCTTTTTTCCAGGTGGTGGTCGGTGAAATTGGACCGGATTCAACAAAATATGCCTTTGGATTGGCTGGCGGAATGTTCCTCTACATTTCATTGGGATGCATGGTGGGTTCTCTTTCGTGTTTGAACTATATTTTTATTTGGTTTGAATTTGTATAAAGTAAAGAATAAAATTTAGATGCCAGAAATGAAGAAGGCTATGGAGGAAGCCTTAGAAGTTTCACTTGCCCATGGAATCAAGGTTGATGTTTATTGAAGTGTTTATTGAATTTTTTTGTCGAATAGATGAATTTAAGATTTGCATAATGAGAAAAGGCTTTTCCACTAAAATTAAAACGTAATTTAGGTCTTGGTTTTGCAAACGGTTGGCATGTTCTGCGGTCTAACGCTGATGTACGTGATGTCTCGCTATGGCGAAGAGATTTCGATCTGAGAAGCGAAATTAGATTTATAAAATCGTTTGTATTTTAGCTTAGACTTAATGCTCATTTATGAATAGCTTTTTAAAATTTCCCATTATGTTTGTAGAATGTCGTTGTTAGTCTAGTTTCTTTACTATGTAAATGATCGTATTTTAAAGCTCCACCTTTCGGGTAGAGTTTTTGATTTTGTGCAAATTTTTCGGTGAATCTATGAGTATCTCTTTTTAAAAAGGAGCCGAAGTGCATAATGTGAAAATATAAGTCGGGGCTTATAGCATAACGTTTCCTAACTCAATCTGCTTAATATTGTTGTTTAACGCCTTTTTATAATATGTTGTGATTTTCTTTTGATTGCTTATTTTGATATTTGATAAAAATTAGATTTTTCGGAATATGAAAGACTTCAAATGTGTAAAAAGGAATGAGTCGATATTTGTAATCGAATGGGGCTCATCATGGTTTTTTAAATTTTTACCTCATTCACTCGAATTACATTACATCGATTCTCGAAAAACTAAAAGACCACTGATTAAGGCCTGGAGTTAATTTTTTTAACCTTTAAAACAACTCAAATTTATCTAGACCTAGGGAAGTACTGACTTGTGCTTTTATTACCGACAAATCTAGTGCCAAATAAAAAAAAACTGCCAACAACAACCACCACAAAATTTGCATTTAAATAAATCTACTGTCGGCACGTAGCAGCAATTTTTTTTTCTTTAAAAGCATACAGGCTTTGGTTAGTCGCCCCGAAAAGTAAACTTTCCTTGTTCAAGAATCGTACAAAGTTGCACGGATAAATCCTATTGTTCTGGGTGCCGACACCGGGAATCACCAAGAGATGGGGAAACGGTGAGAAACTGGGTATAATTGGAGTGATTTCTTCGCTTGTGTTTCGACAAGAGCTTTTTCTGGGGTTGCCCGGGGCAGCAGCACCGGACCCTATCCCTTCCCCCCCCCCCTTTCTCCCTTTTGCTCTTCCTTCACTCAACTCGATTTCCCCATCCTGAGGCTTCTCCCCCTTCTCTGTACCACTCTTCTCATTTATCTACCAACTATTTATGTTGATGCCTGTTCAACACATCTGTCCACCTGGATATGCGCACTCTCCTCTAATTTCACCCCTTCTTCCCCCTTCCCCTCCTCTCCATTCATATTTACCGCTTGCTTTCCATTTCACTTTCCCACTTAAACCCTAATTGAGGTTTTCCGGCTTTGTTCTAATCGACTTATCCGTTTTTTCTCTTTTAGATCTTTTCCTTTGGGCTTTTGATATTCTGTTACCTATAGGGATTACTCTTGAGATCGCTTTCTAAAAGATGCCCCTAGAAGAAGCTACCGTAATCCGGTGGTTTTTGGTGGAAATAATAAGTTGGGCTTTTGTGACACTTGCAGGCGAGATTGAAAGCTAGATCTATTATCGGTCTTGAATTCACAAAGGCATTTAGAGTACGGTAGCTTTCCCTGGGGCACATCTTTTAGGAAATAAAATGTAAACAGATAATAGTGAGTCAAAAACTTTAGGAATGTTGCTTTGGGGTTGATTGGATGGATTGAGTGAGAGTTGAGAGGTGCGAATGAATGATATGTTTTATGTGTTGTGTACAACAACGTCCACAACAACAACAGAAACAGAAAGAAGAAACTCGAGAGCATTGCTATTGTACAAGAGTTCGGTGAGCTTGAGCAGAATTCTTATAAATTTATCTATAAAATTTTTAAAACATATCCAGATCTGCTAGCTTTTATCCCAAAAATTTTTTTTTCTTTTCAGCTTGGTCTCCATTGCGTCAACATCGCATTTACCCTCGATGAATCAAAGTGAATACTCTAACAGACTACTCTAACAGACTACTCTAACAGACTACTCTAACAGACTACTCTAACAGACTACTCTAATAGACTACTCTAATAGACTACTCTAATAGACTACTTGTCGTGTACATTGAGCTCAAATTGTGTAAACACACCATTCCTGGTGCACTTGAGTCTTCATTCCTTTGCGGAAACGCCTTGGGAAAAATAGGTTGCGAGAAAAATGAAGGCTAAGAAAGAATAAGTTCTGAACTTTTAAACAAAAAGTGCACTAAGGAACAGTCTTCAGCAATTAAATTCAGAGTTTGAAAGCAATTCAAAAATCAATTTTATCAACTAATTCTAGACGCTCGTGCTCGCATTCCATTACGGAAACGCTCAAAATCCGAGCCGGCGTTGCACATCGCCAATCAAACGTCATTCAACAGGTAGAAAAAGGATTTTCGTTTAGAAGTTGAGCTTTAGAAATAGAGAAATGATATTTTATATTCCCTCCGGAGCTCTTGATCATGGGAATCCAGATCCTAGAATGTTGAGTCGAAAAATGTGATTTGGATTTGAATTGAACGGACAGCTTTAATCCTTAACCCTTAAAGTCTTTAACCCTTAATCCTTAAAGTCTTTAACCCTTAAAGTTCTCCAGGAGACCAGGAATTTTATTGGATGGATTTAATTGAGGAATTAATAAGGAAATTTAATTTGTTAAAATAGATCGTTGATCCAATGGGCATTTTTCAAGAGTGGCCATTTTTCAGACGAGTCCAATCACTGCGCATTGCGCGCGTCTCGATCAAGAAAAGAGGATCGCAACAAGAGGCGATCACAACGACGAAAAGAATTCCGATTAAGGTCATTTTTAACATATTTTTTGGCGTACAGTCGCGTAGTCGTTAAATGTTTTACTGATAATTTGGTGAAGATTCAAAGATAAACTAAACTATGATCGCTTTTATTATTGCACATTCGATAGCGCTGAATCTTCTCTTCATATCTTCTCCTGTACAAAGTACAGAACTTTAAATGAGTAATAAAAAGCTTTAAAAACCTTGAGTTGATACCAAAAATAATCGTCATTAGTAAGGCTATCGTTTCGTTGTGAATCTCATTTTACTGTAGCAAACTTTGTGCCCCAAAAAGCGTAAACGCATCCTTTCTGGTGCACTCTATTGGTGATTAGAGTTGAGAAAGAAAACAAAGAAGTAGCTTTTCTTTCAGATCTCCGTTGTTTCAATCGGTTCCTCCGGTGATCCGCCGCCGACCACATCACAAAGGGTTGGGGGAAATTCTTCTAAACTAAATGATCAAAAGTTTACTTTTAAAAAAAGTCGTTTAGCAGCCGGAAATTCGCGAAGTTGAGCGGCAAAAGTTGAAGAGGTCAGTGTAGAAAGGGGACAAGAATCTCTGGCTTCACTAACAAGGGAATGACATCAATTTGAAGTTGAGAATCGAGATTCTGAATCTGTAAAAATTAACTCTAAACATCCACTCTAAACATCCGCGCAAGAAATCTGATATAGAAAATTCTTTAAATTCTTTATGAGACTCTTTATGAGGCCATCACAAAGTCACGGCTGAACGGCTTCAATGGTGAAGTGGGTAGTGTGCCAGCCAACAAAACTCACGGGGTTTTTCTGGCTTTAGTTCGAGTCTCACAGCGCCATCCTTTTTGCATTTAAAGATGAGTTTTAACTCTATATACCTAGCTATTTATGGAATCATTTCTTTACACTACTGTATTTCATAAAATTTACATATAAGATTCTGAACTTCGAGGTGGTGCCATCCCTTGTAATCTGACCATCTGAACCATCACTTGTAACACATTTTTTTCCTTTTTCTCCATTTCCTTCTTAATCCAATGTTTGATTGAGGAAACCTTACAAAAGTCCCTCCAAAAAATAGATTTCCCCTCTCACAACATCGATTGACAAATAGTTTTACTATAGTTTTAGCCTTTATAACTCCAGTTACCAGTTACCAGTTACCAGTTACCAGTTACCAGTTAGCAGTTGCCAGTTACCAGTTACCAGTTAGCAGTTACCAGTTACCAGTTACCAGTTAGCAGTTACCAGTTACCAGTTACCAGTTAGCAGTTGCCAGTTACCAGTTACCAGTTAGCAGTTACCAGTTAGCAGTTGCCAGTTACCAGTTACCAGTTAGCAGTTGCCAGTTAACAGTTACCAGTTAGCAGTTGCCAGTTACCAGTTACCAGTTAGCAGTTACCAGTTACCAGTTACCAGTTACCAGTTACCATATAACTCCAGTTACCAGTTACCAGTTACCAATTAAAAAAACCCCAGTTACCATATCGCTTTCCAAGTGCACTCCTTTGTGAGAAGTGCTAAAAAGTCAATAATTTAGTAAACTACTGTCACCTTTCCTTCGGCCTTTTGCCTTTTCTACTTAATTCTGTTCTCATTCTGTTCTCAAGCTGTGAATTGAATAGAATCAAAATTAAGTAATTAGAATGGAGAGACTCTAAAGGAAAGAGTACGATCGTTTTCTAAATTAAGCAACTTTTAGAAAGCGAACTTTTGAATATACTGGGTTCAGATACGTTTTTGCATTATTTTAGTACTAAAACATTGAACATTTGTTCAAATCCAATATCTTTTTCTTTATTTCTTTGACTTTTACACTAACTTTTTTTTTCTTTATTGATAAGCATATTCACAATTTTTTGGGCCTCTTTGTAGTGAAATGGGGAAAAGGTGAAGGTAAACAGAGAGGAAAAGGAAAGAAAAAGAAGGGCAGCTTCCTCTAAAAAATGAAATTTATTGACTAAAGTCACGCATACATTTTCACGAATTTTTATTGCCATTATAATTCTCTAAATTATAGAAATTTTTTATTTTCTATATGAAACTACAGTACTGGACAATAAAATAAAAAATAATGATTTGATCTGTCTTCGCACTTAGCGCAGATCACAACCCGCTTCCACATTTACTGAGGCAGAAGTGTAGCCGATGATACTCCGATGGCCGGGCTGGGGCGCTCGGAGGGGAACCCATGGGAGTCGAAACCACGACTAACCCGCGACGTTGCTCAACTTGGCAGATCGGACGGGGTCGACCACAGACCCTTCCCTTTCTGGGCCCCCGTACTGGACAATGAAATATGATATTTGAAAAACGATCGTCACTTTCGCGCGTCTGTAACTCCCTTGTCTTTGAGTTTAAACTATTAGTGTTCTACATTTTCTGAAAGCTCTTTTCAAGGGCTACACAATGGTAATATTAATATTTAGAAATACGGTAAAGACAAGGGAGTTACAGACGCGCGAAAGTGAAGAAAGTGACAATCGTTTTTCAAATATCATATTTCATTGTCCAGTAGTGTACATGATAAACTAAAGGGTTTAAAAAATAACGAACAAACTTTCAATATACGATAATGAAATAGAAGAGAGAAGAGACTTTTGGCTCATTAATGCTCAATCGACAAATGTTTGGATGTTTGGATGATTGTGGGCAAATGGGCAAATGGGCAAATGGGGAAAAGGGGAGGAAAGACGGCAGAAGGGTCTCCCGGGCAACACGATGGGTACATGTAATCCATCCATCCTACCACCCCCACCACCAATCCCAATTCGAATTCTCAGCTAAACTCTCATCACCTCCGATCATCGCAATGCAAATCACCAATTATTCTATTATTTATCTGTAGCTTTACCCTTGTTTTTAAACAGTTAAAGCTAGCAAAATTTTTTCCGCTACACTAGACGCATTTCTTTTGCGTTTTGTTAAAAATTTGCATCTAATTTTTAACTTTTAATTTCTATTTCTTTTATTTCATCATTGATCCCATTTTTCTCTTTTTTCTATAAAATCCTTTCTTGGAGACTTTCTGAAAGATTGTTTCTGAAAAACAAAAATATTTGATACGCCCCTTTACCATCAGCAATCCAACTTTAAGCTCAAATATCTTGATATTCGGTTGTTCAATTTGAATATTCTTGATATCATTAGTCGCCCCAAGTCTTTCTCTGTCGATTGCTATAAAAACTATTTAAATTGAACAGCCCAACACCAGCAAAAATTAGCGCTTAAAGTTAGATTACTAGTTTAGAGTAAAAGGGATATCAAATGGTCGATATAATATATATATATATGTTGTGTCCGATTTAGATTTCCGTCCGATTTAGATTACAGTCTATATCGGACGTCCAATTTTTTTTTTTTTTAAAAAAATTATTTTTTTTAGATTTAGATTGAATCTAAATCGGACGTCCGATATAGACTGAATCTAAATCGGACACAACATATATAATCTCGATATAACCGATATATAATCAAATAGTCGATATAAACTTTCTGAAACAGTAAAAGATTTGATTTGATTTACACAAACGAAACATTTGCATATTGCAGAAAATCTCTGGATGAGTTAGCGTTGATTTCTTTTTTTGATGAACAAGGAAAACCCGGTGAAACAATGGAAAACGAGGAGGGAAATGTCGAAAAACGGGAAGAGATTACGAGGTGAGTTCTGAACGATTTGTCATACTTTTCTTGCCAGAAAGGAAGCGTTTCTTTCAGCACAAAGAACAAAGAAAAGCTTTCACAGGGGGGATGGGACAAATGCGACCTTTTTTTTTGGAAAGGTCGTAGAGCTTCGAAAATATTTCCAGATAGGGGAATCGTATGCGTAGATTCCGAATTTCAGAAATTTCACAAATCAGACCTCGCTGACACGTCAAATTTGGGCTAAAAGGCAGAAACTGCGGAAAAGCGTTAAGTTGCGTAGTTTTTGCCTTTTAGCCCAAATTTGACGTGTCAGCGAGGTCTGATTTGTCGAAATTCGGAATCTACGCATACGATTCCCCTATCTGGAAATATTTTCGAAGCTCTACGACCTTTCCTAAGGCCTTTTCCAGCAAAAAAAAAGTGCGCAAATGTCCAGGTGCGCAAAAAAAAGGTAGCATTTGTCCCACCCCCTTCACAGGGATTCTTTTGTTAAAAAGGTTCAAAGTAAAAGAAAAATCAGAGTCTAGTGTGTTAAAATTGAGTTTTTATTTTATCATTTAATTTCTTCTAGACTTCGTCTTGATTCGGTCGGCGAAATACCAGTCGATCCTTTAGAAGAAGAAATGATGGGAAAACCCGTGAGCTACACGAAAGATTTAAACGAATATGTGATCACTTGGAATAAGTTGGAGCACAAAAATTTCGATGAAACCAAAAAGATATTTTTTTCTAGTCTTGACCCGACGAGAGATCCATTTCAAGCGGATCGTCTGTCGAGGATATCCGATTGGGTGGAGAGCACCGAGGGAGGAGTCAGTTCAAAAGATCAATGCTTTCATATAGAAATTATCAAATTAAATCTATTTTTTTGCTCATAATTATATCATGTGACATCCAGGATTGATGAAAATCTCTAAAATACACGGCCTTTTCCAGGAAATTACCCGAAAATTTAGAACAAGACTCTTTTTTGGGTAAAATCGTGTGAATTTTGTCTATTTTTCTATATAGTACTAGCGGAATTAGTACAGTGCTGTAGTCTTAGAATTTATTCTTTATCCATTCAGGTGATCGACTCAGAGGAGGAAGAAGAGGAGGAAGGAGAGGAGGAGGAAGAGCAGGAGAAATCGGGAACTGGGGTTAGTTTTAAAAGTACTGTAAAAGCTATTGAGAATTTTTTATCTAAAGAAATCAATAAATTTAGGGAAATGAAGGTGGATTGCTTTCGTTGAGTGACAGGAAACGATCACTGCCTGTGGAATTCGTTTTTGGAGAAGAGGGGAGAGAGGGGAGAGAGGACGAGAGAACACACCAATCTCTGCCAGAAACGAGTGCAATTCCACAGTCATCATCGGTAAAACATTTAAACATTTAAACAACAAAAGCTAAGTTGCCTTCCAGCTAAGAGAAAGGGCAAAGAAAGTTGAAAATAGAGGTGATCGTCTTATACACTTTGGTGCAAAAGTCTTGTCCCACCATTAAAAAAGAAAAGCTAGATTAATATTTGGTCGGTCCTCCTTTAGCCAAAATCACTGGTTGAATACGTTGAGGCATTGAGTCGACCAAATCACGTAGAATTCCCGAAGAAATTTGTCGCCAAACGTTTCTGATAAAGAACCAAAGCTCGACCTTTGTGTTGAATATCTTGCCCCTGAGTTTAGTCTTTAAATGAGCCCAAAGATGCTCTATAAAATTCAAATCCGGCGAATAAGGAGGCACTTTGATCAATTCTACACGATAAGCAGCAAAAAACGCCGGGTAGGCGCCGGACAGGACTTTTGCACCACAGTGTATTAATGGTGTTATCTATGACAAGCTTACCAATGATTGCTCTTTTTTTCTTAATATTTTTAGATAGAGGGCGGGGAGATATTGGTTTCAGCTTTTTTTTGAGGTTTTTTCTTGGTGTTTCTCGTCAAAATTTAATGTTTTCCGCGTTTTAATGCGGCCTTCTTAGTTTCCCCCCTTAAATGGGATGCAATTTAGATTTTCTGATAAACAAGAGTATAAAAAGAAGAATTTTGAGCTATTCCGTCACGAGCTCTACACATCACCGGCAAGACCATCGTCGAGTCATGGCAGGAAAACGATTACTGAGGTTTAAAAATCTCAAAAACTGCAAAGAATTAGAAAAATCTAGGAAAGTTTCACATCGGAGCAAACGAAGAAAACAGAAGATGCTTCACGAATCGGACAAATCGATCATTTAGAAGAGATTCCGTTTGATATAGGAATGCAGGTGGGGAATAGAATTCAAACAAAACCCCAACAAAAGTCTTCTACTGTTTCCTTGAACAATTTCAGTCATAATTCAGTCATACTACACCCGAAATAAAGCGCTAAACCGTAAACTGAATGCACAGAGATGCTGTCCTCACTCTAGAATGCCAGGGCTGACCTTGATCTCATCTAATCTAACTCTAAGCGTTGATTTGGTTCAAAAAAAAAAAGAAGAAAGAAAAAAGCATTTATTAGGTTTCTTTTCGTTTCTATTCGTTTTTTTCTTTTTAAATCAATATAGCAATATTGATATAAAGCAAAAAATTTTTTAGAGAAAATCATTTAACCAATTTCCTCAATTTCCAGAGATTTTTAACGATTTTTGCATAAAACCCATCGAATTTTTGGCTTGAAAGTGAACCGAAATTAACTTAAAAAGATGAAAAATAAAGCAATAAACACTTTTTTTTATAGAGGAAACCATACGAGTTATTTGGTAAATTTGTTATTTTTTAACGGAAAAAAACGAAAAGACTTTCTTGGAAAACCTAATAAAAACGGGAAACAAAGTTCATTGATCTGGGGTCGGAAAATGTAGCTGACGATGAGAGCTTGTGGGGGATTAAAGTGTTGAGCTTCTGCAAAAGCTTTGGAACCGTAAAATAGGCATCAACTCGGCTCGGTGCGGTGCACTACTATTAGAGAAAATACGGTATAATTCTAATAGATATTATAAAATCCTAGTTACAAGTATCCTGCCAATTAAACTGCTTTTTATATACCGTATTTTCTCGAATAGTAGTGCACCCTGAGCGTCGCCTAAATTCCTCGAAATCTCGAGAACCGCTTATCAGAACCTATCGATGTGGAGTCGGAAAATGTAGCTGACGATAAGATCTTGTGGGGGATTAAAGTGTTGAGCTTCTGCAAAAGCTTGAAAACCGTCAAATAGGCATCAACTCGGCTCTACTATTAAAGCTACTATTAGAGCAATTGAATTCTTTCAAGAATTCAGAAATTCATAAAAACGATGTCTACAAATGTTTTCAAAGTATTTATTCTTTAGGTGACAGCCGCGGAGAGCTCAGCGGACGAGGGAACTTTCCCGTACATTACTCGATATCGAAGTGCCACTTTTCCCTTGCGCTCATCGACATATATCAGCTCGTTTCTCGACCAAAAATTAGAGTCAGAAGACAGAAAAGATGCAGAAAAAGAAGAATTTTCTACAAATATTATTGGAATTGCGAGGCACATCGTTGAGAGAAGAGAAGAAGAGCAGTCCTCGGTCACTTTGGAAGAAGAGAAAGAGACACCAATCTTTGGAGTGAAGGGAGAAGAGGAGCAGTCCTCGTTCACTGAGAGTGACACCGAGGGAGGGATACGGCCGGTGATTGCAGGGTTTTATGGACAAATGCCGATTATAACCAATCTAATCACCGATACTTATGAAGGAAATGAAGAAAAAGAGGAAATTGAAGTTGAAGGGGGAAAGAATCCCGCTGTAAATCTCGCACAACTCATGGAGTTGGTGAAAAAACAGGAACAGGTGAGCGAGTGGTAATGATTTTGAACTTTGTAAAATACCGTATTTTGCTCTAATAGTATCGAGCCGAGTTGATGCCTATTTGACGGTTTCCAAGCTTTTGCAGAAGCTCAACACTTTAATCCCCCACAAGATCTCATCGTCAGCTACATTTTCCGACCCCACATCGATAGGTTCTGATAAGCAGTTCTCGAGATTTCGAGCAATTTAGACGACGATTAGGGTGCAGTACTATTAGAGAAAATACGGTAACTAAAACTTAGACTCTAAGCTTTAAATGCTATGAACAAAATGAATTTTAGTCGTTGGAAAGTGATGTGGAGGTGGTGGTGACTGAGGGAGCGGCGGCGATTGATGCGAGGCATGCACAGAGTGATGATCTCAGATTCAGGTGAACAATCGGCAATGAGTCGGCAGATTGTGATCCGAGCCTTTTACAATCGATTCCATTGCAGAGATCCGTTCGACGAATCAGATGTGGATTGGTTGGGTGAATTGGCGGCGTTCAGCATGAGAAAAACCGGTGAAAGGAATGTTACATTGAGTGAAGAGATTCGGCAACAAAATCTCACCTCTTCCTCATTCACTCATGCCGATATCCCGTTAGCGATTCTCATTCGCCGGATAGCTTCATCGGATAGTGGAGACACTCAGAAAGTGAGTGATCGTTTAGAAATTGTTTAGAAAAAAACATATAATATTCTTGTGGTTAGGCATATGATTTTGATCTTCGAAATATAAAATGAACATTTTTATATTTATAAATTTTTCGGACAAGCCCAGGCAAGATCTGGGGATTCAGAATCAAATGCTTTTCTTCATTTAGATTCGAGTCAGATCAGAGCCATATCCGGGTCAGTAATCTGACCCTTGGTGCAATAAAGATAATCAAATATTTCAGGTTATCGAGATTCTGAGTGAGCCCGAGGTCGACCAGTCAATCCATCCAACTATTCAGCAAGAAAAAGAAAAGTATATAATAGCATGCATTCAATTAAAATCCATTTCGTTTCAGCCTCGAGACATCTATCGAAACGGAGAATGAGGATGAGGAAGAGGTTTGTAAAGGGGAAAAGAAATAAAAAGGAACTAAAGTGATACTGGCCGAAACCGTTGCCAGTATTTCGCTAGTGTAAAAAGCCAGTTTACTCATTCTCTTGAAAAAGTTGTCAATGGTACAACGAAAAATTTCAGACAGAGATCATGGTGACCGAGCGTTCATCGAAGAGTGGCCGCTCAACGATTTCCGAGGATTTCCTTCCGAAAAGAGGAGAATTGCCGAGAGTGGAATCGGGCGGAGATTTCGGGAATTTCGAGGAGTCGGAAAAGTCGGAGAAAGACGATTCATCAAGTGCTTCAAGTCACGATGAGCATTTCGATTTGAGCAAGTATCCGGTGATTGGAGTGAAAGGGGAAGAGGTGGTTTGGGTGCTGAGACGGGAAACAGAGATTCAAGAACAGGAGCAGGGACAGGGACACGATAACTATTCAAGAAAAGAGACGGAGATCTCCGGCGAAACCTATATTCTAGAGAATGGGAAATTCGAGGCCGAATTCCAAAAAGGACAGGGTTATTCGAGGAATTTGACGGATTTTTCGAGTATTCTGTCGCCGGATACAGTGCCGGATAGCGGGGGGACGTACACTGTCGAGAAAGATGTGAAAATCGAAGATTTCATGTTGAAAGATGATCCACTGTTTAGAAAACGAGAAGTGGATGAGAAAAAGGAAGAGAAGTTGATGGAATATGAAGAGGTCGAGGTGAGGCTCATCGTTTTGGCGAAAGACGAGAAGATTCAACGGCAAGTGAACAAAGAAACGACAAGATTTGTTGAACAGATTGCTTCCACCATCACCACCCATCCACACAGCATTGAGGGAAATGAAGAGCTCATGCAGAAGAGAGATTTGTTTGAAATTGAAAACATTCATGAAGAAGATCAATTGATGGACAGAAATTTGGCAAAGAGTGAACATTTCGATGATGAGCCTCAGAACTTATTCAAGGATTTGGTGGAAATTGCAAATCAAAACACAAATCTTACTGAAGAAAGTCAATTTTTGGACAGAGAATCACTGAAAATTGCAAGCTTTGTTGCTGGAGATGAAGAAATGCACAAAAATTCGGCAGACGAGGAAAATTTTAGTGCTGAAGACCAATTGAAGAGAAGTTTACCAGATGAAGAACTTAAACAAGAAAGAAATATTGATGCTGAAGATCAAAAATTGCAAAATCAAAGAGAGTTGTGCGAAACGAATCGAGAACTTGAACGTCAACTAGAAAACAAGGAAGAGATTGTTGTTCAAGGGGGAAAAGGCAGTGACGAGGATCGAGTGAAAGCAGGTGAAGTTGAAGAAGAAAAATTCGATACAGACTTAATTCTAAAAGAGTTTCAAGCTCAAGAATCAATTTCTGATCATGAAGTTGAAGTTGGTCAAGGGCAAGAGGCACTTTCATTTAAAAATAGAGCTTCTGGATCTCCGGATCACAGTCAGAAATCGATTCCTGAAGAATCTGAATCAAACAAATCCGAATCCGAAAGCAGGAAAATTTCCGTCGATTTAGTTCAAGAGATTTTGGAGGGATTGATGAAAAGTAAAGCAACATTTGAACAAAAAGAAATTCCTGGAAATTCTAAAGAAAGATTTGACGAGGAAAACGAAAAGGAAAGAATTGACGAAGAAAAGAAAACCCCCACAAAACCATCAATGCAACAATTGCACGATCAACTCGTCCACATTTTCGTTTCCGCTGAGAGTTTGCCCGATTCCCCATCGCCCGACTCGCAATCGCTCGAGAAGGAAAATGCCGGGGGAAATCTGCGCAAATCGTCGGCACTCTTGCAAAGGTTTGTGCTTAAAAGTAAATTCTGAAAAATGTTCTGAAGATGCAAAAAGATTCAAAGATTCAGATTCAAAAATAGCCAATTTTGCAGGCAATACAGCGGTGGATCGCGGAAGAACAGCAAAGAGTCAAGCGGGGATCGGGTCAAACAAATGAGAAGCGGAGAGGCACAATGGACACGCTCGGATACATTGCAGTCGGATGCGAGTCAGGTGAGGAAGCGCACAGATATTTAGCCAAGAGTTAATAGCCAGATTCCTCACAAGCGTTAGTTCAATGTAAGCAATCGCATTAAACTAGTCCATTTCGACTTTCTGACACTAAACTGTACCTGCCAGTATCAGATAGAGTTTCGGTAATCATCCCCGATTCAGCTCTCGTATGTCTCCTCCGATATGGATCGGTCGAGTCTGATGAAAATGAACTACAACAGTAATGTCGATCAAGCCGCATGGAAAGATGGACATGTTGAGGTGAATAGAAATGAAAAAGAAAAGACAGAGAAAGTTCAGGTGGACATCGCTGAAGTCGATCATTTCTGGGATTATCGATACGCGAAAGATCAAAACGAAAAAGAAAAAGAAAAAGAAAAGGAAGAAGATGAAAAAGAGGAAAAGTAAGTGAAATTGAAGAAAGGATAAAGGAAATCAAGGCTTAGAATAAGTTTTAGACCCTCGAAAGCGAACACACCAACTGGGGAGCCAGAAACGGGAACCGTGCTCAAGAAGTCCGTGAAGGGACAAGACCAACTATTGGCGAGCACTGTAAGAAGGGGTTTTTGATTCGCTAAAATGCACTTTATCTAACAAAAAGCCTATCATATTTTAATAATTTTAGGCATATATCAGCTAGGACTAGAGCGTGTTCCTCACGAGTAATGCATTTTTAAAAAAGAAACGCAGACTTAGGAAAAATGACTGAACTTTTAGCGAAAATTATGGCAAAAAAATGGCCCGAAAAAGTGACGAGCACCGGCTTATAAACTACTTCTTTTAAAGATATTCAGCCATTTAACTGATTTGGTGAGAAATTCCCGTCAAATGTAAAGATATTCAATTTACTCGACCAAAAACGTCGATTAATCGATAGATTGAATAAAGGGCCAGCTTTTGGCTATGGCTAGCCACCTTTTGGCTATGGCTAGCCAGAAAAGGTAACACGTTTTTAGAAGCCAGAAGCTCTCTAAATCCTTTACATAATAAATTTCCCAGGTTCAACGCTACTATGGTCGTCGCACGCCTCTCCCGTCGATCACGCCCGATTCGGCGACGAACAAGGTTCACCTCGTAAAGATATATAAAACACGAAATGTTTTAAATGCATTTCCCTGACGCATATTCATCTCTTTTCTTTCTTTTTCAGTCATTCAACTTCGACGAATCCTCCCAAATTATCGCCATTTCTTCCCCAGAAAGCGAGGGTGTCTCAATTGTAATACCGACAAACACAAAGGAGATCACTCAGATTACAGTACAAGTAAATTCTAAGTAACCAATATATTATATTTGAATTCAGCAAGAAGAAAAAGCTGACGAATCGCAAGGATCGATCTCGATCGGATCACTCTCGGAAAGCGATGCTGACGATGAAGAGATTAAAGAGGAACTCAATCAAAGTCAAAAGTGAATAGTTTTCATTTTAACAGTTGATCTGTGTGCCAGGACCGTAGAAATAGAGATTAGAAACTTGTAAAAGTGAAATTCAAAGAAGATATCGAGTTGAAGTCTTCTCATTGCATCAAAAGCGATTTCAGTTTCTTCCGTTTGGCGAAAATCTCGTCGGGGAGTGACACCGATCAGATTGATGATCTCGTCGTTGATGAGGGTCAGTCAATAATCATAATCATTATATCAATAGCTGATCTAGACTTACCACCAAAAAGTGAGGATCAATCGTTGGCAAGACGTGGTCGGAAAGGAACACCACATCCGAGCGCTGGTTGGTTTTCATTTTTGTATTCATAGGGTTCAAAGGGGATACAAGATACGGTAGAAACTCAGAGTACGATAGTAACCGAGATACGGTAGCCATACGGTAGCACGATAGTAGCCATCAGCGTATGGTATAGTAGCAATAAGGATCGCTAGTCATCAGGGTAGCTTTCTAAGAATCGCACCTTTTAGAAAACACTTTGATCAACATTTTACTGTCTAGTAGTGACTTTAAATTCTCTCCCGAGTATCTACAAGCTGTCTGGCTTCAGGACAGGCAAAGCTAGGCACAAGACCAGAACTTAACCTGGTCTCTGGAGGTATTGTGAATATTGTGACAGCATCTAATGTTTTCTAAAGGGTAAAAATGGGTCACTGTATGCCAGTGATCATAAAGATAAATTTTTACAAATTCCGAAGTCAATACCTTGATTCTCTTTTGCAGATCGGTGATTTTTACAAAAGATGATAATATCTAAGCTTCATTTTCTCTTTGAATTCTTTCCCTTTTTCCTTTTAATCCATTCTAAAATCCCCGTCAACAATCACCCATTTCTCCAATAGGACCACACGCCCCAAATCCTTTTCGATCCTTTTCGATCCTTTCGATCCTTTCGATCCTTCGTAATCTCTTCGGAAATCATCATTTCTTTGATCCTTTTTTTATCATCTAAAACTTAAGCGTTGAGGTAAAACGGAGATTAGACTGAAGAAAGAAATTTGAAAGAAGAAATTACAGATATTAAATTTGTTGCTGATACTTGTCTATTTTCGGGGCTACTATCGGAAAACAGAGATCGGATGGAGGAAAGTAAGCAGTGAAGAGATCACAGGGGAAGATCCTTCAACTTATAAATATTAATAAAGCTTACGGCTAAGGTTGAAGAAAAGAAATCGAAAAGAAAAGCTTCAGAAGTTGAAGCTTTTCTTTTCGATTGAGAAAGTTTATTTACAACACTCAATTGACGAAATTCTAAAAATGGAAACTGTAAGGTTAAGTGTAATGTATAGAATGTAAGAAACAATGTAATGGGAATATATTGTTAAGCACACGGTATATCAGAAGCTATGCTCCCTACAGTATGCCAGAAGTGCTCAGCTCCTTTTAAAGGAGAGTGATTTAAAAAAAATGATCCTTATGCAATCCTATATTAGTATGTGAACTAGAATATGCAAGACATCGGCAGATTACGGTAGTTTTTCAGAAAGCTCACACATTTTCGAGAACGATTTAGTCGAGAAGCACACTCATATTTTGTATAAAGTGATATTGTTTGTTTTTGCTGAGTTTTACACAGCAGTAGACACAGCAGTAGACAGCAGTAGACAGCAGTACAGCAGTAGACAGCAGTACAGCAGTAGACAGCAGTACAGCAGTAGACAGCAGTACAGCAGTAGACAGCAGTACAGCAGTAGACAGCAGTACAGCAGTAGACAGCAGTAGACAGCAGTACAGCAGTAGACAGCAGTAGACAGCAGTACAGCAGTAGACAGCAGTACAGCAGTAGACAGCAGTACAGCAGTAGACAGCAGTAGACAGCAGTACAGCAGTAGACAGCAGTACAGCAGTAGACAGCAGTACAGCAGTAGACAGCAGTACAGCAGTAGACAGCAGTAGACAGCAGTACAGCAGTACACAGCAGTACACAGCAGTACAGCAGTAGACAGCAGTAGACAGCAGTACAGCAGTACACAGCAGTACACAGCAGTACAGCAGTACAGCTAGACAGCAGTAGACAGCAGTACAGCAGTAGACAGCAGTAGACAGCAGTACAGCAGTAGACAGCAGTAGACAGCAGTACAGCAGTAGAAAAAGCAGTAGACAGTATTAGGTTGGTGCAAAAGAAATTTCGGTCGATATAAAATGTTCTTATTTTTTTAATCTGAAGAGCTTATTTGATGTTCTTTTGTGCATTTGTACTCTTGGATATTTACTTTATTTTCGCATTTTTTCAAAGTCAGAGCTTTCACTTTTTAATTGATTTTTGCTTTAGATCATGGTGGAACAAAAGTATGTTCTGCGCACGTGTCTTCTCTATGACTTCAAAATGGGCAAAAACGCTGCTGATTCACATCGTGATCTCTGTTCCGCCTTTGGAGAACAGGTTATCACCGAAAGATCATGCCAGCTCTGGTTTGCCCAATTCCGAGATGGTAATGAATCCCTTGAAGACGAATCGCATGGACATCGTGCCACAGCCATCGACAACAATGAATTGGAACAATTAATTGAAGCTGATCCAATGCAAACAACGCGAGAACTTGCCAAACATCTCCAATTCAACAATTGTGCGCCATTTGGAAATAATTGGAAAGACAAATCGTAATGGACAATGGGTTCCACATCAATTGAGTGTTGAGAATCTGGGAGCACGCGTTCCGATCAGCCATATCTTGCTCCAGAAGTCGAAAAGAAGCCATTTTTTTGAGAATATCTTGACGATGGATGAGAAGTGGATTCACTTTGATAATACTTCTCGAAAAAGACAATGGCTGGGCAAAGGTCAAGCGCCAATTCCAACTCCAAAGCCGGATTATCATGGGCGCAAAGTGATGTTGTCTTGCTGGTGGAATATCAATGGACTTGTTCATTTTGAATTATTAGAGCCCGGAAAAACAGTCGATTCATCTTATTTTATTCAACAACTCAAGAAGGTTGACGAAATTTTGCGTGAAAAAGGCCTAAATCCCTCAACTATCAACTTTCTCCGTGATAATGCTCCAGCTCACACGGCAAAAACCTCTTGTAAGGAACTAGAGAAGCTAGGATGGAAGGTCTTACCACATGCGCCGTATAGTCCAGACTTAGCACCCTCCGATTTTCACCTTTTCAGATCGATGCAACATTCCCTTGAGAATTGCCAGTTTAAGAATGCAATGCAAAAGAAGTCGAAAATTGGGTGACCAACTACTTTGCATCACAGAATCAAGCGTTCTTTGAGAAGGGGATCCGCAATCTGTAGCAACGTTGGAGGGATGTCATAGATAATAATGGTGCTTATTGTTTTAAATAAATTGTTATCAAAAAAAATTTTGGATGACTTTAATGTTTGTAAAAAAACGAAATTTCATTTGCACCAACCTAGTAGACATAAATCCCAGCTGGCCTTTTTTTTTAAAATTTAAACGAGCTTTGAGAAAGGAAATGACAGGAAAATAGGAAAGAAGGATAGGAAAGACAATAAAGAAGAAAGAAAAGAAGAAAGGGAGGGTCTTCAGAAGTTCAAAACATCCCATCTTCACAGTAGAATCAAAGCTTTACGATTAGACAAAGCTGTACGTCAGTGTATTCTTTTGGAAGACCCGTAAACGCTTGGATATAAGTACAGTAACCGAAATTTCTAAAAAGGTTCCTACAAGTTAGGTTCAACACTTACACTACTGGACAATGAAATATCATATTTGAAAAAGAGATCGTCACTTTCGCTCGTCTGTAACTCCCTTGTGTTTACCGTATTTCTAAATATCAATATCACCATTGTGTAGCCCTTGAAAAGAGCTTTCAGAAAATGTAGAACACTAATAGTTTAAACTCAAAGACAAGGGAGTTACAGAAGCGCGAAAGTGACGATCTTTTTGCCAAATATGATATTTCATTGTCCAGTACTGTAGGTTCAACAATTTCTTATAGAGATCACCAGAATGGGTAATCCGGAAACTGAAAATAGATGAGAAATACGAAATTCGAAAAATCCCGTTTACGTCAAAACATCATTAGTGAGAATCGGGACTCTCAAATCGGCTTTGGTTCAAAAATGGGGAAAGAGGGGAGAAAAAAAAGTCATCGAAACGCAAACGCAATCCGGCTATTTTTGGAAAAGGATAAAGTAGAGTTAAATCTTTCAGAGATCCGAGATAGACGAAAAGGAAACAGAGGAGGACTCCACCCATCAACCAATCCATCAACAACACCCGCCCTCATCTCTCCACAAAATACCCTCATTCGTATGATGCTGAAACGGTCGGCGAGCACGGAAAGCTCGGCACAACTGAAGAAAACGAGCAATCACACCTCGATGAACGACACCGCGTTTCACTCACCTGAACTCACATATGATTCGGCTTCTCCCAGGTAAAAATTGAAATTGATTTTAAGACAGTAACCTCAATTTGCATTTAATTAATGGCCTACATATTTTTATAACCAGTCTAGTGATATGGCAATGAATTCTTGACAATCCTTTGTGTTGTCTTGTTAGCTATCCACCACTAGATCTCAATCTGATCTCGATTACTTTCATTACCGAAACAACTCAACTGATGAAAGAGTGCCGTCTTTGACCTCACCCATCAGATCTGCATCTTTGTGCATCCTAGCCTTATCTTAGCCTGACTTTAACAAGCCCGGCCCACAAAAAGCCTACTGACCCTGCCCTAGCTTAGTCTGGCCTAACCTATTGATCAGAGTCTGGTGATACACCCCTGATTCATTACCCTTTACTCAGCCATATTTCTAGACTCACCGATTCACAGGAGTCTCTACTAGAAGACGAGGAACGTTTGAATGCCCTCTTGGAGGCATCCGGCAGTCCGAACGGTCGGAAGAGTGTCACTTTCTCGGAAGTGGTAAGCGAAAGGAATTTGCATTTCAGATCCCAAGATTCTAGACCGACAACGGTCCACTCCTTCGTTCGAGTTCCGCGATTCGTTTACGCGGTTACAAGGGCATTTTGAAGAAAGAGGACAAGCAACGAGAGAGGTGAGATCAGTGAAAGACAAAAGATTTACCAAGACATTTCTAGTGTTCGCCGGATTTTGGAGTACGCAAGCGAGCGATTGTATAAAGATTTGTGTCTCTTGATTGAGGAGAGAGATCGAGCGATTTGTGCTTTGGAGATTACCCCGATTGACACATCGGGCATGAGTCCGCACTCGGCTGAGGCACAGATTGTGAGTGAAACTTTGGAAAATAAAAAAAAAACAAAAGAAAAGCTCAACCAGAATGAATTTGAAAAAGGCAAAAAGTCAGAGATACAATTTAAGCCTAGCCTAGTACAGGTGTTATGGTTCGACTTTTAAAACTTCCATATAATTTCAGAACTATCGCGATCAACTCCTCCAAAACAAGGGCACTTTGGATGCGCGAATCGATACTCTTTGGAGGAAGCTCAAAAATGCGCCGATTGATTTTGTGAAGGTAAGCAAGTACTGTAGCTGAAAAAAAAAGACAAAATGTTTCAGCTTCAATGTGCCTGGATTTTCACGGTAAGCGAATCATCGCAACTGACGATGAAAATTCGTAGACGCGTGCTGCCGAGGAGGAATTCTGCTTATTTTTCGGTAAACGGTAATAAAAAAACTTATCCTTTTTTCCATTTCAGCTCGAGAGAAAGAAGAAATCGGACATCGAGCTGGCGTCTGAATATGCGCAGAAATTGGCACGAATGAGAGCCGAATTGATTCGAAAAGACTCGGAACACGAAGATCAAGATTATCTTACGCTCTTGCAACGAGTGAGTAGTACTGTACTTCTATTACATTTTCTCAAAGGTGCGCTGAGAAAAAAAGCAAAAGCTATCGTAATCCTCGGCTTTACTAGGCAACAGCTCTATGTTTTTAAAACTAAATATTGATTTAAACAAAGGCTAGCCTGATTGCTTAAATTTAAAAATATTGCAGGGTACGGTAGCTTAATGCATCTTTTAGAAAGCGGCTTAAAAGCATATTGTAACAATTAAGACGCCTCAAAACCCAAATGCAATTCCAGGTCTCAAAAACACTTGGAAATCAAGATGCTCTGTTTCAAATTGCTCGAGCAAGAGATGTCAAATTCGACAAAATATCATAATTTTAATCCTAATTCAATCCTTTCCGTTACAAGTTCTTTCTTTCAACTATGAGATTCTACAGTTTTCCTTTTTGCTCAACGTTTAGAAATAACATTTCTTTTAGCTTACTCGGGTCATGTGCTGACGAATTTTCTCTATCGGGTATTTTATTCGTGATCTGAAATATTTATTTTATCGCGTAAAAATGATAAAATAAATTAGTAAATAAAACAAATAAACAAAAACAGCTACAATATAACTAGTGCCTGTTCATAAAAAGTTATCATACCTAAAGCAACAAAAAAGAAACTATCTTACCACATTTTCTCAATAGGGTTTTCCAGTTTGTAACCTCCAATGTCGAAAATAGCGCGTCCGGCTTGAAGAAGTCCAGGGTTGGTCCGAAGAAGACCAAAATGATCTCCCAACGCTTGCAGTTCAAACCATGAAGATCGAGCGAGTCTAAGGAAAATTGAGTTTCACTTTTCCAAGCAAGAAAATTATCTCAGCTTTAAAGGCCTATTCCTTTTATCCAATAAGTTGGAAAAGTACCTGGTGCACAGTTGCGAAGCAAAGAGAATCTCTAAGTCGGCATTTCGTAGTCCAATTGAGTAAGATCTTGTGGCCCGGGCGATCACTGCCACCATCATAAAGTTATTTTGCAACACTAAATCAGAGCTGTACTAGGCAAAAACACGTGTATAAACCTCGGACAAGATTTTCCATAGTGCCATAATCAGCTTCCAAATTTTTCCCTCTTTCCGAAAGCAGCTTTTCGATGATCACATTTACACGACCCATTGAATTCTCTAGTTCTTGACAAGCCAACTAAACATATTCGTTACAACGAGTATTTAATGCGATGCATGCACCACTTACCTGAAGCGTGGGGTGCGCATGTTCGGCTATATAATGCCTCAAGCCCGGGTTCGCCATCTTTGTTTGGTACTTTTGGGCATTGAACAATCGTTGGAAAGTAGATTTAGTTCTAATTGGATAAATATAACGCATAAATAAACTCGCTAACCTTGAGAAATTCTTTGCTGCCCACGTTGAAATAGTCGAAAGTGCTACCTGCTCGGTGATACTGCCCTCGGGGTGCTAAAACAGCAAATCATCCAATTTAACAAAATGGAATATACCATGGCAAGTAATGTTGAAATATCTCGTATCCATCGTTCATAGTGTACTCCCAATTTGCTTCCTTGAAGTCCGCACAGTTCAACAATTGTCGAAACACAAAGACTCAATACTTCTCGACTTTGGCGCTAAAAATAATGGTTACGAAAATTCTAAAAAGAGACTTACGTGTAATAAAGCGCTTTCGATGTCGATAGTCACAGATAATCCTTCATCCATTAGACCACCAAGGTAATATGTTGATGATTCCAGAGCGTAGACTTTCGTTGTCAAGTGTGAAAGAACTCTTTGAATTGCCGGTAAATCAGAAAGAGTAGCATTTTCCTAAAAATTATATTTATAAATGTGATCTGTTAGAAATTTTACTTACTGTGCTTGTCGACGCTGTTTGATTGCAGACTGTAACGAGATCATCAATCAACCTCTTGGCGAATCCGCTTACGGCTGCACTCAAGGGAATTCGACTACATGCAGATAACTAAAAAGACAAAAGCTAGATACTAGAATTGAGGCAGTCTGAACATAGACTAAACATCAATGTTCTTTCTTAATTTATTTGTTTAGGAAGGAGAAGTATATTCCCTAGGATTGACACTCACCTCGTTGGCCACTTCTAGCCCTTTAGACTCTTCGCCCAAGACGTTGCTTGATTGGATAAAGGCCCGCAGATGCAACTCACCAACTAAACAAATATTAAAATTAGAAAATCTAGATTGAATACTTTCAAATGCTCGCAATCCCAAAGTTTCTTCCCGTTTTGCTTCCCACATTGTAGAGTCATCAATCTCATTTCGATCAATTAAATAACACGTAATTTGTCGCCTTTTCTAAAGCTTACTTTACGCTAGCAAAACATGAGAATGTCACCTCATTCTTATCAAACTTTGCACCAAACACAAACAACAGATTCGCTGATTGAGGATTAACCACCTAAAGTTTCATTAAAGTTGGCGACTAGCGGTTTTTTCATACCTTGACTTTACCATCGAGCAATTGATTATCCCCACTACCGCAAACCTCAGCAAATGCTCCGCTGAAGAATTAAAAAGTTGCCAATCTTAAATCACAAAAAGTTACCCTTGCTCAAGCACGGCAAATCCTGGTCTGCATTTGCCCTCACTGATTAGAGGCAGATATTTTTCTTTCTGTTGAACAGATCCGAAGGTCAGCAACAAATTGACAGCCCTGTTGATAACTTCAATCGATGAACATAACGACCAATCGATACTTAGTTCCTGAAAAGTATTCCTGTTGCGGGGAGAATAAGAAAAGTTACCTCAAAAAGTCGAATCTTGTCTTTATTTGAAAATCCCAATCCACCAAACGTTCCGGGGACAAGGGTGCTGGGTATAGCGTTCCTGTCAATCGCCAGTTTCACATTTTCTGTCAACGCTTTCAATTTTTCAATCTCTTCCGAATTAACTAAAAATTGATTAGTCTAGAATCAAATAAGCTAGAACCTGATACTTCCAAAGAGTCGTGCAACATTTTTACAAAGCCTTCTATATTTCGAAGATCCTCTGTATCTTGATGTTCCGGATATATGAAGAAATCCTAAAATAATAATAAAAATAAAAATCATGGTTTTGGCATCTTAAATGCATACTTTTTCAAACTTATCCATAGCTAGTCCCCTTGTTAAAGATTGTTTTTCTATGGGTACATCTTTGTTTGTGACTCCACCAATATGAAAGCGTTGAACTGCAGTCGGACCCTAAAAATACAAAATTATTAAATCCGCAAAGGAAATCTACCTTGTTATTTTCGGCGCTGGATTGACTGTTTGTTGACAACCATCTTCGCGGCAACCATCCTATCCTCAATACCGTTCTCATCTGAAATTTATTATACCCGTTTAAATATTAAAATAACTTAGGCAATGTAATGAAAACGAAAAACAAAACAATATAAACGCATAGCAACAAAAACGTTAACAACGTGTGATCGAAAAAAGGATAAATATTATTAAACCGAAAATGAGATCAGAAACTATTTAAAACGATATTTCACCAGAAGCTTTCGTCGTAAAGTAAAGATTCTCTGGATCTATGTACAAAATGAGATCGATGATGAGCTGTTGAACTTCAATTTCCCGCGGGTCGTTCGTCACTTTGAAACGGGGTATTCGAAGCTCCTGAAAACATCTCTGCTGTCGTGCGAGCAAGTCATTGCAAGTGTCCAAAAATTTCGCGTCATATTCAGTGATTTTATCGTTCAAATCGGGATCCCGTTGATGTAGTCTCAAAAACCGTTGTCTTTTCTCGTGTGCTTCTTCGTATTCCTTCACTTGGGCAAAGTGATCCTTGATGATCGTGTGAAAGATGCCGAAATAAACGAGACGATCGATCAGTGGCTCGAGAATTGACGGCGTTAAGAGATGTCCCTGCGATTCGATGCGCTCCTCGAGAAATTTCTCCACGTATTGCTCGATCGAGATCCGCCGTCGTCGTTGTTCCCCTTCTTCCAGGAATTCCTCGGTTCCCGATGGCACCTCGGTCTCTGCACTCAACAGAAACGACAATCGGCCGCTGGGCATACTAAATGAAAACGAGTTTTTCAATAGATAAACGGAGAAAACATTTAAAAGCACACAAAAAATAGGTAACTAACAAGGAACAATCGTTCTCATGCTCACTAGCCGTAGAAATCTCAAATATTAAGGCAAGCCTTTAAATAGCCATTAAACAATAAATTTTGAATATTTATGAATTAATCGACAAAATAGCTTAAACTCGAGGCGTTGAAAAAAAACTATAAATCGAGACCCCGCTCTCTAGCGACAAAAGCCCCAATTGCATTTAACTAGGTGCAAAGATCCACAAACTCTATACCCAGGATCCTTGTCCTCGGAACATTTGATGGATTGGGATTTTCAAATAAAGACAAGATTCGACTTTCAGGAACTAAATAACTTCATTTTTACTTTTGTGCTCGTTGAGAATTGGTGCGTTTTATGGTTGCTAATTAGAAAAGCGGACGTTTTCCCCCTTTAATATAGTAGTAAACTACAAAAAATATGAAAACTCCCGAAGAACACCCCAAAAGCTACACTCGGCTACCCTAGTTTCATGTTGAGATGTGAACGGAGGTTTGTACTTTGCACCTTGAAAAAGGACTTTGCACACTGCCCCACATCTCAATGCTCTCTCTCATTATCAGACGTCAAAACAATGTTTTTCAGCCTATTTCCAAGGGTGAACTTGCTTTACACAAAATCTTTGCCGGTTTTGGTTGCTCTATTTGGTTTCCTGCGTTGCTTTTCGCTTTCATTTGTAAAACATCACGTCATTATTGTTTTGTTTACAGGAAATGTTGCGATTATCCTTTCCTCTACAAGAATCGATACGCCATGCGTCAAACGCGGTGAAACGAGTTGGACCAAATGTCGTTTTGGTGGGCTTGCTTTTTACCATATTCCTTTTACAAATGAAGTTCTTTAGGTGGATGCCGTGCGAACACCGTTTTGCCTTGCCGGAACGGCGTACAAAGATCTCATGGCCGTGGACTTACAAAAGGAGGCTTTGCGAGGTAAATCATTGGCTTTTGGTTAAATTAATCTGAATTTGCTTTTTAGCTCTTGTACGACGCACGCAAATTCCATACGAGAAGATCGATCACGTAATTTGTGGAACTGTCATTCAAGAGCCCCGGACCAGCAACATCGCACGTGGTTAGCATGAATTACATTTTGCAATCAAACATAAACATTTTTAGAAGCAGCGCTCTTGGCCGGGTTCCCAGATAAGGTTTTGAACATTTAATTACGTCAGGAGTTTAACATTTCATTCAGATCCCGTGCAACACAGTGACACTAGCATGTATCTCTTCGAATGTTGCGGTCACTGATGCTATTGGCATGTTGAAGGTTGTGAAAGTTATTACTTACCTTTAATTTTAAAAACTTTAGTCTGGTTATGCTAATGCGGTCGTTGCCGGAGGTGTAGAATTTATGTCAGATGTTCCGATTCGCTATAATCGCAAAGTAAGAAATTATTGATTGAAAAAACAAAAATTGATTATTTATTTCCAGGCTAGAAAGGCCATGCTTGGAATGCAAAAAGCGAAAGCAGCTGGCGAGAAGCTGAAAATTTTTGGTGAAATTGCAAAGAACCTCCTTTCTCCAGAATTGCCCGCTATTGCCGAATTTTCATCAGGTAAGCTCTTAAGAATGTAGGCTAAATTTTTTTGATGTTTAGGAGAAACCATGGGACATTCGGCTGATCGTTTGGCTGCAGCATTTAATGTTTCGCGCAAGTAACTTTTTGTTTATTTGTTCTTCGTTTCAATAGCAATTTTAGGGAACAAGACGATTTTGCTTTGCGTTCTCACACCTTGGCTCAAAAAGCGGCTAGCGGCGGAAAATTAACTGGTAGGTGGTGGAATTAATTTAATTTTACGACTTATGTTGGTTATAATTTTTTGTTTTTTTAGATATTGAGCCCGTTTTCTTGGAGGGAAAGAAGCCAAAGACGGTTAAAGCGGACAATGGAATTCGTGTTTCTACACCAGAAAAACTCACTAGTCTCAAGCCGGCATTTGTGAAGCCTCATGGAACAATCACAGCCGCTAATGCATCTTTCTTGACTGATGGGGCTTCTGCTTGTCTTGTGATGACAGAGGTATCCTTTCACAATCCCTTGCACATTGATGAGTTTATTCTAGGAGTTCGCTTTGGCAAATGGCTACAAACCTAAAGCCTACTTGCGAGAATACCAATTTGTGTCGCAGGATCCAAAGGATCAACTTCTTCTCTCTCCCGCCTACGCCATTCCTCGTCTACTTGATAAAGTTACCACCTTGCATTTACTTTTTCTATTTGAATTTAGGCTGGCCTCAATGTAAAAGATGTATCGGTTTTTGAGATACACGAGGCGTTTGCCGGACAAGTACTTGCGAACTTGAATGCTCTTGATAGCGAGCATTTCTGCCAGGTTTTGCTAAATTTATTCCATAACTTAAATCTCACACTTAGAAATGGATGAAGAGATCACGTGTTGGTCGCCTTGATATGGACAAGCTCAACAAATGGGGTGGATCACTTTCTATTGGTCGGTAAACAAATAATTAGAATTTTGTCAATAGCAAATTATTCTTTTAGGTCATCCATTTGGTGCCACTGGCGTACGCCTTCTTGCCCACACTGCTGCTCGTCTTAAGGTTTAGCTAAGAAGGTTATTTTTCTACCGACCTTTATATTTTAGGAAGAAGGTGGACAGTACGGAGTGATTGCTGCTTGTGCTGCTGGTGCGAAATAAAATTTAAATTTAATTATTTATGAAATCATTCAGGAGGGCACGGCGTCGGAATGCTCGTCGAAGCGTACGGAAAATAGAATTCGGTTGAGATTGCATTTCAGAACGAATAGCGCTTACTGTGATTCTTCGACTGTATAGATCTTTTTTGTAAGTATCAATTTGGCCTTATGTATTAATAAATTGGTTTCAAAAGTTTTGTTCTATTGTATTGCGTCAATGTCGGAAAGCAAATATTGGAAAGACTGACACCAATTATTTTTGTTCTATTGCACTGATTTTAGGCAAAAGAAGAAAAACAGATGTCATGCAGAGATTCGCAAACCTTTTAGACGTTGGCTTTCATTTTAATTTTATCAACTTGTTTTTCTTAGCGTGTACTTGGTCGAGGAAGGAATCAAGAGGTTTTGTCAACAACTTTCAACCTTAATCAAATTCGTCAATTACCTTGCACCGATGATGGTTAGTTTTGATTAGCATACTCGACAAAAGAATTCCGAGGAGTTAAAAGATCTTCTTTTAGACCCGAAACCACATGCGAGAAGTGGTCATCGCATTTTTACCGATGATGATTATATCTATGTCATTGGTGGCTATGACGTAGAACCAAGTGATGGTGGATTCATCTTTAAGGAGGTTACATTTTAGCACATTATAAAAAACGGCATCTTTAGCTTTGGCGCTACAATCTTTTAACGAAATGTTGGTCCCAAGTTTCACTCCTTCCTGGTCAACGTTTCCCGCAAGCACTCGCCTCGCATGCAAGTTGGTGGTTGTAGTTGAAATGTATTCAGATTTCCTTTTAGTTGCGCCTGTTATACCCTTGTCTCCCTATATTATTTGCTATGGTGGATCACAGGTAATTCTTTTTATGAGGGTATGATTACAGAAAAGTTTAGATTCCATTTGGTGAGACTAACTCCAATAGCGTTTTTCTTGTGTCAGCTCTACGAAATGGTATTTCAAGCATTGAGGTTTACTCGTTTGTTTATGCTTATTCAAACAGGTTTTAGTTAAATCAGAAGAGCCCTCGTCTGACCGGAATTTATGGCCACGTGCGTAAAAACATTTCAATTTTATTTTAAAATCTGGTTTTAGGCAATGTGCTCATCACAAATTGAGGATAATGTGTTTTATGTCGTGGGTAGGATAATTGATGCTTTATATGTATAAACTTTAATTGCATTGATAGGCGGCACAACGGGACACGACTACTTTTGTGATGTTCACAAGTTGACGCTTGCTGCTGATCACAGTTGCGAGTGGGAGCAACTCAATATGGTTTGTCATAAGCACTTGATGTAAAAGAAAGTTTGTTTAGGGCAGTAGCAGACCTGGCCGTTATCGACTAGAAGTCGCGCACGATGAAATCAACAATAGACTGTTACTGCTTGGCGGAGGCTCGCCGGATTTTGCTGAAGGATTTGATCAGGTAAAAAAATTTTATTTGGGTAAATAAATGCGCATTGGGAATTTAGATTACGGTCTTCAATTTGTCAACTAACTTGTTTGAAACGGTCACAACGAAACCTGATGGCGACGAATTCCCTACTCGAAGACGGTCTCACTCTCTCGTTAAACATGGGCGCTTTTTAGTGATGGCCGGCGGCTGCGCTCCAGCTATTGAACATCAACCATTTGTCAGTAGCTCTAATTAACATATAATTTTTTTAAAATATAGCCTCTGGTTATCCGTGGCGATATTTGGCGTCTGGATTTAGATACACTGCAATGGACGCAACTTGGTTCTTTGCTTCCGCCTGTATTTTTCCATGATGCCACTGTTACAAGTGTAAGTTGTTTTTCTAGCTTATGGTAGCGTTATTTTTGGATGTTTTTAGGATGGAATGATGCTCATTTGGGGTGGTGTAACTAGCGCAGATTCGTCAACTCGTACTGCTGAAGGACAGGTTTTATTGATCTCATGTCACCTATTTATTTACTCTTAGTACATGTGGTTGGCGCCTCCCACTTTGAAGACCCTTGCTGCTCATCAATTGGCCAAACATTATCCGGGCATTGTGGGTCTTTTTTAAATTGGCTTCAATTTTTATTCTTTAGTTTTGTCGAAATGTCGAAGGGCCTCGAATTACCAATATGAAAGAAATATGGAATCATCTTTCAAATCACGTTTTTGATGTCGACCCGAGCGAAGCAGCTTGTTAATTTTCAAGTAAACTTATATTGGATATAATATTTTATGTTCGTTTCAAATTTCCTCTACTTTTTTTCTCAATCTCTTTCTTCTTTTCTTTTCTTCATTTCTTTTTTCTTTCGTCTATTTTTACTAATCTCGGGTATTTTTAATTGTCGTGTGTGATTGGCTTTCCAAGTTATTTTGTACGGGTAATAAATCGTATGGCTAAAATAAAATGCAATCACAACTGGCTTAGGATTCTGTGAATTAGAATTATAAATACTTTTTCAAGATTTTAAAAGCTTTGCTCACTCTGCAGAGCTTTTGAGGGGTTCAAAGTCAACAACTTAAAAATTCCGCACGTGTGATTTGTACATTTTCGTCTTCACAAATCTATTTTCTGTGCCAAAGATACAAACTTTATTCAAAATTTGATCGCGGTTTTTGCTCTAAAAGATAATTATACTTTATTTTTGACAATAATATTATTACGGTCGAATTTTTATACCATAAAAATTCGTACCGGTACATATGTAAATTTCAGGACTTTTGCATTGAAGTTACCACCAGGACACATGCAAATTCCTTTAAATTATACATTTACATTCATCAAATATGTATCTTTTTGGTAATGCAAATCTCCCACACTTTTGTTTAGCGATGTCACTGACGTTGTTGAACAGTCGATGTTGTCGACAATGCAATAGCAACTTTTCCAGTTTCTACGATCTCATTGCGCATTTCGAGACAACGCATCTTCGTAAGTTAATGATAAAAAAAAACTTGAACATATGACCGAAACACGGTATAAGTTAATCATAAAGTGCAAAAAGTGGAAACGTAACAGTAGAATTTGAACCTAACAATTCAGAAGACATCATTTTGGCCGAACAGAAACGCAAAGAGGAGGACTCGGCGCCGAATCGGTCAAGCGGCACGAATTTGCCACTTTCCTACTATTATCGGTTTGCGATGCGCTTCAAGAACTAGAAAAATTAAACTCGCAAAATTCAGACTATTCCCAGATGCTGATCCACCAAAACCCGTCCCCCTTCCGCCACCGACTCGACTCCCGTTTTGTATCTACAGAAAAAGGCCTGCACCAGGTTGAGGGAAATTTTGAGTCAAAAAAATTTCAAGTTTAGGTCAGAATGTCGACTTCTCACATACGATGGCCCCGGTTTATTCTCATTCTCATCCACAAGGGTCGGCTAGACGAAAAGATGGTAAATTTAGAAAAAAATAATCGAAAGCCAGAAGACATGGACCCTACAAACTACAAGGTCAGACTATAAACCCTTGTAGAAACATGTAGAATAGAGATTTTTCAAAAAAAATTTTCACCAAAAAATCGAGCCAACTTTTGGCTTTCGAATGACACCAAAATCAGGCGAAATCATGTTCTCTTTGCTGAGATTTAACGTTTTTTCCAAGTTTGTAGTCGGGTCCCATGGGATGAGACTATAAACGGCTATAAATAGCTCGTCCTCGGAGTAGAGATGATAGATTTTCTTGATTTTGGTGTCATTCGAAACCCTAAAGTTGGCTCGATTTTTTGATAAAAAGGTTTTGAAAAATCTCTATTCTACGCGTTTCTATAAGGGTTTGTGGTCTGATATTGTAGTTTGTAGCGCCTACTGTCTACTGTCCCCATTTTGCGTAAACCGGGATCGAACCTTGGTTTTTTAAAACATTAACCATGGTTGCTAACCACTTGGCCAAAATGCTTGAACGCAACACAGAACAATGACATTTTTTCAAATGCAAATCGCTGACTTTGCAACACCTTTAACGTAGTCAATTTCAGACTCGCGAACGGTGGCCGATGACGATGAGAGTAATATCTCGGAGGCTGACCTAGAAGAAGCGGATCCGGGGTTTGAAGAGTTCAATAGTTTGAGTACATTTTCATTCTCAGTGATCCGAATGTTTCGCTCCGCTTTCGGTGTCAAATCCCTTCTTGTGGGAAACAATATAAGAATGTGCACGGAGTGAGACACCATATGATGATGGCACACGGAGAGGATAAAACACAGGTTTGAACTCTAAGATTTAGATGGTTTAAGCCCTTCTTTTGTTTTAGCATTCGGCTGTGCCAACGGAAGGACCGCCGACAAAGTGAGTAGCTGAAGCTTTTCTTTAAAATTTCCCGTAATGTTGTCTCTATTTGTTTCATTAAATCCATTCACTTTTTGTATCATTCGATCTCATTTGTGAACCCTTGAAGGATCAGATCAAAAATGAATGGATTGGATAAAGCTAGAGACAAGGTTACAGTAGTCAAGAAAGGGGACACGTTTTAGAAAACGAAAACTCGAGTACGTACATGAAAGTGTGTCTCGGCTACCGTAACTTGCATTTCGTTTTACAGTAACCCAAATAGTTTCTATCATAGTCGTAAAGATTACTGTAATTTTAACGAATTTAAAAGATCCATGAGGATCAAATTAGCCGCGATTACGATAGCTGGGGTAGCTTTTAGAGCGTCGAGAGGAGAGCGTTTGGAAAAATTTCTTAAGTCTACTTCAGTATCGATGCTTGTGTGCACGGTATCAAAGAGTATCAAATTCCAGAAACGGTCGTCCATTCAAATGCTCACAGTGCAATAAGCGCTACAAATCGCAAGCCGGTTTAAACTCGCACGTGGCCAAGGAACATATCAGGACGGCGGATGCAAGCGGGCACATATCGGCTCCGATGTCGCCAGCCCCGCAAATGGAACAGGTGATTTGAAAAGTTTATATACCAAAGAATGTCATTTTCATTTTCAGAAAATCGGCCAAGGAATGCGCCCGATTGCCAGTCAGCCTCAGCTCTCACAAATGCCTTCATTTCAACAAGGCTATCAACCCAATTCGGTGCCTTTGGCACAAGGCAGTATCTCACATCCAGCGCCGAATGTTCAGGTATCTTCGTGAATACTGTTTTTTTCTAAAAAGTCGATAAGTTGATAAATCTACCGTAATCCTTTCCTCTATTTCTCAGTTTCATTTCATTTTTCTATTTAATTCACAGCTTGATTCCTCATCGAATGAGATTAAAATTGCCTAAGTGAACTGGAAAAAATGTGAAGAAAAGATTACGGTAGCTCTTCCAAATTATTCACCTTTTCGAAAAAGCAATCATACAATTTACAACAATATTTTTAACAGGTTCGTCAACTGCCGCCACCAGTCTCAAATGAGCAAGGACAAGTCTCGTATCAACAATTTCAAGTTGGTTGCCTGTTTTCTTTTTGAGGGATAAAATGCTGCAGGAATATCCGGCAAATCAACCGACAGGCGCTGTCCTTCAAGCGCATTTGGCTCAGCGCCGTGCCCAGCAACTGAATGCCCAATATGGAGGTCAGCCACGAGCCGGCATCAGGACGACGAGCTATGGTGTGTGACTTTGTGACAATTATCAAACTTTATCAAAAATATGGGCAATGTATAGCTGGTATTGATCATTTGCTATTGTACATTTTCTATTGTACATTTTCTATTGTACATTCCATCCGTAGCCCCTTCGCTGTCGTAGGCTTTCTTCCCGAGCGCGGTTCATTTGCTCTTCCTCGGATAGGCCACCCGTGTACGCACTAAATGCAAAAGTCAACGGTTTTATTTGGGTTACTGTAGATTTTATTGGGTTGGCCCAAATTTAAAGTGCTTCCTGTTCGGGATGTTCCAACCGGGCCTTTAAGCCAGGCCAGACAATACAGGGCTAGGGCCAGGCTTACAGTAAGGCCAAGGTCAGGCTCTGTCTTTTGGCGGCCCTGACCTTCCCTGAGATGAACCGGGTTACGGTATATTTCAATAAGAATTTGGTTTTGTTTGGGCTAATTGTAAGCTTTTTTGTATTTCCTTTCGACCTCCAATCCCCTTGCTGACGTCCTATTTGTTGACCGCTCCCAGACCAGCGATTCTGTTGATTTCTCGAGTTACCAAACCAATTACTCCAATTGCTTCTTGGCTCCTCGTCTGTGCCATTCTCGAGTAGTCCACCTGTTGAGGAAAAAGTTTTGAGATTAGTGACCAATTACCCAAAGCTGTGTCAAGGAATGAGACGAGAGGGTAATAAACGACGTTGAGTAGACCGTTGGTGTATGCAAGTCCACAAATGATTCCGCCAAGATGGCCGACAAAGCTAGCATTTGGAGTTAGCATCTAGAAATTGAGCGTTTTCTTGTTTTCTAAAATGTGTCACCTTTTGGGGAACTACCGTGATCTTGGCCTAGCTTTTATCGAATTTATTTACGTTTCGTCTACTTCTGTAAAGCAGTGACCTAGAACCAGTAAGCCAGGCTAGAGCCGGGCCAGAAGCCAGGGCTAGGGACTTATTCAATCCAGGCTAGAGCAAGATTACGGTACTTTTTCGTAAACTGACACATTTTAGAAACCCTTAGAAGAGTACTTGTAAAGCCAACAAACTTGTATGACGCCTAACTCAATCCAGCTAGCGTATCGTGTCGGAATGGGTAGCCAACCGAAAAGAAACTCGTGATCATGTGGTCGCAAGTGGTTCAGAACGACTTTCAACGCGAAGAGGACACCTGAGATTTTGTTTGTTTTCTAAAAGACATCTATTTTAGAAAACTACTGTAATCCAGTAATCCAGTAATCCAGTTTACACCCGATTCGCCCAACTTTGGTATTACTCGACGAGGAATCACAAGACTCAGTCAATGATACAAAAATTGAGCTGATTGAATGTGTTCGGAAATTCTTCCGATAAAGTCTATTTTCTTTTAAAAGTCTATCGACCAATGTTTCCTCTATTATCCTCCATTTATCTTTCCGCGATTTCCCCAGACAAAACTTAGACCTTTCAAAACATTTAGCACTCAACATTTCGGTATATAAACCCTCCGGTGCTTTAATAAATATTCTACCTTGAACCAAGGGATATGGACACAACCTAAACCCAACAGAATGTAAATTGGTTTGATTACAGTAGTTTTCTGGAATAGATGTCTTTTAGAAAACGGTAATGAGCTAACCGCTGAAACCGACTCCACATTGATATGAATAAGCTGTATCGAAAATTTGATCAAGTCCCAGCGAGATTCCGACAGTTGCAACCGGGGTTAGGACCACGAAAATGAGCAAGATGGCGAGGAATTGCACTCCGCCCATCATTCGCTCCATTCGTTTTCCCTGGAATTGAAAGTTTTAGCGAGAAGTTGACCAGTTTTTCCAACTTTCCACAGCATTGAGACCATATTGTAGTAGAGATGCCAATCATCAGCGTGCATAAAAACCGGCGCGATCAAGCGATAGAATTGGCGTTGTTGGATGATGAGGTCGGGTCGAAGACAGAGTTGCACTAGATTTATCATTCGAGTAGAGTACATACTAGACATGGGAAAATTCCAACCCCAACCTAATTCCATCTTCGTTTTTTGACCGATTGCTCCGAAATTTTGTCTAGAAGCTGAAAATGTCGATTTCTATCTGTAGATAAAATTTCAGAGCAATTGGCCAAGAAAACGAAGGTGGAATTAGGTTCGGGTTGGAATTTCCCCGTGTATAGTACCGTAATAGCCAAAAAGTATTCCCAAACATTTTAGAAAACACATTAGTACACTTTACTCCTCATCTTGAATTCACTTACACGTCTTTTCAGGCCCAAGAAACGGGATGAAATCCAGATAGATTGCCATTTGTGCCAGGATTGTTATAAGTGTAACCTAAACGATATAGATTTAGAGTTTAACTGGGTGATAGTACTGGTGGAATTGGTCCAGCGTTCAATAGATGAAATGCTAGCAGCATCACTCCTTGCGTGTCCCTTTGCCGTCTCTGTTGTCGATTCCGGAACATTGTTTTCTGGAAATTTGATGCTTAGAACATGCCTAGGCATTTGATTTTACGATCAAAAGTTTGTGCAGAATAGAATGGATTACGAAGAAAAGGAACTTTAGGACTTTAGAAGAACCGGTTACGGTAGAAATATACGAAAACTGGCGCTAGCTTGATTGATAAGCAAGTTTACTGTCGGAAATCGTTCATTTTAAATCAGTAGCTCGTTTTCTAAAAGGCACCTACTTTGGAATCTACCATAATCAAACTTTTTCCATTTAATCTGCCCAATTTTGGTATCATTCGATTAGGAATCATAAGGCTCTCGGTTAATGATATCGAAATTGGGATGATCGAATGTAAACTGGAGGTTATGATGGTTTATTGACGTTTCCCAAACATTTAAATTCTAGGTCGAAACCTTACCCAAACAGCTAAATCTTTTAACCCAGAAACACTAATTCCAAATGGTTTGCCAAAACGAGAGGAATAACAAGACGATTTGCGGTTGGATTGACTGGCATTTATAGAGCGAAAATGTTTAGTTTTTTAATAAATTTATCGAAAGACACGGGTCCGAAAACCGGGAAAAGTACACAAACTCTAAAATTTTAACAATTTTAAATGAAACAGGGAAGGGTGGTGGAAAAAATAAAATGAGGAGGGAGATTTTTATAATAAATAGAATTTTATAAGGGGATAAAGAAAGAGGAATAAAAATACATGCGCAAAAGAAACGGCGAAGCGCCGGACCGGGCAACGAGCCTTTAAAAGAATGAATTTTGAAGGATGAGATTTCATTTTATAGGGGGAAAGGAAGACGCCGTCTCGAGTACGGTAGTTTAGGTGTATTTTAGAATTTAGGGTTTAAAAGTTACCAACCCGTACCGGAACTGTGGGAATTGGGGTTTTTACTAAGAATGTGTCCAGAAGAACGCTTACGAAACATTATGCTCTCGAAATTTAGCTGGATATGATTTAGGTTCTAAGCACGAGTCAGCATAAAAATGACGAAAGAAGCAGTCTTTGTGAGCCCTTAAATAGTTGACAGGTGTTCGGATGAAAAGAGAATATCGAAAAGAAACGTCGATAGAAAGCAATGGGAAAACCTGTTGTGACTGACAATGAGACTGTTTGTTTACCCTTTTAGATTTCATTGATAACTCGAGTTGTTCCTAGAGCCAATTTTACCTTTAAAAATCAACATGTAATTGCTTTTAGACGTTTCCTCGGTCGATTATTGACTGAGTAGATGATCTAGATCCTTTTTGGTGACTTTCGCTTGGTTAAGCTAAGCTTTTTTTGGCTTTTTAGAGCTTTAGCTTTAGAATAAATCAGTTAATAACCATTCTTATTTAGGGTCAAACGAGAGCGGGAATGGTCAACAATTGCATCAGATTGGGTTGCAGGCGAATCCCAGTCCCACCTATCCACAACAGGGAGTGATTGGCCCAGAGCATCGGCTGAGTAATCCACAATCCTCGCGGCCATAATCAGAATCTATTATTATTTCTTTGTGTACATTTCGATTATCTATAACTACCGCAATACCTAACTGTAATGCGTTTTCTAAACCGTGTCAACGTACCGTATTCTTTCTAGTTTTTATTCAATCAATTCACTTTTGATCTGCTTCTGTGCAGGTTCACAAAGATATTGAAAAGCTCAAAAAATAGATAGATTTGATAAAAACTAGAGGCTGATTTACGATAGTCGAGAAAGTTGGCACGTTTTAGGAAACGCTTCATGCCACAGAATTACAGTATATAGTGATAACTTATTCGTGAAGGTAAATAAAAGTTCAAATCTCATTTGTTGTCGACAATCAAAAGCTACACATTGAGAAAGATTCTGGTTGGTATATCTTTTCTGGAATATTTTCTGTTTTTTTATCCGCAATTATTAGTTGGATTACGCAATGATTACACTTGTCTTGTTGGTTGTTGGGTTGTCTAATCCTCTATCCTTTCGTGGATCTGTAGCTTAAAATTTGCATTTGATGGAACGTCTAAAATTAACTGATTGTAGAAAACTAACTGCTAAATGATATTTGAAAGGTTTTCTAAAGCTTAATGCACTACTTATGATTTTCAGCGCAAATAGTGGCAAGATTTATCAAATTTTTACGCGTACATTTTAATTTTTTCCAAAGTTCAAGCTTAATGTTCATGTTTTTCATTTAGTCGATGCATGTCTAGAGGAGCACCAAAGAAATCCAAGGAGAGCCGGCTTGAAAGACCGAAGAATCTTTTGGACGCGGTGAGTTGCTAGTTTTTGGTACTTTGAAGTAGGAATAGAAGTGAATTTAAGCTGAAAGCTTTAATCTTTGGTAAGGCTCTAGTTTCAGGGGATATTAGAAAAAATTCTTTGAGAAATTTTTTGTTTCTGACGCTTTTTTCTGGGCATTTCGCGTCCCTTTCTTTGTTCTGGTACGAAAGGTTAGTGGCGCATTTGCTTCGTCTGCTAACGCCTGAAGGTAGCGGACTTTTGTGTGTGGAGGCTTACCTCCATTCCAAGCCACTAGCGACCGATGCTTTCTAGGATGCTGCAGTCAAGTCACACGGTCACCTTCAGCAAGGTTAGGATGCGGAGTCATAGCCTAGGCAATTAGGAGGCACATAAAAGGAAGGAGTAGCAAAGATGGAGGTACGAAATGAGCTTTTTGAGGGCAGAATGGCTTACTCTTTGTCATTGGCTGCATGTTCAACCGGTAGAAACGAAAAAAATTTTTGTTAATCTTTTCTGAAATGTCGAGATTCAAAATCAGCATGCCTGAAAACCCCAGAAAAACATCATTTAGGGTCGGTTGGCTGGGGCAGGGGCAAACTAAAGTCTAGTCTCTAGCCTATTCTTTATATTAATTCGTTCTGAAATTTGAACTATTCACTTGTACGTTGTGTTTAATTTTACGAAAAAGGAGTATTTTAAAATTTGAAGCACGATAAGCTGCTTTGTTTGTTAGGATAAGCTAATTTTATACTTGCAACTAGTAGCTTATAATCTCTTGTTTAGTAATTTTATTATTTTAGGTACGGATGCCGGGATGGGAGAAGCAACTCTACAGAAGGCAACCATTCAACGACACTTATTCGGGCGGTGACGAGTGCTTTTTGAACGAGTTGCGCAAAAATGGTAATGTTTTTTGTAAATCTTTGTCTTCTTACCTACTTTGTTTAGTTTCCGTCGTCAAATATTCCTGGTGCTCGGCGGTTCTTGGTGCTTTTCATCTAACAACTCATCTTAATGTCGTTTTACTCTACTTTGTTTTATTCGAGGCAATCTACAACGAAAATATGCACTTTGATACATTGTTATGGTAAAGTTTTGAACATTTTAACAAGGTCTATATTTATATCTCAGGAGTTATGTCGGTATCACCGTTTCTTGTTATTTATTCTACAATAGCGTACTCCGACCAAAAGACGAGATGCGAAAAAAATGGGAAGAGCTGAGGGATTTCTTGACGCTTTTCGTTTTTGGATATGCTCTCACGCCGATTATCAGGTTTATTTACTAAAACAATGGAATTGTTGCAAATTGAAGATTTAAGAACCCTTACCACAACGATTAGCACGGACACGATTTACGCGTTAGCCATCATATTCGCCTTGGTCAGCTGCATATTTCACGATTACGGCATTCGAGCACCAATGTATGTTGTTTAAAACTTTGGATTCTTAGGTGAAAACGTTAAAACTTATAGGAATTTTAATTTAAAAACGTTCTAATTGTTAGAATTCAGATGTTTGAATGGTAGAGCCAAGCTTTAAACGTTAACAACACAAGGACCTCCGTTTATAAACCTCATTTAGTGTCTCAACTCCAGTGAGTGTTTCGTGTGGTTTATGCTCATCGGTGCTGTTGATTTCCCGGCTGAAAGACTCATCGTCGGCTTTCCTTTTGCTCGCCATCTCGTTCTCCCAACACTCGCTGTCGCCAATCTTTCAAAACGCGCTGATGAACAAGTATTCTCGAATGCAAGCTTTACTCGGTCTCATCTTGTCAGGTACTTTTGCAGACTCAAGTTATGCTAAATTCTAGTTTTCAGGCCTTTCTTGTGTCACTTTGTGGGAGATGAATGCTGTACTTTCAATCATTTGGGCGATTGTCGTTATTTTTGTTGTCGTCATTTGCCCTTTGCTTCTGATAAGACTGCAGGTTTGTTTTTAAATTTGCTGGATTTTAGGTATAATTAAAATATCCAAAAATGTCTTTTATTAGAAAGATAATGTTATCAATAATACCAACGATTTCGTCAAGTTGATTAATCAAATTCATAATTGTTATAGTAAAGAGATTTTTAAAGCAAGTACTAATCAGTGCAGGTTGAAATTCAGTTTAAATTCTTATGAAAAGATTAATTATCAATTAGTTTATCGATAAATATGCGTACTAATATTTATGAACTCTATATAATGTTTTAGCATCGCAAAAGCACGATTCACGGTCCATGGGATGAAGCTGTGCCGGCTCGGAGTGCTTCCGATCTCCTCAAATGATGCCATTCGTCGACTTTCACTTAAACTCAACTCTCTTCTTGTTTCGGGTATTTTTTCTCATTTATCATTCATCTCTATGAGTTCTTTCTTTTTTTGGCATTGGAAGTAGATAGCTTTTTCTTTGTTCTGTGTCTTCGCTTAATCCTTTTATCCCTCATGATCAAACTCTCTTCTTTTAGGCTTTAAGTCAGGGATGCTTGCGATCCAATTATTTTGCTCACTTCATTTTTTTTTTCTTTCTCCGGAAACATTTTTGCGTTGTTAAAGTTTTTCGAGTTATCCACTGTGAATAAAAATTTGCTATAGTAATAAATGAGTTAAAAATCGTGTTTTAAGCTTAAAAATTACTCAAAAATCATCGAATGAGTTCAAAAAAATAGCAAAAAAAAGATTGATTTCATTTTTTACGGGTTCATTTATCTCTGCCACTCAATTTTCTCTTTTGATCTCATTTTTTTTAATTTTTTTTTTTCGTTGAGGACTCTTGCCTTGCCTTTTTCTTTTTTCCCAGGCTTTTCTCACCCTTCACCCCAATTTTGACCCTTTTTTTTGAGAAATTCAAGCACACATCTGCTTTCTCTTTTCTTCGTAAATCCCATCTTTTTCGAAAGTCTCCAGGGATCAAAAGTGTTTGTGTTAATTGACAATTAAATCACACAGCCTTCTAAAAAAAAATCCAAAGCAGGTGAAAATTTTTTTAAAATGTTTGCCATCCGTTTTCAAAATTACCGATCAATTCAAATTTCAGGGGGAAAAGAATCCAATCTCTGCCCCGATTTCTGTGATTCATTTTCGATTTGAATGTTTGACGCAAGATGATATGCTAAACAAACGACAATGGTAGTCACGATCGCTCCCCATCTAAATCTATCGAATTGCTCGACGGAGGACACGAGTTGGCTGAAGGTCGTTTACGTCTTTGAGACGCTTCTCGGTTTTCTCTCGTTTCCCGTCTTCGCTGCTTTGCTCTTTCTGATGAGCTCGCGACGGTATGCCGCCAAGTATTCCTCACCGTTTTTCGTCATTTTTCGGTGGCAAGCGATTGCGGTGGGTTTTTGGGAAAAGATCAATTAGTGTGTTCCAATTAACGCAGTTTCTAAAAGGTGGACCATTTTGAAAAACTACCGTACTCTCTTCAAAAATCTCTATGAACTGAACAAAAACCAAACCAATGTCTAGTAGCCAAAACCTTGTAAAAACCTCTTTTTCCAAATGCTAACCATTTTCAGGGTATCTTCTGTTTTTTCCACATTCATCTCTTCGTCGAATTCCCCACGCTGAACATTTTCTGTGATCGACTGTTGAAGTTTGGGGGAAAAGATTATCAAAGATACAAAAAAAATTTCAGCTCATTTCACTCGTTCTCCTTTTACCTGACGCCACTCTACTTTTTGTCGTATTTCCTGCAACACTTGCACTTTTGCATCTCCACATTGATCAGCGTAAATCGTTTGAGTGTGATCACACTTGGGGCACGATATGTTGAGGTACGCCTTGAGACTACCGTAATCCCTGTATTACAGGATGCCTAAATTAGCATATCTTTAACAGGTCTGGAAATGGCTTCTCAACTACTCGTTGGCCGGTTGTTTTGGCACTTCCTTGCTTCTTTCATGGCCATTACTCTTCTCCGAGGTTGCCCTTTTGCCAATGCATCGTGGGCTCGGCTTTGCTTATAATAAGCGAATTGATTGGGTATGGGAAAATGAAAATAGCAAAAAAACCAAAGAGCTGTCAGTTATCAAACAGTCTTTCCACGGCACTCCTTTGTTTCGTTTGTGCAATCATCAACCTTTTATCAACGATCGTCGTTTTGTGTCGCATTCGATCGTATCGCCGCTATTCGCATACAAATCTTCTATCGGTGAGCATCGTGTTGGCGTCGATCTCGGTGCTCTACTCGATTGATCAGGTTTGGGACCAAAAACAAATGAAAATCCGAGAAATATTTTTTAGGTTATGATCTATTACCTCTTGCACATGAAGGAGGATTTCTCGCAAAGTCAAAACGCGTTCGCTCGCTTCTATGATGCACGCTTTCTTGTGAACACTCTTGCCACACTGTCTCCACTTTGGGCCTTGCTCATTCTCAGTCAACAAGTTCGATCGGATATCAGTGCTATTTTCAATCCAAATGTGAAAAGTCCACACAATCAACCACTCATTAAGAATTTTTGAATTTACTTCTTGAGCTTTTTTCTTTACTCCTGTGATACTCGCTTACCAGTCCAGTGCTTAAAACTATTAACATTTTTATCTATAATTTTACAACTTTACCACAATATTAACAAAAAAGCATAACCCGATTATCACAAAATGCAAACCCGTCAAATAAACAAAATCGTCGATTAGTGCGGCCGAAATTTCTTGAATAGCGGATGTTCGTTTCCTTTCGATTTATTTCGAGCTGGAGCTGAACCGGCAAGACCACCCGACATTGCAGACATCGAGATTTCTCTTCTCAAAGGCTAAAAAGAATGGTAGAAAACTAAGGGCTGTGTTCTTGAGTATTAAAAAACCCGTTTACCAACGAGGTCTTATTGTAAAATATTTGCGAACTTTAAACCCACCTTATAACTTCCGTCGACATTTTCTTCTTTTACATCTTCCTCGTCTGCGTCGGCATCAGAAGTGGCCAAGACTTGTTGCAGAAGCTGTCGTTGAGCGTCCTGACAAGTAAAAGATTCAAACATGCAAAAATTTTGGCTTTTGCATGGTTTAGGTAACTTTTGAATTGATAGTCAATCTTCAAAGCTTTATAACATTTCTTATAAATAGTAACTGCATTTACTTTTTATATATTTTAAGAGAAAAGATTCGAATAATACCAAAAACGATTGGAACGATCAATCCTGAGAAAATCAAATAACTTAAACCGTCAGTGGGATTCTACTTTGATTTTCTCAGGATTGATCGTTCCAATCGTTTACCAACGAATTCGAAAGCCAGAAATCTTTTCTCTTAAAATATATAAAAAGTAAATGCAGTTACTATTTATAAGAAATGTTATAAACCTTTGAAGATTGACTATCAATTCAAAAGTTACCTAACCTATGCAAGAGCCAAACTTTCTGCTACTTACCTTTGTACTCAACGCAAGTTGCTCAGTTTCCATGCCGGGGAGTTTGTTAACAACACGATAGGCGTAACCCTGATTGATCAAAAACCTAAAACCATCACCATCAATTATTCAAATTTGATTACCTTTGACGTTTCCGCGAATATCCCATTTCAACGGTATCCTGTGAGACCAACGAATAAAAGAAAGCGTTGAATTGTTCAGATGAGTTCTTCTTTGCCCTAAATTTTTGAAATAAGCGCTGATTGAACAAAAAAATGACTTCTCAAATAGTAATTAAAAACCTCAAAATTCTTCCCAATCGTTGCGCTTCTTGTCTTCGAGAGCCACCGTGCGCCGAAATTTGAATAAGAACGTTAGCTTCTGGCAGATCAAACGAGGTGTCAGCCACCTAATAGACAATATACATTTGCAAAGCAATTAAAAATACTTACCTTTGAGACAAAAATCGTGTTTACTTGCGGATTGCATTGGAAGTTTTGCAAAATTTTCATTCTTTCGGACTAAAAGTAAAAGATTTCAAGGCTGTTCATTTGTCTAACCTGTAGTGTATCACCATAAAGGAATGGCTTGTGCATTGTTATAGCGTACTTTTTGAGTGCAAACACGTTATCGGAGAACACGATTATCTAAACAAATGTATCACCAAAATTGTAGGATTGTAACCTTGTCATTCCGTCGCTCATGATATTTGATCAGATATTGGCACATTCGGAACTTGTTTGGATTCATAACAGCCAAGAGTAAGCGTCGCGAGATTTGGGCATTTAAATAAAATGAGTAGAATTCCGAAGTCATTGGGCACCAAACCTAAACAAAACTACTTACTGCATAAATTATAAATTCTACTTCTGCACATTGAACTTTGGCAATATGTCCTGCTTGTTGTAGCTCCATCCAATTTGCCTCATAGATTTTGGGGCCTAAAGAGTTCAATATTTCAAAGCCAAATTTCAAACCACAAACCAATAAGGAAATTGAGATCTGTGATCTTGTCATCTTCGCGAACAAGTGTCGCCGTCAGTCCGAGCTTACAGTGCGCTTGTACAATCGTTAGAACTTTGCGGAACATTTTTGCCGGAATCGTGTGTACTTCTGAAGAATTCAATTAATCCTTAAACAATGTTAGATACAAACCATCAAGAAGCAACAATCCCCACTCACGGCTGCTAATATACTGCATGGCTTGTTCGGCTTGGTACGATCGCTTGCCAGAATATGCGAGCATTGAGTATGTAGAAATACAGACCTAAATACAAAGTGTAGACTTGACTTTTTAAAATAGTAATCTTAAGAGCAACAAATACCATACCACTGGTTTGTCCGCTTCGGTGCCCGTGGGAATCAGTTCATTCTTCGTTTCCCGCGTGAATCGAACAATTTGACGCTCTTGAACCGTTGACCATAACTAGAATTTTTCAACTCTTAAAAAGAGCATTAAAAGTTCATACCTTGAATTGTGCTTTCCATTGCTCAGCAGACACGTTACTTGTAGCAAGGCAAAGACATCGTTTGTTGATTGTTGTAGCAGCCGTCACACCCACCAGAGTCTTTCCTGTAAAGCTTCTTTCATATTCTTTACATTCACGAATTGAATTTCGTAAAAAAATGTTCAAGATGTTCTACCTGCACCACATGGAAGTACAATGACTCCAGATCTAAAGTAAAAATGCAAAAACATCACGTGGGTAAAATTTGTAAACCTGGCTCTGCTGTTTCCAAACATCTTACGAAGACTTCGTTCTTGATAGGGACGCAATGTAGTGGACGCTTTAAGATCGATTCCAAGATTTGGGTTATTTGTGTCGTTTCGAAAATCGTATTCGGCCAACAACGGATACTCCAGTTCGATACATCGCTTTTGAACCGTTTCGATTTGAGACTAAATATGTCGTATTAACAAAAGTCATTAGAAAAGATTAACCGGAATGATTTCGAAAGTGAGCAGCTCAAGAGTCCTTATTGCCTCTGCATCTTCGTCGTCCTCGCCTTCAAGTTTTTCATAACTTAATCAAATGTTGCGCGTCTTTTATTAGCAGACTTACAATTCATTAATATCTTCAGGAACATCCTTGTCTTCTTTCTTATCCCCATTTTCGGGTTTTGTCTGCGTTGTGGGAAAACTGATCACATTTAAATCCTAAACTGTAAAATTGAAAAAAGTTTATTCGACAAAATCAAACCGTTTTTGCAGAAGTGACCTCGGCTGGTCGTTCTTCGTCCAAAATGCACGGTTGAATAATCGGATCCTTTAGCAACTTTTGAATAACATCCGAATGTCGAGATTCAATGTAGTAGCGATTGTGTTTCAGGACAAGTTTCGCCTTTCCATACGAGAGTGTGCATAGCTAAAGACAACTATAAGTACTCATCAACAAGTCCTAGTTTACTCGGATAAATTCTTTTATGCCGTCGGGGAGTTCGCTTTTTGATAAACGATCCAAGTACTCGATGATGTCGCCAGTTTGAAATCCCACAGAAACAGCCGCGTATAGAGAGTAGGCCGTTAATTGGTATTCGTGGATAAATTCAGGGCGGCAGACCGGCTAAATTGAAAATTTAGTCGAATGTAACAATTCAATATTGCAAATTTGGTGCCTTATAAAAACTAGCCTCAGCAATCGCAATGAGAAAATCACGAGCATGTTTGTAGACGGGACTGAAAGTCTCCAAGAAGATGTGCCCGTCCGGCGCGACCCACAATGGCCTTGATTCGTGGTCCTTCTTCAAGGGCATCTCTTTTCTAAAAACAACGTTCAGAATAACAACAAAAAACAATTTTGTACCTGTAGTCTTTGCCACCAAATTCATAATCGATTCCACACGCATCGGGATTCAGGCGATGTGAAGCAAGAGTGGGAACAGCTAAAGTTAAACAATAAAACACAAAATTTTATGTGGATACCATTTGAATCTGTCTTCTCGGATCGTTGACCACCAGTTGAGCCGGTCGACGATTGTGACCATTCGTTGTCAGCGTTGAATTCGGCGTTAAAGTTTTCCCAGCGACCTCCGCGCCGTTTCATTTCTAAAGCAAACAATAAACTTGTGTTATTTTGGAAGCTTCAATGGAAAGGAAAAGAAAACGTAGTTTAAATATGAGTCTTTACTTTGAGAATCACCACTGGGTGGTTGCTGTTTTCATGAATGAGGACTTTCGTAAATGTTCAACATCAGAAAAATCTCTGGGTTTCCAACTCTTTCCCGACCCTCCTTTGTCTATTTTCCACCCCTATTTTTCCTAGTGACGTTTCTTTTTTGTGCATTGGTAACTCCGAAATGAAGATTTTAGCTGTAAGCAAAATGACTATTGCAAATGTATGACCTTACGCTTCAACTTGTTGAAATGAAGAAATGTTGTGCTCTGTGATAAAATACCATTTATCACATGCAAACTTGTGTGCAGTTATTTGATCGAATACCTTTTAGAAATTTAGCAGGCAAAAGTTCCGGCCATTTCTTCCTTTTGCTATTTTTCTTTCGTCATTTTGTAAAGTTTTAGCGTGAATTTACAATTTTCTATGCTATAGTAGTTGGGGTTTTTTTTAATCGCCAAATGAGCTGATTTTTTGCACCCAGGGGTTTTTAACTATGCTGAATCGATTGATGATGATTTCACACAGCATTTCGCAACTTTAAAAAAATTTTGCAAGCAACACAATACAAAAAACCTAATCTACTTATTCTGGGATGAAGTGGCCAAAAAGTACCAGTTTTCTTGAGTCAAGTCCTCGTTGGTAACTTGTTAAGATTTTGTTGTTGTTACTTTCGTTGCTATTTGTTATAAACTTTGTTAGAAGTCGCGAAATGTTGTGTGAAACCATCACCAATCGATTCGGCATATTCAAAAATCCCTGGGTGCAAAAAATCAGCTCATTTGGCGAAAATTTTTTTTTAGCTTTCCCCCGCCTCCCAACTACTATAGCCCCCAATTTTCAACCCAAACCGTCAATCAGAATACTTTTTAAACGCTAGAATTTGACAACATGACCTCTGCCTCAAGCTTAATGAGTTTTCTAGATCAACAGCTACTCTAATTCGGCTGAATAGCAAATCTTCAACGATGCCAAAGTGAGTGTGCGTTTTTATTGTTTTTCAAACTCTATTATAGTATTCGAACTTTGCACGACAACAAAGACGACGAGGGAAGTGGTTCGGAAAGTGAAGGCGAGAATAGGCGCCAAGGATTCTACGTTGGTGGCTCTGAGACCAGGTTAGTTATGTTTCTTCGTTATTCCATTTTTTCATGGTCTTTATTCTATTTGTCTTTAGTGGGCAACAAGTTTTGGGCCCACCCGGTCGCGATAGAAGAGAAGGCGACTTCGCCCAAAACTTCTTTGATGCCGCACGACGTGCTGGAGCTGAGGCAGTCACGGGAGAAGCAGCACAACGTCGTGGAAATCAACCGCGGTATGATTTTTAATCAAATCAGTCTAAAAGTAATTACAAAGCAAAATGCCCAGAATTAATCTTTATTCGTACTGAACGGACAAATATCTACACGAGAGAAATTCGATTAAACAGTGGCACACCAAAGACGAGTGGCATGTACTCGTGCACGTTTAAAGAATCGACAATTCGTTTGTTAGTTGGGCAGGGTGGCGGCGGCTGGATGTTGGCCCTAAACAAAAAAGGATATAAAGCAACCGCGACTTTGTAATTCTCAAGAAAAACTCAAAAAGCATGCTTACTTGTACGCGAAAGGAACATCGGGATAGAAGCTATTGATGGGCTTTTCTTCTTCCCCAGCTAAATAGACACTATAGGAAGATTCTCCAGCACTCAACGCATACCTTTTCCTTTTGATCACTCCATTTTATCTTCTGGGTCTCTTCTTTCACCACAGCCGGCTCTAGAATCTAGAAAACAAATGTCAATGCAATGGCAAAGAACCCTACTTGATTGTCAAACTCTGTTGGAGTTTCCACATCAACACTGGGAATAGGACGAAGGCGTTTGTAGCCTTCATGCCTAAAAAGATGATAGCTGGAAAAAACATGAAAAACAAAATTCCTTACTTGTCATTTCTGCGCTGCATGTGTTCATCACTAAAGAGAGAAACGTTAATGTACCGTAAATACTGTATTAGAATGACACGATATTTACATGAAATAGATTTTTAAAATTTGTTTTGTTTGTTAAAATTGTGTTAAAATTGATGTTTTTGATAAAATATATGCTGAATGAAGTTCGTTTTTTGATGGATACTTTTTTGTGATCCGTAGTGGCCATTTCGAGTGAAAAATAAAACTACACCCTCTAATCGAATGACACCCGGAGAGGGGTATTGAAAAATAGAATGACATGTCATTCTTATACAGCATTTACGGTATTTTTATTAAATCAAACTTCTCGCTTACCGTTTTAAACTAACATATACCCAAAAGGTAAAGGATTTTTTTAGGGTCCTCTTTCTTCACCTGTTCGCCTTTTTGCTTCATTTCTTTGCCCGATCTGGGCGTGTTTTCCTTCTTGCACTTCCTTTTCTTTGATGATCCAGACGTATTACTGTTGTGCTCATCTAAAAATACTAAATTATTGCGGAACCTCGGTAGGAAAAATTGTTGACCATACAATCTTCATAAACATAAACGAGTCAACAACAAAATAAAATGTTAAATGATAGGAAATAATACCTTGATACCAGCGAGAATAAATGCTGATTTATTGTCCAGCTCAAAGCTGGACAGTAAAGATTTATAAAGCACCAATAAATGCAGAAGTGATAGAATTTATGCAAATTATCCAATTAATCAAATTTCTTTAGTGGTGCGCAGGTGGATGAAAATGCTGAGGAAGGACAGAACACGGTATTTTTTAGCTATTAACCAAGTTTAGTGTACTGTTTAGCGCGAAATTTGTTTGACTATGTGGGCGAATGGATTTTCGGTTGAAGATGGTCCACTTCGTTCTTTTGATGATGCTGCAAATCAAGCCTTTTTGCAAGAGATCATGCGGGGGTTTGAAGACATTGAGTTTATATTGATCTAGTGTATTTTAGCCACATCCCAATGGAACTCCGGCGTCAATATCCAACGGATCAACTTGAACTTCGCATGGAAAGAAAGCTAGAAGACTACACGCCTCCAAAGCCTAAGCCATTTGGAGTTAGTGCTGGCTTCTCTTAAGACCTAAATAACGATTTTAGGGTTCTGGACATCGACTAGGTGCCGTTGTTCCTGAAGTCGTATCAACTTCTTCGGCAGCTACTACTTCAAGCTCTGCGACTTCAGAGCGTAAGTAGTTTTTATATTGGTGTTCAGCCAAGCTTATCACTTTAGCTTCTGAAGATTTGACAGCTAAGGCACAAGCCGAAGTTAAACTCGATGAGGGCGCTCCCATTACACAGGTTATTAGCTTCGCAAGCATTTTCGTGTTTTGAATCTTTACGATTTCATAAAATTTTATCTTTTTAGGTGCAAGCTCGAATGCCTTCAGGAAGTCGCCTGGTTGGCCGCTTCAACCATTCGCATATAGTTGCTGATGTTCGCAGCTTCCTGGTCAGGTATGTTTTCCTACTTCTTGAGCCATATAATAAGTCAATTCAGCGCTTCGCCAGACCTGGCCTTTGCACCATTTCGTTTAATGACTACTTTTCCCAATAAGGTTTGTTTTCTTTTTAAAATGCGTAATTATTATAGCTTAGGTTATCGAAGACGAATCTCAATCGCTGAAGGATGCTGGTCTCATCAATGCCGTTGTCGTCGTCAAGCCTAATCTTTGAATTAATGCATAAAGTTGGCTTTGTTAAATGCTACATTGATTGGTATCTTTTTCTTATTCTATATTTATTTCTGGGTGATTTTTTTTGTTGAACTGTGATGCGTTCAATAAAGTATTTTAATTAATTTGCTTTTTTTTACTTATTGGGGATGCGAAAAACTCAATTAAATCTTTGAACTTACTTTTATTTTGCTTTACTTGATGAAACTCTTCTAGATGTCGGGTTTAAAACATATGCTTGGCATCGATAAATTGGAGAAGGCGATCAAAGTGATAAAGGATGTTGGTGGTGTGAAGGCCGCGTTGAAACAACGATACTTGTGGGTTTCGATGGAACTTTCTTTGAAGATTATTGCTTTAGAATGGATCAAACGCGTGTTGGGAGTCTCGTCGGTCAAGACAAATTCGGCAACAAGTATTTCGAAGACAATAGCTTCTTTATGCCCAGAAATCGATGGGTAATTTTATAGTATTTAAAAAATCCAAATTAGGTTTGCAGGTTGTCTTCCCCGAACGCGTATGGTTGGATTATGATGCCTCACAAGTTCCACCTGAATGGTTAGAATTTGTTTTAAAAATATTGCCTAAATTTGAAATTATAGGCACCGTTGGCTGCATCATATTGGCGATGAAACTCCAACGGTAAAACCCCCTCAAAACGAGAAATGGGTGTTGGACCACCGTGAAAACGCATCGATCTACACGTAAGCTTTAAAAAGTATTGAAATTTAATTGAAATTTTTTGGCTATTGTCGACTTAAGGGATAAGCCCAGAAAACTTATCGATTTTGGACTGACTGTGGTTGTAAAATAAAAAAAATAGACTGAACGTAAATTCTCTTTCAACGTTATGTTATTTGTTTAGGAAGGAGAAGTATATTCCCTACTCAACGACCCGAACGAAAATTCAAGGCTGGGTTCCTGGTGAGAAAAAGTCTGAGTAATGACCGTCGAATCTCGACGTTGGCTTGCTCAAAAGTATTTACTAGTGTCCTGAAATGTAATTACATTAAATTTAGTGCATTGATTCTTTGTATTTTTGGGTATCGATGAATATTGTTCTAATAAAGTATAGGTTGCACAATTTCAACAAAAACTATCCAGTGAAAATCAACTGATTTCGCAACGCTTTGCATCACTTTTTGTGAGATGCGTTTTTAAATGAGGAAGGGAAATCTGCCAAACAAATACCGAGATGATATTTTGTTTTTGCAACATAGAATCAGCAACAACGAAATGAAATGGATTGTTTATCTCATTTGTGTGCCTTGTTTTTGACAGAAAACCCCTTCCTTATCAGCGAAAAAATTTCATGAGCAGCTGTGTGCTGCCTTTAAAATGAGAGAAAGTCAATTCGATGCATGGTCCTCTCCAATCGTTGTTATTTTCCCCCCAATCGCACATTAATTCGATCGACCAATAGCTCTTCGGCGGAGGCCTGTGTGCCTTGGGAGTACACACAATTCACGCAAAAACAGTCACGAGGGTTACAATTTGTGGAGATTTAGAGAAAAAGAGAAATTCCCTGCTGGGTTGTGCTTTGAATTGAATCCGAAAACTGTCAATATCGAACGAATTTTTTCAAAAATTTCAGTGCATGTCTAGAAAATCCTCGCGAAACAGTAAATGTTGTGAAATTTGCGTTTGCACTCAAAGTTGATATCAGTCTTGCCAATCAAACGTTTGAAAGTTGCCTTTGAAGCTTCTCTAAATAGCACATTTGTTGCTAAGTCTGTGCCTACAAGTGTATTTTTATGGCAAACTTTACACAAAACTTATTAACAGCAAAAGCAATGCACCCAAAATCCTTCGCAAAAACGTAAACCGTTTTTGCAGGTTTCTATTTTAGTCCCGGAATTTGTTGGAGAAATTTACGTTTCCCTAGGAAATACTGTTTTTCCCATACTCCTCCCCCACTCTATCGGCTTATTTTTGTATTTTTTCAGGTGGGGTTTGTTCGCGGAGAACACCCAAAGGAGCAAAAAAGGCTGCAACTGGCAATGAATGGGGAAGGGGATGGGTGGAGGTCAACAAGGGTTCGGGGGTCAGAGAGAGCTCTACTGCCTGAAGCTCTTCCAATGGCGATTGGCGATAACTTCAAAACTGATTATCAAAATGCATTAAAATGTTTCAAACTATTATAAAATGCATGGATCTAGAATTTGTCACTTTTTGATGATATTTGGACCATTTGGGTGATGCTTTACAGGGTGTCTCAAAAAAAGGCCCCTTTTCAAACCGAATTTTCGAAAAACTTGGTGGTGGAAAAGTGGCTATTGGTGGCACTCCTGGTGCCGAAACTCTTTTTTTCTTTAAGGCAATTTTTTCACTTTTTTTAAGAATTTTTGTTTTTTTGACTCCCCTATAAACGAAAATTTTTCACCACCACCATGAGACTTTTGCCATAAAATTTAAACTTTCTACTTGACATCGTGGTGTCATATTAGAGTTAATATGTAAACTAAGATTTTTAGTGTGTTTATTATGCCCCACGATGTCAAGTAGAAAGTTTTAATTTTATGGCAAAAGTCTTAAGCAAAAGGCAAAAGTCAAAAGACAAAAGCAAAAGTCAAATTTTATGGCAAAAGTCTCATGGTGGTGGTGAAAAATTTTCGTGTATAGGGGAGTCAAGAAAACAAAAAAAAAATCTCAAAAAAAGTGAAAAAATTGCGTTAAAGAAAAAAAAACAGTTTTGGCACCAGGAGTGCCACCAATAGCCACTTAAAGTCTTTCTAAAATTCGGTTTGAAAAGGGGCCTTTTTTTTTGAGACACCCTGTATTCTTTGAGTATCGTGCTTGATGTCCCCCAGGAAAGCACTCGGTTCGTTGCCTTGGACGGGGTTGGGCAGGGCATCCCACCTGCAGTCTCCCCCTTTTCCCCGAACGGCGTAAACAAGTGCCGCCACAACGGTTTGCGTTGCGGATCTTTTCCCCCATTTATCGAAGCTCAAAATAGCCTATCTTTGGCTCTTTAGATTGGAATAGATTTTGATAGATAGTAAGCTCTAAGTACACTATGATCACAGTAAAGGGTTTACGGTTGCCAGAGAGATTCTCGTATTGTTCTACAAACAAATCCAGACATTTCTTGATCTATGCAGAGGTTTTGGCTTGCTTTGGAGATTCAGATCTGGATCATTCTAGAACTACTCGACAGTGACCTCTCAACGTGTGCCAAAGAGCCAAGGAAAACGCGGTGGTCAGCTATTTTTTGTGGTGGGTCAATGGATAAAACACGTGAAAGAACGGTTGTCACGAGGGAGAAAAGGGAACTTTCGAGAAACAGAGTACGCTGATAGACACAGAGAGGGGCACGTGAGGGAGGTAAGGCTGGGGGTGGGGCGGCCGACCCCCTCCCCTGCATATATAAACCCATTCCCGCCCTTCTCCTTTAGAGCCACCCCACCATCCATCCATCGACGGTTCTATAAGACGAACAACAGCCATCATCATCTGGATTTTGTAGTACAAGGTGAGCTTTTTATTTCATTTTTTTGCTACCGTATCCTTGAATACTTTTATGATACTGCAATTCAATCTTGATTCCAGATGCCATCGTCAGCAGAGGTGTTAGCTTACGAATTAGAGCACGGCGAGTCGGATCTCAAGTGCTCCGGAAAGGGACGATCAAAGAGTGAAAGGGTACGGTAGATGTTGAGCAATTTATAGAAAAAAATCAAACTTTTGAGTGATCTGAATAAGTATTTAAAACGATAAATATTCGTTTCCAGGTCGAAAACAAGCACTCCGATCAGAACACGAACAATCGAATGATCGTGAATGTGGCAATGAACGGCCAGGAGAAGAGAAGAGGCAAATGAGAGATGAGGAGAAGTCGTCCATCTCTTGTCTGTTGGTCGGTTCTTGTAAAAAACACAAATATTTAGATTATAGATGTTTTAATTCTCTAATCGTATATTTTCAATTCAATATAAGGGAATTAAATTCAAATTTGCCCATTCAAATTAACTGAGCGTAAGAAACATTTAATAGACGGAGAGAATCAATAATTTTTCTTCGATTTCTCCAGTTACCGTAACCTCGACGCCTTTCCAGACAAAGAGATTACGGTATCTTCTTTTTCCCTGACGGGCATCTTTCAGGAAACAGTTCTAGTGGCAAAAAAAACTCACTAAACGTTTCAAATTTTCTCACCAATTTATCGTGTGCTTTCCAGATGGCTCAAATTCAGTTTCGACTTTCAGAAATCGTGTGCTCATTCGGCTGACGTGGCCCCGGTCTCTTCTTTATAGTCTTTAAAGCCATCGGATCGTCAAAAATTGGGAAAAAAATGCAAAAAACAGCAACAACAACAAAAACAACAACGACAACAACAACAATTGATTCTCTATCTATAAGTTTAATTCTATTTTTGAAATATTCAAGTAAATCCCGATAGAAAACGATCAGACGATCCGCTTCTCGACGTTTTTTTTTTTTCACAATCGTAGGGCTCTCACCGTCTTCTGTTTCTTGTTTAAACTGTCAATTTTCTCTAAATTTTCTTCAAATCCCTTAAAAAAAGTGTACAAACCAATCAGTTTTCTCTTTAAAATCTGGATTTTTGTAGAGATTTGGAAAATTTTATGTAATTTTATTGAAATTTTGTGTAATTTTATCTACAATATCTAGAGGGACAAAAAAAAAAACGAAAAACGAGTAATTTTTATTTTATTTTTTATTCCAAAACACTTACGGTAATCAAAATTTTTCAAAAAAAAAACTTATTTTAAGTTTTTTAAGTTTTAAAAGTTTTTTTTTTGAGAAATTTTCGACTTTTTACTAGAGTGTCTTCCTCGCGAGTAATGCGTTTTTTAAAGCGCAAATTTGGCACAAATTATCGTACTTTTAGCGAATTATCATACTTTTAACGCAAAAAAAAATCCCGAACGCCGACTTATATACGTTTTCTTTTCAAGATATTCAGCTGTTTAAATGATTACTCGCAACGAAAACACTCTCCTTTTTGCCGTCTCGTAAACGAATTTTTCTCCAATAACTGAATATTTTCTTCATTTCTCGTATCATTTCGAGTATTTTCCAAGCGCTTTTTACAACTCACTGTGCTTTTGAATGAGCCGACCCTGATCCCTGATCTCTTTCAACTGAATATCTTCACTTTAACAGAACTTTAAATCTTAAATTAAATTTTAAATTAAATTTTAAATTAAATTTTAAAGTAATTAATTAATTAAATTTAAAGAAATCCTCAATTTCTCCCAAAAAAAACCCCACTCAAATCAACGCGAAAATCCCGAAAAAAATTTCAAACAAAATCGATCAAAGCCATCAAATTTCGAAAAAAATATTGGCTTTTTTTGTATTTTTTTCCTTAAACATTTAAATTTTAAGCCAAAAAATTTAAAAAAAAAACATTTTAAGCCAAAAAAATGGGCTAAGATAAAAAAAATGCAAAAAAATGAACTAAAATTTTTTACAATAATATGGGCTAATTCAAAAACACAAAAAAAACCCAAAAAAGTTTTGTCAAAACCTTTCAAAAATCCAAAAAAAAAAATTTGTAATTTCATAGCCCAACAAAAAGTGAAAAAAAAGTGAAATCCAAAAAAAAAAATGAAATCCAAAAAAAATTTCCCTAAAATAATGGTCGATTTGGGAGCTCTGGAGGCCAGAAAACCAAAAAAAAAGTAATCTTTTCAAGAAATTTTTGCAATTTTAAACTTATCTACCTTTTAGAAATCTGGAAAAGAAAAGAAAAGAAAAGAAAATTTTCACAAAAAAAATTTTATTTTCAGCAGTGATTCTTTAAATTCTTTTTTTATTTTAAATTCAAAAATTTCTTTAAAATGATCAAACTTTTAGAAATTTAAAAAGTTTACTTTAAAGTAAAGATATTCAGCTGAAGAAGTTTTTTCTGGATTGGCTTAATTTTTAAAAAAAAAAGCGTTTGACCTCAATTTTTTTTGTTTTTTCAATTTTTTAATAATTTTTCTATATTTGAATATTTTTTCTTAATATTTAATATCTTTTTTTCTTAATTTGAAGTCTTAAAAGTGTGAAATTAGAGAAGCGAATAGGTTCTCTAAGCTAAATTGAGCTAAATTGAGCTAAATTGAGCTAAATTGAGCTAAATTGAGCTAAATTCGAGCTAAATTGAGCTAAATTCGAGCTAAATTGAGCTAAATTGAGCTAAATTGAGCTAAATTGAGCTAAATTGAGCTAAATTGAGCTAAATTGAGCTAAATTCGAGCTAAATTGAGCTAAATTGAGCTATATTTGAGCTAAATTTGAGCCATTTGCTTCCTTTATTTCTGCCTCTTTGTATTTACTTTTCAATAGATTTTTTTCTGTTTTTAATGAATAAAAATTTTCTTTTTTTTTGAAAAGAATTGCAAAAAAATATTGTTAAAACCCGAAACAGAACATTGACTTTGTCTGACAATCAGTTCTCTAGAATGTGCTCACAAAAAAATGTATATCGTACTTTTAGCGAATTATCGGGGGTGGGACAAATGCGACCTTTTTTTGCGCACCTTTTTTTTGCTGGAAAAGGCCTTAGGCAAGGCCGTAGAGCTTCAAAAATATTTCCATACAAGGGAATCGTATGCGTAGATTCCGAATTTCGACGAATCAGACCTCACTGACACGTCAAATTTGGGCTAAAACGCAAAAACTGCGGAAAAGCGTGAAGTTGCGTAGTTTTTGCCTTTTAGCCCAAATTTGACGTGTCAGCGAGGTCTGATTTGTCGAAATTCGGAATCTACGCATACGATTCCCTTCTATGAAAACATTTTTGAAGCTCTACGACCTTTCCTAAGGCCTTTTCCAGCAGAAAAAAGGTGCGCAAATGTCCAGGTGCGCAAAAAAAAGGTCGCATTTGTCCCACCTCCGAATTATCGTACTTTTATCCCGAACGCCGACTTATATACATTTTCTTTTCAAGATTCAGCTGTTTAAATGATTTGGTGGGAAATGCCCCTTGAAATGTAAAGATATTCAATTCACTTGACGGGTAAAGAGGATCCTTTACACGTCATGTGAAATTCAGTTACTCTACTTCAGAGAGAAATAGATCGCAATCGAAAAGCCTTCTTTTCATTTAAAAAGATCATTTGTTCTTTTGAAATTTAAAGAAACGATTGAAAAAGCGAACAGTCGTGAGTCATTTAAAGTAGGCTATGATTTGAAAATATTTGATATATCCAGTTTTTGGAAAATTGCAAAAACTGAAAAACTTGCAAGACTGCATGGCTTTTCCCAAGTGAATCCGAAGAAAATGTGGGCCAATCAGCCTCTTCAAAAAGGAATTCCGCTTAAAGCAAAGATGAGAGACTGAATGCATGAATGAATGAATGAATGAAATCTTTTCGTTTCTTCATTTCCCAAAGATCCGGTCAGATAGTGATCGAAATGAAGGAGGATGTAAATGGCGAGGAAAGGTAGAGAGAAGCTGAGATGAGAAAAGAGACATGCAAATGGATCCATTCCCTTATTTCAGACAAAAATCTCTCTTTTCCCTTCCATTCTCATACATCTCTCAATGATATTTTCCTTGATATTTCCTTGATATTTCATTATTTTCTTTTCATTAGCGAATTCTCATTATTCTAAACCCAAAACTAGGCTTGTTCTAGACTAGGCCAAGTCTAGGCTTATTCTAGGTTGGTTGGTTTTGGTCTAGTCTAGGTTCACAGCTCAAATCAGAGTCTATAAATCCTTGGTTACAGTAGACTTGCTTATCAATCAATTATTGCCAAATAGAAATCGATTTCTACAATAAATCCATCTCTATTCTGAACCAGCCGCTAATTGTTGGCTCAATTTTCAACCACTAATCAATTGCCAATAAAAGACATCTATTTTTGTTCACTCTGGATATCACTGCAGATATCCTCGCTTGTTTATTCTTCGAAACTCAAAAATCTTTCCCTTTTCCCAATGTATGATTGATATATTCTCATGAATTGAATGAATGCATGAGAAAACATCGGCACCTCAAATCGGCCTCTCTTTACCCCCCGCTTTCCCATCTCTTTCAAAAAAAACCCCTGTGAAATAGCAAGCGGCCGCCCGTTCACCTCAACATATTCATATTCTCATCTTCATTTATTTTTTTTTTTGCCTCTTGCTACTTTTCTTGATTTATTTTCATATTGAAAGACAATAAAAGACATCGATTTCGGTTCATTCTGGATATCACTGATATCCACAGATATCCATTTCAGAAACACTTTACTAAACGGTACAGCTTTCATTTCAACATTTACTTTCCAGGCTTGCTTTGTGATTTTGTGATTTTTCCATTTCCCCGGTTAAACAAGACCAATTCAGAAGTTAGTTTTGAAACTGATTTCTAGAAACTTTCATTTCAGAGTTTTGAACAACCCTGAATTTGTCCGGTTAGTGTCCAACTTGTCTACAATGCAATAAGTAATGCTGTAACATTTTCTTCTTCAAATCTCACCTCAACATCTCCTGAAGTTGAAATGAGAAAAAGGAGATGGAGACAAAGCGATAAATCAAATTCGAGGTGGCACTTTGTTTTCTCGTAAATCTTGAGCTCAAGTTGGAGAAGAAGAGAAGGAGAGAGAAGAGAAGGAGAGAAGAAGAGAGAAGAAAGAAGAGAGAAGAAAGAAGAAAGAAGAGAGAAGAAAGAAGGGAGAAGAAAGAAGGGAGAAGAAAGAAGAGAATGAGAGTTGAGAGCTAGAAAAACGAGGAGAAGTCGTGTCACTTCAAATGAAAAAGGAAAAAAGGAAAAAAGGGACCAGAATCGATACATGTGAAGGCGCATTCTATAGCCAAAAATGGGAATGGAATGGAATGAAATGGGGCACAACGGTGGGAAAGGGGCGAAGGAGTGATGCCCAGACAGAGAGATTACTTTACTCTCCCGTCATTTCACTTCACTTCCATAAATCCCTCAATCCTATTATCATCAAAATGACATCAAAATTCGTTTTTGTGTTTTTCTTTTTCTTTTTCTCCTTTCTCTTTTCATTTCTTTTTTTTTAACTCTTCTTTTTTTTACATCCTACCGGAAACTCTTTGTCTGAATGCTTTTTAATTTTCGTTTTTCTCCTCACTACTTTTCTTTAACTCAAACTATGCCAAATAAACTCAATTTTTTTTAATTGTAAAAAGCAATTTCCCTTTATAGACTTAAACTATTGAGACCCTAAAGCTAAATGATTAAAACAAAAACAAAAAAAAATCCCCCATTTCCTTCTCACAATCTATTGGGTTGATGGAAAAGTCCTTTCCGATCTTTTGGGAGAGTACCTTAAATTTGTCCAACTTTGACGTTTTATAGCTCATCCTAAAGCTGAATTCAAGACGGATCGATTGGTAAAAACCGTTTTGAGATATCTCTTTTCTAAAAGTTTTTACAGCTATTTTAGTAAAGGGCGGCAGAGTCAATCGATCCGTCTTGAATTCTAAAATAGCTGTAAAAACTTTTAGAAAAGAGATATCTCAAAACGGTTTTTACCAATCGATCCGTCTTGAATTCAGCTTTAGGATGAGCTATAAAATGTCAAAATTGGACAAATTTAAGGTACTCTCCCAAAAAATTGGAAAGGACTTTTCCATCAACCCAATATATCAATTTCGATCCTGCTTTTGTCTGGTTTAGTTCCTCAATCTTTCATGATTAATGAATGATCAATGAATGATCAATCTTTCATGATCATGATCAACTCAGAAACGCTTTCTACCCATTCTTCGAACCTTTAGAGACCTTTAGGGACTTTAGAACTCATTAGGGACCCTCTTGAGTTGTGTCTCATAGAGAAAGAGGGTGAACGAGTCGCGACTCTTCGATTTTTCCTTCTATAACCATTCCGTTCCTTCCGTTCAACGGCTTTTCATGTAAAAATGAAACTGCAAATACAGCTGAATGAGACAAGGAGCTCTTGAAATGAATCCAAAGCACTAGCCATCTAATTTCCCCACGATTTCTGTCATTTTCAGAGTTTCTCTCTTCACAGAAGACATGATTCCCTTGAAACTTTCTTGTTTCATCTATTAGAAAATAGATGAAACAAGAATGGGAAAGACGAGTAATTCTTTACTCAATTCTTCTCATAATTCTCTCAAAAATTCCCCTTTTTTTTCTCTTCTCATAAATTGAATTCTCGTGTTTCCCCTTTTCTTGTGATGACTCATTGCATTCACAAGAATGTTTTCATGCTTGATGATTCATTAATGTTTCCACGCTTCCACACATATATATATTTTTTTTTGTCTATTTCCGTCTCTTGTCCTTTTACAACAATGAACTTGTAAGAAATTTTCTGAAAATTTTCTATATTCAAAGCCAAGTCAAAGCTTGAAATTGGTCTGGAATTTCGACTCTGTTGGATTTTGATTTAATCTTGACTTAACTTGACTTGGTTTGAAAATCGGCAATGGAAATGGGTTACTTCATGCAAGAGTTTCGAAAGCACTGGGATAGATTTGAAAAAAAACGTTTCTCAACTCTTAAAACAATGTTTCCATTTTGAAATAAACTACAACCTTTTCGAGTTCTTTAAATTCTTTGTGTAGGCAACATGAGGCTTGTAGGCAACATGAGGCTTGTAGGCAACATGAGGCAACATGAGGTTTGAAATACAGTTTGAAATACTGGACAATGAAGTTACAGACGCGCGAAAGTGACGGTCTTTTTTCAAATATGATATTTCATTGTCCAGTAGTGTATCTACAACCTCATGTTGCCATTAGACATAAAGCTTAGACATAAAGCTTAGACATAAAGCTTAAACTTAAAGCTTAAACTTAAAGCTTAAACTTAAAGCTTAAACTTAAAGCTTAAGCTTAAAGCTTAAATCAAATTGATCATTCAAAAAGCTAAAGTGATTTATTTCCGTAAACGAAACTCTTGTCTGTTTTCTTTTTTTTTTCGATGAAGAGTTAAACATCGAGAAATTCTCTTGATCGTTTCCCATTCGATTGCCGCAAAAATTTGTTTACTTCTCAACTTATCACTTGCATTTTAGCCCAAAATCGAGAAAACACGAAGAATTTCAAGAACTCGAAAAGAAATTCTCTTTTCGTTTTTTTTTTCCTTTTTTGGCGTAAATTTCGTGATAAGACGGCAAAGTCAGAGAAAAATCGAAGCTGCCGAAAAATTTTCGTAATGAAACAATGTAAATTAAGATGAAAACGAAGTGAAAGCTTCACTTTGATACTTTCAAAGTGAGTAGTAGTTTCGAAGTCTTGCAAAGTAGAGTTTAAGCTCTACTTTGCAAGAGTTTAAGCTCTACTTTGCAAGAGTTTAAGCTCTACTTTTGAAAGTGGAGGTGCCGTTTTCAAAAGTAGAGCCTAAACTTGGTGAAATGCTTTAAAATAAACAATCACTCACGTGGATCGCCTTTCTCTTTTGTTTCCTCTTTTGTTTTCTCTTTTTTTAACCCTTTCCATATTTGTGTGGCTGTTTGCACGATTTCATTCACTTTTTTTTCCTCGTTTTTGTTTTTTCCCTCTTTTTTTGTACATTGAATTTCTCGACTTTAAAACTTCAATATTTTTAGGTGAAATTCGAAAGTTTACATTTAGAAACTGCATAATTTGAATTCTCTTTTGCCCCAAAAATGGCCACCGAGGTCTCGTCACCTTGTGTCGATTATGGCCCTACAGCGCACACGAATCCAAACATCTTTCAACTAGAGATCAAACCAAAAGTCGGTTTTTTTTTCAAGAGATCGTTATAGCTCATTATAGTTCATCGTTATAGTCCATTATAATCCATTGTTATAGTCCATTATAGTCCATCGTTATAGTTCATTATAGTCCATCGTTATAATCCATTATAGTTCATCGCTTATAGTCCATTATAGTCCATCGTTAGTGCAATCATTCTCTATTGAAATTGCACTAACGATCGTTAGGATTCTCTTGATTAAACCATTTTTTTAATCATTGTAATCATTACGATTACGTTTTCGTCTGATACTTGCAAAGCATTACCATCAAACAATCGTTTCAGCATGTTTTATGCCATGAGATTGGTGCTGGATCGATGTGTACAAGATGCGGGAAATGTCCCGGTCTAGATCTACACTTTTGGAGGTTTGCTTTATAGATTATAGTCCATTATAGTCCATTATAGGAGAAGATTATAGTCGATTCTTTTAGAAAACTATGTAAAACGTGTGGATGTCGTATGGACGAGCATGACGTCATTCTACCAAATCAGTACGATCACGGGCAATTGATTATTGGTTTTGTAGAAAGAAATTTGACTTTATTAGAAAGATCTTTAGGTCGACTTTTCGGTGTTCGCGAGCAATTCGAGTCTGTGGTCGCCGATTCGTATGAACACGCAAAAGTGAGAGATTGCATTTTCATTTTCATTTTCATTTTCAAATCTGTATTTTCTTAGCTTATCAAGCAATTTGTTTAATAAAAAATTTTGAAAATCGTTTTTCTTAAGGCTCAAGCGGAAGCGGATCGCCAAGCGAATGAGGGACGAATGACGGCTTTTGGAGTGATGTTGAAGCCAGTGAAAAGAGATGGTGGTGGATCGAGGTGGGTCAACGCATTGGTGAACTGCAAAATGGCTCAAGCATCATAAAATGAAAGAAATTTAAAAGTTGCTAATGAAAATCAGTCATTGGTCTTGAGCTGGATTCTCTGACTTTACCTGGTTTTGCTATAGGCCTTCAGATCTGGACCACAAGGTTCTTGGAACTGCCTTGAAGGGGCTTCTGGCTTTTGGTCTGGCCTAGTCTGGTACATGACCCAGGAATATCCAAGAGATCTATATTTGTCTCAGCTACAGAACAGATAAACGATTCGGGAGATGATCAGCTAATTTCAGAGGTGTTTCCCCATCACGAAGTGGATCCGATTGTGGCACTGATGGTCGAGATCGAGCCTCGTCCACCTCATCCACTTCCTCCCGCGCTCCTCTTTCCCAAAAAAGCGAGCTCAGCACTGCTGTCACTTCATCACCTCGAGTCTCCACAGCTACTTTGAGTGAATCTGTGAGTTCAAACTTTTCTAAAATCATTTATCCAATGTTTTTAGAAAAGAACTGTCCCCAGCGCTGTCTACAATTATAAAATGGAAACAAATAATAAAGAGAATGAGAAGGTTTGTTTTTTGTACGTTGTGTAAACGTAAACGCACCCTTTCTAGTGCAGTTGATTTGTTTTTCTTTTAGGTGATCACCTATTACTCGTGGGTGCCCATATCGGATGATCGACTCATCGACAAATATATGAACGCATTGCCGGAAGAAGAGCGGCCAATTGCTGGCACAAAGGGAGAGCAAACGAGGAGACAGCGATTGGCCTATCAAGTAAAAGATTGGCTTCTCGAAAAATATTCAGTTATTCCAGCTCCCACTCTATGATTGCAATGTTGATGATTCTCGTTTCGCCTCGGATCAGGACAAAGTCGTGCTGGGAAAATTCGTGGACAACGTCAAGAAACATGTGAGTTCGAAGCTTTAGAACAAGGTTTAGAACAAGCTTTAGAAGAAGGTTTAGAACAAGCTTTAGAAGAAGGTTTAGAAGAAGGTTTAGAACAAGGTTTAGAACAAGGTTTAGAAGAAGCTTTAGAAGAAGCTTTAGAAGAAGCTTTAGAACAAGCTTTAGAACAAGCGTACTGTAGATTATCATTCAAAAACTTGCATATATGTTTAAAAGATGGCTTCAAGAATATTCAAGTCGATTTTTGCAGGTGATCGGCGTTGGCAAAGTTGTTGAAGTGGATTCGGTGGAGAAAAACGAGAAAAAGAGGAGGGAGATGAGAGAAACGGGAAGTCAGGTTGGGGAAAGGGGAAAGACTTTGTTATAGCAATTGTTCTAACAATTGTTCTAACAGTTAATCTCAAATGAACATTTTTAAGACTGATCTCCTGAGCAATGCGGCTCAAAATGCAAAGACGGTGAATGGAAATGGTGGACTGGATCACGCGCTTCAGCTGGACACCCTCGCCGATCAAGTACACCAAATTGGAATCCAGGTTATAACAGTTATTTCCGTTTGGCAAAGAAGCTAGAAATCTAGAGATTTTTAGAGAAATTAGAGACTCTTGGAATCCTTTATCGTCTTTTTATAATCAGAGAGTAATTGCAGGGTTCCACAAAGAGCCAAAAGAGCCCGATCTCCCCCGGATCGCAACGAGCCACCGAGATCATTCAAGAGATCGATCCAGTGGTCAGAATACTTAATATATTACCGTTTTTTAGATAAATAAAGCAAAAAGCTAGTCAATAAAGTATTGAGCAAGATTTAAAAACCTAATCAAATCCCTACAAAGCAGTTTCATGTCGAGCGGTGCGTTGGTGTGACGAAAAAAGAAACCGATATCGCTGTGGTAAAGAATTAGAATTGAAGAATTGTTGTAAGAATTGTTGAAAGAATTGAATTGAATTGAACCATTGAATTGTTGCGAATATCTGTCAAATTTCAGCCATGCAAGCAATGCACAGATATGATCAATGTAGGACAAGTTGGCATTCGAACAGATCACGGGATTAAAGAGGTTTGACAGATATTTTGTCTATTTAAAAGCATTTTAGCTAGAGTTTAGCTTAGCTACATTTTAGCTTAGCTACAGTTTAGCTACATTTTAGCTACAGTTTAGCTTAGCTAGAGTTTAGCTTAGCTACATTTTAGCTACAGTTTAGCTTAGCTACATTTTAGCTACGTTTTAGCTACAGTTTAGCTAATTTTAGCTAAAGAATACAGTAAAAGTATAGTCGGTTATAGTAGGTTTTCGTCAAAAAGAACTACTAATTAAGCACGTTCACCAAAAATTTCTAGGACACTTGGCATCCGGGATGTTTCCGATGTGAGCAATGCCAACAATTGCTCGTCGACATGCTCTATTTCTATCATCAAGTAAATTTAAACGAGTAATACTTGACGATAACGTTTCATCAATATTTTTAGGGTAAATACTATTGTGGTCGACATTTCGCTGATCAACTTTACCCACGATGTTCTGGGTGTGATGAGGTTGGCTTGAAAAAAGGAATTCTATTTCTAAAAAAGAATTCTATTTCAAGGATTAGAAATAGGGATTGTTTTAAATGTTATCAAATGTATAAGAATATTGTATTTAAAGAATAAAACGATATTGGTACAGTTATAAAGCGCTTTTTTTTCAGTTAATCTTCGCCAATGAGTACACGTGGGCTGAGGAGAAATCGTGGCATTTTGACCATTTCGCATGCTTTAAGGTCATCTATTGAATTTGAATTTAACAATTAACATAACAATCATTTTTAAAATCGAAAAGTTGTTTAGGATGTTTAGGATTAAGGTCATCCACTTTTATCTATTGAATTCTTGTAATTAAACCTTTCAGTGTGACTTCAAATTAGGCGGTCATCGCTATATGACAAGAGAGGAACAGCCTTATTGCCTCGATTGTTTTGTGAAACATTTTGCAAAGGTCAGTCTAAAAGAAATAAGAAAACAAGTAGTGGGATTTGTTTAAAAGATGCTAGACATTAGAACTAGAAATCATTCTAGACATGTGCTAGTTGTGAGGAGAAAATTGGACCCGATGAGAAGCGTTTAAATTACGAAGAGACACACTGGCATGCGACAGTCGAATGCTTTCAGTAAGTGCTTTTAAAGGGGAATTTTTTAAAGAAAATTAAACATTAAACAATTGAGCACATATTTCGAAAGTTTTCTAGTTAATTGGCTTGGGTAAGAATTGAAAATATTAGCCAAGACAAGAGCTAAAGCTTTTGATTTACCGTAAATACTGTAATAAAGCTATTGTTGAGTGAAAAATCGGTTTTGATACAAGAGTATTAGAGTTGAGCAGCTTTAGAAAATGACTAAACCTACCGTAAATACTGTAATAGTACCCCACCGCCCTCGTACAGTCGTGTAGTCGCAAAAGTTTTTTAGTATTTCATTTTTTTCAAAACACCCGTACTTTCAAAAAATTCGTCTTTGGTATCAAAAAATAGCTGAAATTCAGGGCTATTTTTTGATACCTAAGCGCGCATTGTAGCATAAACCAGTGTCGAGAAAAACTCGTTCAAAGCTAGACTACGCAACACTCCGCACCGTCATTATGGGGGTGGGGTACTATTACAGTATTTACGGTATTTTCGGGGTAGGCTAGTTTCCGCAACTTTTTTTGCGCAACTGGGTCGTTTGCGCAACTCACCATAACTTTCTTCTAAGTGGACCAATCTTTATGCTTTTGGTCTCATTTTGTAGATATCAATAAGTGCAACAAAATGAAATCAAAATCATAAAGATTAGCCCACTTAGAAGAAAGATATGGTGAGTTGCGCAAACAACCCAGTTGCGCAAATGACCCTGTTGCGCAAAAAAAGTTGCGGAAACTAGCCTACCCCGTATTTTCTTTTGACTTTTGACTCGAATCAGATTAAGCGTTAGAAAGCTTGAGGAAACGAAACGAAATCAATCAATCTTGTTAGAGAATCATTTGTTAGAGTCATTTGTTAGAAAATCATTTGTTAGAAAATTTTCAGTTGCAAAGAATGTGATGAATCTTTGATTGGAAAGAAATTCATTTGGAAAGAGAATTGTCTTTTTTGTTCCTCGAAATGTCGATCCGATCATTGCGCAAAGAAGAAATGATTTCGAGAAGATTTTGGTGCTCAAATCTATTTAGTTATTGAAATCTATTTAGTTATTGCTCATTTGCAGTTAAGATTTCTAAGCTGTGAAGTACAGAAGTCTCTATATCTTTTCCACAGTACCCTGAAGCCTGGATATTTGCTACAGTATGCTTTTCACTGCAGTACGCTCAAGGCGTCTCGTTACAGCACGCTACAGTACACCCAAGCTTTTCATTCGCATCAGCTGCATACTTTCCAATCCATCATCAGGATACGGTAACTTTTCAACCGCAAAGCACTGTAGCAAGTCAGTATACCGTAGTGCTACTTACAATTGCTACTTGCTACACTTTACAGAATTCTTTAAAACTAGGCATATTTTATTTTCTTTGCACTTTCGAATCCCAATTTTTCTGTGATTTCTCTATTTTATCCATTCCAATTCCCAGTGTTAAAAAAAAAATACGCGTTAAACGCTTAAACCTTTTTCTTTCTTTTTCTTTCTTTTTCTTTTCATTTTCCATTTCCTATTTTGCATTTTTATCTTTTATAATCAAAATCGCTTTTTTTTGCCTTTTTTTCGCAATATGAATGTGCTGTGATAAATGATTAAACAACTGAATAAATTGAGGCTTCATTCGAAAATGGTTATTCTGAAATGGGACAGAGTTTAAACTCTTAAACGAATGTTAAGGCTATGTTCCGGTAAAACAAGGTATTTGCTTGAAGAGTACGGTACCGAAACGCAATATTTGACTCAGACAATACCCAGGCCAGCACAGGAAACAACCGTTCATAAACCAAGGACAATACAGTGCCCATCCGCTAAAAAAACCAACTCCGTATCTGTAATCAAAATCTGTTGAATAGTTCGGCATCAAAATTTTTGCTCTACAATCTTGAGCTGAGTTTATGCTTCTCTGTCGACAGCGGTCGTGGTGTAGTGGATGATGTGCTTGTCTACGGAACGGATCAAATTTTTGTAGTGAGTTCGATTCCCCGACTGGACAAACTTTTGCTTTTCATAGAGATATTTTTGATTTTAGACAAATTCTTATACAATTTTTGCTTCATTTACAAATTGGAACAAGTTGGAACAAGTGAAACAACACGCTAATTCTCAATTTGACATGTAGCGGCCCTAGAAGGAGTATACGAAGATAAGTAAGACTACAATAAACTTTAAAAAACACGCGAATTGGAACAAGTTATTGTTTCTTGGTTGGGCAGCTGCAGAATCCCTTGTTGCAAGCCTAAAATTGGAACAAGATAGAATGCCTACAATAGAAAGATGTCTAGGGAAAACTCAATCAATGCACACTCTTTACCGACACGGTTATTCTTTTATGGAGGTCAGAGTGATCGAATCGGGGTCTAACCACAGCACCGTTAGCTTTTTTTAGAAGAATGTAGAATCTGTATCGGAAATACAGCTAAATTTTCTGGGGGCAAAATTTGCTCTTTAAAATTTGGGCATAGTGACGCTAAAAACGGCGAAGACAGTCCAGTCGCTCATCGCTCCTTTACGGATTCCAAAAGGAAAAGAAAAGGAAAGAAGAAAGAAAGAACAAATCGACAGTGATCTGATAAGCATTTTTGGGGAGGGGGAGCACGAAAGAGAAAGGGATCCTTTTTCGGTGAAGAGATCAACACAATACTCATCATCCCCCTTTTCCCTGTCTATCAACCCCATCAATTGATCCTTTTTCACGCACAAAATTCCCTAGGCAACACATATTCTCTATTCATTATTATATTTTAAAGCATGGGCTCACTGTACAGGAGTGAGGTGAGAATTTGTTCATTTTACCCTTTACTGTACCTTTGAGAGCAATGTTTCGCAAAAAAAGAGCTGAATATTTTGAAATCTAATGTCAGCTAAGACCTGACTTTTTCTATCGTACTCCATTCTGCTCTAGAGCTAAAAGTTGTCCTCATCTACCGTAGCCTCATTTATGCCGTAATCCTCGCAGTTTCCTTTTCAGTGCATGAAGCTATGCCAAATGATTATCACGAAAGGCTCCGCGTACGAGTGCGTAGCCGAATTGGGAAAACAACCGAATGTTCACTTTAATGATGTAAGCGAAAAAGTTTCACTAAAGATTGATAAAATCTCAGTTGAACGCACGAAAGGGCATCTTTCAAAGGACCTACGTACGAGATATCAGAAAATGCGATGAGTTGGAGAGGAGTTTGCGTTCGTTTCACTTACAAAAGATCAATCAGAGCTAAATATGTAGGCTATTTGCAAAAAGAGATCATCGAGATCAAGCCGATCATTTATTTGAGTCCAATTGACGTCACAAATCTTGACGTGCCCAACCACAATCACATAAATCAACTGCAAGTAATTAGTTACCGTAACTTTGAGAGTTACGAAGTCTAGCGATTTAGGCGATCTTGATCGAAAAAGAGAAAGCGGTGCGAGATCTCAATGAAAACGATGCCTCGATGAGGAAACAACTCAATGAGATGCGCGAATTTCAATTTGTCCTCCAGAAAATTGAATTCTTTTTCCAGGTAAGTCTCACTTTTATGAAAATCTATTCAAAGATAAATACTAATTTTGAGCACCTTGAAGAGGAAGCGAACAAATCGATTGAAGAAGCCGAGCGGGCGTCAATAGGAGACACACTTTCTGGAGACATTCCACTAGTTGAAGTTCAGCCAGAGTTTGGAAATTTCATCAATGAATCCAGTCAAGATCAAAAGCAAACGTCATGGTTAGATTGTAATTGCTCAACTTGTTAACGGTCTAAATATCTAGGTTCATATGTGGTGTACTTCCAAGTGACAAGAAGCAAGTGTTCGAGCGAGTATTATGGAGGACGTGCAAGAGAATGGCTTTTGTACGCTCACACGTTGACACTTACAACACAACAAACATGATTTTAGGTGCGAATGGCAGACATCGACTACAATTTTATCGACCCAAACACGGTAAGATGACCAAAATGCAACTCATAGAAGCCGTTTTAGCTAAAACCCTTGTCCAAAGCTGTATATATCGTCGTCTCAAAGGGGGAAAGCTTGAAACAAATCGTTCACAAAGTCTGCGAATGGTGAGTTTTTAACAGTGAGCCTCCCTGTTTGTTCGTCGTTAAACTTTTAAAACACAGAATTTATTTACCAAAACATGCAAAATGAAAGATGAATTCACAAGTTATTGTTTCTTGCTTGGGCAGCTGCAGAATCCCTTGTTGCAAGCCTAAAATATAAATGAATTAGAAGCAATGAAATGGGAACCAACCAAGCCAAAGCATTCGTTATCGGCACAAGTCTTAATGTTGCAGAATTCAATGAACATGTTGAGAGGAGTGAGTGAGTGACGGGCGTATGCCTTAAATAGCGCCATTTACATTTAAGTTTACAAACATGAAACAAACTTGGACGCAGCCACACGATCCCTTTGTCGTATTGCAGGCACCTTGAAGTCCACCGCATTGCTTGTCGTCTTGGCAGGGCCAGAATTCAATGCAAGCCGCACAGTTGCAGCTAAAACAAAAGGATACCTACTTTACGAAATAAACAGTACCGTCCAGGCAGGAATCCAATGCAGGTTCCATCACCGCAATCCTTGTCGACTTCACAGCTGCCTGCAATTGTGCATTCTTTCTCCCCTTGTCCACTTCCTTCAGCGATTTCTCCAGAGGCCTCTTGAACTTCACGACGGAAACGTCCTTGAGGGACTCCTTGTTGAACAACCTAAACAGAAACGATGAAAACATAGGAAAGCTTAGCACTAACCTGCTTACGGTGCACTTCGGCTCCATTTGATCCCTTGATGTCATCAATTTCGATGATTGTGTCGCGAGGGTCGAAGCTTCCTTCAACCGAGTCGCCGCTTCCCATGTTGACAAAAGTTTGTCGAATGTGGGAGCCATCAGGTCCTTGGGTCAAGTGGTCCTCGATGATTGTTCCGGAAGCCATTCCACTACCATCCACGTCATCTTGCGCAAGCGGTGCAGATTTGATGCCAGGTTGAACAACCTAAAAATAATATGAATGAAAAGTAACAGTTTTAGTTCTCAATTCGACATGTAGCGGCCCTAGAAGAGTATACGAAGATAAGTAAGACTACAATAAACTTTACAAAACACGTGGATACACTTGTTAGAAAGATCTCGTCCCTGCTACTAACCGCTTAGATATGACAGCTCGACCTTATTCAATATTACAAAACTACATACCTGTGTCCGGTGAATGCGCTTGTTATTTGATCCTTTGATATTGACAACTTCGATCACTTCATCTCGTGGGTCGAAGCTGCCTTCCACAGAGTCTCCGCTTCCGAGGCTGATGAACTGCCGATGAATGGACGATCCGTCAGGTCCGAGAATCAAGTCGTCTTGTATAACATCCCCAGAAGCGATATCCCCACTGCCGTCATCGCCGCTCCCGCTGCCACTCCCATCCTAAAAGCAAGAGCTTATATGTTGAAGTTTAAGCGACAAACAACGCTACAAGTAAACACAAAAACTAAACGAACCTCTTGGAAGATTTCGGACTGCGCCAACATAACCAAGTAGGCCAAAAAGAAGGCTTTGAAGATCATGGCTGCCTAAACAAAACAACATTAATTTGAATCAAATCTTGAAAAGTTCAAATAGAAAAAAATTCGGCCCCACTCGGAATGCGGTACTAGAAATTTTATTCAAAAATCGAGAGAATGGCAAAAGAACAAGCGCGTTTTGATTTATTCTAGCGAAAAAAGTTTTTAAATAAAATGAGTAATCTTAACGACGACGCAACCTGATGACCTGAAAAGCGCAGTTGTAAAGAATTTCGATAGGGGGAAATGATAAATGAATGAAAATGGTGGCGCGCGTCGCATTTTATTTGGCTAACTACCGTAATCCTTGATACAATAAATGAAATTTCAATAAATAGCAGAATATTTTTCACAAAGGAGCAATTGACACAAAGAGTACAAAAAGCGATTTTTGTTATTTAGTTTTTCTGCCGGTGAATACCCGTGTCCAAAAACGTCAAAAGCTCGACAATCAGCACTTGTTGAAGTAAGTTTAACACGATAAGTGACTCTTATAGCTAAATTTTAGTGCTATAATGCCTCTTATAGCCAAATTGTAACTTAAGCAGGCAAATCTTAGTCAACTCTAGTTGGTAAAAAGCTTTTTCCAGACTTTGACAAGAATTCAAGATCTGCAACACATCATCGATCGAACCGAGCATCACAAACATCAAGTAGAATGAAATAAAATGTTTTTTTAAAAAAAGATTTTAGTTGTTATCGTCGATATCGGGCGATTTACCCGAATGGCAGCGACAAGTGCGTCTGCACAAAGCCGTGTATCATGCTCTAAACAATTTCAAGTGTTCGTGCGATAGAATCAATCTAAATCTGATCAAAAATTTTAGTAGACACGAATGGTTTCCTGGCAGCCGAGTGTTGGGTACCGGAGAGGAATCTGGAAGCGGTTAGAGAGGGATTGGCTGAAGGAGTGGTCAGCTTTGCTAGAAGAATTCTGCTAAAGAAAAAGAATTCAGAAAAAATCTGGCACCACTGTGGCCCCGATCCTGAACGTGCTCGAATCAACAAGAAACCCGCCCACATACAATCGAGTGAACAAATTCACGAAAGTTTTCCAATCGATCGTTGACAGTTACGGGGTGGCCAGTTACCGAGAGGTGAACCCCGGTGAGCTTTGAATTAGTGCCAAATAGAAACAAGCTGATGTATTTAAAAGACGGGAGTGGGACAAATGCTACCTTTTTTTTTGCGCACCCGGACATTAGCGCACCTTTATTCGCGTTTTAAAAAAGCTCTAAAAGCTAATATTAACCAATTTCTATACCAAAAGTTGTTTTTCTAGGTAATTTTAGGGCGTAGAATCGAAATTTTGGCATATCAGAGCTTGTGGAAGCGAACAGACGGAGTTATACAAAAAAAAAGGCGGAAAAAAAGGTGAAAAAAAAATGTCCGGGTGCGCAAAAAAAGGTAGCATTTGTCTCACTCCCTAAAAGACAATTTGTTCTACCGTATTGCACTCCATTCCAGCTCCATTCACGATCATCACTTTTCCTTTCCTATTCGCCGTCATGTTTGGCGACTTTGCTCATGGATTGCTCCTTTTGCTTTCCGCATTGTATTTCATTGTGAACGAGAAGAAAATTGCTGGGAAACGGATAAATGATGAGGTGAGAGATGAAAGAAGAATTGAAAGAAGAAGATCAATTCAGATTTTCAATACATTCTTTGGTGGTCGTTACATCATTCTCCTGATGGGTGTTTTCTCGATTTACTGTGGAATCATTTATAATGATTGGTTGATAAAAGAGAGAACAAGCACAGGCTAATCTTAAATTCAGCTTCGGCAAATCGGTGACTCTTTTCGATAGCAGTTGGCATAGTCCATACAGCACAAGCGAGTTAAAAGAGTTGAGAAATGGACGCTTGGGGGATGAACGTTTGATTGAACTCGATCCATCAAAGGCTTTCTCTCGTGAGGTTCAGATTTGTGTGAATAGAAAATGCATCAATGAAATGCTTGCACATAATTCTAATTGTACAGTACTACGATAATCTGTAGTACTGTAGCTGTAGAAAGTACCGTAATCCATGTAATACTATAGTCAATCTCGATTTTAAATCCATTCAAATTCAGCATGGTCCGTATCCACTTGGAATGGATCCAATTTGGAATATCGCCGAGAACAAGCTCACCTTTTTCAACTCAATGAAGATGAAGGTCAAAATTGTTTCGATTTCCCTCAACCAACCGCATTCCAGCTTTCCATCATTCTCGGGGTATCTCAAATGACATTCGGCGTCTTCCTCTCGCTTCTCAATCACCTGTACAATCTTTCTTTATCCTTAAAACTTCAACTTTTAGCTCAAAACGATCGATCACCGACGTAGTCACCAATTTCATCCCACAGCTACTCTTTTTGACCTCAATTTTTTTCTACCTTTGCGTGCAAATTATCACGAAATGGATCTTTATCACCCATGAGCCGGGAACAGTCTTTGGAATGGAATATGAAGGTACTTTGTGCCCAAAAAGTGTAAACAACAACGATTGAGTATGCCAGAAAGGATGCGTTTACACTTTTTAGGACAAAGTATCCTAATAGTAAGTCTTCTAGGTGGAAAATGCGCTCCATCACTCCTCATCGGTCTTATCAACATGTTCATGATGAAAAATCGGGATATTGGGTGAGTAGGAAAGGGGTTTTGCTTAAAAAAAAGATTCAGAGCACATTCAAACGGCAGCACGAATCCCTGTTATCTCAACTTTTGGTATCCACATCAGGTATGGATTGTTGCCTCATTTTATAAGCCGCTACAGTGACAGTCTTGGTAACCATATTTCGCAGTAGTGTGGCTACTTTACTTTCCTTATTACACCCATAAATGTATAGTAATCTTAAGATTAGGTATATCAGATTTCTGGATTATAGCCTAGATAAATCCTTGTCATTTTGCTTGCTTGCTTTTCATTTGAATGGGGCTGCTACGTAGAATCTATGCACTAGATATAATGCTTGAATCTTTGTTTCTAACGTGGCTGCTCATTTTAGATTTTCTCTCAATCTTGTAAGCTATTTCAATCATCAATGAAACGATGAAAATTATCAAAAAAAGTACTTTAATTGATATCTATTGCCTTGCAGAAAGAAATCGAGCGCTACCTCTTGCTCGTCGCTCTCTGCTGTATCCCAGTGATGCTTCTCGGCAAACCCCTCATCCATTTCATTACATCGAAATCCGCGTCACGTCGACCAAAAAGCAATCGAGTTTGTGGAAAAATCAGAAAACTTGAAAGTCTGAAATCCTGAAATCCTTTTCAGGATGAAGAACAAAGTCTCCTCGAAATGCCAAAAACGCCGACCACAAAAGAGGCGCCAAAAGAGATAAAAAAAGAAGGACACGATAATACGGATTTCGTCATACATCAAGTAAGCTTTGAGTCAGAGTACTTTACTTGATTCTAAATTCTGATTCACTACCAGCAGTGCCAGCTAGGCGGTAACAATATCCATTGCTCGTTTAGGCAATTCACACGATCGAATTTGTGTTGGGTTGTGTCTCTCATACGGCCTCGTATCTTCGTTTATGGGCCCTCTCATTGGCTCATGCTCGTGAGTTTTTAATCTCTTGCTGTACTGTAGAGAATCGAAATAAATACTGTAAAATTAGCAATAAGACTTGCGGGATACTGTAGGGAAAGAGCACACTTTAGAAAAATCAAATAAAGGACGATCAGTTTATCACTATTAATGCAAAGAACGTGCTATTATTGCTAAATAGAAAATGGTAATGAACTTTAAGACTACTACTGTAGGAAGACATTTGATAAGCTCAGCTCTACTTCCGATATCCAAATCGCATTTCAGAGCTCTCCGAAGTCCTCTGGCATATGGTGTTAATCAACGGATTGAATGCTTCATCACATCCAATTCTTTCCCCAATTCTTGCCTATTTCACTTTCTTCGCTTTCGCCGTGCTCACCTTCGCAATTCTCGTTCTTATGGAAGGTTGGAAATTGGATTTACGATCAATCCTAGCGTCAATGTCGAGTACAATCAATCTGTACTCGCGCGTAGTCAGGCTACAAACCACTGTAACTTTCTTTAGCATTAATATTTTTGAGTGTGCTTTAATCGATTTAAAAGCTCTTGAAATTCTCGATTTTTTGAGCTATAGATCATATCAATCTAACCGATTTGAAGGAAATTAGAAGCATTTGTAGTGTGTAGTGTAGTGCAAAGTATAAAATTGAATCAGTTTACATAGTAACTCTACAACGGTTTTTTTCATTATCTTTTTCCAGGTCTCTCCGCATTCCTGCACGCTCTTCGACTGCATTGGGTTGAATTTCAATCGAAATTCTATTTGGGTGATGGATATCAATTTCTGGCTTTCTCGTTACGAGAATCCCTTGAGCACATTTCATCGATGATTATCGACGAGTAGAATTGATCATTTTTTAAGTGTAGTTTTCGGCTGTACAATTTACAATTTACAATTAGATTTTTGTTGATCTTTCGGCTAATTCCATATACGATTACACAACAAAGGTACAACTCTATTCGATTTTGAGTTTTGCTGAAATGAGAAAACTAGTTTAACAGTACGTCCAGAAAGCTAGCTTTACAGTACGTCCAGAAAGCTAGCTTTGCAGTACGTCCAGAAAGCTAGCTTTACAGTACGTCCAGAAAACTAGTTTTACAATACGTGAAATTGTCTTAAACTTTTTTTTTTTAAAGAAAAACATTAATATCTAAAGAAGATGAAGCAATGAGAAAGAGAACTCATTACACTCATACTACACTCATACTACATTCTCATCTATACAAATCAATTGGATTTTGAAATGAAATGAAAAAAGATTCCTTTCGATCGATATCGTTAAGTTTCGAGAAGTAGATTTCGAAAAGATTAATGTAAGCCACGATCGTTATTTCCCTTTTCAACCCTTTTCAACCTCTCTTCAAGCTTCAACTTTATTTCTTTAAACATAGAAAATGTTTGTTAAAAAAAGGTGAGCAAATTTTTGCAAAACAAATCACAGAGAGAGAGAGAGGATAGATTAGAATCATTTGTTGCAGGAATGTCATCGAGAAATTGGCCAAAAAGGGGAAAAAAATGGGCACTTTCATCTAATTTCAACAAAAACAATTAGAAAAAGATATTGTTTTAAAAAAATTTTTTAGTTTTTCAGTTGGCAAGAAACATTTTTGTTTAAAATGGAATGGTTGGTTAGACAAAAAATAAGTGTGTTTTCGGGATATTAGAATGGAAATTTGTGTGGGTAAGGGGGAAACGGCTAAATGAATGAAGAATAGATAAAGAAAGGCCTGATAAAGAAAGATAAAAATTTGTGAGCAAGATGAGAATAAGTAAAAATGGAGAAGCTGATACTTTTAACGCCCGATTGCTAGATAAATGAAGCCGAAGATAATTAGATTCTATTTTGAATCTTAAACTTGAATCCTATCAGTAAAGCCTTTTTCCTGGATTTTAATCTGTAATCATTTAGCTCACCTTTACAAGTCAGCTTACAAGTCAGCTTTTTCTAAAAAGTATCTAGAAAACTAAAGTAATCAAATTACTAAATCAAAAGGATTCATTAAAGCTGAACATCCTTTGCTCAATTAAAGTTTAAAAGGTACTTGTTAGCCTGATTGTCAGCCATTGTCAGCTTGATTATCAGCTTGATTATCAGCTTGATTGCCAGCCATTGTCAGCTTGATTGTCAATCAGTTAGTCTTTCTTACAATTAGCAGACTAGACAGGGTTTAAAGTATAGCCAAAAACGAATAAAGCAGTTAAACATTTCAAACAGTAACACTAAAGATAAAGATATTCATTAGGAAGATATTCTTACTCTGTCTCGGGGACAGTTTCTTTTGGCTCTTCCCCAGCCGCTTCGTTGCTCAGCTCGACCTGGAAGATTCGTTTTGCCAAAGTTTTCTTGCCAAAGTTGAATCAATCAGTTATTACCCTACCTACTTACTACATTTAAGATTAAATGAAATTAAAATCTTAAACTTGAATCCTCCTTGACTCACCTGAGTCTTTCGATACTTGAGAATCGCGTTCAGCTCGGCTCTCGACTTTGTTTGATACTGAAAAAGCTTTAGATAAGATAAGGATTCCTTAGATTTTCTCTAAAGACAGGATTCCTTAGATTTTCTCTTAGAACTTCACTAACATTTGATCGACTTTTCTCAACAAGCAATTGCGAGTACAGTCTTGATCCTTCTTCTCGTCCAGCCGCTCTTTCCAGCGCCGGTTTCGACAAAGAGAACAGAGTAGCTCCGTCTTGTTCAGCCAACAACTCCATCAATCTAAAGAAAATGTAAATTATAGTATTTTATTATGCTACAGTAAGCTACTTTGAACAAAAATACATAGTTTTCTTGCGGCTTATCAGCTAAATTGATTCAAAAGAGTCCTACAGTAAGTCACTAACTGAGTTACAGTACTGCGGAGATTCTACTCTTGAGATTACAGTACTTCACGGTACTCTAGAGCACTGTAATTGTAAGACGGGTACTTTAGGGTACCCTAGAGTACCCTAGAGTACCCTAGAGTACCCTAGAGTACCCGATTTACAGTACCCCAACAAGACTGCTTCAATATGCTCACCCTCTGAATATCTTAACAATCAAAAATTCTACAGTAACCAGCTGAATGCCTCTTAAATAATCGTACAGTGCAATTTCTAGTTTTAAACTCACCTTACAGTACCTTCTACCTTCTACTGTACTACGAATACTTTCTCTTCAACCATTTCCCCACTCACCTAACCGAAAATCCCTTATCCTGAAGCCATATCTGAAGACCGCGTGCATCCGTTTGCTCTTGTAGTTTCACATTGGATTTCATTGGCTAAAGAAGAAAGTTGATTTTTCCATTTCCCAATTTCTGCTCTCCAAACCTTGCTTCCCGGGAGTATCTTTTGCCCTGCAGCGTTCGAAATAGTTCCAATCAAGTCAGCCATCAGCGCCTCTTCTAAGATATTCATTTACAAGTAAGCTTTGAAAGCTCTTAAACTCGTATAAATAGCTTAATTGAACTGTTCTGGGTATGACTTTTAAATCTTAAACTTGAATCTTCAACTTGTTTCAGAATTTTGTTCACCTCCGGGAACCCGCTTTGTCATGATCATTCGCGGTTTCGGGCTCTTCCAAACGAGGCGCTCTTTGCGGCTAAAATAAGAGGTTTACTTTTTTTTTTCTTATTTTCTTATTATATATTGTTCTTCTTCTTGTTCTTCTTGTTCTTCCTATTTTCTAAATTTTTTGAAAACTCACAGCTGGTCTTAGCTTCTGTTCAGCGAGCTGTTGTTGGAAATTGGCCATCGGTGGTGGTGGCTAGAAAGGAGAATTTTAAGGATTCTTGAAAGGAAACTTGATCTCAAGTTCAGAATAAGTTTCAAAAATGTTCTTTTACCATCTGAGCGTTCCTCACAAACATAATCCCACTTACCGGTATTTGCATTTGTGGCGGTGGCATCGGAACTCTTTCATGCACATTTGCCTGCACTCCCGCGTCGACAATGTAACGTGGTGCGGCTAGAATGGCTAGTATTTCTTATTTCTAAATGTAATTCAGTTCAGAAGATTCAGTACAGCTTTATTTGTATAAAGTTATTTATAAATTTCTTCATGCAGCTGATTTCCCGGCTGTAGCTTTTGTTGCAAAATTTCCACTTCACTCTCTACTGGTCAGTCCTGAAAACTGTGCCAATGCGTTTTCTAAAGCGTATCATCTTTCAACTACCGTAATCTTGTCTCTTTTTCAATCTATCCACTTTTCGTCTAATTCTGTGAAGATATAAAAGTCGATGGATTGAAGGAAAAACAGGGATTACGGTAGAGAAAAAAGACGGCTTTAGAGAATAAGGAAACCCTTGTTTAACTACGATAGTCTTATTGGGTTGGTGAATTGAAAACTGCGGGACTTTGAACTAAAATTTATTCAACATAAAACCATCAATTCATTCTAAATAATTTCCATTATTATTGAAGACTTCGGCCCATTTTACAGGCAATTTGCGAATTCCTCTTTCGTAGTAGGATTTTGGTTTGTATGTGAGACTCAAAAATGGAGGACTGGAGATGTCCCAGTTTGAGCACTTTCTTCAAAAGAAACCCATTTTTGTGTCAATGGAAAAGTTGTAGAGAATCAAAAATGAGGCTTATAGCCAAATTTCCAAAAAGATACACTTAGTAGTTTCGCTTAAAATGCAAGTTTTGTGAAAATTCGGAAATTTGGCATTTCTTGAAAACCAGTTTTTGAATCGTTCTGAAAATTTGGATATAAGCTTGATTTTTGATTCTCTACAACTTTTCCATTGACACTAAAATGGGTTTCTTTTGAAGAAAGTGCTCAAACTGTTACAATCACAATAGACAATGTCACAATGACAATAGGCGGCAGTTTTCAATTCACCAACCCAATAGATTGAGATCAGCCTTGATTTGGGAGTAGTCAATGTCGAACTTGAGGATTCGGAAACGGTCAGAAGAGATTGGCGAGCCGAGAGGGAAGGGGCTTATGTAAAAGCTCTGCGCCAGACGACGAGCGATTACGCGGCCGCACAAAGAACACACAAATTTTAAGGGAAACTACGGGGCGCTCTTTGCGGCTAAATAAGAGGTTATAAGCGAAACTACGAAGTGTATCTTTTTGGAAATTTGGATATAAGCTTGATTTTTGATTCTCTACAACTTTTCCATTGACACCAAAATGGGTTTCTTTTGAAGAAAGTGCTCAAACTATTCACATATGACAATAGCCGGCAATTTTCAATTCACCAACCCAATAGATGCTTTTAAAGAAAGCACAATGATCTTACAATATTCCCGTCACATCGTTTTGTCTTTCATCAACCTCAACAGTCTGTCGTTTTCTCAATTTTCTTTACCAACAAAGATTTTGAACGTTTATTTATATTATAAAAAAATAAGCACAAAGGGGTGGCGATATGGGAAGAAAAACATTGAATTGAATTGAAGAAAAACATAGAAATATTTAACGGAGGAAGAGAAATAAATATCCAAAAAAAAAAAGGTCGGACAAAAAAGAACGAAGGGATGGGAAGAATGAACGAAGGGATGGAGAGTAACTGCGATAAGGCACCATTTCTTTGTTTAAGGACAAAAACATTTGGGGGAACATTTCATTAAACGATTTTGAAATTTGAATTTCAAATTTCAAATCAGAATCCAGTTGATAATCGAAATTTTCGCGACTCTCCGGATTTTGTTTTGAAATTTGATTAATTTAGAATTTTTTGTTTTTTCGGTTTGAGGCTTTGACATATCACAATTGAGACAAATGGGAATCGAAAAGATTTTTTGAAGAAAAATGCACAAGGAGTACTTTTTAAGAAAAAGTTTTCGCAAACAGTACCTCTTGTTCATAAAGAAGAGATACCGTAATCGCTGGAATAGACTAAGATACTGTACTTTGGACTGTTTTACTCTGCGGATACTATACTTTGGACTGTTGTACTCTGTGGATACTATACTTTGAGATATTGTAACCCGAAGATACGGTAGTTGAGCTGTTTTAGAACGGATTACATTATCCTGTATCAGCATTTCAGCAAACAGGCTTTCAAACAGCTTCCACTTTCTTACCAGTTACGGTAGTCTAAGAAGAGTCGATGTGGAAAGTGGTATACAGTAGTTATCAGAACATAGTACAGTACATAGTACAGAACATAGTACAGTACTTTTCTTTCCTTAGCTATTACAGAGATTACGGTTGGGGCATTTTGAGCATTGAGTGAACGGAGACAATGACATAAAAAGAATACAATAGAAAATATTTAAATAAAGATTATTCTTTAGATTATGCTTTTTAGATAAAAGAATTAGTGGTGTGCATGGGGTTAAGTGGATAAGAGAGTTGATGCTGAGAATCGGGCTCGGGATCGGGCATCGATCCGTGACAACACTCACAAAACGAGGCTGACTATCGTGCTTTGGTCTTTTCAGCTCATTTTATAAATCTTTTACTCAAATAGTCTCTAGTGCGTGCCAGATAAGCAAAAAAATCAGCAAAAAAAATTGAAAACAAGCTAGCCTTGACAAGCAATAGTCTCGTGACGAGTTTGTCGACATTTCTCCGCATTTTTTGCATAAGTTGAACTTCCAGCCACATATTTCTCCTATCTGGCACGCAGCTAAGGTTCTAGGGTTGCTAAGGTTTAAATATTTCGAATATAAGTCCCTCAAAATCTAGACCAGTTTTACTCTTGACAAAAGCACGAGATTGGACAAAAGCACGAGGTTGGACACACGCTAAACAAAAGCGACACACAAAACCCCATGCATTCATTCAAAAGCATTCAATTTTTGATCTCTGTTAGTATCGAAAAGTGTTAGTGACAGACTGTGATGACAAAACATGACAAAGACGTTAGTTGAAAACTGAGCAAACATAACCGATTGAGTTAGTCAAAAAAAAAAAAACGTTTCAACGGTGCTTTGTTAACTGTTAACTGAAATTTTCTTTTTTTCTTATCACAAAGGGGAACCACTTACCCAATTCCCAAGAATAAAACTTTAAAAACAAAGCTAAAACTAAAAATATCTGAATTCTCCACGGCGTCCCTGTCGCTGTTTGACATATGATGGAGCATCTTCAGGGAGGAGATGATTACCTCGAGGTGGTGGTTGGTTAGGAGAAAGACCAGGTTGATTGGGGTGATGATGAGAGGAACCATAGCCATTCAGTTGATGACTCGATCCACCGTTTCCATTGTACATCGTGCCCGTCGACTAAATGCGACTTGGTTACCGGTAGTATACATAGCGCAAGGTAGATCTGACCTTAGGTTTGATCTATTGTCAAGAGACCAATAAGGTGGAATCTAGATCTTTAGATTGGCCTAGGTCAAACATAATCCTTTGGCCAGGATCTGGCCTAAGTCTTGCCAGACCTGCCTGGAGTCTGACTCAGCTTCAGGCCTGAGCTGAGCCGTCCTGAGCTAGGGTCTAACCTAGGGTAGTCCTAGGGCAACCTAGGGTAGTCCTAGGGTAACCTAGGGTAGTCCTAGGGTAACCTAGGGTACCCTGCGGTCTACCAGGTAGATCTTTTGATTGGCCTAGACCAGGTCCGGGATCTAATCAAGGGACTAGTCTGAAGTAAGGCCTAAGACGTGATCTATGGTTTAGTCTAGGCTCTGGACTAGATATGTTTCTCTATCGTTGGTACCAAGATCTACCTGCGGTGGTCCGACATAGATCTCCTCATTCGGTATGGCTGGAGACGTGCCATCAGCCGGGATCACCGTCAATATCGTGTGCGGAACGTATCCGCCTCGATTGTGCATATTCTTGCACTCCCACCAGTTCTTGGAATCATTCAACACCTCAAGATATTCACCGCGCGAAACGGTGAGCTCTTTCGGATTTTGCGCCACTCGGTCATAGGTGGCCTGTACGAGTTTGCATCTGAAAATTGTCTATAAGACTTTTGTAACGCTACAGCCCGAATGAGGAGATCTCTCCATTCAACCATTCTAAACAAACCTTCGATTGAGAATATCCTGAACAAAAGCCCTTTGTCTTGGGGATTGATCAGGATCATTTAAGAGTGAGGCTGGCAACGGGACGCTCATTCCCCCGTGATCAAATCCTCGTCTTTCGGGTTGCGGTGATGGTTGAACGGATGGACGTTGGGATTCACTGAAATGTGTTGTTGTTGTGTTGAAATGACTTAAACAAGTGAAAGAATATGTTTTTGATATTTCCATGTTAGAGAGAGCCGAAAGCCTGGGGAAAGATGGGATTTCTTAATTGAAAACGGGATTTTGATCAGTTCGTAGTAAGTTCAAAAACACATTAATGGAAACGGGAAGTCTTATGATATTTGATGATGGATTGGATGATGATGATCTGTTCAAATCTTGAGAACACTTGAAACCAAGAAGCTTTGCGTTTCCATTACGGTTTTGAAATCTTTCTACGAGCTGTCAATAGAAAGGGAGATGAATCAAGGGGAATGGACTTGTTGAACCCACTCTCACTCACGAAATCACTTACTAATCTCGATTGTAGCGATAATTCATGCTAAAAGATTTTGAAAATATTTTCAAGTTTGATTTTATTTTTGATTTCTCACTTCTTAAATGCTGGCGGTCCACTCGTAGAATTCGTGCGTTCACGTTGAATCATTTCCGCTTCTTTGTTCAAACGTTCACGATCAACTCTGAAAAAGGGACGACTTTAATCTACAAGATGGATGAATCTTCGTCTATCTTTTTTGCCGAACTCACTTCACTCTCTGTTCTTCTTCTTCCAATCGTCGCTGTCTTTCTCGGATCTTTTCCTTTTCGAATTCTAGTCTCTCTTTTTCAAGTGACAAGCGACCGATATCCAACTGAAATTTTCAATAATACATTTGACTTCAAAACTTCTAGGTGACTGGATCCAAAATGCAAAAATTGCTTAAAATTTAGATTTAGTCTTAAGATCTTAGAGATCTTAAAGACTCAGAGAAAGTTCTGAATCGTTCTGAACAATCGTTCTGAACAATCGTTCTGAACAATCGTTCTGAACAATCGTTCTGAACAAACGTTCTGAACAATCGTTCTTTAAAGACCAACAAAACGACAACGAAATCGTTCTGAACAAGAATTTGAAGGAAACTTTCATTTGATCGTTTCCATGTTACAAGTAAGAAGGGGGGAAAGCAAGAAGGGTTTGGTTTTTCGTTCAAAAAGAAAGAATTCTTGATGTTTCATGCACTTAGTCTGGTTTATAGTTTATAGCCAACCGTACACTGTATCAAAAGTTAACTGTGCCACTTTTGCTTTCAAATTATCCAATCCATAATTAAGAGAGAAAAAACAAAGGGATAGCAGTCACTAGCAAGGGATGGGGAACAAATAATATCCATATCCAGCTCAAGAAGCAAAAGATCAATCAATTAATCTGATCATTAGCGGATCTGCATAAATGGATATCATTTGTCATACGGTAACTCACATTATCCACTGACATATTCCTTTGCGGAGCTCGTTTCTGTTGTGTATTGTAGCGTTGTGTTGCCGGGGTGGATGGAGCCTGAAGACAAGAGGGAAAATGTATGAACACATGCAAATTCAAAGCTTTTCTTTATATTTAACGGTTAGAATGGGTAGTTACGGTACTTTTGTCTGTCTGTAACAAATTCAATCGATCAGTTGTATTCAAATTTACCTCAAAGTACAGTACTAACAAATTTTGTCCAGTGCTCTTTAACAAGGACAAGGACAAGGACAAGGTAAGGATAAGGATAAGGATAAGGACAAAGACAAGGACAAGGATAAGGACAAGGACAAGGACAGGTTTGAGTTATGCAACTTATTATTTGTAGAAATTAGATCCAGCCACCTTTCAAAAAACCAGCAATTAAACAAAATAAGCGACAAAAGACATTTAAAAGTTAGACTTCTAAAATTGTTAGACTCGAGGACGAAGAGAAGAGAAATTATATAGTGAAAATATTTACCGTATCAACAGTGCGCTCGCGATTTCGATATGGAGCTGGTGGTTCAGAGACGCCTCGATGAATGGTCGCGTCTTGTCCGCGACTTGTGCGCGGCTCGGGTGGACCTGAAATAATGAAATATTTTAGACAATGACAGATTTCAGCTTCTTGAAGAATTTGAAAACCTTCCACAGCTTTTCTCTTTTCTCTTTTCCATTATTTCTTCATTCTCATTCAATTGATACCTTAAAATGAAAAGATTCAAAAGAAAAGCGTTATCTAAATTGTTCATGTTTTGTCTAACTTTATCTAAATTGTCCAAAATTTTCGATGAAGCTTTCAACGAACCATATGGCGTGAAACCATCCATAAAAACTGGTTTGTATGGAGCGGGCAATGGTCCAGGCCAATCCTCGGGTGGTGTCCTCCAAGCATCACCCAAACTCAACCAAACGTCCATTTCTTTCGATGTGAGACAATTCTGCATCAACTCTCGCGCATCCAACGACAGCAATGGGGAAACCACCTGCGAGAAGAAAATGTTAATTTCTAATTTCTTGACTTATTGTAAGAGCTTTAGTTTTACATCTGCTTCTATTCTTCTTCTATTCTTCTTCGTTATTCTCTGTTTCTCAACTGCTTCAACTAGAAAAACTTCTGAACTCAGTTGGGTTACTGAATCAAAACCATTTCCTACTCTTTCAAGATAACTTGTGAGATAACACTGTGAGATAACTTGTGAACTCACAAGTGAAGCAATATTCCTTCCCAATCCCCAATGCGAGGCGTCTAAGATGACATTAAGCGGCGAGAAGAGGAAATGCACCAACTCAGGCGCATTCGGCTCATGGATGTGATTGCGGAGTTTTGCCTGAATCTCCAATTCTATAGCTGATCCAAAAAAAACCGCACCAGCAGATTGAAAGAGAGTTTGAATTTCCGGAGAACTTCGACGAATTCAGCTTCCAGCGGGAGTTGGGCGCGCATTTGGAGAATGCCGTGTGGGTCGGGTGGTGGAGCGCGTTGTTTGTCACGGCGTTGAGTGGTACGATATCTGGATTTGATTAGAAATACTATTAGTTCTATTAGTCTAATAGAATTACTATTAGTTCATCTACATCTAGAGGAAAAGCTAAACCATCAAAATCCCGAATTATTCACCTATGAGCTTGTTGCTCGAGTTCCCTTTGTGCCAAAGCGGCGCTTTGTATTCGCGCCACGAAACGCTCGATGTCGTCAAAGCAACGATTCAGCGTGTTCTAGAAAAATAGCTTTCAGTGTGTTGAGGCTTTAAAAACTGACCACATCTCTTTCAAACAATTCACTGTTTTCTGAAGACACAGACACATCATCACCAAATTGAGGACCACCGTAAGCTAAAAATTTTGTGAAATAATGAATGAACTTCTAAAAGAAATTTGAAATTGTTAGCCAAAAAGCACAGCAAAAAAATCGATTCTGTTAAAAGTTTTGCAAAAAAAAAAGACACACTTTAGAAAGATTGATGTTACGAACCCAGCAAATATGGACAAATCTATTGCCAATTTTCAATCAATTAAGGAGAAGTATTAGTTTAAAAAAGAAACTGTTATCTATTATTTGTTACCATATTTTCTCTAATAGTAGTGCACCCAGCCGAGCCGAGTTTATACCTATTTTACGGTTTCGAAGTTTTTCCAGAAGCTCAACACTCTAATCCCCCACTAGATCTCATCGTCAGCTACATTTTCCGACCCCACATCAATAAGTTCTGATAAGCGGTTCTCGAGATTTCGAGGAATTTAGGCGACGATATTAGAGAAAATTCGTATTAGTTTCGTTAAAATCAAAAAAACCAGTAAAATTGCAAGGAGAGGACTCGAACTTGAGCAAAAGCGAATCTCTCACTTTGTATACAAGCACCTTATCCGCTAGGCTAGCAGCCCTTTTCGAGGTCGTGTGAGAAAAGCCTTTTAAGGTTGAGGTTGAAAGCCTTTAAGCCTAGCGGATAAGGTGGCTTTTAAGCTTAAGTTTTAAGAACTTCTACGCCAAATATCTTGCGTTTGCGTGAGTATGGGCAGCTAATTTTTGCGGTGTTTTGATGAGCTTAGTCGATCAGGATGCACTACTATTAGAGAAAATATCTATAATTTGTTATCCCTTTCCAAATCACTCCAACCCATCTCTCACTCATTTCCTTTTTTTACTTTTTGCTCTTTGTTGTTGCTCACCATGCGTGGAATGATTTCCATTTCCTCCATTGCCACTTCGACGACCATTTTTTACCTGAAATTTCATTAATTTTGAAACTTTTCAATTCAAATTTAAAAACACAAGTTCTCTCAACTACTAGACAAAGAATTCCAAAGAATTCCAAAGAATTCCAAAGAATTCTCGAGTTTCTTTTTCTCATCACAACATTTATTTCTCACATGATAAACAGAGCTCAAATGTGTGTGGTGTTGACGACGGGTAACTGGCTAGAAAACAAATTTACCATAAACATTCAAATAGAAAAGTCAGCTCTTCTAATTTTACAATGTCACTTTCAATGACAGTATACCTAAATTTTGAAAAGCTCAAAGATGGGTGGGTTTTTGTTGGATTTTCATCCAGTTTTCGACGTCATTAAGCTTTTTTTAGTCTATAAATATTATTTAGTCTTTGAAAATTTTTTTAAAGTTGAGCATTTTGCTATCCGAAAGTTGAAAAATCTGAAAAAATGGGCTCTTCTATTAGAATAAAATAAAAAAAATACAATAAAATAATAAAATAAAATAATAAAATAAAATAATAAAATAAAATACAGTGATAGAAATAGGTAGATTAGGCGAGGAATTTGAGGCTGAAACGATAACGTTTCTTTATGAGCAAAGATGTTTGACAAGTTCGACCGCCAACCCAGGTTAGATCAGGGTTCGATCAAAAGCTTTTTGTGGGCTAGATCAACGGAAAGATCAGATCAGAAAAGGCTAGACCATAGCCAGTTCTTGCTTCTAGTGAGTTCACGAGTTTTTATAGGCTGCCTGGTCTGCCTATAGCCTAGAAAAGTGCCCGTGAAATCACTCACTCTAATCTAATCACTTTTTTTTTTTGCCTAAACTTTATAACTCTGTTTTCATTTATCTTACTTTATATGTTAAAATGAATCTTTGTTTTTAAAAAACTTACAGATGAACTTACTTTTTTATATTGTCCTCGGACGTAGTGCTGAAGATCTTCAGCTACCTCAGTGGCCGCCACTCGATTGCACTGAAATAGGGAAAGGGATTTACATATAACATAGTACAATGTACAATGTACTATGTAAAGCATTGATACAGTAATCTAGCGTCACTCATCTACAATAGAATCACACGTTATCATGACTTTTTTTCTTTTCTGTTTATTTTTCTCAATTTTTCTCAACTCCTAGCTTTTCCTAGCACTTTTGATATCAAAAAAATACTAGATTATAAGCGTTATCATTTGACACTCAAGCGAAAACTTTAGCATAAAGCAGTGCAGAGAATGGAACGTTCAAAGTTAGACTACGCGATTGTACGCCCCGTCATTCTGGGGATGGTGTTGTCTTCGAGTATTTACGGAATAGAACTTTTCACCTTGCCATTTCACAAAGCAAACTAAGCGAGTTGTCCCTCCGTTTCCGAGAAAAGCCTTCGCCCTTCCTTATCTCGGACTTTTCCCCTCAAAACTCTTTCCTCATTTCCATAATAATTTTCCTTTTCCCCCCCTTCTTCAAAGGAAATCGATTTTTCGCTGAAATGAAAAAGTGATAAACGGGACGAATTAACGCGTTTTCTTTTGAGAAGACAGGGTGCAACTTGATCACAATTCGCTTGTGGGCAAAAAAAAAGAAAAAATATCAACTGTGCCTAGTAAATTTGTTCTTTCAGATATACTTTGAGTTGGAAAAATCGAAAACACATCTCTTCTAGTGCACTTGATTTCTTTCTGGTGCAAGCTAGAGTACACCAGGAAGAGTGTGTTTCCATTGTTGTGCCCAAAATACACTTTCGAGAATCAAAAAGCCCAAATTCCAAAGTCAAGGGAGCCAATTTTTTCGCAAAATCTACCCCAAAAAAAGTAGGGAAAAGCTCGATTCTTGGCTATATTCTTTGAATTGAAGTAGCAATGAAAAGTATGATATTTACCTGAAAGATATGCATCTCCGTAGGTGTCGTGTGCTTTCTCCCTTTACTGTCCTCTTTAACGACGAAAAGCAAAATGTTATTATAAGCGTCTCTCGGATCGCTGCTCATGTGCGCGGTCGGCTGTTCGACCAAGTCCAACGGAAACGATTCCACCAATTCCTAAAGCTTATCATACTTCAACTTCACTCCTTTCACTCACCCCATTCTCATTCTCCACTGAGATAATATCTCTCCTCAATCGCAGCACCATTGGTTGAGCCCAGATCGCTTGTGAGCGTTCCATTTGTTTCAACTTTCGAATCCCATCGGCCGGAGCCACGAGGCCGAATTGCCTGTAAAACTGATTATTATATGGCATTCAAAGTTGTTCTTTGGACAAAGGTTGGAATAGTTTTGGACAAAGCTTGGAATAGCTTTGGACAAAGGTTGGAATAGTTTTGGACAAAACTTGGAATAGCTTTGGACAAAGCTTGGAATAGCTTTGGACAAAGCTTGGAATAGCTTTGTCCAAAACTTGAAATAGCTTTGTCCAAAACTTGGAATAACTTTGTCCAAAGCTTTTCCACTCCTCCAGTGCTCCTCCAGTTATATTCCATAACGGTTTTGCAAATGGTTAAGAGAGGCTTTCAGCGTTTGAAAAGTTTCCAAATCTATCCAATGCCAGCTTTTTAAAATGATGATATAATGCTGAATAAAGAAAAATGACCTTCCGACGGCAAACGTGGCCAAATGCTCGACAAAATATGAGGGTGTTTGCTCCTCCATTGAACCGCGATGATCCATCACTCCTCGAGAAGGGCCGCCTCTAGCTGAAATCAGTAGTTTTGATTATAAATTATAGCTCGAATTTTCTTCTTTAGATGATTTACTTATTTGATCATTTACAATTAATTCCACAAAGCAGTTGCACTGATGCAATGATCTCACAAAAAAAGATTTCCATTATCTAGTTATTAAAAGACTCACGTGTATGCATATGAATCTGGTGTTGCTGCGGCAGCGGATCGTGTTGTGATCGATAGGAATATTGAGATGGAGAGGGAGCTGCGGATGGGTTACGAGAAGAATAGTAGAAAGATGGACCCCCGGCTGCACCTCCTGTTGATGGTGGACCCCTGTAAATGGGGAAAATTTCGATTTGATAGGATAAATATGTTGCAATTTTCATAACAAGATTTTCCTTTAAAATTATCGATTTCTATTTAATTGTCTATTTAGATTGATCAATTTATAAAGAGGTGATCTTTTAAAAGAGATCATTCGGTTGATTTAATTATTCAAAAAGTCTCTTGACAAGTCTTCTTGTCAAAAAGTCAGTCAGTCTCTTGACAAGTCTCTTATTCAATTATCCAAACAAAAAGATCAATAAGATCTAGATTTATTTAATCATCTTCAAGTCAATATCTTTTTAAATAATGATATAATGATATAAATTCAAAATTTAAATCAATTTAAATCAATTTTCAATTTAAAATCAATAAATTGCTCTGAAAATCGATGAAAAAGATTCAAAATCTTCAGAATTCTTGATTATGGAAAAGAAAAGCGAGTGTTGAGAATCGGAATGTGAAATGAGCGTAATCTTAAGCCATTTGCAAGCACTTGACAACATTTATGGGAGTCTTCCATTTCTCTTTTCATTTCTCTTTTCATTGCCAGGCTTTCCTCTAGAAAAATCACTGCACTTCCTGATCGCACTGTGAATTGAGCTTTTCGGAAAAAGTAAAATTTACTTCTAAAGTTGGCTCTTAAGTAAAGTAATCGATTCGAGAATTGTTCAAAGGTGTTCAACGGAATCCCGATAAATCTTGACAATGGAAAGTAATGGTCAGGGAAGACTCAGGTCAGGGAAGATGATTCAGGGAAGACTAAGACATGAAAAAAATTCCAACTCAATCCTAATTCCACCTTCATTTTCTCAGTCGTTTCTTGTCGGATTTCTTTGAAATTTTGTCTATAAGCTGAGAATTTCGATTTCAATCTGTCGACAAAATTTCAGAGTAATCGAATTTCAGTAATCAATCAGTAATCAGTAATCAATTTAGTAATCAATCAGTAATCAGTAATCAATTCAGTAATCAATCAGAGTAATCATACGGTTCCAATACGGTTCCAATACGGTTCCAATATGGTTCGTATATGGTTCCAATATGGTTCCAATATGGTTCGGATACGGTTCCAATACGGTTTGAATACGGTTCCAATACGGTTCCAATACGGTTCTTTTTTGATCCGAAACGTATTGGAACCGTATTGGAACCGTATTGGAACTTTATCGGAACCGAATTGGAACCGTATTGGAACCATATTGGAACCGTATCCGAACCATATTGGAACCATATTGGAATCGTATTGGAACCATATTGGAATCATATTGGAATCGTATCCGAACCATATTGGAACCGTATCCGAACCATATTGGAACCGTATCCGAACCATATTGGAACCGTATCCGAACCATATTGGAACCGTATCCGAACCATATTGGAACCATATTGGAACCATATACGAACCATATTGGAACCGTATTGATTGATTATTGATACCACAATCAATCCAAAGAACAATAACAACTCAACATCAAGAATTAGCTTAAAAGAAAGAAAAGAATTTGGCTCAATGCTTGTCTAGCAATGAGTAAAGTTTACATTTTACAGCAATAGTGAGTCAGCAATGCACTCAAATCGATGAATACTGACCGTTGATCGATAATGTATCAATCTATCAATTCGAATTCTTACAATAATCCCCTTTTCGAGAATTTCGCGGAGGATAAAAGATTTTGTTGGTGAATTGAGAGAGAGAGAAGTGAGCTCTCTCCCCTCTTCCCCTTCCCCTTCCCCTTCCCAAAAGAAGCCAACACTGATAACAAAGTCTTCGTCGAATCTAAGGAAGAAGAAAATTCATTCAATGTGAGAAAGAAGAAAAGAAAGGCTTGTAAAAGTTTTATTTGCAAGAGAGGCGACGCCCCTTTTAACCGAGAGAATTCCCCTCTAGTTTCCATTTTCTCTTCACACACTTGATGACGTGGCAGTGAAGCTGTGAAATGGACATAGGGATTCGAGTAGTTCATTTCAATTGTTAAATTGATCAGCTTGCCGGGCTGAATGATTCAGACAAACGCGTTTCTTCTGGCACAACCGATAGATCAATAGATAGAAGCTTGATCTCTTGTACCAGAGAGCAAGCGTTTACAGATTGCAAACTAATTCAATCACTATGTACTTTGTGCGCCGAAACGCTCACCTTTTGGCACAGTGCTTTGTGTGTGAGTGGTGGTTTAGTCCGATAGAATTCCAATGTAATTTCTGTAAAGAATTCCTCTCAAAAGAGTGATCTGATATGAATGTTTGCCAATTTTGGGGAAAGATGGGAATTGAAATGAGAATGAAAAAGAGACAAAGGAGAAGTTAAAATGGAAGAGAAGAAGAAGAGGAAGAAGAAGGGGAAGAAGAAGAAGAAGAGGAAGAAGAAGAAGAAGAAGAAGAAGAAGAAGAAGAAGAAGAGGAAGAAGAAGAGGGAAAAAGTGAATCAATTCCATTCAGTCATAACAGGAAATGAATAAAAGGGGTGAGCTGTACATTGGTGGGAGGGGATCCTTAAGCCTTGATCTTCTACGTATTCTAAATGTATTAGACAAGGTATTATTGATGACTAGTCAAGCTAAATCAATCAAAATTCGTCCTTAGCTGATAGAGGATTCTCGTCGAGAGTACTTTTGCTTAAGGTTCAGAAATAAGAAATGATTGAAAAGCTGAAAAAAGCTTTTCATCATTTCTTTTCTAAGAGCTGGTTAAAGCTAAAAATCTGTGTTATATCTCAAAAAAATCACCCATTCTTTCTACTTTAATTTGATACTCAAGCGCACAGAAACAAACGTACTGGTCGAGAGATATGAGCGTTTGTTTGAGAGTAGATTACTCGACGCTTCTATAGGAGGCTGTTCTTTTAGAGTTTTAATGTTTTGTTTTGTTTTGTTTATCATTTTCTGAGTACAAAGTAAACCTCGTAGAAGGCTACTGGTAAAGATTATCTATCAGTTTACTGTAAATTGAGTTGTAATACTGTTATAGTTGATCTTTTAGAGTTTTAATGGTAACTGATCTCTGCAGTTTTGGTTTTTTGGAGTTTTTTGCCGTTTGGGCTTTAAAGAAGTATTGAAAGAAGTATTTTCGTTCCTAAACTCCTGGAAACTGGAAAAAAGGCCTTGTTAAAGCTATTTATTGTTAAAAGTCTTTTTAAGTATGTCAAGTGATGAAAAAGATTATAAAATTTTAGTTTAGATTAATTATTGGGTTGTCCAGTTATGAATGCGCGTTTTACTATTTTGTAAATTTCTCAAGTTGTCGAACAGATGATATGAGGTTATATACATTCGAAAGCTGAAGACTCCTCTACATTTTGAAAAAAGTTTGAACATCAACTTTTGGGAAATTACTGCACAAAGGGAGAGGTCGTTTTCGAAAAAAACAATTCCAGCTTAGCTATTCCTCAAGTTTTATGGTGTAAAGAAAAGAAAAGAAAAGTAAAGATGCTCTGAAATTGTTATATTTTAAAAAGTTGTATATCTATTGGCCAAACATCAAACGGTTAACGCAATTTGAGCGGAGCCAAAACTTGATCCAAAGGCACCCTTCCATTTTTTGGCCACCTCTTCTTCTGTGCAGTCAATTTGCCCAAAAGCTGAACAAATTCAAAAACTTTTATATCAAAATGTAGAGGAGACTTCAGCTTTCGATAATACTCATATATATCTTTTTCTCGATTTTGGCATCTTGAGAAATTTACAAAATCGTAAAAAACGCCCATTCATAACTGGACAACCTAATACTTTGGTAATTTTTAGCTCTGCTCTGGTAAAAAATGATAAAGAATCACAAAAGTATTAAATATTGAATGGAGATTTTGGCAGAGATAAGCACAAAATTGTTTTTGAAACGTGAACAAAATTATAAATAGTTGAAAATTGAATTTTAGACGGGTGGGTGGCAGTAAAAAGTAGAGAAAGACAGAAGAAAAAAAAAAAACAAGAGCCATCACTCAGGCAATTTCCATTGAAAAGAAAAGAAGCGCCATCAAGACGCCATCAAGACATCAAAAGAATGCCCACAAAAACCCAAAGAATCACCAGTTGATCGCTTTAAAAATTGGGGGAAATGATTAGAAAAGGATTTATATGATTGTAGATTTGAAAAAAGCAAGTGATCAATGGTTTTTTTTGACTTTGATCAACAAATCAGCATCTTTTTGGCTAAACGCATTTACTTAACTTATTTCTTTCACGTTTTCTTTCAGTTACAATTGTGCAATCGAGAATTTTTTCAATTTTCTTATTTCTTTTTGAAAAAATGTTATAACTTTTTGTAGAGTTGAGCAAATTTGATGATTTTTGCATCAAAATGTTCGTAAGAGTCTCTAGAACAAAACTTATCCCTTCGTTTTTGGTTCTAGTTGTCCGAAAGGGATAAGTTTTATTCTAGAGACTCTTACGAACATTTTGATGCAAAAATCATCAAATTTGCTCAACTCTACAAAAAGTTATAACATTTTTTGGTTCTAGACCCTCGTTGTCGAGTTACGAGCTCCAAAGTGCAGGGTACCACAAAATTTCCCATAAAAAATGACCAAAAAAACTGCTAAAACTCAATTTAAAAAATTTCTGTCAGAGGGATTTGGAAAAGCAAAGTTTCTGGCGCATTTCTGGCGCATTTCTGGCGCATTTCTGGCGCATTTCTGGCTCATTTCTGGCGCATTTCTGGCTCATTTCTGGCGCATTTCTGGCTCATTTCTGGCTCATTCCTTTTATAAATTGTAAAAGAACTTTCAATAAATCAAATGAAAAACTCGAAGAAACCTGGAATGTGTCTACGATTTTTGAATCTCGTAAAAAAAAACTTTATGGATTTAGGGGGAAAAGGGAATAGACACAAAGAGCTAATATGTTTGAATGAAGAAAAAAAAGAAAAGGGATCAAAAATTGAAAAGTAGATAAGAAGATGAAAAAAAAGGAAGAATTTGAAGAAAAGTTTCGGAAAAGTGAGTAATCTTTTTGTTGTGCAAAGAGGTGTGAACAAAAAAAAAGGTTTAGCTTAGGAATTCTCCTCCCCCAAAAAAGAAATCCATAAAAAAAAGTGGCGCGGGCACATCAAAAGATGCGTAAATTCCACGAAAATGTCACAAGTTTCACTTTTTTTTTGTGAATTTCTTTGAAATTACCTTCAGCGCATCGATTTATTGTCGATTTTTTTAATAGATCTAATAGATTTAATAGATCTAATAGATCTAATAGATCTAATAGATTTAATGGATTTAATAGATCTAATAGATTTAATAGATCTAATAGATCTAATAGATCTAATAGATCTAATGGATTTAATAGATCTAATAGATTTAATAGATCTAATAGATTTTCTTAGAATATCGAGTACAAGAGAAGTTTTGGGAATCGAGAAAAGTCGATTCTTTTGAATTGAACATTTACAGAAAACTTTGAGTCTAAAAGATGCTGTGAGTTCCAGCTAGCAATAAAAATCGATTTAAAACATTTGCTATACTATTTATAGATCTAAAAGATTATCGTTAAGATATCTGCATTGTTAAGGTTTATTTTTTAGGTGTACTTTGTGCAAAAATTGATGTAAAAGTATTCTTTTTGTAAAAGTATTTCTCGGAATACTTTGGAAATGAAAAAGAATGCTAGGCTCTAGCCTAGAAAAGTCTAGAAAGGTTAGAAAAGTTTATCATTTTTTTGAGTACAAAGTAAACCTCGTAGAAGGCTACTGGTAAAGGCTACTGGTAGTTTATTGGTAAAGGCTTTATAGGTTACTGTAATTGCGTTGTTATAGTTGATCTTTTAGAGTTTAAAGTCATTTTTCCGAACTCACCTCGAGTATCCGGGTTCACGACGTATCATATTCGACATTTCCTTTTCTTTTTGTAAATCCCCGGTCGAGGACCGATGCCTCAAATCAAAGCCTCGCGTCTCCAATAGGATTTCTGAAAAATTTTTTTTGCTTATTATCAGTGATTCATTGAGTAGAGTAAATAAAAAAAGAAAGAATTGATAAACCAGCTTTACACACAAAAAAAAATATCTTTAATATTTTGATGAACAATAATTTAAGCCAAAGAATTTGTAGTCTTAGTCTTCAAAAGGCCTAGTGAAGAGAGAAAATGAAGAAATTGAATAAATTGAATAAACAAGAAATAAAAACAATTAACAAATCGATTAATTAATCAAACAATAAAACAAAAAATCTCAAGCTGAAGGGGATACTTGTCGGTTAGAAATCCACAAAGACTTATCTCGGTTAAGCATCTTCTCGGTTATCGATTTTCGTTCGATTGATTGATTGATTACTTCAGGTGAGCAATCTACTTCACTGAACAGAATCACCGCTCACAAGTTGTCAGTTCCTTGCTTAACCGAGTTGAGTCTCTTTGGATGTATCTCTGTGGACCGACAAGCTCAAAGCAAAGCTCAAAGCAAAGCTCAAAGCTCAAAGCTCAAAGCAAAGCTCAAAGCAAAGCTCAAAGCAAAGCTCAAAGCAAAGCTCAAAGCTCAAGGCAAAGCTCAAAGCTCAAGGCCAAGCTCAAAGCTCAAAGCTTTTGAGCCGAGTGTCAGCTATTTGGTGGAGTGTTAAACTATGTGGGAAAGAGAATTCATGTTCATACAGGCAGATAAAGAAAGCTTTAGGAATATGTGGATGGAGATAGAGATGATCACTTTCGAGAGATGTCTCCTCAACACTGTGGGAGAGATGCATCCCGTTTCAGCGACTCAAAAGGCAAAACGCGTGAAAACGCATCTCTTTCCTTTTTCGGTCTTGAGAAACCTGCCGCCTCTAAGTCAAAAATTCCAGCACCCACAAATAGAGAATCTTCGGAAGCCTCTTCAATCTTTCTTCAATCTTTCTCCCCTCTTCAATCTTTCTCCCCGCAATCTCCCCATTGCCTTTTCATCCACCTAATTTGCATATCAGTCTCCTGGAATTCTGAGAACTGTTCTCAAGAATAAATTATGATTTCAGAAAAAAAGAAGTCAGAAAAAAAAAAGATTCCTATTTATTCCTATTCTTATTTATGCATTGTCTAAGCAAATAAGCTGAAAAGGCAACGAAATTGTTGATTAAAAAGAGAGGGAAGAAAGGAAGAAAGGAATAAAAGAAGAAAGGAAGAAAGGAAGAAAGGGTGTTCACTTGGAAAGCCGATTTTAGCGTCAATGAGTAAGGCAGAGAGAGTGGAAGAGTCGACACATCAACGATCCAAAGAAAATCTTTTTTTCGATTTAAGTAATAAATCAATCGATTAATAAATAGTGTGCGTTCCAGGAATGAGGAAAAATTCTCTAAAAAACGGCTAGCTTTAAGATAAGTGGATTTAACGGCTTCAACAGGTTTTCTCATGAAAATTTTTTATAAAAGTAATCAGAAAGGATTAAAAGCTTTAAAAATCAAAAGTGTTATAAACTTTTCAAGATCGTTTTTTTCAATTTCCTATATGATATGAAGTTTTTGTGGGGGTTTGAATGAGAAGAGAGACCACACCCGCCCCCAAGGACATCACTCCTCTACCATCACTCCTCTACCATTCCTCCTCCACCCTTCCCATTTAGTTTCCTTTCCAAAATGTTACCTATACTCTCTCTGCCATTCATTTCGGAAGAAATCTTTTTTTTTTTCAAAACAAGGAAGGGAAAAATGTCAAAGTCTGACTTAAAGTCAAATAGTTTTAAAGTCTAGGGAAAGCTATTGTATACAACTTTCAAAATCCTCCGTTGTAAACAGATTAGCCCTTTGTTTATAGACTTTTTCAAATTTAAACCGCGGTCAGGGCCCAGAAGTGGCTCATTCCTTTTGCAAATTCCCTTTGCTTCCAATGCCTCTTTATCAAATTCATTTCCCGTTAGAGCCGCTAGATTATGGAACTTGCTCCCAAACGACATACGAGAAATTCAGTCGCTTTTCATATTCAAGAAACGTATCGATGCTTTAGATCTAGTGGCTCTTTGCCGTAAGTAATTGGCTTATTGATTTCAGTATGTATTGTATGATTAAGTATCACTGTGCATTTCTCTATGATTTCTTTCACTTTATCGTTTGAATAAAGTATTATTATTATACAATATCTAAAACCCACTAGATATTGTATACAATAGCTTACAATAGCATTTTCTCAGTGAAGTACTCAAATTCGCTCGAAGATACAGATAGAACTTGTAAAATTGATTATGCTAATAGTGTAAAAAAAAAAGAAGTATACTTGAGATAAAGTCAAAGAAGTTTGTAGTAAAATCTATATGATAGTAAAACGAGTGATAACATTGCAATATTTATCCTATCAAATCGAAATTTCCCCCATTTACAGGGGTCCACCATCAACAGGAGGTGCAGCCGGGGGTCCATCTTTCTACTATTCTTCTCGTAACCCATCCGCAGCTCCCTCTCCATCTCAATATTCCTATCAATCACAACACGATCCGCTACCGCAGCAACACCAGATTCATATGCATACACGTGAGTCAAAGAAGAAGTCTTTTAATAACTAGATAATGGAAATCTTCTTTGTGAGATCATTGCATCAGTGCAACTCTTTTGTGGCATTAATTGTAAATGATCAAATAAGTAAATCATGTAAAGAATTGTTGATTTTTTGATTATGCTAATAGTGTAAAAAAAAAGAAGTATACTTGAGATAAAGTCAAAGAAGTTTATAGTAAAATCTATATGGTAATAAAACGATAATCAAATGAATCGATGAAATGGTGATGATGGGGAGTGGGCAAGGTGGGTGAGTGATTGAATGATCTCATCGAGTTGGAAAGGGAAGCATTCCGGTCAGGCCGGGCAGGGGAAAGAAGGAGAAGATGAAGAAGACGGGAGAGAGAGAAAATCAGGAAGAGGAAGAGTATTGATTGATTGGACTCTGAGAAAAAAGAGAAGAGAAAGAGATGGTGTGGACATCGGTGTCGAAGCACGCAAAAAGATCATAATATCTTGATCTTGATCTGGTAAGATTGGCAAATATCTTGATATTTGCCAATCTTACCCCATCCTTAAAAGACGGTTAATTTGAATTTAATGGGGCAAATACGAGATGTACATGTACCCTAGGTCGACTTGTCGATCTTAACTCCACTACTATGCCGAGAATTTAAATAGGAAGCTCGAAAAATGATTTGGTTTGAAAGAGCACGATCATTGTGAATAGATTTAATGGAGTTTGGTGATGGAGATCGACAATAGGATAGGATCGACAATAGGATAAGATCGACAATTACTGTTATCTCAGAAAGATGGGCAACAGTGTCATAGTAATATTTTGATAGAAGCCTTCTTTTTCTAGTCAACTGTTAGTGAATTGAAAACTTTCGTAGCCTATAAACAAGCAAGCGCATCGATGATAAGTGCCGGAATGAACGATGGATGGATTAGAAAGCTCAGGAATATAGAAATTTGTGAGAAGAGAGCAAATCGAATCGGAAATGGACTGGAATGTGAATGTCCTGATCTTTTTTTCAATGTATCACTTCCATTCATTTGAGTGAGAAAAAGAAAAGAGCATAATTGGTGAATTAAAATGGAGAGAATTGGGTAAAGATATAAAAGGTTTAGACATTAAAATAACCGTTTTGATAAAAGTGTACGATAGCTGAAGGTGTATTTTAGAAAATAGTCTGGATTTAAATGCAAATTTGATCAAATAACAAAACCCTCCAAATTTCTCGTAATCAAAAACGATCTTCGCCAAATTGTAGCCTGATATCCAGATGGGAAGATGGAAAAGATTTGAAAATTGAATTAAAGCATTAAAAAGAGAAACAGCTATGTACTCGAAAAATCAATTTCTTCTAGAAAAACACGGATTTTCTCAAACTTCTGCTGGAAAAAAAGGGAGAGGAAAAGTGATTGTTTGGCTTCGTTTGCGTCGATGATCACATCTGAAGAAGAAATGGGGGAAGATCAAAGAAAAAAAGGGGGAAAGGGGGGAAATGAGTGAGGGGAAAAGGGGAAAAGGACAAGAAAGGAAAGGAAAGGAAAGGACAAGAATAATCAAATGCACAAATAGAAAATACCTCCAACACACACAAATAGATCTCAGGCATTGGGGGGACAGGCTATGACATACACATACACCGCCAAGGGGTGGAATTTTGAGGGTACATTGATTCGATTTAGCTCTAGTTATTTTTAAATATTATATTCAAAAATGATTCTTGGAGCTAAAAGAAAATCAGTGCTTGCTTGTCAATGTTATCGACGAAATTTGATTGTAACAATTAGATAACTAAGCTCAAATACTAATTAGAATTAAGCTTTCAATTGATCGAGTAGTGTTTGGACAAGCACAAGCGTCTGGACAAGTACAAGCGATCGACATCGAGACAGTAAATCGATGTATCGAGAGAAGAAGCACTAGAAATTCAGGTAAACCAAGCAAAATCAATAAGTATAGTGAGATCGTCGAATTATGTAACCGTGATTATCGAGAGAACAAGAATTGGAGTTGACAATGGGTGGAGGATTTCTTAGAAAAGAAAAGAATGAGGGGAGATCTACCAAGGATTCGAGAAAAGAAATGAAAAGAGAAATAGAAAGATGGAATGCGTTATCAACCGACCCACAATTCATTCAAGGACATTCTCTCGGAGGATAAATGAAAACCCCAAGCCCGTTTACCATCGCTGGTGATATCTTGAAACTAATGGCTTTTTCTTTATCAATATCAATTCAAGACAATAAAATAGATCATAGATCTGGCAATATGGGTTCTACAGGCTTTACGGATTCACAAGGTGGACTACAGTCTACAGTAAAGTGGGGGTGGCTAATTTGCGCCAAACGTTTTGCGCAACTTGTTACACTTATTGAGATCTACAAAATGACACCAAAATCAGAAAGATTGGTCGACTTAGAAGAAAGTTATAGCGAGTTGCGCAAAAGATCTAGTTGCGCAAATGACCCTGTTGCGCAAAAAATTTGGGGCAAAGTAGCCTACCCCGATTTACTCGTTTAATTAACGTTTTTGGTCAATTAACTACGAGTAATCCTTTTTACACGTCGAGTAAACTGAATATCTTGACATTTGAAAGGAATTTCCCACCAAATCATTTAAACAGCTGAATATCTTTAAAAAGAGTCGTATATAAGTCAGCTCTCGTCATTTTTTCGCCCAATTTTTTTTGCTCATCTATTCAATTATTGAAAGAATCAACCCGTAACTTTTCAATCGCTTTCCTCCATCTCCATCTCCATCTCCATCTCCATCTCCATCTCCATTGCTATCTCTTTCAAGCTCGACTCCTAGTTTTTTTCCCATCTGAGCTACAACTTAAAATTTGCGCATTGAAAAAAATGGAATTTTGAAAGGCTTTTGTTGAAACCCGAACACTTGATTCCCATGTACGCCTTCAAATATCGAACAGTTTTTCCGCAATTATGATAAAATATCAGCAAATATTTGTTCATCTTTGACTTATCTGAGAATTTCTAACCTAAAAATATCATGTGATTCAACATTGTTGTCAACTTTCGTAAAAGGGATGGGGCATTTATTGCATTGGTAAATAATGCCCATTTAGCGGAAAAGGAAAGGGCGAATTTCTGGAATTGCCATGTCAACAATGAGACGAAACAGAGAATTGCGGGAATTGTATAATTTTGGACTTATTTTGCGTTCATCTGTCTGTGTTGCCTGTCATTTTGTAGTTATTTTCGGAGAAATTTCCATCGAAAAAGCTAGACTTCGTGCCAGATTGGCTAAAATGTTAAAAGAGATTCAATGGTGACGTTGGGGTTTCTGTTTCAAGCGATCACTTCAAAAATTTGATACAAGAACTATAGGCAAAGCCTGTCAACCCTCAAAAACTCGCTGAATCCTGTAAATGAGCCATAGATTCAAAAGCTTATAACAAAAATCTCAAATAAAATAAAAGGATTTACTCATAAGCAACTTAACTTTCACCAAAACTAAACGGTATTTTAAAGAAGTGAAAAGAAAAGAGGAAAAAAAAAAGATCAAGAAAAGAGAACAAAAGATTTGGGTCAGACGTTTCGGTCGAAAGTTTTTTTTGTCAAAAACTATGCGCAATTTTTTTTGGGATAAGGGGGAGTCCTTTGTCGAGAGAGTTTTTTTGCCATCAGAGGGTCGATCTTTGGAAGAATGGGAAGGGCCGTTATGGATAATTGCTGAATCCCCTTCCCCTTTAGTCCTTTCCCCGTTCTCACCTACCTATTCACTAGGGATATCCCATCTCCCATTCTCTCGATCAAAAACCTCCTTTCACTCTGGAGTTGTAAAAAGAAATGGATTTATCTAGTGTTTTGCAAAGATAAACTCTGATATACAGTTCTTAAATCAGTAAAAAAAAAGTAAAGCAAGAGAAGTATTCGAGATCAGCTTTGACCTTTCTCAGTAAGCAGGATTGTTCCAAAAACCCAAAAGTCTCTGATATACAGCTCAAAAGCCAGCTCAAAACAAAATCAAGGCTCTAGGTTTTGATCTTAGTCAAAAGGTAAAGATATTCTCGATGAATTGCTGTCCATCAACAGACAAATAGCCTGAATGCTTAGCTTCAACTTTGTTCTTCTTGATTTCCCCAAAAAAACTCACAATTGGATCAGAACGATTCAAAACGATTCTAAATCGATTCTTCTTTGGATCAAAGACTAACAGAGAATTGTAGCTTGACAAAACCACAGATGTTCGTCCAGAAGTGGAAATTTGAAGAGAGAAATCTCGAGATCGTCGAGAACCAAAACGGGAATATGTATATAGAAAAGAAAAGGAAAAAAAGAGGATAAAAATGAGGTGGAAAAAAGAGATGAGGGGGTCAATGTGGGGCTTGGATGGAAGGAAGGGGGAGAGGGGGTACTCGAGAAGTCCTGCAAGAGGGGCTGGCACAAGAGCACAAGATCCCTAAAAGGGCTTCATCATTGACAAACTGACTATCCTCTTGGAGTCCACTCAACTTTCGGGGGGAGGGGGTCACACTTGATGAGTGGGGGGTTTGTGTGTGTGTGTTGGGTGAGACCGTTGATATATTCCACGTGAATATCGATAGCTATTGGTATGGTTGAGGCTAATCTTCAAGAAACGAACGTTTTTCGTTAGAAGTGTTCAAATCGTTTGACCTGACCGCTAGTTTCCAGCCGTGAACACCACTATCAAAAAGTTTGAGTCATTGATATGGCAGAATGGCAATGTAGTGTTAGATTGATAAAGAAAATCTAATAACTGGAGCTTCGATCAGGTAACTTGTACTCAGATTCACAAAATAAACAAATTCATATTTACTGTTTCATTTTCAATTCACAGACTCAAAGCAAACCTATCAAAAAAAATCGATTTAATATACAATTTTGCTCTGAAACAATGGCATAGTCGGTGCTCAAAATGATTAAAAAACGGCACATTGTGGGGATTGGCAAAAATGAGCGATGGCAAATATTTGCACGGAGGACAATGATGGCAGCAAAAGACAAGAAAAAGAATTGAAAGTGGGCGGAAGTTTTCATCGATAGCAATCATCAAAATGGAATTGGATGGGATGGGGGAAAGGTTGGGACTCGAGAGTTGAAGTCATTCAAGCACAAAGGTCCAAAAAGGGGAGGGCAAAAATGAAGGTGGGGAAGAACGCTTCGGTGAACTCTCCCAATTTTTCATTGTTCTTAACTTTTTCATCACTACAGTCTATTCACCTCGTCTTGATTTAATTTTTCAAATTGATCAACTGATCCAGCGATTGGATAATTTTGAAAGTTAATCAACAAAGCTAGCATTTACCGTAGTTACATGTTTACATTTGTCTCCTTTTGCAAAAGAAAAGAAAAAAAACTACGGTAGAGTGAGTTGCGAGTTTAATTTTGAGTAAGCATTCAAAGTATTCAACTTTGAAAATCGTTTAATCCCAAAAAAGTATAATTTGTCCTCCAAATGGTATAATTTAATGTCAGACGCCTCATGGTCGTTTGTAAAATCAAAAAAATTTCAGAATTTCAGGCTTTGATAAAGTTAAAATTCAAATCTGATAAAGACGAAACCAGGAAAAGACAACAGAAAGGTCGGATTGGGCGAGAGTTAGCAATAGTTGACAGCTGGGCACAAAACTCGTGTCGTTGATGATGATGGAGTAGTTGGTTGCAAAGAGGGGGGAGGGGGGGGGGGTCTCCGATTGTACCTGTGCCGGTATACAGAGAGACGTGACGCGGAAAGTCGCGCGCGTTGCGGTCTCACCCAGTCTCTTCCCCACCAGCCCACAAATATCTCCTCGACGATAGGGACGGTGGTGCGTGCGTGCAGCTGAGAAAGCCCCGCAGTGCGAGGCGAGCGCGCGCGAGTCACCGAAAGCTCCCCAGCCGAGAAGGAAGACCGCCTCTCTCAGAGGAGACTCCATCTCTCCATCTCAACTCTTTTGCCGACTATAAGCCGTGGGGCAAGTCTCTTTCCCCGATTCTCTCACCAAGACAAATTGTTGCGTATATTGTGTGTATGCCTGCTATTTCTTTTTTGCAAACCATGTGAGTGGGGTTTGTCTTTCTTTACCCCATAATATACCCCTCCTCAAAAAGTCTATAACACTCTAGAAATAATTACTCTTTTTCGGCTTCCATGTCAGTGCAAAAACGAAAACACAATTCTTAGAATCGCCTCTCGGAAATTGCCAGTTCTGCAAGTTATACCCTTCCGTTAAAAACATTTATTCACTAAGTATTTACAGAGAAAAAAGTACAATCACAGCAAAAATTATTACCCGTAACGTGAAACTGCAAATTTAGACGCTCAACGTGTAAAAAGGCAAAAATGCTCAACACGTAAAAAGGCACTTTTCGCAAAAAATAAAAACAAAATGAAAAGGAATAAAAATAGAGATGAGATCAAATTTGCAACTTTCCGTTACTTGACCGGCGTCCATCATGATTTTGTTGATTTTGAAATGATTGGGGTGGGTAGAATGAATACAAAAAGACCGAGGCAATCACAAGCGACACGCCCATCAGAAGTTGCACGGAGAACACCGAGTCGCCCATCTTGATCGAAATCAACGCAGTAAGTCCTGAATTTGAAAATTCACTTTGTAAGAAATTACCCAATAACTGAATGATTTAATAAAAACTGACCAATAGCAATCGTCTGACAATAGGTTTTCTTCACATTATCCGCGTATTTCATCACGATCGACACAACCAAGCCACCAAAAGCGTTGAGAAACGTCATCACCCATACCAATGGAGTCCAGCCGTTGAAGAAACCATCTAAAAATTTCAAACTTGCATTGCTTATTTAAATTTCCGCTTAACGTTGAACTTCAAACAAATACTTACGTTCTTGAATATTTGAGAAGTCAGAGGCAAACATTGTGATAAGAGCGAATGGAGCAGTGAGCATCGAAAGACGAATATTTTGCATCCACACATCGACCGATGATTTCTTCAACATCTTCTCGAAATAAACACCTAAATACAGTGTTTTATTAAAAAAACAATATTTTTACCGGCAAAAGCACTCGTCCAACACATTGAAAACACCGCACTAACTCCAATCAGCCAACTTCCACTGCTTGCCGATGAACTTCGAACTGTTTTTTTATTTAGAAATATCATAAAAGAACACCCTACCTTGGCTTTCATCTAGCTGAACAAGAACAACACCGCCCATTGAGACGAGTAGAGAGAACCATTGAATCAAAGACAGTCTCTTTGAAAGAATCAACACCGACAATAACGCTGTCGTCAGAATACGAAGCTGATATGTAACCTGAAATAACAAATTTTGCATGAAAAGAGTATCCAAATTTACCGCATATGTTGTAGCATCAATATTGGCAAGTGCAACGTAGTAGAGATTGTTTTGAATAGCGTAGACAACAGCCGGAACACATACCTAAAATGGAAAGTTGTGAAAAATAAAAAAATGAATAACACCTTGGCCGTTTCGATTTTGTTATGCCATACAGTCGAACGAAACTCGTGTAGAAATCTAAAGAAACAAATTAGACTTTTAAAAATACCTAAGTTTATAATTTTAAGCAAGTTTGATGTAAAATAGAAATTTAATATAGGATTTTAAAAACTTAATTCAAAGCCCGAAAAGAACTTACTTTAAAGGACTCCTCAAGTTAATCGAAATGATGATCGAGCACGTGATTAATCGAATCACTTCCATCATGAACACCGACGTTGTCGAGAAGAACTTCGTTTGTCTGTTCACTAAAATTCAAAATTATTATTTTAAATCTTTTAAGATTACCTTCTCTGACCAACAAAGGCATTCCCGTCTGTTGCGCTGTTAGAAGAAGCATGGCTCCAAATTGAACCGAGCATACTGTCAGGTAGAGCTAAAAATAGTTTTTAAAATAATAAATTTGACGCTTTATTTTAGCTTTTAAAATACATTCATCGACAAACCCAAACTAAAAGTCGCCAAATAACCCCAATGCGGGCAGATTTTCGGGTGTCAAAGAGTTCGGGGGCATTTCTTTGAAGAAAAATCAAGAACGGTCGAAATGAGAACATTTCGATTGAAGTATGGAGATTTTGAGCTTTAGCTTGATCACGAGCTACAGGCAAGCATTTTAGCCTTTGAATGGTTTAGGATAAAATATTTCCGTCTTCTCATAAATTACGGAAGCACAGACGACCACGTATTAAAATCGATACGAATGACCGTGGGTGGGGGAATCGAGTAGAGACAGATGAGGAACGAAGAGAGAGACGAGGGGAATCGAAAAATGGAATGAACGGAGTACAGGAGTGACGAGGCAATACAAAAGCGGCCGCAATGTAAATAGGCCAGCGAGAATACTATTCTTTCTCAGTCAGAACAACAACTTTTGGTGCATAAAATGGCAAATCCAAAAGCTTGGTATGTCTTTTATAAACTGCCACAACTTACCGTATGCTTTGAAGTCTCCTTCGAAGCATCGCCACTTGGACCAACTTTATCCGAGCCAAAAATTCCCATTTAAGGAAAAGAGTATTCAGGAAACTAGGTAAAGAAAGGGCTATGGTTGTTGGAAGGGTCAAGGAGTCGATGAATAGTGCTCATTCCCTCCTTTTCTCATCCTTTCTCCATTTTGGCTTTGATAAAACCGGGTTCCGAGTTCACTAGAGGGAAGGAACGGCTCTCAGCAGCCTATTCTCGCAAAGAATCATTCAATGGGTACAATACGAAAAAAAAGCTTTTAGAAAAAAGCACAAATTCTGCCATTTTACGGGAATTAGCTATTGCCCTTTTTTCAAGCTTCATAAGCGCTTTAATGGATATTTCCCGGAAGAGGATTTGGCAAAAAGCATTAGCGCATTGAAATTCATGAGTTTCATCCTAAGAAAGCTTGTAGTTTTTATTTTCAATGGTCAATAATAAAGATTAGCTACGCAGCGATGGAGTTTTAAGGCAACAAAGCCTGGGTTTTTCAATTATTTTACGTAAAAATTTAATTAAAAACGATAAACTCACAGATTGAATGAAAGAATGTCGTTTCCTCGTTAATTTCAATTTTTGCGGCAAAAGCGTATCTCGATCCTTCTTCTCATCATTCATCGGATCAGCCTGAAATTTGAAAAGTATAAACAGACAAAGAGAACGTTTAAAGTGAAAACAATAACTTGACATCATGACAACTAACCACTTTGCTCTCATTATGGGATTGATTTTCAATAGTTGAAATCGAGGGAGTTTCATTTAAAATGTGAGAATTGGTCATTAATTGTTAGAAGCACAATTTTCTCAGCGCTTTATAATCTTTTTCCTACATGCTGGCATATTTTTGAGAGGGGAAAATTCTTATCAGAAAAACTTGCTCACGCTTGCGTTCGATGCCAAAAAAAATTCGCATTTAAGTATAGCGATAGCAAAAAATTTCACAACCATTTAGATAAGTTTTTCAAAAAAACAAAAGTTTTAGCTTTGTTACAAACCGATAAACTGCCAATGAGTTCACACAAGTTACAATGATTAATCAAAAATTAGAATTTAAAACAAAACGCGTAGGTAGGGCAAAAGCTACACAACTTTCCATTTCAAAGTAGCCACGTTTCGGAAAAATTCAAAAACTCAAAAACAGAACCAAAACCCGGAATAGGTCCCGTTATTCCTAGAAAAATTCCTTGTCTGTTTTCTTAAAATGTTTCTCTGCACGGATGGACAAAAAGACTTTAAAAAAGCAAGGTTGAGAAATATTCATGAGCTGGACAAAATTCAATTCCCGAACTTTTTTTCGACCACTAGAAAGGATTTTCTCGGGAGGATTCGGGGTGTGCTTGGACCGAGATTTACATGTGTGTCCTTTTTCTCTGTTGCTAGGCATTCATTTCCAACAATTCATTACGACACTACAAGGGATATTTTCGCACATCGGCAAGGAACTTTCGGAAGGTTTTAAAAAGTTCACTGATTGTATTTCGATTATTTTTTTAAGAATGAAAGGATCACAAATTCGGCAAAAGCTTTTTATTTTGATCAGCTATGCCACGATCAAAACCCGGGAAAAGCGAATTCAAAATTAAAATTCTGTGCATCCCGAGGGGTTTTGAATTGGGAATGAGTTTTTTCGATGGGGCAATGCACAAACAAGTCCACAACGAGTGGAACAAATACAGAATGGAAAATTTGGTCTCTGCCTGGAGTCTGGGCATGGAATAACACAAATTTAATCCCCAAATATGTGAGTTTTCTAGAATTTTAGTGGGAAAAGAAAGGTTAATCGTTTTTCTGCAGTGTATGAAGTGGGGAATGGAGGGGATCCGTGTTTTCTGGTTCATTGTTTGCACAGCACAGTCCTCCTCGTTTCCCATGTCACTAACAATTTTCAGGGTCTTTCTGATTCCCAACTACATTGAAATAAAATCTTCAACATTCCTCGGAAACATATAATAGCGATAATAAACTCAGTCAGAAAAACTTCAAAAAAGATCACACTTTATTAGAATTTCTCAAAAGCACAAATCTATTCAAAAAGCGTTAACACAAAGAAGTCAAAAGGGGATATTTCATCGGGTTTTCTTCTACGAGTAGATCGATTAAGTCATTTATCCTCTTCATCCGGATTGTCACCAGTGACGTTAGCAGTTTGTTGCTTCTCGCGACGGTACTAAAATCATCTTTGTGTAAAAAAAAAGCAAATACAAAATACCTGTTCATATTCGGAAGGCTTCAATTGAACAAATGACACCTCAAGTTTCTCGTCCACCTAAATTAGGTACATAAAATGTTCGGTAAAAATTTGAATCAACCTTGACGACGGCCGCGAAATTCCAGAGATCCTCGTGATACCTCGCTGCACTGAACACTGTAATCAACAGACGACTAAAATGAAGCAAAGTCAAAGTTGAAAAAGCTACAGAAGATTTTTTAAGCTTTCTAAACATAACTGGTATTTACTTTGCAAAGAAGGCGTATCCATATTCGACAACTTGGTGTGCTCTTATGATGAGATCGATATTCAACTGTTTGCACTTTGCCGCCACCGCATCTTCACCAAAAATATGCGACACGGCGCGAATCTTGTTAACCTGACAAAAAACAGTAAACTTTCACATGGCAGAAAAAAAACTTGAAATCCCTGAATTCCAGCTTCTGGATCCGCCCAAAGAAGATCTTGCGCCAGACCCCGCACGAACACGATTGGACGAACCAATTTGCGGATGTCGTCAAGGCTGTTCAAGTCGGGAGAAAGACCTAAACAACAAAAAGTTCTTTATTTAAGCTGAGTTTTACCTCCGTGCATGCAAAGAATTCGATTGCTCACAACAGCGGCCAATGGCATCACGGCAAAAATCTCATTGAAATGATCGTACAAGATCTTCCAATCAGACCCCGAGCGAAAACGACTTCGACAATCAGCGAGGAAGCCGTAAACTCTAGAAAAAGATGTGTACATATTATCATAAGTTCCATTACTTGTTGATGTTGGCAAGCTCGTGGTTTCCCCGCAGAAGATAGACTTTTTTTGGGAACTCGATTCGCTAAATCTTTCGTTAAATGATCGGCACCAAGACACAGCACAACCAACCATTGCCAGCAGAAGAAGAATCACCTAAAATGAAAAATTTGTAGAACAAAATGAAGCCGAACCTCTAGCGAATGTCGTCCACGATCAACGTAATCTCCAAGAAATAAATACTTCCTGTAAAGAAAAAGTTGTAACTTTTCTAGATAAACCCTTACTTTCTGAATGGAAGTCCACAAGAGTTAAAGATTCGGAAGAGATCCCCATATTGGCCGTGTATGTCCCCGCAAATGTTGACGGGCGCGTTCAATTCAAGAAGTGGAGAAGTCTTCAGGAAAGCGAACTAAAATAAAAAAGTTTAGGAAAAATCTGTGTAATCTTTAGTATTAGACATCAAGCTATGAAGATCGACTAAATCATGTTTAGCTCAAAATGTTACCTTGGCCATGTCAAGAATTGCGTGCACTTGTTCGAGATCGTATTCCATTTTTCGGCTTCCTTCCAAAAGGTGTTTCTTGATGAAGTCCTAAAATCAAAAATTAGTGACAGGATACGCCATTTTATGTTTTCAAGTTAAATTTAAAGTCCCATGTGCACAATCTATAAAACAACAAAAATATCAAGCTTTATCAAAAAAAACCAACCCTCAAGTTGATCTTCTTTGCCGCGGCCGTGGCTTTCACTTCAGAATCTGCCAACAATTTCGCTTGATCAATGGTCGGTGGCGGTAATGGAGCTGCAAGTTTCTAAAAGGAGACGATTTAAAAACTCTAGTCATAAATCTCCAACCGGTTTAACTTCAGCAGCTGGTTGTTCCTCCTTTGTCGAAGTTGATGTACCAGCTAAACCGAAATTTGCCAAGAAATAGAAACAAGATCGCATACTTTTTGAGGCCCCTTTCGTCATTTTTTCCGAATGCTTCATGTCTTTTGCAGGTTTAGCTTGCCAGGAATGTTTCTAAATACAATAAGATCAAAACGATGCTAACGGTTAATTTAGCAACTTTACAAGTAGCAAACGTTATCGAAACCCTACTGAAAGCATCACCAATCAAATATTGCCGATTAACGCAGAAGTTCAAAAATTTCGAAAGAAACACTTGGAAAATGAGGGCCAAAGCTCGTCAAACCATCTCCCAATGCACAGTTTTCACAGAACCAACACAAAAGCCTCCCACTCACCGCCTTTTCATCCTTCGCATCAACTTTTGGCGAGTCGATCTTCGATTTCTCCCCATCGTTGTAGCCTTTCGCGTTCTTTTGTGGCTCGACTCCTTTAAAATCCATTTGATGAGCGGTAAACTAGACAAAAACGTTAACTTAAAATCAAATTAACCTCAAAAACTCACCTTATTTCAGCCAAATTGAAAATGAGCCGGAAGAAGTCGAAGAGAAAATGGGAAATGCTTTTTTGATTTGCGACTTCAGCGAATATGGAAAAATTTCGCATACAAATGTATTCGTTTAAGTGTAAATTTTGCATTGTCTCCTCGTTTTATTGTGTTTTTGATCTAAAAAGAGTATGCTGTTTTTCTTGACATGATTCATACGTTTTACTTACATACAGAGTATCTGTGCCATTGTTAAACCTTGAAGAAGCTACGACAAGAAATCGAAAGCTCTGAAATTTTTCATGAGAAAAAAAATCAAACCCTTTTCTCCGTTCTACGATCTAGGAATTGCCAGAAATTTTATTTTATATTTTATTTTATAAATTTTGTTCTAATTCAAACTTTAAATCAACTGTTTACTTTTTGGCTCACACTAATTTTTAGTGAAGTTTTATTTGTAGCTTTTTCGCATTCGCTCGTATTTTACAAGAGATCGAGGCGATTTGTGTGATCAAAAAACGTTTAGTGAAGTGAGGGGAAAATGCTGAGGGTACCCAAAATTCGAAAATGATTGTGGGAATGTTTTGATGCGGCTTTTTGAGTGAATTTTGCGAGTGGGCACAAATGGGAACAAGGCGTATGTCCCGAATTAGAAACAACCCACAAAATTAGCCGATTTCGTCGAATCCACCCCAACCACGACAAGCGATAAGACCCAGTTTTACAATATTTCAAAATATAAAGGTGTTTAGCTCAGCCAACAAGACTTGAATTTAACTCGAGCGAGTCGGTTTAGAGCGTGGCTCGGCTACGTTAACCCGTATCCATTTAGTTTACTGTAGTCTACCGTAGTCGTTAGAATTGCTGCAACAGTGACCAATTACTTTAGATATAACGCCTAAATAAAGGCCGGATTACGGTAGCTGGAGCGTACTATAGGAACGCCTATACGAAACGGTTTTGACAATATATTGAAAAGCTTTCAAATTCATCAATAAAACGAAATTCAGCCTTACTTTACGTATCTTTGAGTTATCCATTTTTTGTTCTTATTTGACTTTTTTTTGATTTATTCAAAGTTAATCCCACGGTTAGTTCAAGGAGAGGTTCTTTCGTTTTAGAAATTCCAGTCACCTCCAATAAGTTTGTTTATAACTCTTTTCCAATAAGAACTGCCCGAATTTGGAATCGACTTCCCAGAGTTTTGAGAGAGTCCAATAGTCTTGAAACCTTTAAATTATCTGTAGATGTCTGTCTTGGAGCTCTAGTGGTTCCTAGACGCTATCTGTGCTACCATATATTATATCGTTTGCTTTTATCGGCCCTTTTCGTGTTATGTGTATGATTCATGTTTTTATTTAAATCTAGCGCACTTTATCTCAGGTCCTGAATAAATTTTTTATATTTACCTTAAATACTGTAATAGTACCCCACCCCCGTCGTACACTTTTGCGTAGTCGCAAAAGTTTTTTAGTATTTCATTTTTTTCAAAGCACCCGTACTTTCAAAAAATGCGTCTTTGGTATCAAAAAATAGCTGAAATTCAGGGCTATTTTTTGATACCTAAACGCGCATTGTAGCATAAACCAGTGTCGAGAAAAACTCGTTCAAAGCTAGACTACGCAACACTCCGCACCGTCATTATGGGGGTGGGGCACTATTACAGTATTTACGGTAACTATTTCCAAATCTTTTTCTTTTCAAATTTTCCAAACCCTTCTCCAATCTAACACCTCACTAATCTATCCAATCTTGATCTGATCATTCTTTTTGTGTAAAAGAAAATGCTTACAATTCTCTAATTGTTCCGTGGAAAGAGCTGTCAGTGAAAAACGCCGGAAATTATATTAATGTTTGATTTCCGGCGAAATTCAATTTTACACGAAAAAACAGTTTCTAGGAATTGGTTAAAAAAAGAGTGTCATTTTGGCGTGAATTCGGTTTTATTGGAGAGTTGTGTCTTTTTCCAATTGAATCCCGAAAACAAATTTTCAATCATCAAATAGCACCATTCACAGTTTTGAGTCTAAAATTTTGATTTCGAGACAATATCTCAATCTTGCATCTAGGCATTCCCATTTTCTCCAAAAAGCAAATAGCGAGGCCTTTAAACAAAACTTTAGGCCTTGAGAAGCTTTCAAAATCTTGACAATCTTGACAACAATGTCTCTGCACTACATGCTTTGCTTGTTAATCGCATGGGTGATGATCACGATGCTCTGCTGTAATTTCTTCGTCTCACTGATCTTTGTCAAGGTTTTATTTTAGCTATTATTTCGATTAAAATATTAGATAAGTTTGTTGATCAAGGAATAAGTTTCTTGATCGACGATTAACGATTCCAGGGTGGTTTCCTGAAAGAAGCGGCTCCAATCTACTCGATAATTTTCTACAATATTTGCGTGGGTACTTGTCAACTCGTCACCCATATTTTCACGCTTTTGCCCGCGATTTTCCCAAGAGAGAATATTTTCGATTTGTACACGATCGGTCATTACGTGCACTCTGTGTGGATTTTGAGTCTTTGGTATGCCGCCTCGTATGTTCATATATTGATGGCCGCTAATCGGTATGTAAAAAAAGCTACAAAGCTACAAAGCTACGAGCTACAAGCTACAAAGCTACGAGCTACAAAGCTACAAAGCTACAAGCTACAAAGCTACAAGCTACAAAGCTACAAGCTACAAGCTACAAAGCTACGAGCTACAAAGCTACGAGCTACAAAGCTACAAAGCTACAAAGCTACAAAGCTACAAGCTACAAGCTACAAGCTACAAGCTACAAAGCTACGAGCTACAAAGCTACGAGCTACAAAGCTACGAGCTACAAAGCTACAAAAAGCATTTTTGTTCGTCATTTTTTGTAGTTTATAGTGTTCATGTCTTTTTCAGCATCTCGGTCTTCGTTTTGCCGCGTTTCGCTCGCCAGTTGACGCTTCGAAACGTGAAAATCGCTCTGGTGTTCATCTCGATTCTATCGATCAGCACCTCGATTTACACACAATTGTTGACCCCATGTTGCCGGTTAGTGAAATGCGGGGACTAGGGGAGAAAAATTCTATAAAATAACGCAAAAACGAGCTTTGCAAGTCTACTAAAGCAGTCCTTTTTGAACGATTTGATCTCTAGCTCACTCCAGCTGAACAATGATCACTTTCCGTAGCTTGAGACTCGAGATTTCCCCATTATTCCCTCACAATTAGAATTGTAAAATCTGACGGAGAATTCGATTTATTTACTTCAGTCCCGACAAATTGAGTTCACGAATATTTCTCGGCAAAAAACTCGATTCCACATAAAACTCATTGAACCAAGAGTAATAGGAAAAAGCTAACCGATCAAAAAACACAATAAAGGGAAGCACCCTATAGCCGACGCGTATGACAGATGACAAGCGATTGTGCGAGCACACAGAGAACATCTTCTTTAACAAAGAACACCTTTTGCTTTGTAGATGGCACAAAAAGAAGATTCAGAGATTCAGCTGTAAATTTGTACCAAGCGGGTTTTCGGGGTCGGGCAATCGATTGGAGCTATTCTTTTTAGCCTGATCTACTGTACAAGTCATTTTTGAGAAAGCAGTAAATGCAGATAATTTCAGAGAGTCGGCGGCAAAGATCAAAGGGGGATTTTAAATCTTTAGCTTTTCTAAATGTAAGAATTGCAGAGTAAAATTGTTCACAAAGCTTAGCTTTATAAATTGATATTGAATTGAATTGAATTGAATAATTGAATTGAATTGAAAACCTCTGCTCGTAATTGAATTACGAGCAGAGGTATCAAGCCAGCCGGACAAGTCAGCAGTTAATTTGAAATGAATAAAATCTTTTTTTTCAGATTATATATGGAACAAGCCACCTACAGTTACAATTATCTTCCGACAAGGCCCGGTCGAAATATGACAAAGAATATCTCGAAATATTTCATCGATATGCCAATCGAGAGCACTGTTACCGGATTCTGTATCATTTCGTATGCATTTGTGAGGAGTTTCTGGGAATATCTTGAAGAATTGAAGATTTCAGATCTGTTTCTACATCAATAAGATGCAACGGAAACAAAATGATGGAGATAAAAAGGAGAAGAAAATGATGAGGAAGGAGATTATGTGAGTATGGTAGGATATAGGATATGGCTGTGTTAGTACTGCAATGTATACTGTCGCAGATACCTGTAGTAGTGTAGATAGTATTGCAGTGTAGTGTTTAGTAGTGGGTTGAATACCGTAGGAGTACTTTATGAGTACTGTAGATTCTAAAGCATTTCCAAATTCCGCTTTGTACTTTGTTGCTTTAGCTTTTGTTGCTTCTGACAGACTACTAGAAAAGAGGAAACAACTCTTTTCTAGTAGTCTGTTAGATAGTGTGCGTTTCGAAAGCCAAAGTACGCTTAACGTTTATTAAAGTTTATTATCAAATTCTCCATTCATCAAATTCTCCAATCTGATTTCAGGTGTTGTGTGCAATGCTTTTTAACTTGCGCTTTCTACACATTCACCTGGTTTTCCGTGCATTTCTTCCCATCGCTTGGGTTAGTTAGAAAATCGTGTTAGAAAAGTCGAATAGCCAAAATATGAAAAACAATCCTTTTCTTTTAGTTTTACCACAATGGAACCATACGCATCAATCTCTCTCGTTTACATGCTCGATTGTGGAATGAATGCTGTCATCATGTTGCTCAATAATGAAGAGGTAAAAGAGAATGAGAACGTTTAACCAAAGGGTTTTTTTTTTGCCTATTATCTTTAGAGTACTTTGTGCTCGAAAATTATAAACCCACCCACCCTTTCTGGTGCACTGAATTCCCTGGAACTAACATTGTTACAGAGAGAACGAAGAGAAAACGAATTGAGAAACCCATCCCTTCTAGTGCCTTAGAAGGGATGGGTTTTCAATTCTTGAGCATAAAGTACACCTGTACAACTTGAGTCCTTTATAGGTTCGCCGGAAAGCAGCTCGTTTACACTTCGTTAGTGGTGGATACACGATCGAACCGACGAACATCTCAACAGCGAAGGAGATCTCATCCACAAATCGACCCCCACCATCCGGCACATCGAACAAATCGACTAACTGAGGAACAAGTCATGAAAATATTTATTTCTTTTTTTTGTATAAATAAATCATAATCACATAAAGCAACACCACGATTCTTTCTTCCGAATATACCACTGATCGGGATGAGGGCCGGCCATTGGAAGGATTGCACCCTAAAATCGATCGTAGATTTCGATCGTAATCCTAGATTTCCCCCAATTTCTCTCACTTTTCCATTCAATGTATTCGTTGATCGATTTCTGTCCTGATTCTTCAAATATCTCATCTGAGCGACTAGCTCGTCAAAAATTTCCACAATATTGATGTTGTGTTTTGCGGAAACCTCTGCGAACGAGCATTGCACCTATCATAATAATAGCTTTCAAACTTAAATCGGCTTTGATTGTATCCTATAAGTTCAATAGACTCAATAGACTCAATAGATGTCAATTGAAGTTCATCCTAAGTTGTTTAAAGGCCAATTTTTCTGTCAAACCTAGCTAGGCCTAGCTTACGAGTCTCTGAGTTCAGAAGCTAGACGTGTTGCCTGGATTGTACACTCATGGTCTGCTTGGAATATCCCCTAAGGCAGAAGCCTGGGGATATTCCAAGCAGACCGCTTTATATTCGCTTTACCAGTACATGTCTGTTAGAAGTTAAGCTCTTGATTTCTGGCCTGGTTAGGATCTAGTTAGAAGTTGTTGTTGTTTTTGTTGTTTTAAACCTGTGCCGAGAGTTGAGCTCCATCATCATGATCAATCTCTCGTTTCGCCGAATCACACTGCGCTCCCACTAGCATTCGAGCGATCTGGAAACTTAATGATTGAAATTTTTCCATTGAAATTTCTCCATTCAAATTACTCCATTCAAATTTGTCCATTCAATTACCCCAATCGGTCCCCGAATCGAGGCAATCCTCGAGAAAAGTTGATAGATTTGAGAAAAGGATCGAGCATCGGAAATCGAGTAGACGAGAAGGAAAGCGTCAGCTGATTCAATGTATCGATCCAACATCCCCGGGAAGTGTTCCTGCATAAAATTTTAGTTAAAAAATTGAAATTTACAGAAAAAAATATTAAGTTTATCGTTATTCAGACTCATTTAAAAATTGTCATTTCTTTTCTTTTCTTTTCTTTTCACTCACTTTCCCAGCCGTATCAACAATCTCCAAATCCACATGTGCTCCTCCACAAAAGAACGATTTCTTGTAGGTTTCCTCAATTGTCGGATCGTATACTTCCACATAATTATTGTAAACGAATTGATGAACCTAAAAGGAAAAGTTTTCGGATCATTGAATATAGTAATGTACAGTACTGGACAATGAAATATCATATTTGAAAAAAGATCGTCACTTTCGCGCGTCTGTAACTCCCATGTCTTTACCGTATTTCTAAATATTAATATTACCATTGTGTAGCCCTTGAAAAGAGCTTTCAGAAAATGTATAACACTAATAGTTTAAGCTTAAAGATAAAAAAGTTACAGCCGTGCGAACGTGACGATCATTTTTCAAATATCATATTTCATTGTCCAATAATGTATAGGTTGCTATAGATTGCTTTTATATCATTTTTCAAGTCAAGCCAAGGCTTGAAAGCCTGATCATTGCTTTAGCTTGAGGATCTAATCTTGAGGAAAATTTCCAGACTAGATCATGGGCCAAGCCCAGGGCTTTCGTCTTGTCTGGCTTGACATTCACTCTGAACTAGCTTTAATCTAATCTGTTCTTGTTCTAGATCTAATCTGACTATTCATGGTTATAGGCTTCCAAAATCTGAACTTGACTTGAACTAACTAGTGACCTTTTGAAACCTTTGAAACAATCTGAACTGTGAACGATAATCTAGTCACTTGAAAACTCACAATCGTTGTTTTGCCCACTCCTGCCGGTCCGATCACCGCCACTTTGTACTTTTCTTTCATCGCACTGAAAATAATAACTCAAATTTCTTCCTCATAAGCTTTCATAATTTGTGTTGTTCACTACATGTGGTCTATCAACTTTTTTTTCGATTCTCGTCTTGAAAAGGGTGAGTAAATGGCTTTAAGCCACCATCATAAGCATTGTGTGAAGAAAAAAAGGGGAAAAGGGAAAAAGGAAAAGAGTAAATGGATGTATGTTCACCCAAAAAAACAACAATTTTCGGTTTTACGATTCTGTTGAAAGTCAAAGGGTCAATCGGATGGATTAATGGATTAAAAGAGACATCCATTAGACATCCGATCGAATCATCGAATAAAAAAAAAATACCGACTGGGGCTACCAGTGGTGAATTTATCGCATACACGAAATATATCAATCACAATACAACGACACACACAATACTAGGCTATATCTTAGCTTAACCCACGTCATGACAGACGGCTCCCTAACTCTAAGCTCAATGGGGAACTAAATAGCTTTTTTGGTGGTGAAGGGAAGATGACGATGAAGGAGAAGAATAAGACCAAAAAAATGCTCTTATTTATCTATTTTTAAAATTTTAAATCACTTTTTAAACATAAAAGATGTAGATTTTCAAATTTAATATCCATTTGTCTCTATTTTATTTGATTTTTGTCAAAAGAAATGACGATTTTTGAAGAGGAAACTTTTCACGCACTTGCTGTGGTTTCAGCTGTGAAATCTGTGATTTTAAAAAAAGTATCTCTAGTCAGTTTTCTTGTGGAAAGAAAAGTAGAAGGAGGAATGGAAGAAGGAGAATGGCAGAGACACTCCTCATGTACCGGAGAAGGGGCCACCTATGTGAGAGGCCAACTGCTCAAGCCACAGACCAGCCTCTCCACCCCATTCCTTTACTAGAGTCCCATCCTCTACCCATTCATTCCCTTCCATTCCTTTCCATTCCTTTCCACCTCGCTCACTCCCCATTTCTTTTCATTGAGCATCAAAATGAGCAAGAGCAAGAGGACCCTTCACCCTTCAAAATCCCCGTCTCTTCTTTCTTTTCTTTCTTTTCTTTCTTTTCTTTTTCTTTTCCACTTTCCCACCAGAGGATTATTATTTAAGGCCACTTTCCTTATTATTTTTTCTTATGTTGAATCAACATCTCCTCTTTGGTCACTTTAACTTTATAGCTTTACATTTTAAATCTAGATTTATTCATTTAACTTTATGTCTCTTTTAAACCATTGAGTCCAATTTCTCTTAGATTTTGATGCAATTCGGTGCTCAGCTTTTGCCCATTTTGATTTTGATGCCCAGCTAAAGTTAGCATACATTAAACGATTCGGAAGAGTGAAAATCCTACTTTTAATGCAAAATTCCCAGGCTAAAACCTAAAATGCCAATATTTTAAAATTATCATTTCAATTTTTGAGGTTTACTACCTGCAAAATTTGCATGCAACCTTTTCAAGGATGATCAGAATGCAAAACGATTTGTTATCTACGATTCGTTATCTACGATTCGTTATCTACGATTTGTTATCTACGATTTGTTATCTACGATTCGTTATCTACGATTTGTTATCTACGATTTGTTATCTACGACTCTTACCCATTAGCTGGCTTTTAAATTTTAAAACTAAAGCTCATATTGTGATTGTTACTTTTATATCTTAAAATTTAGATATATTTTTATCTCTCTATAAATCTGATCACATTTCAGAAATCGAATGCAAGTGTTTCCCTTTCATTAAGTGAAATTCCGTCAGACAGCTCAAAGGAGGGAAATATGATCCCTGAATATCGAAAGAATGGGAAAAGAAATGATCGAGAAGAGAAGATTTCTCAAAAATGGAACAATCGCTACTCTACACTCTACTCGATTTTATTATTGTTTACAGGTGAATCATAGTGACAAATTTAATAAAGAAGTTTTTAATTAATGACAACTTTAATAAAGAACATAATCTAATAGTAAGATTTCTGAATATCTAAAGAATTTTGAAATTCAACTGACATTTAATCTGAGAAGCAAGTACCTGGATAAGAGTCAGGGCTAAACAAAGGTGTAAACAGTTAACCAAGCTAAGTCTCAGATAAGCTTGGTCAAAGTATGTTAGGATATGCAAGGATTACATAAATCAAAAAGATTAGGAACAGATAGATCCAAAAAAAAGCATACAATGAGTGCTGAGTGATGATAAATTGACAAATTGGGAAGAAATTTTGATGGGGAATCTATTTAAGAAAGAGTTCTTTCATTCTCATTCTTCCATTCTTCCATTCTTTTCATTTTGCAAAAGAGATAATGGATGAAAAGGGGAGAAAAGAAAGATAGAAATGTACCGATCCTTCGATGATAAAAACCGGTCGCTTTTTCTCGTCGTTTCATTTCCTTTTCTGATATTCCGCAGAGTATACAGATTGAAGGGAATACGAAGAGATCTCATCGGGTCGATTCGATTGATTCGACCTGATCGATTCAATTGATTCGACCTGATCGATTCGCTACAGTATAGATCAGCTACAGTATAGATCAGCTACAGTATGGATCAGCTACAGTATAGATCAGCTACAGTATAGGCCAGCTACAGTATAGATTCGACCTGATCGATTCGATTCATTCGATTCATTCGAGTCTTCATTATCGGTAATGTATTATGGTTGAGATAATATCGAAAGATATAAATAAAATTTACTATATACAGAGTGACCGAAAATTATCGCCTCGCAGTTTTTGGGCTATAACTTGACTGTTGCTGTAGGACTACAATATATAGGACTTATGAAAGACTAGATAAGAAGCAATCTATCAAATATTGTACTTCTTCTTCTTGAATTCATTGAAGCTTGTTGACACTTTCGCTGAGCTGATTTACTGATACTCTCTATTAGTTCATTTTGAGAAAAGATTAAATTTGATTGACATTTGCAACATTTAAACCATGAATAAATTACGTAATTGAATGCGATTTGTGAACAATAAAGTTTTCCAAAACAAGGTCAAGATAAAGAGGTCCTAGTCTGGTTTCTAGTGGGTACAAATATTATTCTAGTCTCAGCTAAGAAAGTTGCACAGTAAGGTTTTCCAAAACAAGCTCAAGACAAACAGGTCTAGCTTCTTGGCACTCTAGCGGGTACAAATATTATTCTAGTCTCAGCTAAGAAAGTTGCAGTGCAGTAAAATCAGGCTCAACCTTCTTTAGATCAGAAAAAAATGATTTTAAAACAAATGCCAGGCATTGGGAGCAAAGCAATGTGACTCGTAAAACGGAAATCCTTTGAGGAAGTATTTATATAATCTTTTAAACCTTTGTTTCTATCTTATTGTTGCCTTATTGAATAGATTAGATGGTTAACTTGTGTGCTTTATCGATCTAGAAGTATCTTCTCTTAAACATTCCACAAACCCAGATCTTCATCTTTTTTTTTTGCCTCAGCTCACTCACTTCACCTCATTTCTCTCTCTCTTTTTATTCTAGAATGGATTAGGAAAACATATTACCCGCTTCCTCTAACATTGACAAGCAAAAAAGAGAAAAGAATGGAATGGAATGGAATGGAAAAGGGAAAAGCATTCGAATAAGCTTTAAAAAAAAGGAAACTTTAAGAAAAAGAAGCAGAAAAAGCATAAAATAAAAATATCTATTCAGAGAGTACTATTCTTTTGATATTTACATAAGAGCTGAACTTTAGTGATGACTGGAGTGAACTGTATGGATCCGGAGGAGCGGTTGATGATCGATCTATTCAGGGGGTACGATCATTTGATAGTTTATTTAAAAATATCTATATATATCTAAATTTACATATCTTTTAGATATAACTCATATTTGCTGCCAATTCGCAACTTCACCGATTTGCCAGTGCAAGTGAAAATCGCCATGCAACTCGTATTGCTCGTCAATGTGGTTTGTTTTTCAATGTTTGGACAAGTTCCAGAGATTTCAGATCTTTAAATACTTTTAAATACTTTAAATAGAAACTAATCTAATCACGAATTTCAGGACGAGTTGAATCAGCGAATGCACACGAATGTTTGGTTGACAATGGTCAGTTCGATGGTTCTGTAGTTTTGTAGATGTTAAATAGTGAATAATTTCTTATTGTTAAACAAGAAGAACTGGCATTTGAATCATTTTGGTAAAATTTCGTGATCGAGTTTCGAATTTAGAATTTAGAATTGATTTCGAAATATCAAATTTAGTAAACTTTAAAAAATAATCTAGAAAATTGAGTTTATTCCATCTTCTATTTAGTGCTTTCTACAAAATAACACCAAAATCCTAAAGATTGGCCGACTTAGAAGAAAGTTATGGCGAGTTGCGTAAACGACCCCGTTGCGCAAACGACCCTTTTGCGCAAAAAAAAAATGGCGGAGACTAGCCTGCCCCTTAGAGTGTGTTCCTCGCGAGTAATGCGTTTTTTAAAACGCACACTTGGGAAAAAATTCTCGTACTTTTAGCAAAAATTATTGCAAAAAAAATGACGCAAAAATCAGGAGCTCGGCATTATATACGACACTTTTTTAAAGATACTCAGCCGTTTAACTGATTTGGTGGCAAATTCGCTTCCAATGTAAAAATCCGATTTTTTTTTGGAAAAACCTGCGCAAAAAATTGCTTTTATATTTTTTTCGCGCAGGCGCACTTTTTAGAAAACGCATTACTCGACAATTACTCGAGCTCGAGTAATTGTCAAGTAATGTGTCTTCTAAAAAGATTACTCGAGCTATTACTCGAGTAAAAAATTACTCATGCAAATTTACTCGAGTAATTACTTACTCGCGAGGAACACACTCTAGTTTAGAGAAAGAATTCTCGATTTCAGCGTTGGCGAGACTATCAGCTGACATGGAATCCAGATGATTACGATGGGATTACTTCATTACGAGTACAACCGGAAAAGATTTGGTTGCCCGATATCGTACTCTTCAATAAGTGAGTGTCTGAATAGCTGAATAGCTTTTAAAATGAAATGAAATGAAATGAAATGAAATGAAATTCAATTCAATTCAATTCTTATCTCAATGCTTTCAGCGCTGATGGGAACTATGAGGTCTCTTTCATGTGCAACGCTGTCATTCATTATAATGGTCAAGTGCAATGGGTGAGTTAAAACTTAAAACAAATAGTAAAAGATATCCAGTATATCCAGCAATAGCTCTATCCAGATCCAAATCCAGATCCAGATCCAGATCCAGATCCAAATCCAGGTATCCAAGCAATTGCAGGTTCCACCAGCTATTTATCAATCCTCATGCATTATGGATGTCGAATTTTTCCCGTAAGAATATCTATCAATTTGCCAAAACAGTATCAAAATTGCAGCTTTGACTATCAAGTGTGCAATTTGATCTTTGGAAGTTGGACGGTAAGCGATGAGTGTACTTTCGGTTGAAAAATTTAAACGCATCCCTTCTGGTGCACTAAAAACCAAGTATCAAGACAAATTTGAGATTCAACGATGTCAGAAAGTCCGTTTTTATCTAAAAGTTTCAAATTTTCAGTACAGTCGCGAAGAGGTTCGACTCGACTTCGAGCACTCCGATTATGTTGATGTTTCAGGTGAAAAACTGTTTTTAAACGATATTCTAACGTCAGGATATCTTTGATGACTGTATTTTTTATCGTTTATTTTCTATAGAGTACACCGAGTCGACGATCTGGGATTTGGTGGATGCTCCGGCGGTGCTCGTCGAGGATCGGAGTCGAATCGAGTTTCAAATCAAAATCAGGTAAAAAAGAAAGCTTCGAAAAGCCCAAATATCGTAGTTATTCTATTCACTTCTATTAGAAACATTACAGCATTTCAGACGTAAACCCCTTTTCTACACGGTGGTGCTCATTCTGCCGACGATTCTGATGGCTTTCCTCAATGTCACCGTTTTCTATCTACCAACCGCTTCAGGTAGATGAAAGAGGAGATTGTGAATATTGGACCTTAAGCCAAATTGATCAAATTGATTGATCAAGTCAAAATGATCAAAAATAGCAAAGCCTTGGTTCTAGCAAAGCCAGAGTCAGGCAGGACCAGAGCCAGGTCAGGGACCTTGCCTTGCTTGACCTTGACCTTAACCCAGAAAAGGATGGATTTCTAAACTTGGTATTTTTTTTTGTTTCTTCAAATCTCATTCAATCCTGCTCAATTTCAGGCGAAAAAATGGGTCTAACGATGAACGTGTTGCTGTCAATTGTTGTGTTCTTGTTGCTCGTCTCGAAACGACTCCCACCCACATCGAATTCGATTCCCCTAGTGGCAAAAGTTGAGTTCATTTCAAGCACTAAGAGATCAAGGTTTTTTCAGTATCTTTTGCTGACCTTTTTGCTCAATGTGATCACCATTGTGATCACTGTCGTCATTTGTAATATCTATTTTCGATCTCCGCTCACCCATCGTTTACCCCCATGGGTGCGAACAGTGTTTCTCAAGGTGAGCCCAACTGAGTGCTTTATTAGAGCTCAACTGAGTGCTTTATTAGAGCCCAACTGAGTGCTTTATTAGAGCTCAAGGTGAGCCCAAGGTGCTCTCAAGGTGCTTTATTAGAGCTGATTTTCAGCCGGATTGTCAATAGGTGTACAACGGAAAAACGAGAAAACCTATTGAAAATAAGGCCGACAAAACAGAGCAAGCAGATCTAGTGTGCTTATCCCATTCAAAGGGTTTTTCCTTAAAACGTGGCCACTTTTAAAACACTATCTGAGCTTGTAAACAAAAGAGAATCATATTTGAAGTATTTATCAGTCTACTGAATACTTGATAGGCAATTATTAGCATAAAAGCATCATTTCCGCATTTTCCAGTGGCTTCCCAGCATTCTCTGCATGAAGCGACCACCACTCGATCAAAAGCATTTGAAACGTCCAATGATCCCTCCACGACATCCCGGTCCACCACTTCTCCCGCAACATCATCATCCTTTCTGCAAAATCCCTGAGAATCCCGAGGATAGCGAGTGAGTTTTCAATGAGAAAATGTCATAAGCTTTGGCTTTGGCTTTGGCCTTAAGTACTTTGGCCAGCTTACTATAATTGGCATTAGTTGGTACATTTGAAAGTTGGTACACTCATTCGTATTTCCCAGAAAAAATACGCCAATTGAATTCGACTTTTTCTAAATAAAAGTGATATATTATCTAATTTAAGACAAATTTGGGAAACTTTTGAAACGAATTTGAGCAGAAATTCATGTTTTTCTGAAAACTCTTCAAACAGACATAGAACTAAAGCAATTAGACAAATCGAGCTGAGAATTCGGCTTAAGGCCTAATTTTTGATGCTTTATCTTTTTTCTATTAACATTGAAATAGGTTTATGTGGAAGAAAGTGCTCAAATTGCTTCATCAAGTGTTCATCATTTTTGGTTCCTCAACTTCTTGCCCCATAGAAACCTAAAAAAAACCCGAAGCTTTTCTAAATCTGTTAAAAGCCTGTTCTAGAGGATAAATGGATCTTTTTATTGGTGAAAACTGTAGATGAATGTACTAGTTATTTGTAAAAAGTGCAATGAATAAGTGTACAGTTGCCGTAACTACAGTAGTTTACAGTTGCCGTAACTACAGTAGTTTACAGTTGCCGTAATTACAGTAGTTTACAGTTGCCGTAACTACAGTTACAAGTTGCCAATCTAATACTTACTTTAAGTATTGATTTGCAAAAACTTTTCAGTGAGGGTCCGTCGATCCGTTTATGTCCGTATGAGCCAGACGAAGAGCTCTCCCCGGATGCACAGCGAACAGTTGATGCTATCGATTTTATCACAGAGGGGATGCGAGATGATGAATTAACAAAGAATGTAAGTAAATTTAACAAAAAAAGCATCGAAAATTGAGTACTTGCTAAGCTGAAATACTAGATATTTCAGAGAAAATCATTTTCAAAAAATTTCCTATATGATTTCAGTATCGAGACGATTGGCAATACGTTTCGATGGTGGTCGATCGTTTCTTTCTCTACACATTTTTGGGCATCACTATTGGTACAATTCTAGTATAATTTTTAGTACAACTTTAGTACTTTAGTACTAGTACAACTTTCTAGTATAATTTTTGATCTCTCAATGTTTTTGGGAGAATCTTCATAAAATTTCCAGGCGGTACAGTGGGCATCATTTTCTCGGCACCCGACATTTTCACCCCGGTCGACCAGAAAGAAAAGCTAGCCGTGTTGCGCGAATTGTATAATCGAGGGATCACAAGAGATATCTATTCATAAAATATTTTTTAATTATTGCTTTTCATTCAAATACGGGTTTTTGTAGAATAAAAAATCTTTTTCTTTATCAAAAAAAAAAATCGCATTTTGTGCTTCGCTTTGAAAGCTTCATTTCATTACGCTATTTCTACGCTCATAGCACAAAATAGCACAGTATTTTATACTCCGAAATTTCATGGTGATGGTTTATCGAATGAGCAGCTTATACTAAACTAAAAACTCTGCTAACGATTGAACCAGAATGAAAATTTTTTGCTAAATTTTCTCCTTTTATACACTTTCCCAAGCCTACGGTAGTTGTATTGTAAAATCGAGGGATCACAAGAGATATCTATTCATAAATAAAGTTCATTCACCCTATAATCCAAACACTCCAGCTGAATACTTTTTGTTACAGAAGCAGTTGGGTGATTGCTGGCTTTTTGGTTGTGATCTTATCGGGAAAGTCGGCGATTCATGCACAAGATTCAAACACTCCAGCTGAATACTTTTTGTTACAGAACAAAAATGGTGCATCGCCTGAAAGAGCATAAAATCATATTAATTCTATCGATCACTCTTTGAGGTCAGAAAAGATTTTGATTTGAGTTCACTACAAAGCACAAAAATGGCTCACATACAAATTGGCGATTATCTCTCTTTCGAGTAAAGCTTTTCGTTTTCAACCCTTTTTACAATTGTCATCCAGTTTTTTTAGATTCTTTATTCTACTTCTACTTCTACTATTTTTTTTTATATTATTGCAATTAAGGATGAAATGCAGTTGGGTGATTGCTGGCTTTTTGGTTGTGATCTTATCGGAAAAGTCGGCGATTCATGCACAAGATGTACAAATTGAACAGGTACGGCAGGTATCCTATTACATTACTGTGTGGGTGTGTGAGGGAGTACGGGGGGGGGGTAGGTTTTTTTGTTTTTTATTTTGAAAAAAAAAAAAAAAAAAAAAAAGAGAAAAAAAAAAAAAGAGGGGAAGAAAGAGGGGGAAAAAAAAAAAAAAAAAAAAAAAAAAAAAAAATGAATCAAAAAAAATAAGACAGAGACATTTTTTCCAAAAGAGTACTGTAATTATGGTAATTACGATAGTTTGCCCCCGCCAAAACAAAAACAGAATAAATGATCAAGGGATCGTAGAATTGACTTTATTAGGTTTATATGCGCGCCGGTTTCAGCCGCTAGTGATTGAATCACCTCGGAGCCGCTGTGATTGAATCACTAGCGGCTGAAAATCACGGGGCTGCGACATATGCATTAATTCTAACTTAAATCTAGTCAAAAAGCATATCAAAACTAGGACCAACATGCTAAAATTCAATGATGAACACGTAAATGATCAATTTGCATATTAATTTGTTAACGGAACTACCTTACCATTCAATCCCTCATCAAAAATTGCCTTTTCAGGCCTCGACTCCTCTAGTAATCATCTCAATCTCGACTCCAGCCTCAATCCCAATCACATCTCCATCAAATCCATCAATCAACATTCTCCCAATCACCTCTTCATCCCCAATTCCTAGTCAAACTACAAGATCGGGCAAAAAGAAGCGCAATCGAAAGACCCCAGTGCCACGGGTGGGTCAACAACTGCCACTTAAATGTTTCCAAGATCCCTTTCAGCCAGCACTTCCATTTTTCCTTCAATTGGCCAACGACACACAGCGCAAAGAATACGTCGACTTAGAAACGAATCCCAATGTTGAAAAGGGGATCAAGAGTAAAGCTTTACAAGCATGGGCCACACGGTGTGGATCAAATGTGACGGTAAGAAGGAAAAAGAAGATTTGAGAAGAACTTTCTCTTTTAAAACACTCTGATATTAAATTTTCATGTTTTAAATTCGTGTTCCCAGATTGCCTATCAAGCTTTTCTCGCCGATCAGACGCTAATTCAAGAGAAACGACAACAACAACTTGATGCGATTGTATCGAAACTTTCAGGTACTGAAAAATTCGGGAGGGAAAATTGTAGTATGCCAGTATCAGGCCAGGAATCGAATCCTTGGACTTGGATTTCTAGCAACCAGGAACTAGCTGAACCTGTCCAGGCACAGGGTCAAGGATCTTGGTGGGCTTGACCTACAACTAATTGTAAGCCAGTATTGGACTTCTAGCCTGCTTTTAATTGACTTTGAAAAGTTTCCCTTGGAACACTGGGTAGAAAGATACTGGCCTCTGAACAATTTATGATAAAGCAAGTAAAAAGAAGCTCAACATCTATTCCACTCACTTTCCATTCAGCGTCGGCTCAAGCAATCCACGAGAAGATCAACACCGTCGTCGACAATGACAACATTTCGTCTGCAAAAGAAAATCAACAGGTGCTGCTGAAGTTTATCAATTCTGAATATACATGCGCGTTTTATAGAAAACGAGTCAGTTTCACGTTTTAGCAAACAGCTCTTGTTTTAGTATTAGAAATAGTATTGTATCCATGCTTTAGAAAACAAGAGCTGTTTGCTAAAACGTGGAGCTGAGTCGTTTTCTACAAAACGCCCATCTCTAATTCTCAAGATCTAACAAGGAAAGGTCACGAAATCAAGGTGGCTAATCGAAATGAGACCTAGACCATCCGATGCTGAATTTTACACTGATTCCGAATCTACTGTCCGTTTTTGCTAAATAGATCGAAATCGCAAGGAATTTGGCCTCTCTTATAACGCTTGTGCGCGGGAGACGAAGACATGGTTGCGTAGTGTAGCGGATAACGTGTCGGAATGCAAAGCTGGAGGTCGGCGGTTCGACTCCGCTTGAGGCTTTCTTTTTTGAACAGCTGTTTTATAGTGTTCCGTCTACTCTTCGTAGTTGCTGAATATTCAAAAATTTTGTTCAAATCTTTCTATTTAAGTGTTTAACAACAAATAATATATATAATAACAAATAGCAAACAAATAATATCATAACAAACAAAAAATTTAACAAAGATGGGAATAATCGATGAAACATGGAGATAACTGACAATTTATTTATACAGTCGTCGTCCCCCCGTCCGTCCGTCGTCCCCCCCCCCTTTATACGAACCTTATATGGAATGAAATTTTTGTTCCCGACGGAAGATAGCGTAAATTAGTGTAAATCATCCCCCCCTTATATGGAACAAAAAAATTTCCCGGTCTTATAACTATCCCCCGTTATATAGAATTCAGCATAAATATTTAGCAAACCTCGAGCTTTGCATTCCGACACGTTATCCGCTACACTACGCAACCATGTCTTCATCACCCGCGCACAAGCGTTATAAGAGAGGCCAAAAAACTTGTTTGCCAAATTCCTTGCGATTCCGATCTATTTAGCAAAAACGGATAGTAGATTCGAAATCAGCGTAAAATTCTGCATCGGATGGTCTAGGTCTCATTTCAATTAGCCACCATGATTTCGTGACCTTTTTCTTGTAAGTCTTTTTGGAAGTCTTTTTTTAAGTTCCTCGTTTTTCCTTGTAAGTCTAAAGATACCTGTTAAAATGAATGAATTCCCTTCAGTTAGCGAAAATCAAGAAGAAGGCCGATCCGTCGGTGTGGAACGAGTTGGAGACAGCCGTTGGATTGAATTGATTATGCAAAGATTCGCGAAGAATAAAGTTGTTATTTTGGAAAGCTTTGTTACCGATCGCCATATCGCTAGTTTGTAGACTTGGCGTATTCGAGTGTATTCCTCTCGGCTAATGCACATCTAAAAGGCACCAACTTTAGAAAACGACCATAATGATCTGCCATAATCGAATTCAATCAGCCCAATTTCCATTTAGATCGTTCAACGAGAAGTCCCAAGGCTTAGTTAATGGCACCAAAATTGAGCTACCGTAAATACTGTAATAGTACCCCACCCCCATAATGACAGTGCGGAGCGTTGCGTAGTCTAGCTTTGAACGAGTTTTTCTCGACACTGGTTTATGCTACAATGCACGCTTAGGTATCAAAAAATAGCCCTGAATTTCAGCTATTTTTTGATTCCAAAGACGCATTTTTTGAAAGTACGGGTGCTTTGCAAAAAATGAAATACTAAAAAACTTTTGCGACTACGTGACTGTACGAGGGGGGTGCGGTACTATTACAGTATTTACGGTAATTGAATGAAAGCGCTGGCAGGTGGACAAATAGTAGTTTTCTAATAGATTTCTTTTAGAAATTTTCGCATGCTTTAAATGTTTATGCGTTAGATCATAGAATTTTATTTTGCCTAACTCATAATAGAAGTTTTTTCTTTCAATTGTAATAGAGCAAATAGTCAAAAAAAAGAGAAAAACTACGGAAGTGAAACCGATTTTTTTGGGGTTCGATTTTTTCGTTAAACATTGCCCTTTCATATTTGATTTATCCCTTTCTCAAAGGTGTTTTATGCTAATAAAAAAAAATTTTCAGCCATTTTCGTTGAAAAGTGAGCAAGGCCCGGACTGTATGGGGGATGTGCCAAAAGTTCGCAACCAAGGCTGTTTATTTTAGAGCTAGTCAATTTTGGAACATGAGGGCGCGCGTTGTCGTGGAGGAGAACGACCTTTGACTTGAAGGGCCTATTCTTCTTTGGGGATTCATTCACCTCAAGTTGGTCAACAATGATCGAACGTTTTTTGACAACTCAATCTATTCCGAGCTCGAGTTGGTCAACAGCCGGATTGGCCTCTCTGTTCATCAGCTTTGGCGAGTTTTTGAGCAAAGGGTCATTTCTGTGATGTTAAAAAAAAACACATTTAAATTTAGCAACTGAATGGAGCGCGAGCCGCGTTTTGGGATGATGAATTGAAGAAGAACATTGTTGGTCAAATCCTGAAGAGCAAACCACCAAATTGAAACGCCGTCGTTTATGATTTTCATTTAAGCATGTTGTTAACCAAAATTGATAAAAATCACAAGAACCACATCTGCCATGGTTGAGGGAATTTAGTATTGCTGTTTTCATTTGAATTATCGGTCATGCATTTCATTCAAATCAAAAAAATTGAAGTGGTGCTTTGGAATTTTGACTCGAAATTCACTATTTGTATTTATTTCTGATTTACAGGAAAAATCAAAAAATGTAATCACAGATATGCAAAAATTATAGAATTACAAGATGAAAACGTGTGTATCGAAAACAACTACAAGAACACAAACTAACATTCACACAATAACACAAAATGTTCACAAAGAAAAAACACCCAACTAGAGCTTACTCCTAAAAGTGATTGCGGAAATGGACATGAGATGGAAACTGTTTGATGGTTGGAGTAGGCTCTTCATCATCATCCCTGTTTTCTTTATCCTTTTCGAGTACACGTTGAGCAGCTCGATCGATTGAAGCCGAGAAGTTCAATGTTTCGAAAGTATTCGGCGATAACTCCGACAAATCAAAATTTGGATGTTCGCCTGGGGCCAAACAAATCGATGATTCGTCAAGTTTCTAAAAGCAGAAACGATTTGAAGAGTAACCAATAAAAACGAACCTTGACAAGATGTATTGCACTCCCAGCCCGCGGTGTCGAGTACCCCCTTGGGTAGCCCCGACCAGACAATGCCGAGTGATATGAAGCTCTGTCTAAAATAAATTGTCAAGTTGCCGTAATTAATAGTAAGAACTAACTTGTGTTGATTGGAGAGATTGGCGTGTTAGGGGGCACGAGTGTGGGCCTCTTTTCTCCGGTCTTTAGCGTCTGTTTTCCTAAATTCGGCGTTATCCCGGCTCGACTTAACTCCATTTCGGCGATTCCCTCAACGAGTGACATCGAGCGCTTCCGCTCTAAAAAAACAAAACATAAAACAAAATAATTGCAGAGTAAAACGCACCATATCTTGGCGCCTCGATTTTCTCGTCAAAATCCAGTTCAGTGATCATCGAATGGGAAGGCGTACGTTTGATTGATGCGAGAATTGGTGTTCCTCGTGGGATTTCCGTTTGATCGGCCACTTCCACTCCATTTTCTTTTCTTCGCGGCTTCTCTGGTCGATATGGTGTTCCCATCGTCATCGTGCTCTTCTTACCGACGTAGGGAAAACAGGAAGCTAAATAAAAAACTACAGATAAAGACCATGAAAATACAAAAAAATGAAAACAAACTTAGTAATTTGAAGGTAGATCGCTTCTTCGTCGGCGATTTCATTTCTAAAAAGATATTGACTTCATAAGAAATGGACAAGGGCAACAAACTCGAGTGGAAACACGGGAATGTGCGTGATCAAAAATTGATTCTTGACTCGGAAAAAATTTGGAATATCAGATTGTCTCATGCTGAACATAAGCCGAAAAAAGTAAAGATTTTTATTGAAGCCTCGTCACAATCGATCACAGTTTAATTTTGCATACACGTATAGTACAACGAGATTCTTAATCATAGCTCATCGAATTTAACCCTGAGAATAGGATACTTCTTTTATCGGCTTTTCGAGTTGTTGAAGTCGCTCCTTTAACTGATCATATTTGTGGATTCCCAATTCCTTTTGCTAAAATGAAACATTCAGTTGCAGAAACAAGCATGGTTAACCTTTTCCAAGTCTTTGATTCGCTCGACTAATTCCTCGCAGCTGCTGTACTCCTTCATGTTCACTATCCATTTCTAAATAGCAAATCTATACGAATAGTTTTCCAACTGTACCTTAGTGTCGTCCGAATTGATGGCAGTCTCAGCCATGACCTCCAGCTGCTTACGAGCTGCTGCAAAGTCGGCTTTGAGTTTTCGGTACATTTGCGTTCCGGAAATTTTTTCCTAAAACCATTTTTTAGGATAGAAGAAACCCAAAACTACCTTTTCCAAAACATCCAATCTTTGCAAAAGTTGCTCCGGAGATTCGTATTCCTTATTGTCGTGGACCCATTTCTACAAAATAAATAAACAAGAAAAGCCAAAAAAAAACCTTGTTCTCCTTGTTAGAAATAGCATCCATGTTTTTGCTGCTGGAACCTTGGTCCAATTGCTTGCTGACTTCTTGATACTTCTTTATATAATCATTCATCTAAAGGATCTTTTTTAAATCCAGAAAATCGCTCAAACCTCAGCTTGATGCTTTACATCGGTTGCTTGAAGCTCGCGCAACCAGGCGTTCTTCTCCCGCTCACTCTTTTCCAGTGCATGCTTCAGTTCAGACATCTCATGGGAACATGCTGCAAAAGTAATTAGTGATTGTGAAATTTTAAAAGTTACCGGTGAATTGCTGCTGAAGTCGCTTCGTCTCTTCATTCATAGCAGCGATTTCTTTTTCTTGAAGACAGACCTGGAAAAATCGTGATAGTAAGACAAAAACGCATCGTACCTTATCCCTCAAAGACTTTTGTTCAGCGGTGCTTTTCTCGAGACGCTGGGATTGCTCAAAGTGTTGGCCGCGTACATCCTGCAGGCGCGATTTCAATTGTTCTTCGAAATTCTCTTTGTTAAGCAACTTCGCTTGTAAACGCTCAATTCGCGACAAAAGAGATTTCTAAAGACCAGTAAAGTTCAGATTTTTAGCACAAACCTACTTTTTCTTCCTCAAGATGTGCAATGACACTTTCCCTCCCTTGAATCTTCTCGTCTGCCAATGCTAGGTCTTTGCGAAGCTCAGAAATAGCATTTGTATCATTTGAGGGAGAAGAATCAATTGGCTCTATCGGTTGCTAAAACCAAAAATGACAAAATTATAGAAATTCATGCCTGTTGCTGCTCAAGAAGAAGAGAAATTTGTGCTCGCAGTCGCTGGTTATCAAAATGGGCTTGTTTAAGTGCTTCCTTGTCGGCATTCCACTTGCTTTCCACTTCCTCGCGTAAAGCTTGAACCATCTTTTGTCTAATCTCTTCCACACTCTCGATCTAATTAAAAAGACACGTATGGCAAAGCAGTATTTAAATAAAACTACTTCAAGTGTGCATTGGCTTGCCACGTCAGCTTGTTGAAATTTGAAGTTATCCATGGGCTCAGCCCTTTCGGGGATTTCTTTTTCTTCTTCCGGATTTTCGGTTTCCATCTCGTCAAGCACATTGAGCCGTTTTGGTTGCTGGTCGAGGATGGGATCTTCGAATGGGCAAGTTCTAAAACTTTAAGTGCTCAAATAAATACAGGGTTTTCAAAAAAACTTCCCCATTTCAACTCAAATTTCTGAAAAAGTTTAAGTGGCTCAAGGTGGTGGTCTTGGTGTCAAAGCTGTTTCTTTGGCGTCGCAATTTTTTGAATTTTTTGGAGATTTTCCTAATTACATGACCTCGCGGACATGAAATTTCTGAGTGACCATGGTCACCACTACCATGAGACTTTTGTAGTAATATTAAAACGTTGTACTGGCATCGTGGTGTCATATTAGAGTTATTTTCAGACACAGATTCATGTCCGCGAGGTCATGTAATTAGGAAAATCTCCAAAAAGTCAAAAAAATTGCGACGCCAAAAAAACACCAAGACCTTGAGTCACTTAAACTTTTTCAGAAATTTGAGTTGGAACGGGGAAGTTTTTTGAAGACCCTGTTTACGTTAGAACTAACCTTTTATCGAGAGTTTGCCAATTTCCAGCCCAGGAAGCCCTGCGGTCAACTTTGCGCACTACTTTTTCATTTGTTGATCCGGTCAAGAAAAATTTCTTGATTTCTTCGATCTTCTGCTTGTGTTCTTCTTGAGAAGCCACAGACGCTTTTTGAATCTGAAGTATAACTGAAATAAAAAAAAATCAGCGCTTACTTTTAATGCTGTCAATTCCTGTTCCCGTTCTCGCAGCAGATTTTGAAGACGCTGGATTTCGCCAACTCCCTCCAGTTTCGTTTTGTGCAGCTGGACCTTGATGCATTTGGCACTTTTGGCAAACTAAAGAGTTTTTGTTACAATTGCAAGGGTTTTAAATGCTCACTGATTTTTAAACGTTACGTTTAAAGTTGAAGTGGTTGCTTCATCATCCTTGAGGTCCACAGTGCAGATGAGAGTCACTTGAGCGTTTGTAAGCGATTGCTGAAGAAGGCGAGTGAGTTTTGATTCGCGATAGGGAACGTGCTTCCTAAAATAAATAGCTTGGAATAAAGCTACTGAAACAATTCTCACCCACTCCCAAGTGAGTTGACAACACGAACAAATGAGATAAGCGAGCGGTTGATGTTGCGTCCCTCTTCGCGACGTGTGGCTACGTTGCTTGCATCCGCTCCCTCTGAGCCCGCCAAGTCAACCTGAACAAAAAGATTAAATGATCGTAACCATTAACAAACCAGTTGGATGTGCGATAGAAGAGTGTCGCCGTCGGGTCTGGCTCCTTCAATGGCGAGGTGTAGAACGAGGTGTGAGCGGGAAGAGCGTTCGTTGAAATTTGTGACACCAGTTCGTCGTTGGGTCATTCCGATGCGCAGCACAGCATCCAAGCCTTCCAAGGCGGTAATTTGCTAAATAAACTTACTAGTTTATTGTAACTAACACACTTACATGTGATACGGCGCCCTTTAATGAAACGCATCCTTGGCCGCCTTCTTGTAGCTTGAATTCGTTGTCGCTCTTGCTGGCCAGCAAATCGTAGACGTGCTCATTATAGACTTCGAAGAGCATCGCCGAAATCAGATAGGTTCGTTGAGTTTGCTAAATGAAGAAATTAAAGCTGTTGTCATTGTCAAAAGCTTACATCTGTAAGCTTTTGAATGATGTATTTGACGATCATCTGCATAAGACCGGGTGACGCATCAGTGCCGCAGATCGTATGCGTTTTGCCACTCCCCGAACGACCATAACTAAATTGCAACATTGAAAGCAAAAAAAACAAAACTTACGCAGCAATGCACAAATTGTATCCTTCAATCACTCGATCCACTTTCTGCTTCAGGTTCGCCATGAGTTGCTCCGTCTTTGATGCCGCGTCGTATACATGGTCGAATTGCACCGTTATTCCATTGTCGGTGGTTAGGTTCTTCTCCTCCATGTTGAGCGTCCATTTTTGTTCGACGGCTGAGGATGATGGCTTCACGCGACAGGCGACCTCTATGTTTTCCATCTAAATGATAACTTTTAGTGAAGAACTTGAAAGCTTGAACATAAAGCAAGTCAAGGAAAGCTGATCAAACGCTATAAAGTATTGGTGTGTGGTAACAGGTAGGTTAAAAAAATCTCATCGAAACATCAAAAAATAAATAACCTTTTAAAGGCGTAAATTCTGATAATCGACCCGAATATAAAGGGAAACTGAATTGTTCTTTCCCTAGGAATGAAGAAACGTGAAATGGAAAAACTGGGCAAGTTTTGCCTTAAATCACATGTGATTATTGTAGATGCTTACAGTCTTCCAATTGAATAACTTTTTCAAAAGGGAATTTAATTCTATCTACATAAAGAACTTTCGGATTCCCCAATAAAACAAAAGGGGAGTGGGACAAATGCTACCTTTTTTTGCGCACCTTTTTTTCCGCACCTTGCCCATTAGCGCACCTTTTTTCGCAGTTTTAAAAAAGCTCTAAAAAGCTAATATTAACCAATTTCTATTCCAAATGTTGTTTTTCTAGGTAATTTGAGGGTTCGCATTCAAATTTTGACATAACAGAGCGTGTGGAACCAATTTGAAAGACAAAACGGCTAGATCAAATTACAGAAAATTGCCGATTTTTCTCTTTGTATAACTCCGTCCGTTCGCTTCCACAAGCTCTGATATGTCAAAATTTCGATTCTACGCCATAAAATTACCTAGAAAAACAACTTTTGGAATAGAAATTGGTTAATATTAGCTTTTAAGAGCTTTTTTAAAACGCGAAAAAAGGTGCGCTAATGGGCAAGGTGCGGAAAAAAAGGTGCGCAAATGTCCGGGTGCGCAAAAAAAGGTCGCATTTGTCCCACTCCCCTCAATAAAACAAAAGCACTTCGTGCAATACACTTATTTACCTATCTCTAAGCCGTTACTACTTTACGGTATGCGTTTTTTTAGGAAACTTTTTGAACTTGGTCTATTTCCCCGTGCAAATAACCGTCCATAGAAGCTCGATGTTCTTTGCGGTTCAGAGACTGTTCCTTTCACGAAGATTTCAAAAGAGTAAAAAAAAACTAGACGAGTAACGCGAATCTTTGAAGCTTTGAAGTGCAGCTAACCGAACTAAAATCAAAACCAAACCAAACGGCTAAAAAAACCAATCAACCAAATCATATTTTCAGATCAAAATCGATCGATGAAATCAAATTTCGAATTTTCGCTTTAAATCGGAAGTTGACTCTTTAAAGAACTTAGTTTTTCAATTGAAGTATTTATGAACAAAATCAACACAAAATAAATAACATCAAAAAGAAATTTTCGATCGAGTAATAACAAATCAAAATAGGTACTAGTCGCTTATTGTTTTCTTTCAGGGCGCGGTCCAAGTTTGCTCGCACAAGCCACATTATTTTTTGAGATCGTTTGAATATGCCGTCTAAAAGAATACGTAGAAATAGTAATTAAAAGGAAAAACCTCTTTCGTTGTGCTTGCATTCGTTTTCGCCAGAATCGAAGTCGGAGTCATCACTTGATGAAGAGTCACTCGAAGAATTTTGATCCAGTGGCATTGCTTTAAAGGCATGATTGAAATCAGTTCCGGGCGTTCGCTTTTAATTCTGAATTGGTATTTAATAGAAGTTTGATAAATAAAAAACCTTTTGAACCAATCTTTGCTGAACTTCAGTCGACCTCGTACTATTTGTGTAGGTTGGTAATCGAACAAAGATTCTGTGTCATTGCAACGGTGACAGACTCATTGATAGCCACGTACTACCAACCTAAATCGGTATAATCATAATCATGAAGTGCGTGTATTTAAAAAAACCTGCAGAAACAAACATCTGGTGTCTGTAGTAACCTGGTGCTTGTCGATTTCAATTATTGGATATTCTTTTCACCACGATAATGAACGAACCCTAAAACCAAAAAGGCTTCCATTTGGTCCAAGATAATGGGTAGATCTATTTGATTAAAAAGCACCATTTATAGACGGTATTAAACCCTCAACAGCCTCATCGAGGTGCTTGCTAGCTTCGTGCTTCATCGGTTTTACAAGAGCCTTCGGCGCATCTGGTGGAACTAAAACCCAATTGCTGGACAGCATTAAACGCAATATTAACTGCCAAATCCATCCACTTGGCTAATATCATGGTGTCAAGACAAGATTTCACAATCTATTACTTGATTATAAAGCAGTGTTAAAAGATAATCATGACGGTAAGCTCTTCGATGTTGTTCACAACAATAGGCTTGCCGAACTTGGTTTCCACTAATTTAATCATATCTTCAAGTGATATGATTAAATGATGATATGCCTAAAACAAAAAATTCTTCAATTAATTGTATTATTTTACTTAAATAATGAGGGTTGGATGAATGCGTTGCTCCAAAAAAGACGCGTGCTTTTGACATGATTCCTTCAGCAAGAATTATCACCGAAGTTGTACCATCTTCAGTTTCTTCATCCTACAAGCAAAACTGAACTATAATATTTAATTGCTTTCGCTTTTTTTTTCTCACAATCGCTTTCTCTAGAAAGTTGTGAAGGATTGGTTTTGTCCCACTACATAGCACACAAAGTAACACTTTCAGGCTTGTTAAAGCAAATCAAAGATTTGGGTGAAGGGGGATTTCTTGGCGATGTCCCCATTTCATGAAAAGGGGAAAAGAAAAACGAAAAGTGGAAAAGAAAAGAAAATGTTGAATGGGGAATGTGAAATGGGAATTGAGAAGGAGACAGTCAGAAAAGGGGGGCAAGTGAAGGGGAAAGGGGGACTGTAAATGTGACGTCGCAGCTCACCCCACCCTCTCCCCTGTACATCCACATGCTCACACTATCATTGTCATCCTTATAGTTTTTTGTTGTTTTGTGATTTGTGATCTTGTTCTGCTAAATGCAATTCTAAAATAAACAAAAATTGCAGCTTTTTCCGAGGAAAATTTACTCGATTTTTAATTTCTAGCATCAACAGTTTACCAAAAGAAAGATTTTTTGTTTTTTTTTGTTTTTTTTTTCTAATCCTTTCAATTATTTTATTCCAGTCATCTTACATTAATTGAATATCTTTCAAGTTTTATCTCTATTTTGGTTGGATTGGGCATCTCTATTTTTAAAAAGTTCAAGCTATTGTGGAGAACGTGATCAGCTGGCTCTTGCAACTCTTTCACCCGTCTTTTACCCTGGTTATCCAAAATCCCTCTCAGCTCAACAAAAATGCTTATCTGATAGTTCGCATGTTCATTGTATTTCGATTTTTACATTGAATATCTTTTGGTACAAATGTCTACATGATGGTGCAGATCAAAGCATGCTCTTGCAAGTTAATCTATTCTTTGAGTTAATCTATTCTAATCTATTCTTAGATTCATTCGCTTTTCCATTTCCAGTAAGAATAAAATCTCTAAGCTAACAAAAATTGTATCTATCTGCCAACCAAGTAGATCTACAAGTACCTCTTTGCTCACCAAGTACTAGGTTCAATCCTTCGTTCAACCCTTTTTTGCACTCCTACACCCGAATTTTGTTTACTCCTCGTTCATATCTGATTGAGGGTAGTTGGGAGGAGGTTCAAGGAGTGAGGGGAAGGCCTTGGAGATTGGGGATTGATTGGAGTGTGTCAAAAGGTTGCACGGAAGGGGGTTCAGCCTCTCAGCCTTTGCTCCTTTCTAAGACCTGTCCTCCCCTTTCCTATCCATTCTCATTTCCTCCAATAGACTCGAAGAGCGCACAAAATTTCCCTCATGTGATACGTGATATTTCGATCTCTCTTTCTTGATTAACTAGGCTAATTTGTCTGAAATTTTTTTTTATTTGACTGTGCTATGAGATTTATACACTGGGTTAAAAAAAATGTAGTAAATTCACTCAAATTTTGATCTTGAACTAAACAAGTCTTGCAATTTCGTTAGAATTTATCATGTACTGTTGTAATACTGTTTTTTCTGTACAAGTATTTCAAAATTTCAAAATCTACCTTTTGCTAAACCAAACACACTAAACCCGAATTGTACTTTGTGCTCTAAGAAACGCACAAAAGGCACAAAGGCTTTCTGGTACAAAAGCTCTCTGGCACAAAGGCTTTCTGGCACAAAAGCTCATCCCTCTATTGAGTGTGCCAAAATACAAACGTTTCCGTGAGCGCACAAAGTACAATTTTTCTGTAAACGTTTGCTCTCTGGTACGAGATCATTCTAATAGTAAGCCCTGTCGAGTGCACCAGAAGAAGCGCGTTTCGGAACACAAAGTACCCAAAGATTGACTTTTGACATTGTCTGCAATAGAGATCTATAAGAACCGGGGGGGACAATGGAGGGAAAAATCGAGGGGAGAAAAACATTTTATGAATGAAAGACGAGGGTGAAGAGGGAGGCAATCTTGGATTCGATCTCACCCCACTCCACTTGTTTTCACCTCGTTTCCCATTGAACTGTAGTCATATGAGCAGAAAGTGCCCTCATCTTTGCCATTCTCTAAAATTTACAAAAATAATTGACTGATTGAATTTGGCCTCAATTTTTCCCTGATTTTAAAATGAAACCCCGTCGCCTTGCGCCCACCCTTTTACCCGATCCACAGAATTTGCTCGTAAGTTGGGTTTTTTTTTGCTTTTGAAATGTACAATAAGTAAAGTGTTGAGATAAAATGCATAATAGAGAACTGCTTTGTTTTGAATTTTCTCATTTCTTGTGCCTTCAGCCGACATATTCAATATTCAGCCGACAGTACGAAAGCTCATTACAGTATCCCAGTTACCGTATTTCTTCGAATAGAAGACCGGGTAAGGAGTATCATCGCGTACTCCTGCGTAGCAGCCCTTTTTAAAATTTCTTTTCTGCATAAAAGCTTTCAATCAAGTGCTATAGAGCTGGAAAATGGCTCAAAAATCTGTCAGCTCATGTCGTATTTTTTAGTCATTTTCCAGCTCTATAGCACTTCATTGAAAGCTTTTATGCAGAAAAGAAATTTTAGAAAGGGCTGCTACGCAGGAGTACGCGATGATACTCTTTACCCGGTCTTCTATTCGAAGAAATACGGTATTGCTTATCAACTAAAGTTAATGCAGAATAGAAAACAGTTTACAGTAGAAAATGGGAAAATAGGATAAAGACTGATTTCTATTAGGCACTAACCAATAAGCAAATCCTTTTCTTCAATTCGGTATACTGTAATGAGATATACTGTAATGAGGTATACTGTAATGAGGCTAGAAATTGGTACTTTACAATGTCTTGGGTAAATATTTTAACTCTTTTAAAGAATAACTCGTATTTTTCAGAATTCCCTCGGCATCATGGACATTCTGGGTCCATTCGAGGAGCCTGACGTGCGAATATTGATGCCCGGATCGAGTGCGGCGCTTGAGGTAAGTCTCGAAAGTTTACCGCAAATACAATTCTTACTAGTACAACTTACTGCAATCTAAATTGTCTCCAAAAAATAGAATCTCTTATCAATAGATGTAATTTTGTGCTCTTATGCGATTCTCTTTGCACAGAAAAAAAAATCGAAAAACAAGTGTGTTGTAATGTATTTTCAAAGAGAAAAAAAAGCAAAAAGGGGACAATTTTCGCACAGTTTCCCTTGGTGGATTTTCTTTTCGGGGGCAAAAAAAACAATCATTCATCACACACATTGAATCGATTGAATTTTCAGCTAATCAATCTAATAGTATAATATTTACTAGAGCAGCGATAGCAGCATCGCATAAAGAGTCAGCGATGAGCTTCTGGGTTCGTTTTTGATGCGTTAGATTCGAAAGTGCATTTGTGAACCAACTTTCAAAGATTTTAGGCCTAAGCTAGCCAAAAATCTTTAAATCCATCCTTTTCTTGCAGAGTTCGGAGACGGATGAGGATTTGAGCGAGTCAGGGAAACGAAAATATCGATCGTTCACCATCATGCAAAAAGCCGGATTTCAGCATACGGAGTTCGTTTAGAAGTCTAGATCAATTTACAATTAGATAGCAATAATCTACCTAGTAAATAGTCCAAAATATGTCTGATTCGATGCAAGATTTCACTTGTAGATATGTGCGAATCATGCTTCATTTGTGCAACGCAGAGTTGGTGATCTCGAGCGCGTTTATGGGTGAGATATAAGAAATATTCTAATAAAAGTACGATACTTTTGCTATGTTTCAATAAAATTCCGTTTCAGCTCACGGAATGTGGTGTCCCGGTTTCCCAGACGTGGCCGAGTATCAATCAACATGCCATATGAATGCTGTCGGAGCTTTGGTTGGGATCTTTGCCGCTTTGATAGGCATTGGAGCCGTGAATCGGTAAAGATCATCTCAAATTTCAAAGCATAAACAAATCATTCCAGATTTCGATGGAGAACAGTGTTGGTTTTTGGGTCACGTTTGGTACTATAAAATGCCGGTTTTGTAATAGCATTGCGGTAAATTTCAGCATAATCGCCTGGCTAGTTATGTGTATCATTGGGGCTGTTGGCAATCTTTTGGCCGTGATCACCGACGGGATTTGGCTTGATCATCTATCGAAAATGAAGGTGATATCGAAAAATAGCTAAACCAGAACCAGAACAAATTGTTCTTGACATTGTTAATTGATTCTTAAAGTATTTCTAGGAAAGAACGGCTCTCGCTTCGGGTCTTTCCGGGCTAATGTTGCTTTCTTCGGTGGCAGTCGGAGTGTGCTTCATTTTGACGGCTGTCATGATTTGTCACTATTGGAACTCGAATTCTCCCCGATATCAACCTGTCGGAAAATTCTCAGTGAGTTAAGCTGGGTTTTACACGATGAATTTCGAATTCCAGAAAAGATCTCGCTCGGTTCGACGCCGGCTCACTCGATTATCAAGTGGACAAGAAAGGAAACGGATACAGGTTTGAAAATTTAGGAAAACTTGAATCTAATTAATTTAGGACAAAGCAATCAAAGGAGCTCACATCGTTTGACCATCTCCTCGCCACAAAAATCAAATCTCATTCATTGCCACTGCCAAATAACCAGTCTAGGAATTTTACCCCCTTGTACAGTTTCCTGAAATCGGGTTTACTAAAGTGAAATTTTAATTTAATAAATTTTCTTATTTTGGCAGGATTTTCTGATGAGATCTTTAAAACAATTCATTTTCATAATAACAAAAGTAACCGAATACAAATAACATAGAAATTACATCAAAAATACCCAATATCACAATACGTACTTTTACCGCGTCACCACTCCAGTTGCCTCTTGAGCACGTCGAATGGCAGCACGCTAAAGTGAAAAATTGACAACTTGTTATCTTTTACTATCATTATACAAATTTTAACTCTAATTTCAGTTAAATGCTAAAACCCAGAAACCCGAGCTAGATCTACCGATACTTTCGTAATAATCCAAACTAGTGTTTTAAAAAAAAACAGTAGAAAACGAACCTTTCCAACCATAGCAGTAAAACCAGTCTTGATGGCTGTAACCGAACAACGAGAATTACAAGACTGACATTGTAGGAAGAACAATCGAGTCTCCTATAAAAATGAAGATTTAAATACATAATTATCCAAAGCATATGTAAAAGACGATAAAACTCACCCTAACAAGCTTTGTGTCAGCTGATTTGCAAGTGTGACAAAACACATACTCTTCTAAACAATAATATATCTAAAAGGGACAAAACCTTAAAACTTACTGATATATTTGCGAAGTACACTTTCCAAATGTTTTTGCTGGAATTTGCCTTTTAAAATGAGGCAGTTGTTTCCATCGATCGAGCCAGTGGTTCCCAACTCGGCTAGCAAGAACTAAAACAAGTATTGAATAAGTAAAACATTTATGGCGTACCTGCAAAACGTGTTTGTTGTCTCGTTTCAACACGCGGCAAATATCGATGAAGTTGGAGAAGGCCGTTTTCTTGGATCCAGCTCGTTGAACCTAAACTCAAAATCAAGAAAAAAAATTGTCTACGCCACATAAAATGAAGCAATTCAAAACAAAGTTTACAACTTGTTGTGAGAGCACACTTGATGGCTGTTAAATAAAAAATCTTACTCACCTCTGGTGGTTTCATTGCAAACTTCTTTTTTTCACCGGCCAATTCAGGGTTTTTCTCTCTCATGACGTTGAAGACCAGTGTGAGCATTTCCGGGTAGGTGTAATCGGGCCATGCTCCTTTGGCGTCAAGCAAGTTGCTAGCACCAATTCCGATATCTAAAACTCTTGTACAATACCAACAAAAAAAGCTAAATTATCGGAAAAAAAATAACAAATGCTCATCTAAACTTACTGAGGTCATCGGTTCCGACTTTCTCCGCAGCCGCTGTTTCATCCAAAAGTGCTTTGTCCTTCTTCTTCGGCTTCTTCTTTGGGCCAAGTTGCAAGTCATCTAAATTAATGTCATTCTATCAAACATAAAATTAAATCTATACCTATGTTATCAGCAATCGCAGCAACATTCTCCTCATCGGCTGGCTCATCGTCCAATTTAAGGAGCTTCTTCACTTTCTTCTTCTTGCCCAAGTTCAGCTCAAGATCATCGTCGGCCATTGGTTCTATCTGGAATTTTAAAATTTAATACTCTATCACTAAAAAACAATTATCACTCAACAAAGAAGGGACGAAAGTAAAGCAATATGAATAAGCAAAGTATTATTTTGGTAGCGTAGCTCCGTTGGCCTCGGCAGTTATCATTTGATGTTCCGCGAATCGAGCCGATAATCGTTGTGACATTTTGAGAAATTTATCCAAGCAATTCGTCGTACATCGCGTCTCAGTGTCCGAAACAGAGCTCGTCGTCATATCATTGATGCACGCGCCAAAACATTGCTCGGTGACCACGTTGTACTGTTTGAGGAAGTCGCGGAATGTCGAAATTTCGGCTTCACTCATCGGCTCTAAAAATTAATAATAGAAATGTTCGAATTGGATGCTTTACGAAAAAATAATGAAGTACAACGGCACAAATGCATTAAACTCAAGGCTTTAGTCCCATAGCTATCCGTTTGATCTTTTACGCTTAAAGTAGCAAGACACAAGTTAAGCTTTAGAGCTAAAGCTAAAACACGAACTAGCTTGCAACTTGAAAATGTGCGGATGTTATAAATGATCTTTTAAGTTTACCGAATATCTCAAAGGGAAGGGCTTTCGAAAGAGATATCCATCTAAGTTAAATTGAACTATAAATTAAACATCCTTTCTTTCAGCTAATTGTAAGTACAATTGTATAAAAAGAACACTATCTGCAAATTGATTCATCATCGTCATTTTCTGACTGTCTAACCCGTTTTAAAGCTGTCGAAGGATGAGTTGGGCGTGTTTTAAAAATAACGCCACTATTCCAACTGCACAGTATTATATTAAGGCTTACAAGCATAAATGGCTCAATATAAAACCAAACATTGCATAGCAGAAAGGGGTTATGTCGTCAGAAAAATAGTGGTATCGCAGGTCTTGGTTGTCTGACGTTAATAGTACATTCAAGGTGCCATTATCGTTGCGAAAAGAAACGCCGGGAAACAGGAAAAGATTACCTCTCGTAAGCTCACAGTTTTGTTGCTTTTGTTTTGTTCTATACCTTTTGTTTCCTATTGTTTTTAATAGCATCGATGTTTTAATTGTTTTATTTAATTGATTTTAATTGTTTTATTTAGAGACGTGGACTGGTTGCGCACCATTGAAGAACCAAAACGCATGAATTTGACTGGAAACATCGTGAGAACTTTTTTGTGATTCATGTGATTTATCAAAACATGTTTTTAGGTCAGCTTTTTGGAAGAAGCTTCGGTGAAAGTTCATCATCAATCGCCGTCTATCAACACCCTTGGAGAACGGGGCCCAGACAATGTTTGTTTGCGTGTTTTGGTAAATAATTATTTCTTTTTAGAAACCTTTCTTTGCCATCGAATGCATAATGTCCAAATACAGGGGTGTAGGACACGGATTGAACAAGAAGGTCGCCAAAATCAATGCTGTGCACGACTTGCTGAAGCAAGTGATCGAAATTGGCGGCGAGAGACCATATGGGATACAGGGGAATACAAAGAAAGAACGCTTGGAGTTTATGTAAGTTTATTTATGGTTTAAATCACCATTTTGAACTTTCAGCAAAAGATTGTACGAAAATTCAATGAAGCAATTTGGAACGGCGGTCGCTTTACCCCCAGTGGATGTCATAAGTCCGGCGTCAACTTCACCTACAACATCTGCAGCAAACTATGTGGGGCTGCTTCAAGAATAGTATGTATTTAGATATTTAATTCAATCTAAGTTATGTATTTAAACACTTTATTTTGTGTTTAGTTGCCAAAAGAATAAAATTCCTTCTCCCAGTTACGAATGTGACGAGCGTGGCCCCGACAACATGAAAGTTTTTAAACACACGTGCAAGGTTAGAATTTCTTCTTGTTGCAAACAAAATAAACCTTTAGGTGATAAATCAAACAGCAGAGAGTGAGGACAAGACAAAGAAGAAATCGAAGAATGATGCGGCACGCAAGATGTACGAGCTCTTGCGAGAAGTAATTTAATTTCTATGATTTTTCTAAAATTAATTTAGAGTGTACAAGAAATGGGCAAAGATTCGTTGAGTACCGAAGTCATTAATGATGAAGACGAAACTTCGGAGAACTATCTGAACGAAAAAACTTCAAAGGACGATTTCTCTTTGGACAAAGTAAAATTTTATTTTATTTTTGTATCGAACCCTTAAACTTTTTTAGATTGATGCAATCGACGAGTTTAAAGAATTATTGAAGACGTCAAAGGTGTTTTCTACACCGAAATATGAGTTTAAAGATGTTTTACAATTGGATAGTGCTGGTTAGTGGCTTTTATAAAAGAGACTATATAAGAAAGAAGTGTTAGATCAGTAGATTCAGTAACTTCATTTTTATGAATTTTGATAACATTAATTTAGAGTACAAGAAATGAGGGGATTGAGTTGATCGTTGTTATATCATGATATTATAACACCAAATAGTGCTTAAAGTTTAGGAAACCACCAAACAATGCTCAAAATGACGATGAGACTTCCCGGAGAAGCGATCGAATCTGCGTTTTGTTATCCCGGATTTGGACAAACCATGACACAAGCTCATCTGATGGCCGCTAACCATGCTGTTTTACTATTGAAGACTTACAGCAATTGTGTAAATTTGCTTGTTGGAGAAACTAATCTAATCTCATTGTGATATGTGTTAATCGGTTTGATGTATGCGTAAATAAATTTAACTGTATATTGCTGTTTTATAGTTTTTTTTACTTTTCTTTTTGTTTTGCAGTAAATCGTTTAATGAAGCACAACGTATCGTTTTAAAGTTTATTTTCTTCTCGTTCCTTTCTTTGTCGTGGATATTTTGCGCTAAATCTACCGTATTCCAAAAGTGATGACAAAAGCAAAGTTCTTGGAACTGGCTTTCGGTTGAACACTTATTTTTTTAAGTGATTCAAAAGTTAAATTTTATCCGCATCTGACTGAAATTAGTTCTTTGGGTTTATAATTGACATTGCTAGTGCAATTAAAACGCATTCTAGGAAAGTTATCAAATCTCTTTCCATCGACTTCTTATTTTGCTGAAAAGCCAATCAATTTTGTATTTAGTTCAAGAAAGATGACTGAAGCTTTGGCGCAAATCGGAGTATACGTAACTATTTTCCATTCTGCTTTCAATTTTGTAATTTTAGGATCCTGTTAGGAGCAGTCCATCTACTTCAACGGACACCGTTCTTCCAGCGCTCCCCTTGAAAGAAGTTACCGAAGAAGACGATTATGTTAAGGTGAGAATTTTGTATTTGACATCAAAATGTAATGCTAAACATTTAGTTCAAAAAGATCGAACGACAACTCGAGCATCTGGATGTGATTGAGGACTACATTAAGCTTGAAACACGAAATCTCGAGAAAGAACTCCTCCATGCACAAGAAGAGGTAAGATTTGCGCTTTGTTAAGTTTCTTTATTGTTTCCAACCTCCATTTGTTGTCTTTTGTTTGAAAAAATTGCAAAGAAAAGCTATCCTTGGAGGAAAATTGAAATTCGCTAATGACAAGCCCTAAAGCTCTTTGTTTTAACGGCTCACATATGCGATAACATTTAAAAAGTGCTTATTGATTTACTTTTATCTATTTTGTGAATTAAAAGTGTTGTTATATTTAAGGTCAAGCGAATCCAATCGGTGCCACTTGTTATCGGACAATTCCTTGAGGCCGTCGATCAGGATCACGCTATTGTCGGCTCTACGACAGGTTTATAATACGCTAATTTATACTAAAGCTGTTTTATTTTAGGATCAAATTACTTTGTGCGTGTTTTATCAATTCTTGATCGGGAGCTCCTAAAGCCGGGATGTTCTGTTGCGCTGCACAAATACAGCAACGCCCTCGTCGATGTACTTCCTCCTGAGGCTGACTCGAGCATTCAAATGTTGCGCCCCGATGAGAAGGTAGTCTTTTAGTTTATCGTAAAGAAACTTTCAGCTTTTTTCAGCCTGATGTTTCATATGCGGATATTGGTGGCCTTGACATGCAAAAGCAGGAGATGAGGGAAGCAGTCGAACTTCCTCTGACCCATGGAGAGCTCTATGCCCAGGTTTTATTAATTTGCAGGCAAAGTAAATGTGAGTTTAGATTGGAATTGATCCACCACGAGGAGTGCTGATGTATGGTCCACCAGGTTGCGGAAAAACCATGTTGGCTAAGGCATGTTTTTTGTTTTGTATTTTTGCAACAATTTTTTTAGGCTGTCGCTGCACACACTTCCGCATCTTTTATTCGCGTTGTTGGCTCCGAGTTTGTCCAGAAATATCTTGGAGAAGGTAATTTTGCATACGCAACTTTGTTAGACTCCATTTGTTTTAGGTCCGCGAATGGTCCGTGATGTTTTCCGTCTCGCAAAAGAAAATTCGCCATCCATTATCTTCATTGATGAAATTGATGCCATTGCAACCAAGCGTTTTGATGCTCAAACTGGTGCCGATCGTGAAGTTCAACGTATTCTACTCGAGCTTCTCAATCAAATGGATGGCTTTGATCAAACTACGAATGTCAAGGTTCGTTTTTGTCATTTATTAAAAAAACATTAATCATTTAAGGTGATTATGGCTACAAATCGACAGGATACTTTGGACCCTGCTTTGTTGCGTCCTGGTCGTTTGGATCGAAAGATTGAATTCCCATTGCCCGATCGCAGACAGAAACGTCTCGTTTTCTCGACAATCACCTCAAAAATGAATCTGGCAGACGATGTCGACCTTGAAGATTTTGTGGCACGACCGGACAAAATTTCCGGAGCCGATATCAATGCAATTTGTCAAGAGGTATCACTTTTCAAGTATTGTGATTAAGAATGGATGTTCAAATATTTCCTCCAGAATACAAGTACTTTGGGACATCTTTAAATAATTTTATTTTAGGCTGGAATGCACGCGGTTCGGGAAAATCGTTACGTCGTCCTTACGAAGGATTTCGATAAAGCCTACAAAAATGTGATTCGAAAGGATCAAAACGACTTCGAGTTTTACAAATAAGTATGCTTTGGGCACTGTGCCATAATTTAAAGATGTTTGCTGTAAAGTGTAAATTCTCTATAAGTGTTTTTTGTGATACTTTGTTGTGTTCTTTTTATTTATTGGTGAAAGTAAAGTTCAGCATTCATAAAAAATGCACACGGAATATATCAAGTTTAGTTTCTAGTCCCTTGAGATTTGGAAGAGGCCGTTGTTGGTTGTTTTGTTTCATGGTGACGATCACGATCCAAATAGTTACACGTATTCATAATTTGTTGTTTGACGAGTTTGAGCTCATCGCTTGTCAGATAATCACTAATTAGATCAAAATCCCCATCATCGACAAAGGTTGTCGAAACGTTTGTTTTTTGCTGAAATGACTTGGGTTTCAATGGCATTTTGGACTTACCCCAAGAAATATGATGGGCTCTTTGGTGTTTGGATCGATTTCCACATCTCGGCGTTTTCTCACAACAACCAAAACGTGCTAGAATTGATATCATGTTTAGTTATGTCTTTATTGGCATACCTCATCCAAAGAAGCTTCCCGTTTTGCTGGTTGTTGTGGTTGATGTTCTTCCGATGAACTTGATGAAGGTGAGGAGGAACCCGGTTGGGCATTTGTTTCCCATTCGTTGTCAGGCTTTAGATTTAACGATTAAACACATTGTTAATATTTTTAATACTTTATCAAATGGAATATCCAGTACCTACCTTGCAGACGATTTTCCTTTTTGGCGCATTCCCTTTCCGATAAATGACCCATTGTGAGGAAATGATGAATAGGAGAAATGTCAGGAAAAGCGTTCGCATTTTTCGTCCAGAAAAATAAGCGAAATTCTTAATTTGAAAATGAAACTTCAGAGAAATTGATTTTAAAGAAAAACGCAGCTTTGATTTTGAGGAGACATTTTAAACGTTTGGAAATATTTTACTTTTAGCATTGATTGCCTTTTGTAACGCAATCAATGCTAAAACCTGCTTTTGCCTACTTTTGAAAATTACCGTAATCTTGCTTCTCATTTTTTCATCCAATCTATCTACTTTTTTTAGGTCTTACGCTATCTTTTGTGAACCAACACAAAAACGGATCAAAAGTCGATAGATTGGATAAAATCTGGAGGCAAGTTTACGGTAGCTTTTTGAAAGTAGACAGGTTTTAGAAAATGCATCATTCGAAAAGGATAGAGCCTCATTTAAATGATTCGTTTGATTAGTTTCAATTCGCAAATATAGAGAATTTTCAAGAGTACACGAAAAAGTGATGCGTTTTCGAGGTAAAATCGGTGATGAGAGAAAATCGGCGATTGACTTTGCCCGAAATCGATGTAAAAACTACCGTAAAAGTTAGGAAATTTTGAACAAGAAAAAGGGAAAATAAAAAGAGATGGACTGTCTTTTCTTTTTTTTTTTCTCCTCTTTTCTCAAAACTAACACCATAATCGGTGTTAAGTCGACGGGGATGGGAAAAAAAGAGAAAAGAAAAGAAAAGAAAAGAAAAGAAAAGAAAAGAAAAGAAAAAGAAAAGAAAGAAAGAAAAGAAAAGAAAAAGAAGAAAATCGAGGAGACTTTTCTCTTCTTTCCTCCTCCCACCTGAGTTTCGTTTAAAGAGAATCTTCATTGTTGTGTCGGTGGATTTTCAAAATGACGAATTTTATTTTTTATGGGGAAAATCAATCGATTGAATGTGTGTGTTGAATTTTGGGTAGTTTCAAAGTAAATTTGATGAAAAGTACGTATGAGTACAGTGTGCAAACAAGGGAAAGCCACCGAGTCAAGCTGGCCTTTTGACTCGACACTCAGGTTTAATTACCCAAGTTTGAGAAATGCGTGAAGTCATCTCGATCCACGTCGGACAAGCCGGAGTTCAAATCGGTAGCTTTACTGCCTCGAGTATGGAATTCAGCCTGATGGAAAGATGCCATCGGATCAGAAGTCGGATCAGAAGAAGACCACTCGTTCACCACATTCTTCAGCGAGATCGGTGCCGGACGTTACGTTCCTCGAGCAATCATAGTCGATTTGGAACCAACTGTTTTCGACGAGACTCGCACCGGAACCTACAAGCAACTCTTCAAATGATCACCGGCAAGGAGGACGCTGCCAACAATTATGCCCGAGGAAACTACACCATTGGAAAAGAGATCATCGAGTCTATCTTATAGAGTTGGCAATGAAGATCTCGAATCCGTTTTTAGTTTTTGCAGAACGCTTCGCAAACGCGAAATATTTGGCATAGAAAAATCAGCTTGAATTTCGAGCTCCTTATGAGGCCGTCACACGCTAAATAGTTGTTTCGGTGGTCTAGTAGATAGTGGGCTAGACTACCGATCCAATTACATTTTTGTCACTCAAGTTCGAGTCCCCACTCTCGGCAAAATTTTTTCGCTTTTTTTTATAAAACTGTTTCCTTACGTATTTGCATTGAATTATGGAGTATATATGTTACGTCCGAATCTGAGGAGACGTCCATCTCTGATCCGGACGTCCGAATCTGAGGAGATTCATCCTCCTCTGAAACGGACGTCCGACTCAGAGATGGACGTCCGACTCTGAGTCGGACGTCCGTTTCGGAGGAGAATGAATCTCTTCAGATTCGGACGTCCGGATCGGAGATGGACGTCTCCTCAGATTCGGACGTAACACAGCTTTCTGTAACTTCAACAAATAAACAAAAGTTGAAACCTTCCAAAGGTAGAATCAATAGATAAGTATTGAAAAATTTAACATTTTTTGTTACATTTCTAAAAGTTGTGTGCTGTGTGCTGTGTGCATCCGTGTGCATAAAATTCATCAAATTCAACTCTGTTATTCATTGAAAATACGTAGGAAAAAAGTCTTTTAAAAAATCGAATAAATTTTGGCGAGAGTGGGACTCGAACTTTGGGGGACAAAAATGGAATAGGTTCGGTATTCTAGCAGACTGTTGAGAGAGCGTGTGACGGTTTCTTAAGGAATCCCGAGATTTCGATTTTCTATGCCAGATATTTCGCGTTTGCAAAGGATTCTGCAAAAGCTAAAAACGGTTTCGAGATTCCATGACCAGCTCTAGAAGATGGGTTTGGTCTCGAGTCAAAAGTCAAGTGAAAGTGGCCAGCTTGACTCTGCCTTTCCCTTGAAAGTTTGAGCTCAATAACATGAAGAATTTGAAAAACTATTCTTTAATCTTTTCAAAGTCTGAAGGGATTACGGTATTGGCGAGCTTTTAGAAAGCTTTTTATAACTAAATTTTCAAAAAGTCTCTCATACAATTTAATGTATTGTTTTATGTGCATTGGATTACGGTGTGGATTACGGTAGGGTTAATAAAAATCTAAGACTTCCAGGTCAAGCGGGTGAGAACTATAAAAAACAGGTCAAAACATCCTAAAAATAAGTTTAATCAGGCTTCTGGCTTCTTGAAGTAACCCTGAAATACGGTATTGTATTAGGTTGTTAACAATCGTTGACTGTTAACAATCGTTGACTGTTAACAATCGTTGACTGTTAACAATCGTTGACTGTTAACAATCGTTGACTGTTAACAATCGTTGCTAAACTTATTGTTATGAGAAAAGCTTTTAAAACATGTCTTTCTGTATTTAAAAGTACGTTATCTTGCGCATATTTCGAATCTTTTTAAACGTATAATTTCTTATTTTTAAGAGCTTTTTTCTTGCTTTAGATAACTGACTTGAAACATCAAGTTCGCGTCTGTCTACTTTACGACTTCAGCTTTAGATGACCGGCTTCAAACATCAAGTTCGCGTCTGCTTACTTCACCACTTCAAACTGGGCAAAACAGTCGCGAAATCCCATCGAGATTTGGTCAAAGCATTTGGGAATGATGTATTGTCCGAAAGCCGATGCCGAGCCTGGTTCCGACGCTTTCGGAATGGTGATGAAAGTCTTGAGGATGATGAACACTCTCGTCGATCTCAAGCGGTAGACAACGTTATTTTGAGGGCTACAATCGAACCGGATCCATGTCAAACGACGCTCGAACTTGCTCAACAGTTTCTATGTTCAAATTCTACCATTGATGAGCATCTCCACGCCATTGGAAAGACGATCAGATGCGGGAAATAGCTTCCTCACAAGTTAAGCTCGTTTATATCCGAACAACCTAATAGCAAAGCTTTCAAAGAAAAACAGGACTACAAATATTGTTGTAGGGATTTCAAAAGCTGTATTTCATTTGACTTCCCCGGGTCGCTCTTTACCACTTTTGCCCTCAACGGGGAAATTGAGGGGGATGAGCGAATCGAAGGAGAAGAAGTGGAAGAAGAATTGAGAGAAGAATTGAGAGATGGTGCAGAGCAGTCTGATTGTTTGTATTCGAATCGGCGATCATTGCCTATTCTCTTCTTTTCTTCCTTCTTTATTTTTTTTTGGTCTCGTGAGATCGTCTTTTGAATCGGTGTGACTCTCTCCAAAAAGGATTCCCTTCTTCGTCTTTTCGGAGAACAATAAAGGTTTCGGCTTCTCAAAACAATGACCCCAAAGACGAGGGGGAAAAAAATCCCCCTCAATTGCGGCTTCTCATTTCTCTTGAGCGTAAAAAATCCGAAACGAAATCAAAGTGAAGCATATTAGAGGACCTATTTGTTTTCTTTTTTCCGGAAAGTGTACCCAAATTTGGAACCTCATGGGTTTGCAAAGATAATTTCAGAAAAAAAGTCTTTCGCTTTCGCTTTAAGCTTTCGATTACGGTAGAGTGTAGTGTCTTGTAGGGTCCAGGAAACTCTTCAAGGCTTAGATTACGGTAACTCTTTGAGAAATTAATTACGGTAGTCTTTAAAATGAACTACAGTACATAATCTGATGGATGGATAATCTTTGACTTGTTTCAAGATAGAGTCAGTTTTGAGAACCTAAAATATTCTATATAAAAGAGCTGTGCCTGTCTGTCTCTACTCCTCCGTGACCAGTGAGTCGTTTCTAATTATTTATAATTAGTTTGGCTTAGCTCTCCATGTTGTTGTGCAACATGTTTTGAAATTTTTAAAAAACCAAAAGTGTCGACGCGTGCGGGAGTCGAACTCGGGTTGTGTGAGCTAGAGACAGCTAGAGACAACTGCACTCGCAGTGCACCATCGGTTATAGAGCACGACCGAGTGGTTAACGCGCACGTTTCTGAAATGAGGTCGCATGTTCGACTCGAATTGCCGCCGAGAGGTCGCATGTTCGACTCCTCTCGGCGGCAATTCTTTTGCCAAATTTTTTTTTGCTGGTTATAGTATAGTTTCAAGTTTGGCTGATTTTCATGTACCGGCCGCACTCATCGGGAAAACTCATCGGGAAAAGAAGTGGCTTAAAGAGGCGTGATTGAGGCCACTTGAGATGATCTTGAGATGATCATTCACGCCTCTCCATCTCTCTTTTGTCCCTTTTTGGACATTACGATCGGATTGTACTTGTTCAATTGAAAGGCTGTTAGAAATTAACTCTAATCAGTCAAATAGTCAGTCAAATTTTTAGCTTTTATTCAGAAACTATGGTAAAGATTGGAGAGTCAATAACTCAACTACTAGAGTGTGTTCCTTGCGAGTAAGTAATTACTAATTAAGTAATTACTAGAGTAAAATTTGCATGAGTAATTTTTACTCGATTGATCGACGTTTTTCGCCGAGTAACTACGAGTAAGCCTCTTTACACGCCGAGTAAATTGAATATCTTTACATTTGGAGGGGAATTTCCCACCAAATCAATTAAACAGTTGAATATCTTTAAAAGAAAACGTATATAAGCCAGTGCTCGTGATTTTTTTTGCAATAATTTTCACCAAAACTACGATAGTTTTTGTCAAGTGTGCGTTTTAAAAACACGTATTACTCGCGAGGAAAACACTCTATCAACTAGTACTTTGAAACGACTCACTGGGCGCGAAGGAGTAGAGACAGATAGGCACAGCTCTTTTATACAGTACACAACTAGTGCTACTGTAGTACTAGATTTGTTTCAAGTTGATTTATCAAGTATCTTCTTAATCCAGTTGCCCAACAGTTGCCTGTACTGGAATTCGGACTTCAATAGTGTGCAAAGAGTTTTCATTTTCACCTCTTTCCCGAAGTGATGAGGCTTTTGAGACCCAATTCTCATAGTCAAAGAGACAAGAGAAAAGCCTAAAGGACAATTCACCCCTGGAAGCCTAGAGGAGAGCGTTCCACCCACTAGCAGACTCAAAGAGACTCTAGCAGACCCCTCCCCCAATCTGAATCCCCTTCCGATGAAGGTGTGACACCCTCCCCTTCCCCCAATCGAATCATCCCTTCACCCCTTTCCCTCTTCGAAACGATCTCCACACGATCCCGATTTTCAAGTGACTTCAGTGATCTCTTCTTCTTTCTATTCTCGATATTTGTCTCGATTACGACAACAATTCCGAGCATTCATTTGCAACGACTTTTCAAGATTTATGCTTGACTTATAGAAAAGTTATAAGCTCGTTCATTGATTTATTTTTGATGCGGCACACGTCGTTGTCGTTTTCGTCGCTCCTCGTCCTTGGGCTCTTTTTGGTCGTTCGAGGTGGGGTTCTAGAATGATATAAATTATAAAAAAAAGCGCTAGTTATAGGTAGAAAAGGTAGAAGTTCTAGAACGGGAACATGGCTTTCAAACTATTGAAACTATTGAAACTTAGCGCCGATTTACGTTTTGTAAAATCCGGCAAGGCATTGTTTAAACCGATCGAATTTCGTTTAATTTTCGATTTCCAAATTTTCAGGTAGCCAATCATCCCCACGAACATGTCAACAAGACGATCCATGCAAAGATTGTTCCATTGAGAAAACGCTTGGCGCAATTTGTACATCATCAGAGAAAGATGATCAATTAAAAGCTCCGTTTTTTTCTGCAATCCGAGGACAAAGTGAGCTGGATAAAATATATAAAAAATAAGTTCAATAAGTTCAATAACTTCAGAAAGATCGACGTGGAGCCATCCTCGTTTTTGGAATGTTTAAATGGATCGTGGACACATAGGGAATGCCCGAAAAGCGAGCGGCATTTCTCGTTGAGCACTCTCAATTGCACTGATCCGATCAAGTGGACTTTCCATGCACAAGTTTGAGTTACTTTATCGCTAAACAATTCAAAGCGAATTCAGGGTACTTCCGGCTCAGGTCGTGTTGGTGATGTGTGCTCTTTCAACACGGATTGCTTGCAAGGAATGTATTGCGCTCTCGGGAGTTGTCGATGTCTTTCAACGTATATTGCTGTTGATGCATATTGCTATGAGAGTTTGTTTTGCTATATTTATGGTAATCACAATTTTCAGAGATTTCTCCCGCTGAATCCGGATGTTTCTACGATTCGCAGTGTTCATCGGTTTGGCCGGATGCTTATTGCAAAAATGGTGGGTTGTTTTGGAGTTAAAGTAGATGAAAAGGCGAATTGTTTTGATAGATAAACAAAGTTAGATCAGATAGATCAGATGAGATGCAAATGGATATCTTAGAAATGTCTATTTCTGTCTATTTCTGTCTATTCTTTTAAAAGAAGCTTGTTTCAGGAATGTGCTTCTGCCCGAGTGAAGAAATGAGAGCAGTTAAGACAAGGTTTGATTTGATGCTTTTAGTTGATGAAAATTTTCTTTGAATCCTTTTAAACTTTTGTAACTTTAATGCAAAAGATCTAGTGTGAATAAAAGGGAAACTTTGTCAAATTCAAAATGTCAAACTAAAACGGGAAACTCGGTATAAAAGCTATGCCAAAGTACTACAGATCTACTCTACTAAAACTAAGAGTTTTTTCCAGAATCCTTAAGTAGGCTGCTAGAGTGCTCTAGTGCTCTAGCTAGAGTGCTCTAGTGCTCTAGCAGACCCCTCCCTCCAATAGTTCACTTATTGATCTATTAAGCGATCGATCATAATAGAGCTTAACTCGATTATGGATACAGAAAACAGATATCAATATCAATATCAATATCAATATCAAAATCTCTGATAGAGATGGAACATTGTGTGTGTGGTCATCGCCAGGAGAGCCGGCTTGCCCGCTTCCCTCACTTCCGCCACCCGATAGTCCGGCTGCTTTGGTAGGAAGTGAATCAATTTACATTAGCTTCTAGAAAACATTATTAACTAGCTTATGAATACTAACAAAGTAAACAAAGTAAAGAGTTGCTTATGTCGAAATTTTTCAAAAACTTTAGGTAGTTCTGCCAGCCACCGGAGCAAAGACGTCAGTAACGATCGCAAGTTGCAATCCGTACAGGTAAAAAGAGTTTATTTCATTTAAATTTTGCTTCTGGTCTACGTGACCTAAATCCGTTAGAAGATGAAATTTCTAGCAATCAATCACCGCCAAGCGAGGAGGAGCTGGTGATGAACCCACATAATTTCAAATGCGCTGTTAAGCCGACGCTGAGCAAGGTGGGGAAACAATTGGCCGAGAATTAAATGAAAAATTTGTTAGCCAGGAGATGAGGTAATCCCAATCGATGTCTCTGATATTTACGATTGTGTCGACAATTCGCTTTTCTGGAAAGCGCAGGGGATTGAGTCGAATGCGCATCCGATTGGGGTTTGCTGTATGAATAGGGGTGAGATGAGAATTGCCTTTTATATTTTCTAGTTATTATTAACCCTTTAGCTATCTATTAATGTGTTTTTATATAAATTTTTAGCTTTCACCTGTATGCAACCGAGACGCGGCGAAAGCGACGGATTGGGAGCAGTGCCGAGGTCGGTTCTCAATTTAGTCGTAAATTTTCAACTCATGAGAAAATGAACAATATAATCGAAGCTTTGATTGAAAGCTTATCATCTTGCTTATCATCTTGATGCATATCAAATATCAAAGCAAAGCTTATCATCTTGATGCAGATGGTGGTTCAACGCGGTCACCGGCTCGTGTCAGCAATTCCTCTTCGATCCACAATCGGCCGACGTCTCGCCAAACAACTTCGAAACTCTCGACCATTGTGAAGCATTTTGCAAAGACAGTTAGTGATTTAATGTTTTCTGCGAAAAGCAATGATCAAATTGAGCTTGTCCTCGCGGAAACCCAGCCTATGTGGCCTCGAAATCGCACCTCGGTCAATCTCCACAAGCCGGTTGCACTCTCGCTCAACCATGCCCCGATCCATTTCAATGCACCGAGGTCGCCTCGCAGAGTTTGTGCTGTCCGAGTCGGAGTTCGTTTCTTTTGTTTTTATCTTCATAAAACAAGAGCAAGAGCTTCTTCTTGATACCATTAAGAATGCGAAAATTTTCAGAACATATTTGTTCGGATGCGGGCGGTCGACTAAAAGATCCGCTTCGTCCATATCCCTACGATCCAGGAATGAGATTCGATCAGATCACAGGGGAAAGAGCTGACTATGCTTTTGGATTGACAACAAGGTGAAATCTTGAGCTAGAATTAGGTTTACCCAATCATCCTTCAGATATTACTACAACCCGCACGACGGTCAGTGCCATCCGTTCACGTTCAACGGTTTCCTCGGCAATTTCAACAATTTCGCCAATCAAGCCGATTGTCAATTGTTCTGCGCGAGATGTAAATTGAAATTAGCATTTAATATTTATATCGTTTCTTTTAGTACAATGCCCTCATGGTCATCCATTGACAACGGGTGGAGGCGCTCCGCAGAGATGTCAACGCGATTCGGATTGCCCGTCAACGCACACATGCAGCACCGAGCACTCTGTTTGCTGTGCCACATCGCGTGAGGCTTTCGAGAATCATCCATTCTGTTCTGATAATATCGAGCCTATGCACTATGTTTTGTTTCAGATTTCAGAGATTTCAATCGATATCAAGAAATAGTGCTAGTACAAGTGCTAGTACATAGTGCTAGCATAGTGCTAGTACAAGGGTTGACCCTTTTTCTCACAGTACTTGAGTGTAGAGAAAGTTAGACGAAAAAAAAAGTGATGACACAAAGTGCTCTGGCAATCGTTTGTACATTCCTGGGTGATTCCTGGGAAATTTCCCCCTGTAGAACCTGTAGAACAGGATTTTTGGTGTTGATTCTTTGAGCATTTATCTCAAAATGAAGTATTCTTATGTAATTCAATGTAATAGATCTTTAGATCTACATCTATGTAATCTATAGGTCAATGCTATTTATAGATGTGCTTTTCAGAAACCCTGTGCACAGAGCCGCTTCGTGTCGGCGATTGCAAGCAAAGTGTTCGCTCGTTTTGGTACAACGCCGAAACGCGACAATGCGAATCCTTCATGTATACAGGTGAATAAATAACTAAAAACTAAAAAAACAACTAAAATTCAAAGTCAAACAGCTGCCCAAATAGATAAATATTGAAAGTTTTAAGAAAAAAAATTGCATATAACTTTTCTTTAGGATGCCAGGGGAACAATAATCGTTTCGCTTCACTAAACGAGTGCCAGAGTTTCTGCAAGAATATCAATGGTTTGTTTGGGAAGTATGGACTCAAATTTTAATCCAAATATTTAGCTGAACCAAAATGCCCCCAGGGGAGAGCTTACATGGATTATACGGGACGTTTCTTCCAGTGTGGTGATGGTGAGAAGTTTTTTTTTAAAGTAAAGTTTCTTGTTGGATTAATTATTATTTAAAAGTCGGAGCTTTTTTTTTACATTAAACTTAAAAGATTATTGATCAAAATAGTATTGATTATCGATTATTGATCAAAAAGTCGAGTGTTTTCGAAAAAAACAAAAAGTCTGACCGACAGTGGATCCGAACCAGGGACGGAGAAAATCTGACGCGCTAACACATATCCACTAGGCCACCAAGGCAGGCTTTCAGTCTCCCAGCAAATCGTTAAGTAGGCTAGCTTACTGTTAGATGAAATTGGTCAAAACTTTGAAGGCTTGTATCTCAAGAATGGCTTATGATAAGTAGGATTTGAAAGCAGTTTCAGAATGCTTTTAACCAGGGGGTGTTGGTACCACGAAATCAGATCTAAAATGTAATTTCAATGGGCTCTCTGGTTAGCCTAAAATTTGGGCTGATTTGACCTGAAAAGAATGAATATCCCTAGTTTCAATCAGCTGAATTTCCAGGTCCAACAGGAAACGCTTGTCCGGCGAATTACGAATGGTTTGTTTACTCAATTTTTAACTCATTTTGCTTTGTTTTAGTTACTTTGATGGACTTGTGCACGGTTGTTGTCCTTCAAAGGGTGAGCTGGAAGCAATGCATGCAAAATCTTAAGATATTCAATTGAATAGCTCGTTTATCGCATTCTATTGGAAATTTTTGATGTTTACCTTAACTTCAACACAATATCTGAATATCTGATGCACTTTTCAGCGTACACTTGCTCTCTCCAATTGAACAAGGGAGTCTCTTGTGGATCGGGATCTTCATATCGGTTTGATATTCAAATCTTAGTGTTTACAATCAAATTTTTTCAGTTATTATTACAACAATCAAATGAAAGAATGTCAATCTTTTCTTTTCCTTGGATGCGATGGTTTATTTCGAAAGTTGAGTGCAAATTTCAACAAAATTTTCAGGCAATAGCAACAATTTTCCGTCGGCCGAAAAGTGTCAGAGCTATTGCGAGATTGCGAGTGAGTACAAGAGAATCAAATACAAGAGAATCAAATACAAGAGAATCAAATACAAGAGAATCAAATATAAGAAAATCTCGGTCATTAGCTGACTTTAGAAGTTCTTTTTTTGATCTAATACGGTTTCAATACGGTTCCAATACGGTTCCTATTTTGATCTAATACGGTTCCAATAGTTTTCGAGTTTTGCTTTCTTTTACTTAACAATTTGATCTCATACGCTCAGTTAGCCTTGAGAAAAGGGCGAATAAACATAAACAATAAACATATTGTAAGTCAATGCGAAGCTTTAGTTTGCCCGAACGGCGGCTCTCCGCTGCGAACGAACAGCAAAGTGCGCTCGTGCGCATCCACTGATCCGTGCCCATCCGGGTATGAATGCTCGACGGTTGAGGCGAATGGAGTGACGACGAGGAGATGTTGTCCGACAAAAGGTTGATGGGGACAAAAGATTTTGGGATACATTTGATACGCGCCCCGTCTCCCTTTCCCATGGGCAATCCAACTTTCAGCTCAAATATTTTGGTATTAGCCTGTTCAATTTAAATAGTTTTTGTACCAATCGACAGAGAAAGACTTGGTGCATCCAATGATACCAAAAATATCGAAATTGAGCAGCCCAACACGAAGATATTTGAGCTCAAAGTTAGATTACTAATGGGAAAAGGGGCGGTGTCCGATAACCGAGACAAAGCGCTGACTAATAGTAAGACACGGTTGCTCGTGTGTTTCTAAAACAAGGCATTTACAAAAGTTACCGGAACCTTCCTTCTATTTCAAATAGCCATAATCGAATATCGTTTTAAACATCACAAATTTCAGCCGCCATTTGCTCGAAGCCACCCCAGATGGGAAGTATGCCGAAATGTGCGACTGGGGGTGGAATCACGAGATACTATTTCAATATGGCCCTTCAATCGTGCTCCTCATACACGTCGAATGGGTGTGACACGTCGCTGAACTCTTTCTCGACAATGTCCGAGTGCGAGGACTTTTGTTTGTCGGCTGGATGCGCGAGTGGAGATGCCGTTTACAAGGTTCGTTTATCTAAAGGTTCTAAAGATTCTAAAGGCTCTATTTCAGGACCCGAACAACAACAAGCCATTCGTGTGCAACACGGCCTTGCAAAACAATTGTCCCACCTCGTATCAGTGTACATTGAATCCGTTGACTTCAGAGCACAATTGTTGTGGTTCGGATGGAATGGGTGAGTCTCTGATCGGTCTCACTCGATGCTGAATCGATCTCAAACTTGCTAAAGCCATTCCTTTTAAAACTACGAGTACAGTAAACATACCGTAAATACTGTAATAGGACCCCACCCCCATAATGACGGTGCGGAGCGTTGAGTAGTCTAGCTTTGAACGAGTTTTTCTCGACACTGGTTTATGCTATTGGGTTGGGGAGAATGAGTCGGCGCCAAACCTTAAAGGGACTTTTTGCACACATAAAGCCTTCTTTAAACATACGTTTGGTTTCATCAAAAGGATCCACTATTTCTCTACAAAATCACTTTTGAGAGATTCCACAAAGCTTTTCTTTCGTGGAGTTTATGAACTTCCAAACGCAGCTGGTTAAAATGGCAAAGAGTCCGACTCATCATTTGAACAGTTTCTTTCACATAAACCTTCTTTGGTGTTTATATAAAAAGATAGAGCACATTCAATTACTTAAGTTGCCAAATTTGCAGGAAGATCCCACCAATGGTTTTTTCTAGATGACAGTTTGTAGTTTTTGTGAAAAAATGGCTTTTTCTTGAGCGGAGGCGCTGTTTGAATTTTCTTTTAAATGTCATTTTGTAGAGAATTAGTTAGCCATTCTACTGATATCAAACGCATATTATTTGACGAAGTCGAATAGAAGTTTTAGACATTTTTTTGATTTTCGGCGCCGACTCATTCTCCCCAACCCAATACAATGCGCGCTTAGGTATCAAAAAATAGCTGAAATTCAGGGCTAATTTTTGATACTAAAGACGCGTTTTTTTGAAAGTACGGGTGCTTTGCAAAAAATGAAATAATGAAATACTTGCGACTACGCGATTGTACGAGGGGGATGGGGTACTATTACAGTGTTTATTACAGGCTTTTTGTAGAAAACGAGTCAGTCCCACGTTTTCTACAAAAGCCCATATACAGTACCGGACAATGAAATATCATATTTGAAAAACGATTGTCACTTTCGCGCGTCTGTAACTCCCTCGTCTTTGAGTTTAAACTCTTAGTGTTATACATTTTCTGAAAGCTCTTTTCAAGGGCTACACAATGGTAATATTAATATTTAGAAATACGGTAAAGACAAGGGAGTTACAGACGCGCGAAAATGACGACCTTTTTTCAAATATGATATTTCATTGTCCAGTAGTGTATAGAGTACAGTTTGAGCACAAATTTCCTTCTTTTCTATTCCATGAGGGAATTCGATTTGTTGTGTAACGAAAACTTCTTTTAAGGTGTTTGCCCGGAAGGCGAGAAAGCCTTCATCGACGCGCGCTCGAGTACCGCTCGACAATGTGCAATGATCGCGGACACGAAATGTCCAACTGGGTAACAATCAGTTTAAATGCTTTAAATGCTTTTTAAATTGCTTTCCCACCGAGTTTACTTTCAATGCAATGACTATAATTCAAAATCCTTCAACTCAAGACCAAGATAGCTTGAACTTGAATGTGCAGTGATAAAATGAATTCCATTCAGATACCTCTGCCGTTTCTCTCAACAAAACAATCGATATTATTGTTGTGGGAGTATTAGTGGATGTGAGTGAACACTCTCTTCTTTAGAAAACTGAATTTCATCAATTTCACCAATTCCCCACAATTCAACAAGAACAATTGAAGAACTTTCAGCCCTTTGCCCATCAGGTCGTGCTCTTTATCGTTCACCAAGCAGTCAATCACCTATTCATTGTTCGATTTCGAATTTCGGTCACTCGTGTCCCACTGGATATCAATGTCTTTCCGAGGTTGCAAGCGCATTTCAAGGATATTGCTGCAGTCAGCATGGTAACTTATACTTTAAAAGCCAACTACTTATCGATATAAAGCTGATCTTAGACAATCATTGTAATGTAATGACAATCGAATCAATGCCAAAAATTTCAGCCGTTTGCCCGAACGGAGTGCCATTCCACGTAGACGAGAAAACGCAAATGCCAACAAGTTGCACTCGGGACGCTTTCGCTTTCTGTCCAACTGGGTGAGATTTTGAAAGGATAGATTTTCTAAAAGCCACCATAATCCCAGTACAATTTATTCCAGTTATACTTGCCAGCAACAACCCGAAACAAACAATTATTATTGTTGTCAGGGACAAGAGGAAAGCGGAATTCAAGGTAATCTAAGTAATCTTCAAGGTAATCTTATCTAGACGGTTGTCCACCAAATCAATTCGCGTACATTGTTGAAGAAAAAGCGGCGACTTGTGATCCGTTCAATCGAGAGAATAACGTTTGTCCAAGGGATTACTCATGTCAGGTAAATGAAAGAATCAATCTAAAGCTTGAAATCTTTCTAGTGGTCCTCAACAAATCAAAAGTATCAATGCTGTGGCACGATCCCAGTTCGTCAGAAGAAACCCTTCCATATCGGTAGCTTTAAATCCCTTTCTCTTATCTTTTTCTTCTAGAAGATGGTTGTTCGGCTCGTCAATTTGCCCTCCTTGATCCACGTTCACAGCAACCTCGGCTCTGCACAGCTGGTGAGGCAAACGCCTGTCCACCCGGGTTCTTCTGCCAGTTCAGCCCAAGAAAGAATCAGTTCCAATGCTGTGGACAGAGTGCCGGTAAGTGTAGATCAAAAAACTCGACTATTTTAGACGTATTTTGTCATTTTTGTATCCAGTCCTCTTTTAGGTTGTCCCCCTCGACGAGCGGCTTTCATTGCGATCGATGGAAATGCCCAGGAATGTCTAATGGGATCAGCGACTTGTGCTGAAGGGTTTTTAAAACTGATAATTCATTATTGTACAGCAATTTCAGATACGATTGTGTTGGTGGAAGTCAAGGAAAGAATATCTGCTGTAGTCAAGAAGGGCACGAGAGTTGGTGGCTTTAAAAAAAAATAGAGTAATAAAGAGTAATAAAGAGTAAGAGTAATAAAGAGTAAGCGCTTTAAGAGAGTAATAAAGATGATTTTTAGCTTGTGCTCCGGGCGAGAGATTTGTCGACGGGAAATGTGTCAGTTTTTTTGGGAGTACTGTATCTGAAATTTTGTTCAATCTTTAGGTGACAGCTATAAAGCCGGGCGATCCGTGTGTGGACAGTCAACAGTGCATCGGGGGAAGCAATTGTATCGATCGGAGATGCACGTGGGTTTTTGCGAGGAAAGATATAGAGCTTTTGAATAGAAATTTAAGTTAAATAGCACCAGTCCAGGAACTACAGCAGAAAATGCGTTTTGGGCTTTTAAACATTAAAGTTTATCGTCGTTACCTTACTGTTATTAACTCAAAAAAGATCATCAAAACAAAAATCTCTAAAAAAAGCCGAAACAGCGACTAAATTGACTGTCGCTTAAATTGGCAGATCGGAATATACCGCCCGGAGGCCTCTTGCTTGAGAACACCACAATCAGGAGAATGTAAAAGGATTGTTAAAATAGGGAACCCAAATTTGTTAAGATAGGAAACCTTTGTTGTGCTTTGTTGAAAACAGCACAAAGTACAGGTCAATTATTGCGTGTTGCGCTCCAGCTTGCACTTTACGCGTACTGGGCAATTTGCAGTTTGCATAGGGCAGTTTGCAACAGTTTGCAGTTTGCAATAGGGCAGTTTGCATAGGGCAGTTTGCAATAGGGCAGTTTGCAATAGGGCAGTTTTGGCAAACACTTTTTCGAACGTGCCACTAGTTTTAAAAACTTTCTGGGGTAATTAGTTAAGCTGAATCCATTGGAAGGATTTATCGAATCGATAAATCCTTCCAATGGATTCAGCTTAACTAATTACCCGATCTAATCGAATCGATCACGCTATGTAAAAGGAGTATTTAAAATGAGCAAGATAAAATCTTAGAACCAAGGCTTGAATAGCTGAATATCGTTGAATAGCTTTTAAGGCGAAACTATCATCTTTTAGATGCCCACCGGAGCACGAGGTTTCCGCTCATGTATGTGTTCCGCGCGAGTGTGCTGGGAATGAGGTGAGGCATGCAAAAAAATACTATCAAAACTGCCGCCCACTTGCTATTACGTTCACTAATTGCGAGACGGATGGCATAAAACATAATAAAAGCTAAAATGTGATCATTAGTATCTAAAGAATAATCAAAAGAAAGGAGAATGTCTCATAAAAGTTCTAATCAGAAAGTTCTAAACCATTGCTGCTTCCAGGTTCGCATCGACGGGCTGTGCACATCACGAGTTGACATTGGCCAACAATGCAAGAACTCGATCCAGTGTTCGGGCAACTCGAAATGCATCAATGGGCGCTGTGATTGTGCGGAAGAAGAGGTGAAAGAGTGAAATGTATTCATGTTCAAATTCATTTAAAGTAGAGTGTAAAGTAGACAATCGTCGTTATTCTAAATTTGGTACTGTAAAGAAATATTATTCGCGTGCTTGGTACTCTTCACTCTTCACACGTTATTTCTTGTTTCGAGATATCTGATCTCACTTGAACTAAAAACACTTTATTCAATAGCCGACTGACTCGGAATCTTTAGGCTCTGTGGCGAATAGCCACTAAAAGTTATACATTTCGAGTGTCCCCCCCCCCTGTGTCCCCCTTTTGCCCCCCTAAGTGTCCCCCTCAAAGTGTCCCCTTTTTGTCCCCCTAAAGTGTCCCCCCCCTAGTATCCCCCTATTTTTTTTTCATATCAAATCACAACTTTTTGCTTTGGAGAGCTTTTGGAGAGCAAAAAGTTGTGATTTGATATGAAAAAAATAGGGGGATACTAGGCGGGGGGGGACACTTTAGGGGGAACAAAAAGGGGACACTTTGAGGGGGACACTTAGGGGGGCAAAAGGGGGACACAGGGGGGGACACTCGAAATGTATACTAAAAGTTATCTAACTCTGACAGCCTAAAAATTGGAAAAATATTGAGGAAATCGGTGCGCCTTCATTTTATTTCGAGCCCCAAATCATTTATTGTTTTGTAGCTTGTTAGCTGAGTATCTTGTGTTAAAGCCTATATAAGGCAACTGCTGTTCATTTGTTGGTTGTTATCTTTCATTTTTCTTTCTGCTTTCCTCTCATTTTTTGAATGAAAGTTGTGTCCTAATTAGGACGAAATTCTTTCTGTTTTTATCGTCACTTTTAATTCAATTGTCGATCTTGTGTGAAAGTTGCTCAAGTGAGAGCCCAAAGATTCCGAGTCAGTCGGCTATTGAATAAAGGGCTTTTTCAGTTCAAGTGAGATCAGATATCTCAAAACAAGAAATAACGTGTCTTGAGTGAAGAGTACCAAGCACGCAAAGAATATTTCTTTACAGGCTCTCACTTGAGCAATTTTCGCACAAGATCGACAATTGAATTAAAAGCGACGATAAAAAAACAGAAAGAATTTCGTCCTAATTAGGACACAACTTTCACACAATGAGAGGAAAGCAGAAAGAAAATGAAAGATGAACAACAAATGAAACCGAACCAAATGAACAACAGTTGCCTTATATAGGCTTTAACCCAAGATACTCAGCTAACAAGCTACAAACCAATAAATGATTTGGGGCGCGAAATAGACTGAGCCCAGTATAAAATTCTATTTCCCGAAAGTAAAAATTTGATTGCTAGGAGATCGATAACAATAAATGCGTGAAAAAGGCGAATGCGGGCAAGAAAACGGCTGAGATTTCGACGACAACCACTGAAGGATCGACAACAGAAGATGAGGGATCAACAACGGAAAAAGTGAGAAGTGAAAGGAAATTGGAAAAAAAGGAAAAATTGAATTTAGGAAAAAGAGACGACAACGGTGGAAGAAGAAAAAGAAGAGACAAATGGTTTGAATGTCGAACATTTAAATCGTATTCAGCTCCATTTTCAGTTCCAAAGTCATCAAAGGGGAAAGGATTGTGCCCGATTAAAGGACAAAAAGCCTATTATGAAAAGGGGACGACGAGATTGAGGTTTGTCGGGGGGAGAAAGAAACGGGAATACTGAATGGATTAGCAAAGTTCAACATTTCATAAAACTGCGCTAAAAACCGAATCCCTTTAAGAATCCCTTTCAGATACTGCTCCCCGGCATTGGCCGATTGCCCAAAAGGCTACAATTGTCAGTATTCAAAGCTGGAAATGCAAAACGTTTGCTGCGGTGGGATGACGGAAAAACCCTCGAAAAGTGGTGAATTGAAGAAAGCTTTTCACAAGAGAATATTCGAAAATTTACAGCCACAATGTGTCCAATCGGAATGTCACCGTATCTTCTGAACGGGAAACCGAAATCGTGTCAATCGGGCACATGTCCATATGGATATCAGTGTAAATTCAGGTGAACGACGAATGCATAAAAATTTGCATAAAAAAAAAGATTTAGCTCCGCGAAGCACGACTATTTCTGTTGTTCGAAGAATGTGAAGACGAGAAAAAGTTATATGAGAAGTGAGATAAGATTCAAAAAAAAGGAAAAAAACTATAAATTTCCGAAAAACGGCAACGAGGTGATATCTGAGGCTAAGGCAATTTTATGCTCACGATTACGGTATTAAGGTTATAGTAAAGTTTACGATAGTAAGTAAAGGTTACGTTCAATATTACGGTAGTAAAGGCTATGCTAAAGGTTGGGTTAGTACTGAACTAGACAATAATCTCACTTTTCATTCCCAAATTCAGGACGTCACGATGGATGCGAGCGTGGTCGGGCTCTTCTCTTCCCGAACACTCAAGAACCGGTCTCTTGCGAACCGGGTCTCAAAGCATGTCCATCGGTTTCGAAAGCTCAATTTTCACAATTCCACTCATTTTTAGGGCTATGCTTGCCTCCCCAATCTCAATACGCAAAGCTATCAATGTTGTTCGATTACAATGGGACGAGATAACGAGATCACATTTGAAGAAGTCGAGAGTGAGTGCTTGTGAAGAGGACACCGTTTTGAAGCCATTTCGACTTAAAATTTCAGTTGAATGCCCCTCATATATGACGAGAGTCGAGAAAGAGATTAACGGAGTGATTCGGACGATTTGCGGTTCGTTTTGATCATACAATAATTAGTTTGAGCTGAAATAATGAAAATAAAGTTGATCCAATTTTTCAGAAAGACCATCCCAATAAAATGAGATTAACGACGTCGAACTGTTGCGAAAATTTCTCAACCTTGATACTCATTTTTGTGATTTTCTGAGATTCAGTCTTTCAGTTTGTTTTACACTTTCTTCAAAGCCAAGGTAAGTTGGCAGCCGGTCAGATACAATGTATCATTTTTGGTTGATAAATCTTGATTCAATTGAATGTATAACATACAAAACCTGCTTGACCCGTCGCTAAGTAAATTAAAATTTATAAATTTTATCATAAAAATGTAGAAGAAAAAAAAACTTCAAAAATCAATACTTTGGACCTTGTCTTCATTTGAGCAGCCGCAGCTGGAACCAGTTTTATCCTTTCCACATCCGGTTTTGGTTTCAGTGGTGACCTAAAGCTTTGAATTGAATAGTCAAATATGAAAAATAAATTAACCTTTCGCTTTATTCCCAGATCAAGCTGGTTGGTGTTTAAGCCCTCGATCAGGAGACATGCCTTACATAGCTTTTGACTTGAAATGTAACCACATCTGAAGCGTACAGATGAGATGCTTCCATTCTAATCATACCTAGAACAACGACCCAAAACGGGTAGGGCCACTTCCTTGCGAACAGCTATGCTTTCCCCACTATAGATGATATCCAAAATGGCACGCGGTCTCACTCGTTCAAGTTTCTTTATGTAATCTCTAAAAAATGCTAATAGAATTTAAACACTTCGTTAAGGGTAACTTAGGTAACAATGATTTCAAAAACGCTAGCCTGGCAAAGTTGCGATATGAGTTCGGAGCATATATACATTCAGTGTAGAAATATTCGAGTTTGTTGACTCGAGCATACATCACAATATCCTTCTCAAAAGTATACTAAAGCAAAAATTATATCAAGCTTAATTCAAATAAAATTCACCTTCAAAGGCTTTGCTCGAGGCAAACTACCACCGTCGTCTCCGGTACAAATGTTTGTACACCTGAAAAGTGTCAATTAATTGCTGTTCGTAGAAAGTTAAAGCTGAAGACTCAACTGAATCTCTACTTAATTATTAAGAAAAATTTAAACACCAAAACACACCTCTGTAATCTGGCAACATCACCTCGTAGTAAGTTCATCAGAACAGTTTCGGCTATGTCGTCTGCATTGTGGCCTGTCACTAATTTCGTTGCTCCTAGTTTGTAGGCACCTCTGAAATTATCAAATCAACTAAAGACAAAAGCTTAAATTGCAACCTGTCAAGTGCTTGTCTTCGGAATACTCCGCAAAATGTACAATTGTTCTTCTTACCAATGCGCGCAACAATTTCATCCATTGACCATCTTTAACTTTTAAAGTCTTTACATTCAAAGCTCAAACAAACCCATAGAGATCCTTATAACTCAGTATTGTCAACGGAAGCTCGTATTCAATCTTGTTTCTCTCGACCGACTAAAGCTTAATTATTCAGAATGGTACAAATAAGCCAAAACCTTCAAAGAATCGTCACGATATCCCTTTATGCCTTCGTCTATGGAGAGTAAGATCAATTCGAGTCCGTAATCGTGACGAGCATTTAATACCTAAAAGTTCAAAATTTTTTGAAAAATTAGAAAAGCGTTACCTTCATCACATAAGCTAATACTGTTGAATCTTTGCCACCCGATGCGCCTATTGCCACTTTCTCGCCTCTCTTGAATAAGTTTGTCGCACTGATAGTTTCATGTACGTCCTAAAAAGAAGATTTAGAATCAAGAATCAACGCAAAATTTCCAAAAAATTGCATACTTCTTCAAATCGTCTTGTGAAGCAAGTTGCGCACACAGCAGATCCATCCTTCGACCGTTTAATTGTCGCTGCTGAAGTACAAGCCTCGGTGGAGCAGGGTATCGGCATTTCTCTACAAAAAAACGTTTAAAGATGACCGGGCTAATAAGGTTTTTGGGCTAGTTTATTGGTCATCGGTCGCGAAGGAGACGAATTGGCCTGTGAACTTTCTCTCAAAAACAACGGTTAGCCCCTTTAGCCGTAACTGAGAATTTGGTCGACTATCACTTATTTCATTGCATCTGTTTACGACATCATTAACACACATGACGTGAAAAACTATCCAATTTATTCATGGGTAACAGAAAGATTTATCAAAACCATTTTACAACAATTTATTGTAACAATAACAAATTAGAAAATCATTTTGTGGGGATATTGTCCCTTGCCCAACGCAAATCGAGATCCCATATAACCGAAGAGGAATTTGTGTTCTGGGTTGCTCTTGATGGCAGCAAGAATGGGAGCATCGATGGCCTTTTGATCTTGCTTTCGTTGGTCGGTCACCTAAAATACAAAGATGAAACTCGTTTATTGCCATTTCGATTACTTGACTGGAGCGGGTCCAATAGTTTCCATACCCACATTCAAAAGTTCAAACCAACCTTGTATTCTTCCTTTCCTTTAGCAAAAATGTCTTCTCCCTCTTTGCCTTTCGCCTTATTCAACTTGGCTCGTCGGAAATATTCGTCATCGATGTGAGCGGGAACTTTGACTTTTGAAATGTCGATCTTGGTCTTGGTGGCGATAACGAAAGATTGGGCAATCCTCCTGAGTGGGGTGTTGTTCAACTTCAATGGACCTAAACAAAAATAATTTAGAAGGTTTACTAACAAAATAAACAAAGCCTTTGAAAGGCCATCAAATAAATATTCTCTAGGCTATTTCTCTCAATTGGAGTCTAAATAATTTTTTCTTAACAGTAGCCAGTTGTTTTTTTTTCATTAAGAAAAAACAGTCACAAGTCTTCCATGACTAATGCAAATAATAACCATTTTATTACGGTAAAAAATACTACAACTAATCCTATAGATTGACAAACAGATCCTTCAAATGTGCTTCGTTGTGCTGAGCCTAATTAAGAATCCAAGAAAATCTCACCTGTGACAAGAAGCAATCCAGTTTTGGCCAATTGTTTGAGGAAAACGACCCTCTTTCCCTTATGTCGTCCAGCCAAAATGATCAAAACTGTTCCGGGGGTGATAGTCTTGCGAAGCTTCGTGTGGGTCAAATCTCCTCCCTCAATGGCGGTGGTTTGTCTCACTTTGGAGAAGAGTTTTGGCTAAAAAGAAAACAAACAGTTAGAATTATGCGGAAATTCACTTACTCCTTTGTTGGTGACAACCTTGCGCTCATTTCCGTTCTTCTTGCCACCAATTTTCTTGGTGACGACCGTTCCTCGCTTTGGCAACGAGAGGCGCGCGCTCGAGAAGCGAAGCACTCCTGGCGAGATCTCGTAATTCTTTGGAATACGAGGCGTTGATTTACCCGGCATCTGATAAAAAACAAAATTAGTAAGCATATAGCCGAAATGACATGAAATTAATCAAACAATCACGAAACTTGCTACTTGACTTCACTAAAAATTTCTAGATTGGTGTTTAACAAAATCTATCTAGTTAAAAGTTATAAAAACTAAAAAATTTACAGTTGAGGAAAATTTAAAAAGAGCGTTAGGTAAATGAAATTTTAGGCTGCGCGGAGAGGAAAAGAAAAATGAAAAGGCTACGGTATCGCGACAAGTGACGTTTTTTTGTTGTCATTTGTATGTGCTCGTAGTCCTCTCTCAAGTCAGAATATGCTTATTGCTTTCCGTTACTCGATTCAAATCATGGTTTCGAGAAGGATGAAGCAGCGTAAAGCTAAATTTAAAAAATTTTCATGATCTACAGTGTGGCACAAGTGTATACTGCTATGCCCAGCTTGGCTCGGGGTTGATTGTAGAGGGAAAAGAGGCTTACAAGAAAATGTAAAATTAAAATGAGTACATCACAATTTCCATTTATACTCTGAGCACGAAAGGGATTCGAAACAAAAAAAAACTTTTCTTTTATTCTTGATCTTTGCGCGGTTACCATTTTGGCAAGGTTTGTTACTGTTACTGTTACCGTTATTCTAACTTTTTGATTTTAGAAAGAAAATCACGGCTAGCATGGAAAACCTGGGACTGGGACATTGCTCATGTTGCAGCGTTGATCATCTATCGGTAAGTTGGTGGTTTCTTCTTTTTCATGGTGTTAGTTGCACATGTATTACTTGAGCTTTGTTCCTATTGCCCTTGTAATTGTGTTTTTTTTAGTTTCTCGCAAAGACCGATGAGATGCTTTGCCGCGCTGCCTTCAGCATTGAGAAATTTAACCGGACCGCTGTCAAGTGCTATCAAGTTTCTTGTTTATCAATTGTATTAGGTTTAGTAAGCTGGGCAATCATGGGAACACAATCATCTTTGATTTGGCTGTGCAAAAAGAAAAGGTGACGTTTTGTTTTAACTCATTGTTTAACTCAATCATTAAGATCATTTTTATTCACAATCGCTTGTTCACGGGAAAAGGTCAGGAACCTCGAGCCAATTCGGAAACCCGACTGACCAAGTTATTCGATATGTTTATTCTAAAGTTGTTAACTTTTTGGAGCGAACTCGAATGATCTACTCACTGAAGAATGTGGCTTATGTGGTATTCGTGTTAGGACTCCTGTTTGTTTTTTCCAATTCCAATTTACACCAAACTTTTAGAAAACCAGTCAAACGACAATCTCGAATGAAAGTCGAAGCAATCGAGCAAACAACAATAACTGCAACCTTGTTCAATCCAATCGTCAAAAGATGCCTAGTAAGTTTTTACAAATTAATTAAAAATCTTTGCTAAATTCGACTCATTTTTCAAGCAAACGTTTTTAGTAATTTCAGTTTATTTACTATTTGTTTAGATTCGTTGACCCAGACATGTGCTATTCAATCTAGCTACACTCTCCATCCGTCGACAGTTCAGAAGACATTCTCCCAAACTCAGAGATGCAAGTTTGCGGAGTCGATTCGTTGAAATAAAACTTTTAGCACCAAAAGAGACCAATGCAAAGGAAAAGCTTCACTTCTGTCTACCCAGTTGTCCATGCTCCTCTCGTCCTTGTGGGTGCAATAACGTGTGCCGCTGTGGAGCTTCTGTTGCAGGTTATTTACTTTTATCCGTATAATTTTTAATTGCAAACATAAAACATCGTTTGTTTTAGAGTCTTCTGTCACGGCTGATTGGGCTACATGTGTACAAACGGATTCGCATTTGCATCTCAAACGCTCCTTCAAGAAGACTGACACAGATGAAGAGACTGACACGGCAAATTTTTTTTTTCCTGACTAGCAGCATCGAATTAATATGAATCAATTATTTTGATTATCTAGAAGCTACCTAGCATTTAATTTTATTTTGAGGGTTTGATTCAACCTTAACTTTAGCTTTGTGCTTCGGCCTTTAAAACTGCAGACAGTGAGACAACGACTACCGTCTTTACTCAATTTGCCCGGATCTAGCAAAATAGAGGAAATGCAAAAGCGATTGGTTGCACAGAAAGAATTTGATCTTTGTACTCGGTTTTGTCAATAAATCTTTGAAGAAAAATGAAAGTGTCTCACGCTGTGTTTTTGACGAGCAAAGAGGCAAATTGATAAGCATTTCGCTGACTTCATTGAACAGGATGTTGGGGTTTTTTGTTCTTTTATTCGTTTTTGCCAACTTTAATGAACTAACAGGTCGTTTTGAGCTGCTAGGCTGTTGAACCGCAGAATTTTAGCCAGAAATCCATGTGCAAAACAGTTCTATACCCCTTCCGGTGGGGATGACGTGGCTTTTGGGTGTATTTGTGATGCAAACTATTGCGATGATATTGAGCCGTTGGGTGTGATACAAGTTCGAAATTCTTTTTGATGAGGTTAAATCGCAAATTGTAGAGTGATGCTTTTGTAGCGTACGTTTCTTCGGAGAAAGCCGATCGATTGGATAGAATAGATTATCATTTCACTGGTTTTCCAAGTAGGTTATTCAAAGAACAAAATGGAAATGCAAACTATCGCTTTAGACACATCGAATATTGTGCAGATTGATGCCTCGAAAACTTATCAGGTAGTCAGAAACGTGATATTCAAGTTTGATTGGACAAAATATTTAGAATAACTGATCTCTTGACTAATACTTTTTCTAAAACGTGTCAACTTTCGAAAGTATCGTAATTGAAATGCTCGTAATCCTGGATACGGACATATTTTAGAAAACCTGTTACTCAAGAGTCAAGTCTCAAGGAAACTATGATAACGTTTGACTGGATAAAGACATTTAGAAGATTTTTGGATTTGGTGGAGCGATGACCGACGCTGCTGGGGTCAACCTCGTTTCATTGAGTCAACCAGTTCGGGATCGTCTACTACAGCAATATTATGGCCCGAATAGTGAATTTGCAATTCTTTTTATCACAAAAGCGTATTCAGGTATCGATTATCGTTTCACTCGGGTCCCGATGGCTTCCTGTGATTTTTCGACAAGGGAATACTCGTACGCTGATGTTGCCGGAGATTTTGACCTAGTTAATTTCAATCTCACTCAAGAGGATTTTCAATTGAAAGTTAGAGAAATGAATTTCTGATATTCGAAACAATTCTAGATACCCTTCATCAAACAGGCTCAAGCTTTGGTGGCTCAGCTAGGCGACACTTTGAAGTTGTTCACCACTGCTTGGTAGTCATTAACAGAACTATTCATCCAGTCGATAAATATTAATTCCAGGAGTGCTCCGGGATGGATGAAAGATTCGGGAAGTATGAAGGTTTCTTGAAATCAAACTTGTCAATCAAATACCGAAAAAGTTCAGGGCGGAGGCCGACTTATTGGAGAAGTCAATGGGAAATACTATCAAACGTTGGCTAACTACTATAAACGGTAAAATGAATAAGAACTAATGCACAAGATCGATTTGAGGTTTTTCGAGGAATATCATAAGTTGGGAATCGACTTCTGGGGAGTGACGCCCGAGAATGAGCCGACTGCTGGTTTGGATCCAAACTACCGCTGGCAGGCTATGTATTTGAGTGATGAAATGGAGAGGTTTGTACTGTCATACTGTGGTCACAATACTGTAATCTGTATCTTATCTTATTACAGTATACTGTCCTACTGTAGTGAGACAGACAGACAGAGGGACAGACAGACAGATAGACGGACAGACAGACAGGAACAGTTAAAGCCGCCAGACCATAGACTATCTTAAGCTAATATCACAAAGATTTTAAGTTCTAATGATTTTTAGAGCGGTATATGGTAGTGACAAGGAGCTTAAAGTATCCAGAAATAATTTTATGTTCATAGGGATTGGATCAAGGGTGTTTTGGGGCCAACTCTACGAGGATCGGATGTCACAAAAGATCTTAAAATCATGATTGGCGATGATCAACGGGGAATCTATCCAAAATGGGCTGATACGGTAAAAGAAAAAAAATCAAAAGAGACTAAAGTAATCCAGATTTTCTCCGATCCCGATGCGGCAAAATATGTTGATGGAATGGCGCTTCATTGGTAGATTTGATCTACCAATGAATCGGCTTTCAAAGTGATAAGAGACTTTAGGTACGAAGATTTGTTTGTCTCTGAAAAGGGGATCGCTGAGACTACATCGAAATACCCGGATAAATTCATGTTGGCAACTGAGGTGCTTGAAATTTTAAGGACTTTAATTCAAACTTGATAGGCTTGTACCGGCTTTTTCCCGTGGGAGCAAAATGTGTTGCCTGGGAATTGGAAAAGAGCCGAGATGTATGCTTTGGATATCATTGAGGTGAGGTACTCAGAAAAAAAATCAACAACCTTATCTTATATAGGATTTACGAAGTGGGGTCGTTGGATGGATCGATTGGAATCTTGTGCTCGATCAAATCGTGAGTTTTTTCTTACAGAATTTTTATTTTGAGAGGTTAGGGAGGCCCGAATTGGGTGAACAACACCGTGGATGCCGCGATCATCGCCAATGCGACAGTGGATCAGTTCTTGAAGCAGCCGATGTACTATGCGCTCGGGCATTTCAGGTGAGTGAGATATGCCTGGATACTTGAAATTATACTACCTACCGTAATACTTGAAACTGCGGTAATACCCCTCATGTATTACGATGTCAACTTACATTTTCAGCGCTTTTATCAAGCCCGACTATAAGAGGATCGACGTGAAGCTCGACCTTCATCAAGTTGATGGTAAGTCAATGCTATTTATAGCACAGTACTAGCAATTTGTGCACAAATCCACTCTAGGTGTGGCCTTTGTGGCTCCAGACGGAAAGCAGAGAGTGTTAGTGATGCTGAACAGAAACAAAAACGACGTCTCCTTCTCGATCCAGGATCAGAAAAACTCAGTTCGATACGGGAATGTTCTGTTGGAGGGCCGATCGATGAAGACAATAATTTGGAATATGTGATTTGCGTTTAATTTACATAAATCCATTCTTTGATTCCCTCCAAAAACCATAAAAAAAATCATTTGCTATAAATTTTTTTGCATCGATTCGGTTCTCTTTTTACGCACGTTTGGCGAATATGAAAGCTGCGCAATGGAAAGCTTTACAAAGCGTTTCGGTAAATGTTTTTGAAGGTTTTATATTCGAAAGTTGAGAAAATTTGGCATTTTTTTTTCTGTAGCCACGCTTTTTTTCAAGGTTTTGCATTCAAAAGTTGGAAGATTCTTCAAAAAAGTGGCTTTGCATACTTTCAAAAAGTTTTTTTACAGCATAAAAAAAGCGGTGCTTTCAAATTTTTTTGACATTTTTATCTATAAATGTTTGTTTCTTATTTTTTTTTCATAGCCAAATGATTTACAACTTTTAGTATGTCGGCGTGCTCACTTTTCTCGTCGAAATGCTTCTTTTCGTCGTGTTTCTCTTTATCTATCATTGTCGACAACTCAGGTGAACTGGAGCTTTCTAAGCGCTTTAACTTTTCAAGCTTTCTTTTAGTAAAAAGAAAAAGATTGTCCAGGGATCCGAGCCGAGCAAAAAAGCACAAAAGGTATATTTTCTTTTTTACATGTATACTTTTTGGCTTTAGGAACGCAAAAGCCTGCTCACAGTGATCCAGGAACCGGTCGACGTCCAGAAAAAACCTGGCATTGAGAAGGAAGTTGAAGCTTTGGTAAAATTTTCAAAGAGTGTTATCGTTAATTTTATTTGCAGTGTGATACGCAGCCACTCTCACCAGGCGACAATTCGACAGAGCCGTGGCTAAAGTAAGGATTTTTAGCATAAGAAATGAGTTAATGATTGAATAATGCTTTGTTAGCATTTAAAAGCTAACAAAGCATTATTCAATCATTAAGTCATTTAAAAGCGACAAAACAATCAAGAAATTTTGACTTTACTTTTGCTATTGAGCATTCATTATGTTAGTATTAGCAAGTAAATAAGATAAATTTTAATGAACAGTTTGTTTTAGCGAATCGATGTATGAACATGATTGCACAACGGCACGCGGAGTTTTAAATCAAGAAAATGAAGATCCACTTTTCACGCCGCTTGACGACATGCAAGACACTCAGCTACCCAGAGGTATTATTTTCAGATTATTAAGCTTAAATTAGTAAAGTTTCATCTCAGTTTTAATATTTTCTTTTTAGAAGAGCCTTTCACACCATATCAGTGCCGACCGATCTACGATCTTCCCGATGTATTTGTTTTTGTGTTATCGTCAAAAATATAATTTTTTAGATGGCGACAGTTCACTATGTTTCGAACATCGGGAAACCTAACGGATATCCTCAAAAGATGCCAAAAAATAATCTGGTTGCGTTCCCTGCAGTAAGTGCTTTTTCTCTCTTTAAAATTTGCCCATTCTAATCTAAACATTTTGCTTTAAAATCTTCTGGTTTAAAGTTGTTAAATCAATCTAACAGTAGACATTATTGTCTTAAAATCTTGGACTAATAACGACTTTTTAGGAGACGGGAATGCTGGTGGAATTAGAGAAAATGGCGCAAGCCCCAAACCATGATGGATACAATCAAAAGCCGTATTCACCGTATGATTACATGAAAAGCGAATCGTTTGACACACTGCCGCAGAGAGCACCACAACCAGCACTCATTCTTCGAGCACCGTCCAAGGTTATTTTTAACAAAAATATTTAGTTTTATTTAATTTAGCTAGTTAACAAAAGCTCTGTGCTTTCCTAGTACAAAATAAGCCAGACAACAATTATTTTGTTGAAAAGCAATGGTTTTTCTATTTTCAGGAATACAATGTTGCGACCAAAAAAGCCACGAAATGATTCAAAGCCTATGTTTATTTAATTTCTTGTGGTTTTGTGTAATAAATTTGCCTAGAATAAACGTTTTTATTTGCTTTTGCTTTGATGAACATTGGCAAGAAGAGTTGAGCCTGAAAATTCTGGGTTACTCAATATTATTCTCTAGTCTGGGTTATTCAATACCCGTCGAGTCACTCATTGAGTGTCCAAGGCTTATAATAACCCAACTTTTTGGGACAACTTTTGCCTTAAATTTGGCTGTAGTCCTCTACAAAACTCGGAGGACAGTAAGTTTTGTTTCAAAGTTGGGTTATTATAAGCCTTGGACTCTCAATGAGTGGCTTCTACTCATTTTCTTCTTCGTTTTACTGTCTGCACAGTGGCAAGCTGCGGAAGTTCAAGAGTCTCGTTGTCGCAAATGGAGCGGTCAACTCGTGACTTGAAGAGAATACCGTGCACACTTAAGTTACGGAAGCTTTTGAACTGGCCAAACAAATTGGAAAGTGAGAAAATTTGAAAAGAGATTGAGTTGAGAACAAATTTTGCGACAAAACAATCAAGAAATTTTGACTTTACTTTTGCTATTGAGCATTCATTACATAAAAAAGACAATTTTCTGAATGTTTTTTTGTGATCAAGGCAAGCAGCTTCACAATCAACTCGATTGTTGAATGCTTTTTACTAGTCTTTTGAGTTTTTAGAATTGAATTGGTTTGGTTTAGATTGAAAGTTTGGTTTGGTTTGCTTTGGTTTGGTTTCGTTTGCTTTGATTTTTCTCATTTAAGCGCTTTTTAAATGCGTTGTATAAGTCGAATCGGAAAATTTTTGATAAATTGGTCCAGACTATCGGTCTAAATGGGCGAAATGTTTACCAGAAATGTTTTTTATATTTTTTAAAGTGAATCATTTATTCTGCATTTCGTCGCAAGACCAAAAAAATAAAAAAAAACTGCAAAAAGCATCTGCTTACGCCAAGGCTTCAACTCTAATCTATTTATCTAATTGATGACTAATTTTCGATTTCGAAAACATTCGCTTTTTTTTCGTTGTAATTTATTTAAAGCATTCTCTGAGGTAATATTCGACTTTTTTCGATTGACGTCAGCAATTTACAAAGGGCTTTTTCTAGGTAATTACTGAGTAATGAGACGATTTTTTACAGTTTTGCTTGTCGTGAAAATCATTCTTCTCTCATTCATTTGCTTGGGTAAATCTTATTTGATTTATAAAAATTACCAATCACAAAAGCGGCAAAAACTATTCGAGGAAGATATTTAACGTTTGTTTGTTTTTTGTTTTCTTTTTGTAAATTATTGTTTAAATCGCATAATAGAGCTTTCTTTTTATTAGATTCATTAATAAATATCGGAAATAAACGAAATGATTCGAGTTTTCAAACATGAACATTTACATAAAAATATCTGATGTGATGAATGATGAACAGAACTGAAAAAAGGCAAAGTTTTTCAATTTCAGCATTGAAATCTTGAATAGTTCTTCAAAAAGGACAAAAATTAATAAAGAAAACCCCAAAGAATGTTCAAAAAACAAATAATAAAAACAAAAATGCTAATCGGATTCATAGATGCAAAGAAAATATTACTAATTTAAATGAAACATTTTCTACACGAAAAAGATTTAATAATTTAAGAGTTTACTTAACTCAAATCCGTTCTTCCCTTTCTTTTTCCTTTTGCTGACCTTTATTTTCTTTACTAGATCCTAATAAGAAAAAGATTCCAAACACCAAAAGACCTCCAGCAGCAACATAAGCAAGCCTCTCATTGCGGGCTGTAACCATGTCGCGATACTCGAGAACGTCTGTCACCTCAACACAATCAGCCAAATTTGGATTCCTCTCATTTGGATGTTTGCGTCTTTCACGGATCCAGCAAGGGGTCGAAGTTGAAAGGAATGGCTGTAAATCGTTTGGCTGTTTGGTTGCTAAATCGATTTTTTTGTTACTATAAGTCATAGAGGAATGCTATTAATGTGGAGAAGACGAATTCAGCTTGGGCTGGACCGAACAGAATTTTAGATAGGGTAGACCGATCTGGACCCTGTTTGACCAGGTTTTAACCAGATCCTACCTCTTAGACATGGATTAATCGGTCGAAGCCGGTGAAAAAAAAACAAAGTAAATGCTCACTTTTTTTGCAATAGCTTGCCAAAAATCCATGTCTACTATTTACAAGTAGCAACACCCACTGCATTAATAGCATAATCCAAATGTGAAGCGTTTTTCTGTTCAGAAAGGTACATTCCATTTCTGCACCATTTCGCAAAACACTCGCAATTATCGGAAATCACATTATAGTTACCGAGCATTTCACCGATCTAAAAAACAAAATTTGCGGCAATTAATGAATGTTACCTTTTCAATAATATTTTAACAAATTACTTGGCTCTCGGCCCGTCGAACTATTTCATCTTCCGAGTGTGGTCGATGTTTTTTATCGAACTCGTTATTAATTCGAAGCTGTGATTTCCCGGCCACTTCTGACAACTTGTCTCTGCAGATCTAAAATTGCAAGATTGTTTAAAAGTAAAGTATAAAGGTGTCAACAAAATAGACAAACAATTCACCTTGGCGTTTTTCTTATTCTGCGGTTCGCCAGAGAAATGAATGACTTCACCACCGCCCACATACACTGCCCAATGCTAAAACAGCTTATTTCAATATTAGACCGTAAAACTTCAAAAAACAATACTTTATATTGATATATATATATATATATGTTGTGTTCGATTTAGATTTCCGTCCGATTTAGATTGAACTTATCGCGGACGTCCGATTTAGATTACAGTCTATATCGGACGTCCGATTTAGATTCAATCTAAATCTTATATAGATTGAACAATAATATAAACATGCTTAATATATGTTCTTAAGCGTTTTCTGTAGTTTTCTGCATTTTTCAAAGGTCTTTTATTGATTACAGTCTATATCGGACGTCCGATACAGATCGAACAATAATAAACGTGCTTAATATATGTTCTTAAGCGTTTTCTGTAGTTTAAGCCTACAATTTGATGGTTGAAACGCTCCACAATCATCGTGAAAACTGCGAGAAACCAAAACTACCACAAAACTACCACGAAAACAACTTGCTGAAAAGATTTGCGCTCGTGATTGAACAAAAGGGAGCGCAGCTTTATCAAGGTAAGTAACTATAACTTTATTTCATTTTTTGCGTGTTCCATTAGGCCATAAACATTACTTATAAACAAATATTAAGCATGTTTATATTATTGTTCAATCTAGATAAGATTTAGATTGAATCTAAATCGGACGTCCAATATAGACTGTAATCTAAATCGGACGTCCGCGATAAGTTCAATCTAAATCGGACGGAAATCTAAATCGGACACAACATATATATAACTCTACCTGATAAAGGTTTCGAGAGAATTCGAGTAAATCACCGGGAATCGGTTCACTAATGATGAATTCCTCGTAGGCGAGCCAAGCCGTGACCAAACCACAGTGTTTCATTTCTATCAAAAATTATATTATAAAGGTGAGAGATTTAAACAAAAGAATTTAATGTTTGAAATCGGTATCCGGTTATATTCCCAAAAATTGAGTGAAATACGAGTTTTCTTTGTTTTATGAATACAAATACATAGAATTAAAATGCAATTTTCGAAAAGTATTGTAATTATTATGAAAAATATTCAATCTATTAACTAAATAACTGATCAAATTCTATTTAAATGACTGAATAAAAGAATGTATGGAAAGGAAATAAAAGATGCAAAAAAATGCAAAAAGATTATGTGTCATCGCCGTTCGAGATAACGTTTTTGAAAGCAAAGGCTTTAAAAAAAATTGATTCCTAGAAAAAGTTTAGTTTTATGCAAACATTTTCTAAGGAAATTCACAAAAATTGCCATGGGTTTTTGGAGAAAAAGTGAAGAAATTACAAATTTGAGGTTGTCATGAGAGACCGTTGCCTCTACTTTTATCTTTCCGGCTGCTAGCTATCGAGTAAGACAGCTTTCCTAGATGTCGATGAAACACTCGATTTCCGAACCAACGCCGTAACGAGGTCGGCATTTTGGAGGACACAAAATCATTACCTCCTGCCAGTTAACATTGCTGATCCTATTCTTGTGATTATTTTTTAAATTTCCAAGGGAACAGTCGTCTGTTTCTCTTCCGTTGCTCTTTCCCCTTCACGAGCCTGCCTGCCTGCTCAACTTCATTCATATTTGCCCCTACGATTGATATACAAAGATTTTTGCTTTGCGACACTGCTGTTATCAATTTTTCGTGTTATCTTCCATGTTTCTCTCAAGGAAAGCATCTTAAAATGGTCAAGTTCTCGTAATTTTACATCTAAAAAGTTGTAAAGTCAATTTTACACGATGCCAGTCCATCTTCTGAATCAATTCGAACGTCTAATGGAAATTTGCAAGACTTTTGGAAGAAAAAAAGAGCTTTGAGAGCTTACGAGCAATAGCTTTGATTACACATGCATCATAACGGTTTCAACTTGGAGATATGGAAAATTAGCGTTTATTCATTAAGGCAACAGTTTGATAATTGGTTAGAAACGGAAAATCAAGAAGAAGACCATCAGAATAAGAATGGCCACTCCCAGACTCTTTGTTTCTTCGACTTTTGCTCGAAGAATTTCGACCTAAATTTTCTGACACTTCAAAGCTATTGGTACTTTTTACTTTTTTGTTCAAAGTGTCGATATCGTTGCGAAGTTCCTGAAATCAATTGTGTAAAAGTTTAATACTTAATAGAGAGCTTTTTGTTTTAAAAGAGAAACCCAAACACAAAGTAAGCAGAGGTTACACTTTTTTACATCTTTTTTATCATTTTTATTCAAGTTAACAATGAAATTTCGATAAATTAAGGTTTAAATTAGGTTCACGACTATGTCTTGAGTAGAGTGTGTTCTTTTTTGCCTTTTTAATGTAATGCCTTTTTTAAAACGCACGCTTAAGAAAAATCACCGTACTTTTAACGAAAATTATTGTAAAAAAATTGGCGCGAAAATCACGAGCACTGACTTATATACGCTTTCTTTTAAAGATATTCAACCGTTAAACTGATTTGGTGGCAAATTCCTTTCAAATGTAAAGATATTCAATTTACTCGGCGTGTAAAGAGGATTACTCGTAGTTATTCGACGAAAAACGCTGATTAATCGAGTAAAGATTACTCATGCAAATTCTACTCGAGTAATTACTTACTCGTAGCCGTCGTAGCCGACCGGATAGGAGTCTTGTCTCCTAGTCGGTGGGTTAAGGGTTCGATCCCCGGCGGCTAGAAAGATTGCTTCTTTTTCCCATTATTATGGGTTTTTTCTTAACAACATTTGGGTAATAGGAGTAATTAGGGGTAAAAATTTCCTCCTTTATATTATAATTCATTATTCGTGTTGAATAAATATACTTATACTTATATTACTCACGAGGAACACACTCTAGTCTTGAGGTCCTAATTTCACTTTTCGTTTTACTAATAAAGAAATAATCGTAAGCAATTGATATAAAGTTTTTTTTACTAGAAAAACTTATTTTATTTTGGGCTTGATTTACGTAGAAACTGGTTTTATTTACTATTTTATTTTTAAAAAGTAATTGTGTTGAAGAAAGATGTCTTTTTCTAATGAAACAAACCTTAACCCATTCGAAACCGCAGCGTTTTTTCTTTTTTTTCGTCTACGGACCAAGCCCTTTTTTGACATTTTTGACTCCGAAGCAGTTTATTTATGGTTGGAAAGATGTAAGAGAGTCTCCTACACCATTTATTTTTGATGAAGAACGATTTGGATTTGACTTCAGTACTTTTCAAGATCCTATCGATTATTGTTCTTATTTTATCGACGACAATATTTTAGTAGGCGAATCTAATAAACATGGAAAAAGGAAAACAAACTGGCAGGATTTCGATGCAAAATCTTTCGAGCTCTTCCTGGCTTCAAATGGGAACCGTCAAATTACCGAGGATTCGTGACTACTGGAGTAGCAGGCCTGGATTAGGAGGATTTTCCCACATTTCCCACATTATGTCAAGAGCAAAATTTGAATCTATTCTTCGCAACCTGCGTTTTTGTGATAAGGAACTGGATCCTGCAGGAGATCGGCTTTATAAGATTAGAGCTATTATGGAACATTTCAATGCAAAACCAGAGACTGCATTGATTCCGGGTAAATATGAAACATCTTTTTTGCCCACGTAATTTGTAGATCTGCTACAGTTGGAATATACATGTAATGCTGAAAAACAGCAAAAAAAAAAGCAATTAATTGAATGAAAATAGCTCAATTAGCGCTGCAGCGGTCCGTTCCTGAGTTTTTGTTGCAGCGATTATTCGCTACAGAAGTTTCGAATGGGTTAAACGACTTGCTTATTCTCTTATTTGTAAAAGGAAAAGTGAAATTAGGACTCGAAGACAGTACTCAAACTAATAATTTGAATTATGTACAAATATATTAAATAAACTAGTTTTTATATAAACTTTTCACCTTTTCGCACAAAAGATGTTCATGAGAAATGTGCGAAATTTCTGCGTTTGGAGCTTCGACGTTCAATGGCTTTTCGAACGTTTCTTCCTTTTCTTTTTTCACAGAAATGTTGAGTGGAAAATTATCGTTGGAAGTTTCGACGTTCAATTGCTGTTCCAACGTTTTTTGTTGACCCGAGACAACTTGATGATTATGATCTGGATCTCGATAGATAGATAAACTTTAGCTTTAGCTGGTTTTTTCAAAATCTTATGCTTAACTTTTTGTTTCTTTACGGACCTGTTTCCTTTTTCTCTTGTTTTGTTGAGGCTCTGAGCTTGTCAGTGATCAGCGGTCGTTCAAGAGGCATTGACGAGTAAGGATACTGTAAATAAAAAAGACAAATTCAAAATACAGCCTTCAAAAAAATTAGATAAAGGCACATCGCTAGAATTGGGTTTCTATTGAAAATGTTGATATTTACGGATTGCAAGCCGACATATCAGTCGACTCGTGATTAAAGGATTGTGCTTACAATGTTATATTTGATCAAAATCTACAAGAATTTAGCAGGAAAAAGCAGGAAAAAAGACAATTTGTTATTAATTATATTACAGTTGAACATATTTAGATTATTTGGATGGCTTTTTAGATCATTTAGATCGTTTGGGTCATTTCGATCCTTTGGATCATTTAGATCGTTTGGATCGTTTGGATCATTTAGATCGTTTGGATCATCGTTTGGATCATTTAGATCGTTTGGATCATCTAGATCGTTTGGATCATCGTTTGGATCATTTAGATCGTTTGGATCATCTAGATCGTTTGGACACGTTTGGACATTAGACGTTTGGACACTAGATCGTTTGGATCATCGTTTGGATCATTTAGATCGTTTGGATCATCTAGATCGTTTGGATCATCGTTTGGATCATTTAGATCGTTTGGATCATTTAGATCGTTTGGATCATCTAGATCGTTTGGATCATCGTTTGGATCATTTAGATCGTTTGGATCGTTTGGATCATTTAGATCGTTTGGATCGTTTGGATCATTTAGATCGTTTGGATCATCGTTTGGATCATTTAGATCGTTTGGATCATTTCGATCGTTTGGATCATTTAGATCCCTCCTTTTTTAGATCATTTAGATCATTTGGATGGTTTTTTAGATCATTTAGATGGCTTTAAAAGCTCGTGATACCAAAAAAACAAACCATTTCATGAATTTGAGAAGACATCGTACAATAGCCTTGAAAAGCAGAAAGCAGAAAAGATTTTTTCAATTTAACAAAGAATCGTCAAAAAAACTAGCGACTCTTTTCTTTTAATTGACTTTAAAATAAAGCCAAGTCATTGATACGATTTTTATGCTCTGAATCATAAAGAAAATCGAGTCGAATAGAGAAAACAAACAAATCGAAGTGATTTTGGGTCCAATTTTTTTAAGCGTCTATCATTGATCTCCACTTGTAAAGCTTTTGCTGAGTAAATGAATAGAAAAACTTTGTCCAACACTTTTCAACTAAAGTCTTACTAACGAAAAAACATTGTTTTCTTTTGTTCAATTTTTATTTACAAATGACTTTTGAGAAAAGGAAACAATTGATACAATTGATACAATGATTGATTGATATTGATGCAATGTTATATGCGGTTATGATTATCTGATTCGCTTCTATTCGCCGCCTGAATAAAGCATATATATATATATAATACTTTGATTTCGAGATTCGTTTCCACAAAAAAAGCTAACTAGGCGCAGATTTTCATAAAAAAAAATCCTTTTCATTGATCTGTCATTGCTTTTTTTAAAAAAATCGATTTGAAAAATCAAAATCAAAATTGAGCACAAAAAAAAAGTTTTGCCGAAAAATGCTGTGTTTTTTTGTTCAATGCAAATTTAGCAGTCAGTTTTTTACAAGTATTGGGTTGTCCAGTTATGAATGCGCGTTTTTACTATTTTGTAAATTTCTCAAGATATCGAACAGATATGAGTGTTATATATCATTCGAAAGCTGAACATCTCCTCTACATTTTGATATAAAAAGCTTTGGAATTTGTTCAGTTTTTGGGCAAATTGACTGCACAAAGGGAGAGGTCGTTTTCGAAAAAACCCATTCCAGCTTAGCTATTCCTCAAGTTTTATGGTGTAAAATAGCCGCCCAGAAAAGAAAAGAAAAGTAAAGATGCTCTGAAATGGTTATATTTTAAAAAAAGTTGTATTGATATATCTATTGGCCAAACATCAAACGGTTAACTCAATTTGAGCGGAGCCAAAACTTGATCCAAAGGCACCCTTCCATTTTTTGGCCACCTCTTCTTCTGTGCAGTCAGTTGTGCCCAAAAGCTGGACAAATTCAAAAGCTTTTTATTTCAAAATGTAGAGGAGATCTTCAGCTTTCGAATAATACTCATATATATCTTTTTCTTGATTTCAGTATCTTGAGAAATTTACAAAATAGTAAAAAACGCGCATTCATAACTGGACAACCCAATAATAATCATTGTTTTGCCGTCAAAATTGTTTAAGAGAATGTAATTTGTACTTTTTCAAAGTTTACTTGACTTTCTACCAACACAAATGCACTTTGAAAACATGAAAAACATGCATGGAAGCAGAGATTATCATACGCTGTTGTCGGGTTATTAAAAGTGTATAACAAAAAAAAGAATTTGATAATTTAAATGTTTAAACGATCAAGAAAAAAAGTAAAATTAAGTTTTAAACAAAGTTTTAAACAAAAAAAGGAAAAAAAACAAGAACAAAAGATAAATTGTTTCTGTGAATGTGCACTAGATAAAAGACTTATTTGATTATAAGGTGATTTAATTGCAGCACTACGGTAACTAGTGCATTTTAGTAAGTTTTTTGTGTGTACTGGACTAGAAATTTTAGCTTTTGCTGATGTGTGTGTTTATATCTTTACATGTAAACAAGATTTTAATGGTTAAATAGTTTGTATAAGCAAAAATGTATGCTCCATACAAGAGATACGTTTCATAAGTCCAGCTAAAACATACGATTCTTCAGTATTTCTTAAGAGAGACTTTGAAATTAGAAAAAAAAGGCACTTTCTGGTCATAAATATTACAATATTTATCGTTTTTTATTGAGAATCTATTAATCAATTTTGTCTTTTGTCTTTTGAATCGAAATGAATAAGTAGATAGGCATATTTGAACCTTTTAAAAATGCTATTGAGCCCAAGTCATCAATGTTTATGTACTAGAACTTGAGATTAGTTTTTTTAAAATTTCTTTCTTCAGAGCAGCTCTGCTATACAGGGTGTCTCAAAAAATACCCCTTTTCAAAGCAAAATGAGAAAAACTTTAAGTGGCTATTGGCGGCACTCCTGGTGCCAAAAATCTTTTTTCTTTAACGCAACTTTTTCACTTTTTTTTTCACGGCTTTCTCTTGAGAGCGATTGTTTTGGTGCGCTCAATATGACACATTTGATATGACACATTTGATATGACACATGATTAAGATGGAAGATTTGCCATCTAAAGAGAATTTTCTTCGCTTTCTTCACTTTTTTCTCAATTCTTTACTGGCTGATTGCGAAAGGGTAGAATGAAATTTAGAATTTTGAACATCAGTAACTTTAGCTGCAAGTAATGGCGACCAGTTGATTTCGATGAATTGAACGGAAGAATTTTTAGAAATCACAAAATTAGTCCATAGATGGAGAATTAGAGGAAACGATGGTTGTGAAGAGGTCGCTTTTTATGGTAATCTCTGGTACGGCCAGTTTGACACATTGTATAGCACGTTTAGCAAGTTGGGAACAAAACAATTTATGAAAACTATGAACTAATTTTGTGATTTCTAAAACTTGTTGCGGGTAATTTTGCCCAACCCTGTACATGCTGGTTTGTCTATATGGAATCATGAGTGTTTGTCGAAAGGGATCAATCCAAAAATACTACTATTTTTTGGCGTCTCCTGAATTAATTTCCTAACACTTTAAATCAAGGCAAAATGTGTTCTGATGGTGTGTTCTGATTTTCAGTGGCAATGACAAACTCAAAAATGTCGAAAATTCGAAAGATGCCCGTTTTCTTCCTATTTTTCGTACTCTCTATGCAATTCACAAATGGGCAATCAACTCAAACATGCGTGGTTTCCGAAACATTTCGCCTTTCTAGTATACTTCGTCCGGGAAAGACTTTCCGTCGAAAAGGTTGACTTTGCCCAAAGGCACAAAATAATTCTCTCCGGCCGCTGAGGTCATGTATCGGGAAGGTACGTAGGTTGCCCTCGGGAAAAGTAAAATTTTCCGGTGGAACGACTCTCCGGATGGCTTCTGGTTCCCCTCTTTTTTTTTGATCTGTCTTCGCACTCAGGTGTTCCTATTTGCGCAGATCACAACCGGCTTCCACATTTCTCTATCCCTTGCTATTGTTATCCAGTGTTTCCTATCTTGATTGTTCCTGGTTCGAAGTCTTCGACTTGCTTGTGCTGATGGTGGTTGCACTCTAGCCCTCCTTTCTCTGACCGTCTCTGCCACTCTTGTGCTCCACCTCGTTGCTGGTCTTCCGATGGGCCTTTTCTGGTCTCGTGGTAGCCACTCTGTGTTCCGTATCGTCCATCTGTCGTCTGTCCTTCTGGCTACGTGGCCGGCCCATCTGAGTCTTTTTCTCTCAACTTTTTTCTCTTTTTCTCTCGGACATCTTGATGGTGGTGGTAGCCTCCGTGTAGCAGTCTTGTATGGCGTGGATAGATCCGAGGTCAGTCCCTGCGTCGAGGAGGGCTTGTGTCACTGCGCCTGTTCCACTGAGTTGAATGCCTTCTTGTAGTCGACGAACACCAGGATGAGTGACATTCGGAATTCTCGTGTTTTTTCGATCAGTTGGATGACGGCTTGCATGTGGTCGATCACCGAGAAGTTCTTGCGGAAGCCGGCCTGCTCCACTGGCTGGTAGTCGTCGAGTTGCCGCTCTATTCGTTGTTGGAGAATCTTCGTGTAGAGCTTGTACAGGGCCGATAGCAGAGATATTGGCCTGTAGTTTCCGATGTCTTCTTTGTTTCCTTTCTTGTAAGCAGGACTGTTCTTGCTTCTCGCCAGTGGTCAGGTATCCTCTGGTTGTGGAGGTAGGTGGTGAAGCGTTGTGTGCAGCTTGTGTATGTCTTCTCCTCCAGCCTTGAGTAGCCCTATCTTGATATTGTCTGGCCCTGGTGCTGTTCCAGTCTTGGTGGTGGCGATGGCTGCTCTGATTTCGGCTCGGAGGACTGTCGGTATTTCTTCTGTGGCAGCTGGGACTTGCGGTGGTGGGTGGGTGCCTGTCTTGGACAATCTTCTCCATCGCCGCTCTTGAGTTGGTTCTTGTGCCGTTGTTGTCCTTGACGGCTGTGAAGACTTTTCTCTCTTGGATGAGTCCTCGTCTACACCCCTTGATGCTTTGTCTTGCTTCGGCCGCTTCCAGGAGCTTTCGCTTGCGGTGGTTGCTGAGGTCCATCTTGAGGTGGTTGACGAAATATAATAGAAAGGCGAAATGTTTTGGAAACCACGCATGTTTGAGTTGATTGCCCATTTGTGAATTGCATAGAAAGTACGAAAAATAGGAAGAAAACGGGCATCTTTCGAATTTTCGACATTTTTGAGCTTGTCATTGCCACTGAAAATCAGAACACATTTTGCCTTGATTTAAAGTGTTAGGAAATTAATTCAGGAGACGCCACAAAATAGTAGTATTTTTGGCTTGATCTCTATTTTTGGATTGATCGGCAAACACGGATGATTTCATAAAGTGTTAGGAAATGAATTCAGAAGACGCCAAAAAAATAGTAGTATTTTTGGATTGATCCCTTTCGACAAACACTCATGATTTCATATAGACAAACGAGCATGTACAGGGTTGGGCAAAATTACCCGCAACAAGTTTTAGAAATCACAAAATTAGTCCGTAGCTTTCATAAATTGTTTTGTTCTAAACTTGCTAAACGTGCTATACAATGTGTCAAACTGGCCGTACCAGAGATTACCATAAAAAGCGACCTCTTCACAACCATCGTTTCCTCTAATTCTCCATCTATGGACTAATTTTGTGATTTCTAAAAATTCTTCCGTTCAATTCATCGAAATCAACTGGTCGCCATTACTTGCAGCTAAAGTTACTGATGTTCAAAATTCTAAATTTCATTCTACCCTTTCGCAATCAGCCAGTAAAGAATTGAGAAAAAAGTGAAGAAAGCGAAGAAAATTCTCTTTAGATGGCAAATCTTCCATCTTAATCATGTGTCATATCAAATGTGTCATATTGAGCGCACCAAAACAATCGCTCTCAAGAGAAAGCCTTTTGGCTGTATTTAAACTTTATATGTTCATGGTTGGGCTGTGTTGCCGAACTCGAAATGCTTTTAGGCTCCTTTTCTTTGTTCTTTTCGAGTATTTGTAGCCCGCACATTATACAGGGTTGGGCAATGCCAAATCGCATTTTTCAGGTCATCAATCGATCCGGCAGAATAACCGATTATTGATAATGTTTCCTTTGGCTGAGGGGTTTTTACTTAGTGACCGTATTGATGTGAAACGCTCGCGTTTCATACTTAATGAGTCTTTTCTGTCTACATGTAGTCGACCTCTATCCGGTGCGCCGCCATTTTTCACGATTTTATACAGAAAAAATTGTTCGAAAAGGTTTTTGTCAATCTGTCAATCAATATCAATATGTCAATATGAAATCATCAGCGTTTCTCGAAAGGGATCAATCCAAAAATACTACTATTTTATGGCGTTTTCTCAATTCATTTTCTGAATTCATTTTCTAATCAACTTTGAATCAAGACAAAATGTGTTCCGATTTTCAGTGGCAGCGACAAGCTGAAAAATGTGCAAAATTCGAAAGGTGTCCGTTTTTTTCACATTTTGCTTCATTTCAATGCAATTGACGAATGGGCGGCAGTGGATACCGCCTCCTGGATACACAGAACGTGGCTTGCCTCATCCACTCAAGGTCAACTCATCAATAAGCTTATCAATATATTCTAAAAAACATTGTTTCTTTTAAGCTTGTGCCCACCGACGACCACGTTCACTTTGGCTATGTGTTGGTGGCTTTGAAAAAGTATTTTCAAAAATCTGACTGTTGGCAATCGTGCAAAGAAGTGTTTTCAACGGGTTTGTTAAAGAGTTAATATGTCTTGTCCAAAAACTATAGATCCACTCGTTTTTTAAATCAAAAGGGGATGGTTTTTATCGTAGACTGTGATCGGTCTACGATAAAAATATCAGACTGATCAAGTTCATATTTTGACCTTTGCTTAGCTGGAGTGCTTATCTAAACTTTAAACTGGCGGGAGCTCATCAAAACAGCGCCCATGTACAAACAGCGCCAAAATCAAAAGGTTTTAAATTAGCTTTTAAATAGCTTTTACAAAAGAAAAACGAATGAAAAGTTGATTAAAGATCATTAATAATCAATAAATGCTCCCTTTTTCTCGATGACGTCGAGTAGTCGACTTTTCATCGAGTTCACTAAGTTTTGAAGCGTTTGTGGTGGAATTGACGTTCAAGCTTGCAAAATTGCTTTTTTTGAGTTGCGAAATCGTGTCGTAAGTCTTTCCATTAGCATAAATATTCGTCACGAGGATGCCCCATAAGTTTTCCATCAGGTTTAAGTCCGGTGAGCAGGCAGGCCATTCGAGAAAATCGATGTTGTGACGTTCCAGAAAAGCTTTAGTGTATTGGCTGACATGAATTGAAGCATTATCCTGTTGAAAAATATAGCGTTTCCCTCAATTTTGTGCTAGGAAAGGAAGTAGTTGATCCGCAAGGACGTCCTGGCAATCGTTCGAGTTCATGTGACAAGTCACAAATTCTGAATCAAGAACGTCATCCCCATTGAAAGCGCCCCATATCATCAGTGATCCTCCTCCGAAGTTTCGACGCCCACAAAGCATTGGATCTTTTCTCAAATCGTGCCAATAGTACTTGTTGCCGTCGGCACCATCCAAATTAAATTTTTTCTCATCGCTGAAGATGGTCTACAAAGAAAAAATGGTTAACAACTCAAGGCAAAAAGTTTACTTTTTTCCAATCGATGGTGATGTGATCCCGAGCCCAAGACATCCTTTTTTCTTTGTGTGCCGGCTTCAGTTTTGGTGCTTTCTTGACGACTGCTTTTTTGATGTAACGGATGTAACACTTGGTGGCTCGAGAAAGAGTGTTTTTGTGGACGGGAGCTCCAATTTGTACCGGACGTCCTGTAGCGACATCACGGAATCCGACAACAGACGTTCCATATGCCGTTCGGCGCGGACCGTGAGCTTTCGATGACGTCCCGGAGGCTTTTTCTTGGCATACTTGAAAGGATCCTTCAAGAAATTTGAGACAACTTGGTGCGAGCGCTTCATTTTTTTTGCGATCTTTCGATTTGACAACTTTCTTCCTTTCAAAATCAAAATTTCCATCTGTTCGATCCGCGAAAGCGATTTTCCACGCGCGATCTTCCAAAAAATAAAAATGAGCAAAAAGCAAGCAAGAAACATGGTTATTACAGGTAGAAAATCAAAAAGAAACGTAGTGGTCCTATCATTTTGCAATAGGTGTAAAATAAAGAAATGCTTGAAAATTTTGCCTTTTAAGGTAAATTATTTGACAAACGGTATTTGTGCGTTTTGTATATAAAATTCTTTTGTACTTTTGTATATAAATTTTTGGAAAGTAAAACACATGTTATGGCAAAGCACCTTATCGCAATGCCTATGTCGTACAGTAAAGTTTGAAATTTCAATAATAATCTTTGAATAATATCAAGAGAATGAAAAGAAAAAAGAAAAGAAACGCCGGCTCACTTTTTGTCAAGCATTCGTTTTTGGGGCTGTTTGTACACGCCGCTGTTTCGTTGAGCGTACATGGGCGCTGTCTTGATCAGCCCCCCATTTGGCCCATTCGTATTTTCAAACTTACCGCGTCAACTTTCAACACTTTTGGAACTTTACGGGTTTGTAGCTTTACATGTTGATAGAGATAGCAATGATAAAATGCAAACACATTCAGAGTCGGATGAAGTGCCCAACGCTAGCTCCTGTGTTTGTCATCGAGTCGACGAAGATATGGATGAAGTTTTGATGATGCACTTCTTTGTAATGGGTGCCTCGATGATGCGAGGAGTGCGAAATCGAACAGAAATGGCAATGACGATCAAGTCACCCTAACTATGGCGCGTTGAATAAAGTTTTCGTTGCAAAAACAAGCCACATTGAATCCGTTGACTTCAGAGCACAATTGTTGTGGTTCGGATGGAATGGGTGAGTCTCTGATCGGTCTCACTCGATGCTGAATCGATCTCAAACTTGCTAAAGCCATTCCTTGTAAGACTACGAGTACAGTAGACATACCGTAAATACTGTAATAGTACCCCACCCCCATAATGACGGTGCGGAGTGTTGCGTAGTCTAGCTTTGAACGAGTTTTTCTCGACATTGGTTTATGCTACAATGCGCGCTTAGGTCTCAAAAAATAGCCCTGAATTTCAGCTATTTTTTGATACCAAAGACACATTTTTTGAAAGTACGGGTGCTTTGAAAAAAATGAAATAATGAAATACTTGCGACTACGCGACTGTACGAGGGGGGTGAGGTACTATTACAGTATTTACGGTAGCTGTTTGCAAAATCTTAGCAAAACACTTGACAGAGCAAAAGTGGAATGATCAAATTTTTTTGAAATTTGAAATGCAATATTGGAAAACGATTCTAACGTGACTTCTTGACTGTGATTTCTTCAAAATTTTAGTAACCAATTAAAAAAAAGAAAATGTTGTCTCCTAGACGATTTCTCAATCACTTCTGATTATTGGAAACAAAGTTATTTCTTCCCTCAAGTAATAAGCTAAAAAAACAAATGTAAAGTGATCATCAGTTTATCCGCTAAATTCTATTAAAGCATAAAAAAAAACATTTTCATCTATTGAATGACTAATTTAGTCGTTTCATCACAGCCATATTTCGTTTTGTGTGCCTCAAAAAGTTCCACCAGTTCTTTTACATATCGAGCATGAACCTGAATCGATGTTTTGTCGAAATTCACCGACTTTTTCTCACCTTATCCACCTCTTCTCTGCTAGGATTCTTATTTTTCTCAACTTTTATCGGATTTCCCACAACATAGTCGATCGGTTTTCTGTAAAATGGTTTTTTGTGCTTAGTAAATAGGATTTTAAATTGAGAAGATAACTTTTTCTACGAAGCACTGTTTTTAATAGCATTTCTCTACAAAATGGCTTTTGGAGGAGAGCCAAAAAAAAAAACCCCCCGACCAAAAGAAGGCAGAAAGAGAGTTTTTTTTTTTTAAATTTTTTTTTTTTTTTTTTTTTTTTTTGTAATGTAGCAATATGTTATATGCGGTTATGATTATTTGATTCGCATCTATTCGCCTCCTGAATAAAGCATATATATATATATATTCGCGGGCAAAAACATAATTAAGAACCCAACAAAAAAAGACCTTTTGAAACAAAGCGGTCCATATATATAATTATTGTTTTAAAGAAAATAGCTGAACGAATCGTTTTCAAATTTTACAGACTTATGTGATCGAATCAGCTCTATGTTAGGAAAAAAAATTTTGTAAAGACTCATGCACAAAAAGTGTTTGAATCTGAGAAATTTTTTCACCTAAACGGTAAGAGTCCAAAAGTGTAATTGAAAACGCCTCGACCGCGAAAGATTGGAGGTGAGATTCCGAGTTTTTGCTTTGCCCATGTTTGAAATTCTCGTAACTTGGAACCCTGAAAAAGTTGAAAGTTGAAAAGAATCGTAAAGGTACTTTCGGATTTTCGATTTGAGTGTAAATATCGTTTTCCCCAAAAGCGTAACAGGGCACAAGAGAGGCTCCACTTTCAATAGCCAAACGAATGAAGCCTTTTCTAAAATTTGACACGTAAAGTTCTGTTGTTTTTTAAAATTCTCTTTAATTGAATCTCGAATTGTGGGGTAGGCTAATTTCCGCCATTTTATTTGCGCAACTTTTTGACGTTTTTAAGGCACTGGCGCGAAAGCAAAGCGGTGCGCTTTACGTTTGCGTTCGTTTGCGCTTGCGTTTGCGTACGTTTGCGCAACTTTTACGAAAAAATGACGCAAATAATCAACCGTTTCAAGCTTTCATCGGCTATCAATCTCACTGTTGGACAAAACTACGCACGGAAGAAAACTGTATTGGCTCGACAAAAGCAGTATTTTACTGCTATTTCTAATGATCGCTTGCCCGGTTGCGATTTTGTGCAACATCTTTCTCAGCTTTTGACTTATATTTTTAAAAATTTGATTTTTATTGTTGTTGTTGTCCTAAATTTCATTGCTATTGTTGTCCTAACTTTCATTGTTATCGGTTGCACTTTTTTGTTAAAGCAATAAAATATTTTACTAATGGTTATTAGCTCCTAGAAAGGACTAATTTAGATAAATATTGGAAGATTGCGCAAATAAAATGGCGGAAATTAGCCTACCCCTTAATTGTTATTATTTCATAAGTTTTTATAGTCAAAAGATAGCTAAAAGATATCCAATCATTCACAGAATTTAAATCGTATTACCTTTTTTTAAATTTTGAGTTATTATAATTTGTGTGGGCTTTCTAATCGCACCAGTATAACCAGTATGGAAATCTGTCAAACGTAGAGCTCAGATGATTAGGAGTATTCAAAAAAGTTGTTTATCAGATCAGCTTTAGAAAAATGACAGACCAAATCATCTTTTATTACGCACAATTTTCGAGATAAAGCTAACCTGTTGCTCAACGTGAGCGTGTGGTGTCCAGGGTGAGCATCTAAAGCCTCTTCAGCGCCACCAATCACCAGAACCGCCGCCAATCCTTTCTTCTCATTTTCCAACACCCAATTGATGCTCTTTTTGCTGCATCCAATGAAACCGTGAAGCATTGCGTATTCCCGTCGAAATGGTGTCCAGAATTGACCCTCAAGAGTGCACAATCGAAAGCTAAAAAAAGCATTTTTTATTAGATGAGCATACTATGATAAGTGAATTTGATCACTTATTCAAAACAAATATAAAAACTTAAATAAGTTTTAAATGCTAGTTTAAACTAGTTTAAACTAAGTTTAAACGCTAGAAACGCTAGTTTTAAAATCTATATGTCGTTGCCGATTATGAATGAAATTTTTTTTGGCAAACCTTTCTAGTAGGTCAACCCTTTAATGTAAGAGGACAATATTATATTCATTTTGTAGTGAATTAAATTCTGTGTCGATTGGTATCAAATTTGTGAGTTTAGGTTAAAAATTGCGAGCACTACAACGTTTCATTCAAAATCGGCGGGACCCACTGTAGCCGATTATGAATGAGTGGGTCTAGGCGTGTCCAATCATCAAGTATTTGATATCATTTAACGCAGAACTATTGATAATTATGTTCAATTTTTTTTAATTAAAAAGATTTGATGAAAAGAAAAAATTAGAGCGAAAAAAAAGTTTGTTTGAGAGAAAACTTTGAAGTCCCGTTAATTTTTTTCTTTTTATCTAATCTTTCTAATTAAAAAAATTGAACATAATTATCAATGATTCTGCGTTGAATAATACCAAATACTTGATGATTGGACACGCCTAGACCCACTCATTCATGATCGGTTACGACATATATAAAAGTGACAGAGAAAAATGGAATAAAAGTATGCTAACCACAACCGAACATTTTCTGTTCTCACTCACAAAACATTTGGAAACAGCTTGTCTACTCCAGTTGCATTTGATGTGAAATTAACAAGAGCTGCAAGACTGATGATCCCATGTGGATGTGAGCCGACCAAATAGTTCTACAAATGCACAATTTTTCTTCTCTAACAACAAGCACAGGCTAGCGACAACTTTTTGGAAAACTATCTGCGAAATATCTAATTTATTTCAAAAGAAGCAATTGTTATACAAGGAATTGTAGCCCTAATTCTTGGCAACATTTATCTATCAAAAACATCCCGATTGGACTTATACAACTCATTTAACAAGCGCTTGAATGAGCACTAGTCGACATCTCTCCGACGATTAACCATCTATCATTTAACCGATTTTCTCTATTAAAAATTGTTAAGAAAAGCTTTTCAATATTTCTTTAATGCAAAAATAGCGTTTAACATCACTTCATAACATTAAGAATCACACTTAACTGTTTTGGCTGAACTAGTATAACAAAAAAAGCAGCCAAATGACAGAATGCCGTCGGTGAGATGTCGACTAGCGCTCATTCAAGCGCTTTCTAAAAAATACGCTTCAAAATACGGTTTAGAACATTCGAATCGAATCGGTTAATCAAAAAACACAAATTTTCGGACAAATGATCGAATTTAAACTGATTCAAAACGAAAAAAAACCGGTGCTATTTTAGAAAAAAAAAGCCCCACCGTTGATCCATCCAATTCGGCCGTTTTGTGCAATCTCACTGGGAAATAGTCGGCAAAATACTTGTGCACTCGCATATCTCGAAACCATTTCAATGGATAGGCTCCCCTTTGAGGGCTTTCCCAATCGAAGTAAAGCCTGAAAAGAAAAAGAAAAGAGTTGCCAAATGAAAATGAAAAGCTTACCAAGTTGCGTATACAAATATCAGCCACCAGAACGAGGTGAATAGCTAAAATTGAATCTGTTAAATTTATCGAAAGTTTTATTCACCAAATAAATGGGCAACACCAGCATCATAATCACGATTGCAAGGGTGAGGAAAAAATGATGGAGAACGGCAATCGTTTGCAGTCTTCTCTGCAACGGAATGTTCAGTGGGGCAAATTCGATCCCAAGCACACTCGAGGGTTTCTAAAAGAAATGCTTTATTGCAAATTGTTATTTCTTTCGTTTCATGGAGTTTGCCCTACTTTCTATTACACCTGTTCACCAAATTTGCAACTTGCAAAATCAAAATTTTCGGGGTGGGACAAATGCGACCTTTTTTTTGCTGGAAAAAGCCTTAGGAAAGGTCGTAGAGCTTCAAAAATGTTTTCATAGAAGGGAATCGTATGCGTAGATTCCGAATTTCGACAAAACAGACCTCGCTGACACGTCAAATTTGGGCTAAAAGGCAAAAACTGCGGAAAAGCGTTAAGTTTCACAGTTTGTGCCTTTTAGCCCAAATTTGACGTGTCAGCGAGGTCTGATTTGTCGAAATTCGGAATCTACACATACGATTCCCTTATATGGAAATATTTTCGAAGCTCTATGGCCTTGCCTAAGGCCTTTTCCAGCAAAAAAAGGTGCGCAAATGTCCAGGTGCGCAAAAAAAAAGGTCGCATTTGTCCCACCCCCAAATTTTCTCCTGGTTTCTTAACAATTAAAGCATTTTTAAAAATCTAGATGTATCAAAAAAAATTGAAAGCCTTGAAGCCTTGAACTTGAAGATTTTTTTAGACTAAAAATCTCTGAAGAAAAACAAAATCATTGAAAAACTCACATTCTTTTCTTCTGTCGGATCGATCATCATTGGGAACTTTTATTCAATTTCTGGCTTTCAATTCCTTCAACAATGGTGAAAATAAGAAAAAAACTTTTTCAGAAAACGTCTTAAAATGATTAGAAATCGATGTGAGAACAGAGCTAAAAGCTAAAAGTTCACCGATAGTCTCTCTTTTAGTCTCGAAAAAAGAAAAAGGACTTCACCCTTGTCTTATCTCAAAACTTTCTTTTCTTTTTTTTTGAAAAACTCAGAAAAGATTTTTAAATTTTTTAAAGTACCTTCTTTGCAAAACAAACCAAAAAAAAACAAAAGCAAAACAAAAAAGTCTCAAAAAACTCAAGCAGTGAATTTGTTCTTTAATGAGACAAAAAGTGATATCAGACAAAAACGCTTCCCTACGTGCACACACTCAACTTTTATAAGTTTACACACGATTTATTTGACGCCTCACAAGTTTCGAATGGTTCAGAATTAGCGTGAGCAGAAAAAGAAGAGATTTTCATCTCATTCAACGAGTGGCCTCTAAGCCTATCGGATCTTAATCCGATTGATTTTTCAGTCTGGTCTGCAGCAAAGAAAGCTGCAGCAAAGAAAGCTGCAGCAAAGAAAGCTGCAGCAAAGAAAGCTGCAGCAAAGAAAGCTGCAGCAAAGAAAGCTGCAGCAAAGAAAGCTGCAGCAAAGAAAGCTGCAGCAAAGAAAGCTGCAGCAAAGAAAGCTGCAGCAAAGAAAGCTGCAGCAAAGAATTTGTTTGAATTTTTGTTTTTGTCATTTGTTTTTTGGACATTCTTTGGGGTTTTCTTTATTAATTTTTGTCCTTTTTGAAGAACTATTCAAGATTTCAACGCTGAAATTGAAAAACTTTGCATTTTTTCAGTTCTGTTCATCATTCATCACCTCAGATATTTTTATGTAAATGTTCATGTTTGAAAACTCGAATCATTTCGTTTATTTCCGATATTTATTAATGAATCTAATAAAAAGAAAGCTCTATTATGCGATTTAAACAATAATTTACAAAAACAAACAAAAAAACGAACAAACAAACAAACTTTAAATATTTTCCTCGAATAGTTTTTGCCGCCTTTGTGATTGGTAATTTTTCGAAATCAAATAAGATTTACCCAAGCAAATGAATGAGAGAAGAATGATTTTCACGACAATCAAAACTGTGAACCCGATCCAACTCATCGAAGAAAAATGAAAAAGTTTTAAAAGAAGAGAAATTGAATGAGAAAACACAAGTTTTTACCAAATTTAAATAGGTTTTTTGCAAGAAAAATACGAATAAAAGAACTTTCTCACACAAAAATCGACTCCCACTACTCAGCAATTACCTAGAAAAAGCCCTTTGTAAATTGTATACGTTCCTAGGTATAAACGGATGTGGACTAGAATTTGGGTTAAGTTAAAGAGAGTGGATCCCTTTTGATATCCCGCCATCTCCAACACACCGACAACCCAACTCAACTCCTCCAACGTATTAGAGGGGAGTCCCTGTGAAATGACCGACCTGTACTTGCACTGCAGTTGCATAGACCCGGAAGATACGTATCTTTATTTACAGTAATACAATAAGATGAATAGATTAGAAATGAGTGTAAGGGGAAGGGGGGACTCCTAATGAGAGTCTCATTTGCCCTCCTAGGCAATCCTAAGGACCGCCCCTTCTCGGCAATAAAAGGGATAAGCACAGAGGAGAACACATTTGCATAAGATTAGACAAAGCATTCAATGATAACAATAGTAACTAAAATATCAGTTTGGCGCGGAGCTGACAATTGATGACGTCAATCGATCGAAAAAAAGTCGAATATTACCTCAGAGAATGCTTTAAATAAATTACAACGAAAAAAAATCGAATGTTTTCGAAATCGAAAATTGGTCATCAATTAGATAAATAGATTAGAGTTGAAACCTTGGCGTAAGCAGATGCTTTTTGCAGTTTTTTTTTATTTTTTGGTCTTGCGACGAAACGCAGAATAAATGATTCACTATAAAAAAAAGGTTTCTGGTAAACATTTCGCCCATTTAGACCGATAGGCTAGATCAATTTATCAAAAATTTTCCGCTTCGACTTATACAACTCATTTAACAAGCGCTTAAAAGAGAAAAACCAAACCAAACCAAAGCAAACCTACAATCTGGACCAAACCAATTCAATTCGAAAAACTCAAACGACTAGTAAAAAGCATTAAACGATTGAGTTGATTGTGAAGTGAAGATGTTGCCTTCGATTCTGGTTTTCGACTCCCACTACTCAGCAATTACCTAGAAAAAGCCCTTTGTAAATTGTATACGTTCCTAGGTATAAACGGATGTGGACTAGAATTTGGGAGGGCAAATACCAAATACTTGATGGTTGACGGCGTCCGGACCCGCTCATTCATAATCGGCTACGACATATAGATTGAACAATAATAAAAACGCGCAATATATGTTTTTTTTTTTTCCTTTTTCAAAGGTCTTTTATTGTTACATTACGATATCGGACGTCCGACAGATCGAACAATAAAAAACGGGTTAATATATGTTGTTACTTTTGCAATTTTGCGCTTTTCAAAGAAATTTTATTGTCTTTTTTGAGTTTTTTTTTTTGTTTTCCTATTGAATGCATCACAATTCAAAAACATTCAGCAAATTGTCTTTTTTATGTAATGAATGCTCAATAGCAAAAGTAAAGTCAAAATTTCTTGATTGTTTTGTCGCAAAATTTCTTCTCAACTCTATTTCTTTTCAAATTTTCTCACTTTTCAATTTGTTTGGCCAGTTCAAAAGCTTCCATAACTTAGCTGTACACGGTATTCTCTTCAAATCACGAGTTGACCGTTCCATTTGTGACGACTAGGCTCTTGAACTTTCGCAGCCTGCCACTGTAAAACGACAGTGCCACTGTCGTTTTACAGTGGCAGGCTACGGAAGTTCAAGAGCCACTAACAGACAGTAAAAAGAAGAAGAAAATGAGTAGAAAACGTTACATTCAAATAATCACCTTTCAAATTGGAGACAATTTTCTATTTTCTTGTAGATGATTTTCGATCTATTTCAGTCAGTTCACCGATAAAACACTTTTAGAAATAAACCATCAATAATTAGCTCTCTAGTGCACTCGCTAAAAGCAATTAACAAATATTTATGATAAAAACAAAAAACGGTCAAAAATGACAAAGTAAAACAATAAAAAACTGAAGATTTTTCTTCAATGTTTTTAAAACTTTCAAGTATGCCAAGCCTAGGCGGCAGTAATCGACAGGGTTTGGTTCATCACCTAGAAATATTTCTTTTTTGAATTTATTCTTTTTTTTTAAAAGACGATACTGGTTTTCTTGTCACAAGCTATAAACTCTTCACCTGAAATTCTCTGTCAGAGCTTTAAAAAAGTAATTTTTCCTAAGTTTCAGTAGATCCGTATTACTTATTGATAAATGTAGATAGCTTGGTCTGAACGTAAGTCTTTAACTTCGATCCAAGTCTGGTCCAAATGCAAATCGATTGAAATTTTTCCTGTTCAGACGGGTTTGGGATATGAATGATTGGAGATAAAATGTTTGTTTTCTATCGCTCTCACGCTTAAAATACCCAGAACAATCGGATTCTCCTCTTTGACCAAGTTTTGCGAAAAGTTATTTTTGATAAAGCTAATAAAATGACAAATAAACATTGAAAACTTGAACTTTTAACACTTATCACAGAAATTCCCGTACCTGAAGGAGCATATTGAGCATCATTTCTTTGTTCTCAATCAAACCAAACCATATTTTGTAATCTTCTACTGAAATTGATCCAACAAGTGATTGAACCTGAATAAGACTTTGTTAAAGGAAAGCTAAATCTCAAAAATAACCTTCTCAACAATTTCGGCTTTTCGAGCTTCGGGGAGATTTTTATAGTAGGTGACCAAACCCTAAAAATTCAATCGATCGTCGACAACTTTACGAGATTTTCTTGTAAATTCTTAAAACTTTTAAACTCGAACACAATTAGTTAAAGACAAGACGATGTAGAGAATCAAAAACGTACTTACACTATAATCTGGAGTGGTAAAGTAGCCGATGACTCCGCCGAGAAGAGCGCCAAGAAAAGCGCCATTTTTTCCACCAATTGCTCCTCCAACAGCCGTTCCTGCACCAGCAAACAGTGATTGACGAGCAACGCCAGTGAATGTTTCTTTTAACTTCTGAAAATAGAAAATACCGTAAATCCTCTATTAGAGCGGCATCTCGTAATGCTAATTTTGACAGTTCACAGATCCAACTTTTTCCAAAAAAATTTTCTCCAAAAGTGCTTAAAATGATGCATATGGGTCTTAATTATAATTTAAAAGTGATGACAGTAAAATTCAAATCGATTCTGGAAAAAATTTTGACTAAAAACTTCTTGAGAAAAAAATCATCATCTCAGGGATTTTCGAGGGTAAACTCAAAAAAATTTGATACCAATCAACGCAGAATTTAATTCACTACAAAATGATATAATATTGTTTTTTTACATTTATACGAGGGGTTAGAACCATGGATATACATGGATATACATTTTTGGTCTCTTTATACATTAAATGTCTTTTTCGTATATTTTAGACCAAAAAGAATCGAATTAGAGTGATTTATATATGTTGTGTCCGATTTAGATTTCCGTCCGATTTAGATTCAATCTAAATCGGACGTCCTGAAAAATAATATAAGCATGCTTAATATATGTTCTTAAGCGTTTTCTGTAGTTTTTAACTTTAGTAGGACAATAGTAAGCATTCAATAGGAAAACAAGAAAACAAAAAATTCTCAAAAAAAGACAATAAAATTTCTTTGAAAAGCGCAGAAAATTGCAAAAAACGCTTAAGAACATATATTAAGCACGTTTATATTATTGTTCAATCTATATGTCGTAGCCGATTATGAATGAGCGGGTCCGGACGCGTCCAACCATCAAGTATTTGGTATTTGCCCTCCCAAATTCTAGTCCACATCCGTTTATACCTAGGAACGTATACAATTTACAAAGGGCTTTTTCTAGGTAATTGCTGAGTAGTGGGAGTCGATTTTTGTGTGAGAAAGTTCTTTTATTCGTATTTTTCTTGCAAAAAACCTATTTAAATTTGGTAAAAACTTGTGTTTTCTCATTCAATTTCTCTTCTTTTAAAACTTTTTTCCTTTTTCTTCGATGAGTTCGATCGGGTTCACAGTTTTGATTGTCGTGAAAATCATTCTTCTCTCATTCATTTGCTTGGGTAAATCTTATTTGATTTAGAAAAATTACCAATCGATCGATATAATAATAAAATTGAACTGAATTATTACCAAATTTTGCAATTGATTTTTAGTTTTTTTGTGGTAAAAATGTGCCTATCTTTTGTATTTGAACAAATCGAATTTAAAAAATTCGGACAACTAGGCTAAAAAGTTCTAGATTCAATTCCGGAATACCTAATTTTGTCATCGATTTTGGATGGTTTTTTGGTGAAAATTGAAACTAAAATAAAAGCTGCGTGGCAAAAGATTTGCGGAAAAATGAACTCAAAGAAATTTTGGTGAAGAGAAGAGAAAAATTAGACGAAAACTTCCTTTTACCACTATTTTTTGTTTCTTCGAAAAGGTTTTTTGATTCAAAATTCAATACTAACTAATCTATTATAAAAGCAAGATAAGCACTCACGTCATCAATTTCCAAGCTATCCACAACCATATTGTAGTATTGTTGCACGGCCATTGTTCACACCAAAAATTGTTTAAGTTTAAGCTAAAATTTGAATGAGTAAGTGAAACTTAAAATTAAGTAAAACATATAGCTAAGAGATAAAATAGATAAAAAAATATAGAGCTGAATATCTCCTTTCATTTTCTTTCGTAAAATTAAGGCACTTTCCTACAAATATTCAATATAGCAAATGACTTATTAATTACGAGAATGAAATGAAAATGTTCACAATGATAAGGGGGTGGGACAAATGCGACCTTTTTTTTTGCGCACCTGGACATTTGCGCACCTTTTTTTCGCTGAAAAAGGCCTTAGGAAAGGTCGTAGAGCTTCGAAAATATTTCCATACAAGGGAATCGTATGCGTAGATTCCGAATTTCGACAAATCAGACCTCGCTGACACGTCAAATTTCGGCTAAAAGGCAAAAACTGCGGAAAAGCGTTAAGTTGCGTAGTTTTTGCCTTTTAGCCCAAATTTGACGTGTCAGCGAGGTCTGATTTGTCGAAATTCGGAATCTACGCATACGATTCCCTTCTATGAAAACATTTTTGAAGCTCTACGACCTTTCCTAAGGCCTTTTCCAGCAAAAAAAAAGGTGCGCAAATGTCCAGGTGCGCAAAAAAAGGTCGCATTTGTCCCACCCCCCAATGATAAGCTAGAATTCGTCGATTTCAAAAAGTCACTTATTAATCACGAGAATAAAATGAAAAGTCAATAAAAATTTTTTTTTTTACCAAAAGAATTTTAGGATCCAATAGAATTCTCTCGTAAAACTGAGAAAAAAAAAGACTTTTCTCAGCAAGACTCCTTATCAGCAATTAAAATAGAACTTTCGACCCTTTTTGCATTCACTTTTGAAACTTTTGTGACAAAAAAAAACAAAAACATATCTTTTTGACTTGCAGCAAATATGTATTCAAGCTTTCAACCGCACAAATTAAGCCAATTTCTGATTTGGAAGCACAGCTTTGACGCTGAAAAAATACTGTTAAAATAACTTTCAAAAATTAGTTGTTATTCTTAATGATCAAATTTTATGAAAAACTCGGGGATGGGACAAATGCGACCTTTTTTGCGCACCTGGACATTTGCGCACCTCAGCATGACTAGCTGCTTATCAGTCTCTTGCTTCTCAGTGCTTATCAGAGAAAAGTCCTTTTCTCAGTTTCACGAGAGAATTCTATTGCATCCGAAAATTCTTTTGGCAATAAAAAAACTATTTTCATTGACTTTTCATTTCATTCTCGTGATTAATAAGTCACTTTTTGAAATCGACAAATTCTATTAGGTTGATGCAAAAGTCTTTTTCATTTTTTTCGTACCTCTTTTGAAAAATAACAAAGTCATCAATTAACCTATGGTTTGCTCTAAATGAAAAGTGTTTATTGTTGAATTTCCCATCTTTTTAAGTCAATTTGGGTTCACTTTCAAGCAAATTCGAGAGTGAAAACGGGTTTTTCATAAAAATCTATAAAAACCTCTATAAAGAAATTGGCTGAATCAATTTCTCTGAAAATCTGAAAAAATATCGAACTTTTTGTGCTCTATCTTTTATTTATTAACATCAAGATTGGTTTCCTTAGCTAAAGCGTCTAAAATGCATCATCGAGCCGTCGCCTTTTTTGACTACCCGACTTCAGGCTCTCAAAAAAATCTAGACATAAGACATTTTAAACTCGTTTTAATGTCATTTTGCAGAAAAATAATTGGCCTTTCGAATGCAATAAACCGTTGTTCAATTGGTGCATTTGTTACTTTTTAACGGAAGTACGAAAAAAATGAAAAAGACTTTTGCATCAACCTAATACTAGATATAAAAGAGCATTATTTGTCCTTTAATAATAGGTTGATGCATAAGTCTTTTCGTTTTTTTCGTACTTCTGTTAAAAAGTAACAAATTCACCAATTAATCTATAGTTTGCTCTATAAAAAAAGTGTTTTTTTGTTCAATTACAAAATTGACAAAATTTTAAAAAGCTGCTATGCATAAAAAGTTTTTTAAAAAACCAGTCAAATGAGAAGTGGAAACATGAAATGTTTTTTTGAAAGTTTTCGAGAATAAAGAAAGTGATGGTCCGGGTTATCCACATTTTGATCAAAAATGTCGATGTGGAGGAGATACTATTAGAGATGGAACGCCTACCAGATCAATTAGAAAATGTACTATCGTTTGCAAAAAAGACTAATACAAAGTTTTTTTTGTCTTTAAAATATCTGAATTGAAACTTAAAATCATACTCTACAAGAGAACTATTTTAAACGTTGAAAAATGTTTATTCTTGAACTCATAAAAGAAAAGAAAAAGAAAATGGACAGACGAGAACCTTTTAATCTAGCGCGATTGAATCCTCGACCTCTCGACTAAGATACAAGACTCTTAGCCAGTCAGCCAGTCAGCCATTTACGCGATCATGGGCATTCAGCTCTTTGGAAGAATGGACTATCATTGTGTATTGAAAAGTGAGAACTTTATATTTACCGTATTTTCTCTAATAGTAGTGCACCCTGCTCGTCGTCTAAATTACTCGAAATCTCGAAAAGCGCTTATAAGAACCTATCGATGTGTGGTCGGAAAATGTATTAGGTTGGCAACTAAATAATGGCCCTCGCCCTTTTTTGATAAAATCTTTTAATCTTTGCGTTTAATCTACCCTCGCTTGTTGTTAATTGAATATTACTGAATTTATGGTGCATTATTATACGTTTTTTACTTTCCTTGATTTGATACTTTTCAAATAATTTTGTTTAGAAATGGAAGATCTCAAATATCGAATGCGTGTCTGTCTCTGGTACGACTACAAACAAGACAAAACAGCTGCCGAATCCCACAGAGATTTATTGCGAGTTTTTGGTGATGAAGCTCTTTCCGAAACACAATGTAAGAGATGGTATCGACGGTTCAAGGAAGGGGATGAAAGTCTTGAAGATGAGCCTCGCCAAGGACGACCCGAACTTCTGCAGAACGATATTTTGGAAGCAGCTTTAAAGGAGGATCCAAGTCAAACATCACGCGAGCTAGGGGATCGATTGGGCTTTTCGCATACTGCAATCGAAAAGCGACTTCATGCATTGGGGAAAAGTAACCGCAGTGGAAAGTGGATTCCGCATGAATTGAGCGAAGAAAATAAGGCTACTCGTGTTATCACAGCTGGAATACTACTAAAACTTGCGAAAAAGGGAAGCTTCTTGGATTCCATTGTTACTTCTGATGAAAAATGGATCTTTTATGATAATCGAACGCGAAAACGACAGTGGCTTAGCACAAACGAAGACCCAAAACCAACTCCGAAGCCGGATATTCACTTAAAGAAAACTCTCCTCTGTGTGTGGTGGAGTTCTCGTGGGTTGGTGCATTTCGAGGTTCTCAAAAGCCGGCAAACGGTTAATTCAGAACTCTATTCGTCTCAACTACATCGTGTAGATCAAGCAATTCGCTCTCAAGGACTCGAACCCTCTTCAATTCATTTTCTCCATGATAACGCAAAACCACACACTGCAAAACTTACAATGGAGAAAATTGAGGAGTTGGGCTGGAATGTTCTTCCTCATGCGCCATACAGCCCGGATATGGGGCCTAGTGATTACCATCTTTTTCGATCGATGCAACACTTTCTAGCCGAGAAAAAGTTCAATGACCTTGACGAAGTCCGAATTTCAGTGCAGAAGTTCTTTGACGATCAACCAGAAGAATTTTTCAAGAGAGGAATCCAGTTGCTCCGTCAAAAGTGGAAAGAAGTAATAAAGAATGACGGAGAATACCTTTTGGATTGATGTTGATATTTGTTCATCTTGTTAATAAATTTTTTGTTTTTACTGAAAAGGGCCATTATTTAGTTGCCAACCTGATAGCTGACGATGAGATCTTGTGGGGATTTGAGTGTTGAGCTTCTGCAAAAGCTTGGAAACCGTCAAATAGGTATAAACTCGGCTCGGTGCGGTGCACTACTATTAGAGAAAATACGGTATAAGTTTGGTGAAGCCTTTGAGGCTGTCGTTTCCGCTGTACTTGTGGATTTTGTGTTAGGTAGACGCGTTTTTAGCACTTCTTTGGAATGAGACTCGGAACTTGAAGAAGACCAGTCGAAATGAAGATGTGGCACTTGCGACCTTTTTCCGAGAAAATCCTTGGTTAGCGCTTTAAAACGTGGTGAAACTACCGTATCCCCAATTTGCGCGAAATTTCATTTTTTTTTTCATTCTTGTTCATTTCATTTTATCCTTTTTGCATTTTTTCAACATTTCAACGTTTTCTTCAACTAAAAAGTGACAAAAGCAAAGCTTCCGCCATAGAAAATCATAAAAGCCACTTAATTTAACATTAGTTGGCATCAAGTTCGTGGAGCAGATCGTCGGAAAGCAAGTGGGTCTAAAACACATAACAAACAAAGCTTCCGTCACAGAAAATCACATCACGAACGCTTTTCATTTGAGTTCCAAAAGCTGGGTCCAGTCTATGGGCAGATGTGCCATATAAAATTTTAATTTTTGATTCCAGACGCTCAACCGGATCGATTTTGGTGTTTTTGGACTATTTTTGATAATATAAAATCAAAACTATAGGGGGTTTCCGATCCGATTTTCCGAAAAGTTTTTTTTTAGGAGATCCGGCCCTACAGGTCACCTGATCTGTTTCTGGGCATCTACAAACAACATAACAATAGATAACTGAGATGGCTATTTCACGTGGAAATCGACGTTTGATCACTCAGCCCACATAATCGCATACAATTTCATACCAAAATATGTTGTCGTGATTGTTTCATTGGTTGGGCTTTTAATAAAATGACATCGCTTTTGTTTACATACAAAACGATTGTGCTCATTTTCTGAGAGTATAAAGCAACAGATTCAGATGCTATGCTCATTCAAAATAGCCCTTTTCATCACTTTATCTGTTTTTTTTTTATAAATTCACCTTGGTTTCACCTTTAAAGCATGTAGGCATCTTCGGTTAAATTTCATTTTATGTTTTAGAGGGAAAACTAGACATTTTATATCACTTTGACCGGAAAGTTTTGTCTGTCTTTTTTGTACTTAATTTTAAAAATAACTAATTCACCGATTGATTTACGGTCTACTTCATTAGAAAGGCCTACTATTTTTCTACAAAAAAGTGTTTCAATTTTATGAAAATGTTTTGTCTCTGGTTTTTGATGGGGACGCAAAGTCAGACGGTCAAAAAAGGCGATTTAGGCACTTTGGCTCATAGAAACCTACCGTAAATACTGTAATAGTACCCCACCCCCCTCGTACAGTCGCGTAGTCGCAAAAGGTTTTTAGTATTTCACTTTTTTCAAAGCTCCCGTACTTTAAAAAAATGCGTCTTTGGTATCAAAAAATAGCTCTGAATTTCAGCTATTTTTTGATACCTAAGCGCGTATTTTAGCATAAACCAGTGTCGAGAAAAACTCGTTCAAAGCTAGACTACGCAACACTCCGCACCGTCATTATCGGGGTGGGGTACTATTACAGTATTTACGGTAGGTAAATTGTTCATTTTGGATTATAAAGTTAAGTTTAGCCACCTTTTCATAAAAAAACATCATGCACGTTCGGCTTTGAAAAAAAATCATAAAGTTTATAGAATGAAATTCTTCTTCACGTTTGCTTTTGTCATCTGCATTTTCGTGGTTGCTGAGGCGTTTGTCTGTCCAACAGGACACGCCGCGTGTGGACCGGGAAAAGGGTGTTCGGTTGGCTTTCGATGCAACACACCGCCTGGTGGACCAAGCGGCTGCTGTTATAGAGTTGGTGCTTTTTAAAGGACTAAATTGTTGTTTGTTTTGTTTTGTTGAATGTCTACATATATAAAATACCATTTCATACTCTTAGTTTCACCCGATTTCTTCATACTCTTAGTTCCTTTGTTTTCAAAGTAAAATTTGATATTTCTTGAGTAGATAAACTATTTAGGGTTTGCGATTAAGCAAAAAAAAAATTAAGCTTTAACAGAAAAGAGAAACAGAAATTAAGCAGGATTTAAGAGAAGCTAAGCAGGATTTAACAGAAATTAAGCCTTTCGGTTGAAAGTCTGAAGAAAATTGAGACCTAATTTGGTTACTTTCTTTTTTTCTTTAATTTAATAAATAAAATTCTTAAAACGTCGCCGACTCTAAAAATTCAAAACTTTACAGCCAGGCACTTTTTGCCCGATAGCTGCCCGATGTGGTCCGGGCAATGGGTGGACTTGCTCGGTGGGCGCATGTCTTTCCCCGGCGCCATATGCTAATGGTTGCTGTGTGCGGTAAACAAAGAAAAGAAAAACGAGGAAACGAAAAAATTACCTGTATTTTGTGTGAATAAATTTTGTGCATATCTTAAAAGTATTAATCTTTGATAACGGAAAATGAATTTCTTCTGGGTAACGACTATGAATTTTACATCAAAAGCAAAAAAAACTTTCTGGTAAATAGAAAAATTGAGCAAATAAGTGTAGCCAGTTAATAGCTTTAAAAAAAATAAGGTGGTCAACGATTTTTAAAATTTTCTAAACATTTTAAGCATTTCGTAAAAATGGAACGCTCAAAAGCTAGTTAACAAGAGGACGTTTCCCTATGCATTCACGCGTGCTATCTAAATCTTATTAGGTATCTAATCTAAACTTCATCTTATCATTATCTGCTTTAAAGTGTCTACTAAATTGAGTCACAAATTGGGTCACTTAGGTATAACCGTCAATACTCGATAAGTACCAAAAAGTTTATGTCTACTTTGCTTACTTTATAACAACTGTAATCATTCCACGTGAATTCAACATTGCAACAAACACGGATCAGCGTGGCTGCCTTGCCAAGCTCATCGTTGTCGGCTGGATTGGGGATGCCAAAAGGTTGTGAGGAGAGAGATTCATCCGGCAATACATCCGCTTAAACAGTTTCATCATTTTGCTAATTTTATTTGGCTCTTGTGCAGTTTAGAAATTTTCTTGGGATTTCAAATGTTCGAGTAAACGTTAGTTTCTTTTTCCCTACAAAGTTTCAAACACTACTCAAGTCCCGAAAACCCTTTAAAATCTCTAAATGAAAACTTTCTACCAGAATGTAATTTTAGATTTTTAAAAACCGACTGAAAACTCTTTTTTTAGGCGTTTTAGCCATTTTATTAGATTGAGGAAGAGGAATTGTCCGAAAGTTCACGAGCCCCGTAGTTTTTTGCTCCACCATGACTTTTGAGATTTTGAATCTTTACAGTTTTGCAATACCGTAGTGTACATTTAGTTTCCTCTAATTATAAAACACCAAACTCTCGGTACAGTATGCTTTTGTGTCTCGTTTGATTTCACTTTTGAAGTTGCAACGGCAAATAGTAACACTCGATCACTCCGGTTAGTACGGTTGCGTTATTCAGCATTGTTATACCAAATGCACATATTAATTGGTATTATTTTGTTAGATGCATGATCTTTCATGATCTTTGGTGAAAATTCGCGTTTTATGTAATCGTTTTACGTAATGAATTTGTTTTTATTTCGGCAGTCTACACTAGGTAACCAGGAAATTGCCTAGTTTTGACATCTAAAACGCGCCTTCAACCTAATAAAACACCAGAAAAAAGAATAACTCAAATCATTTATTCGCCTAAAAAAGAAATTAATTTATCGATTTTTATTTTTATTGACTCACTTCTTGCGTTTCTTTGATTGATCCTAAAAAGACAAACAAATATGCTATTTACAAAAGATAGCACACCTTTCCGTATTCCCGAGTGGCAAGTACGGCAGCTTTCTTCGAGGCGACCGCCACTTTCTTCTTCGAGTCTTGTTTCTAAAGCGTTCGAATAACACGGATAATAAAAATTTTTCCACATCATCCTTTTCCTTTTCTTTTTTCTTCGCCTCATCATCGTCACCACCAGTCGCTTTGCTTTCTTCTTTTGATCTTTTTCCATTTGTTTCGTCAAAGTCTTCTCAATCATAAGGATGCTCCTAAAGCAATGTTTTAGTTACAAAGAAGAAATTAGGCCAAAATGTTTAAGAATAATAGATAAAGTTTAAACCTTAGGGGGGGCGTAAGCTACTAAGGGTTAGAGGGGTTTCCGAACGTTTTTAGAAAATTTTAATTCTTTGAAAAATATTTCCTTGGGGGACCAAGGCAAAAAATCAAAAAAGTTAACAATTTTTCTTCGAATTCGGCGATGAAGATATTCGTAATCAGCGCAAAAAAAACTGAGTCAGAAAAACCACTTTTGATGGTCATTGGTCATTGGCTGGGGGGAGGTAAACTGCAGTCTAGCCTTTTTCGCTTTAAAACTAACGTTAGCTATGCAAAGACTGACAATGTTAACACAAAACATATCAACAGCAAAATTTTCCCACCTTCTTTCCCGAATCGAGCACCACGAATTCTCCCATTTAATTACACCTAAAATGGAAAAAAATCTTGAGAAATTAGTCTCTAAAGATTTAAAAAGCAAAAGCTCACCTGTTTAAAGATGTTGGAGTGTAGAAACATTTTGCCTCGTTGTGTTGAAGGAAGTGAGAGGCGACTCTCAGCATCGTTTCTTTGATGATTTCTAAATCAAAAATAGAAAACAACGTTTCAAAACAAAGAAAACAAAAAAAAAGCGTAAAATTTAATTACTGAGAAAAGGCACGCTTTAAATGTCAAATCTAGGCAAAGTGTAACTACACTAGTGTAGACTGCTCAAATAAAATCAAAAGTCAGTCACCTCGATTACATAAAATGCGAATTTTGAGGGTGCGACAAATGCTCCTTTTTTTCGCTGGAAAAGGCTTTAAGAAAGGCCGTAGAGCTTCAAAAAGTCTCCATATAACGGAATCGTATGTGTAGATTCCCTTATATGGAGACTTTTTGAAGCTCTACGGCCTTTTTCAGCGAAAAAAAGGTGCGCTTTTGGCCGAGTGCGCGAACAAAGGTCGCATTTGTCCCACTCCCCGAATTTTCACTAAAGATGGAAGTGGGACAAATGCGACCTTTTTTTGCGCACCCGGACATTTGCGCACCTTTTTTTCCGCACTTAGCCCATTAGCGCACCTTTTTTCGCGTTTTAAAAAAGCTCTAAAAGCTAATATTAACCAATTTCTATTCCAAAAGTTGTTTTTCTAGGTAATTTTAGGGTGTCGAATTCAAATTTTGGCATATCAGAGCTTGTGGAAGCGAACGGACGGAGTTATACAAAGAGAAAAATCAACAATTTTCTGTAATTTGGCCTAGCCGTTTTGTCTTTCAAATTGGTTCCACACGCTCTGTTATGTCAAAATTTGAATTCGACACCCTCAAATTACCTAGAAAAACAACATTTGGAATAGAAATTGGTTAATATCAGCTTTTTAGAGCTTTTTAAAACGCGAAAAAAGGTGCGCTAATGGGCCAGGTGCGGTAAAAAAGGTGCGCAAAAAAAAGGTCGCATTTGTCCCAACCCCCCTAAAGATCATAAAAGATCAAGCATCTAACAAAATAATACCAATTAATATGTGCATTCGGTATAACAATGCTTTAGCTGAATATCTCAACCATACTAAATGAAGAACTGATAGAGTTTTAGGGAGTGGGACAAATGGGATCTTTTTTTGCGTACCCGGCCCATTAGCGCACCTTTTTTCGCGTTTTAAAAAGCTCTAAAAAGCTAATATTAAACAATTTCTATTCCAAGAGTTGTTTTTTTGGGGGTGGGACAAATGCGACCTTTGTTTTGCGCACCTTTTTTTTGCTGGAAAAGGCCTTAGGCAAGGCCATAGAGCTTCGAAAATATTTCCATATAGGGGAATCGTATGCGCAGATTCCGAATTTCGACAAATCAGACCTCGCTGACACGTTAAATTTGGGCTAAAAGGCAAAAACTACGCAACTTAACGCTTTTCCGCAGTTGGAAACCGCAGTTTCCGCAACTTTCGCTTTTCCGCTTTGCTTTTCCAGCAAAAAAAGGTCGCATTTGTTCCACCCCCGTTTTTTTGGGTAATTTTAGGGCGTATAATTCAAATTTTGACATATCAGAGCTTCTGGAAGCAAACGAACGGAATTATACATAGGGAAAAATGGACAATTTTCTGTAATTTGACCTACCCGTTTTATCTTTCAAATTGGTTCCACTATCTGACTTTAAGAATTTGAGATTTGTCTTTTTTTACCTGACAATAGCAAAAAGATTTCTTACTTTTTTTTTCAATCACTATAATAATGTTTTTTTTTCAGAAATCTTCATCTCGTACAAAATGCAACTCAAAGTCGGAAATCGTTTTTTGGGTAAACAATTTTTGTTTCTACACTCTAATGTTATAGTTTTTTTTAAGAACGCTTTCCCCCAACTAACCTATCGTATGAAGTTATAATCACATCAGTGGATACAGATCGAGACTGTGTGAGGATTCATTATCATGTAAGTTTTTATGAGTTATCACAGTTTATCCAGACAACTTTCAATGTTTTGTTTTAGGGTTGGAGTGCAAGATGTGACACAGAGCGAACATTTAATTTTTGCGAGACAAACTGGATTCCATGCACAGCTGCCGCGCTCAAGAACGCCAAAGTAAGTTTTTACAATTTCCCTATTTCAGCAATGTTAGTGTTTTGTTTTTAGGAGGCTCAAAAAGAAGGGGCTAAGCGACAACAAGAGATAGCTGCAAAAAAGAAAGCTAAAACCCAAGAAAAAGCAACGCCACGCCACGCCATAGAAGCTGTGAAAAGAAAGGGAAGGCCACGCTCACAAACGGAAGTTGAGAAAGCAAGTGCAACGCCACGCTTGCAAACGGAAGCTGTGAAAAGAAAGGCAAGGCCACGCTCACAAACGGAAGTTGGGAAAGGAAGTGCAAAGAAACGCTTGCAAACGGAGGTGATCAACAAAGTTATCGGGAAGCGAAATGACACGAAGATTCCACGAAGCAAATCGTTGACCAATATCACTCCAGCCACTACAATAACAAATAACGTTTCGTTGCCTAGGCAAATCTTTCTGCAGGTATTTTCTTTAAAAAATATTACATAATGCAACTACTTTAGATGCAAGAAGTGATGTGGTCACCAATTCTTCGCAACCATACGATTGACGCGACTCTGCGTGAGGTATTGTGCTTGCTGATTTACTCTAATAATACAAGTTTAGTATCTCAGGACATATCATTACCTTGCAAAAGATGATCAGGAAAAGGTTAGTAAAGGGTACTTTTAGAAATTTCTTTTTTTTAGGCAGGAGCTGCACAAATGCTCGTGGACATGTTCGACGTGCATTGTTACGAGATCCTCTCGAAGGCCGAGGCCGTTAGCTACTTTCAAGCCGTAACCAAAAGCGAATTCTTTTTTCCGTCGAGGTTCTTTCTTTCAACTTAAAGGTTATAAAAAAGTTTTAGTTACTTTGGGTCAGAACATCTTCTTCGTTTCATCGCCACGCAGCTCACGTTTGTCATGGAAAACGATAAGAATTGGACTAACGAGAAGAAAGCGAGCGTTTTTATGTAGGATTTAAGATTTTTTTTCTTAAACTATTAAAACGCTTTAGGAATATGTCACACTTCGTGAAGTTTATGAATGAGAACGGCGGCAGGTACGTCGATCAGGCTCAGGCCCTTGGAAACGTTAAATCGCAAGAGGAAACGCAAAAACCTAAACAAAAAGTCACTTTTTGGTTGAATGCTCATTAGTTCCAATTAAGAACCTTTTTCAAATCTCTATAATTTATCTCGTTTTGTTACCATTCATTTGAATTTATTATAATAAATATTAAGATGTTTGCTCGAATTTTGAAAGAAGAAGTTGGCTGAGCAGTCGGCAAGGGCATTGTTTTCCATGGTTGGTCTGTTGAGTTGTTTTCGTGTTGTGGAGAATCGAAAAGAGGGGGGGAGAGAGTCCCCGCCCTCTCTCACCCATATATAAACACTTTCGAAAGAATTTTGTTATTGGCAAAGCCACAAACAATTTTGAAAACAGTTTATTTGAAAGCTTTTTTCTTGAAATCCTATTCACACAAACGCACAAATGCTCCCAGCAGGTCGTGTCGTAGCTGTTGCAATTAGCAAGGTAAAGATTGGACTACTTGTTGTGTACTGTATGAATAGTAATGTTCACATTGTTTCGGTCGCAAAATGAAAGCCATTTAGAATCTGGTCGCAAACTGTACTCGTGTGACTTCCGTCGCTTGCATCCATCATGATAAGGTGCGGTTTTCGCTTTAGAGAGTTAGGGTCATCAAAAATATTCCGAATCAACGAGATTCGGCAAAATATTTTCTGAATGCTTTTCTGACTATTTATCCGCAGCTTATCTTGTAGAGCAATCCAAGTTATGGAGTGGGCGAAAAATCGGAACAAAATCAGATGAAGATGAGTACTGAGAATATGGTAATTGAGTTGAAAAAAGGGGTTAACAGTTTGCCCGAATTTTAGCCGCATCGCAAAGAAGCAATGAAACAAAAGGTTCACACTGTGTTTTTCTGTTAACCCGATAATGTAGTGCATGTGTGTCTAGAGTTAAAAAGTTTGAGTTGAGTGAGTTGACTTGAGAAACGAGATAAAAACAATAAAATTTAGGCGAAACATGTGACCGAGAATATCACCGATAGTGTGAGTTTTGCGAGATTTTCTATAAAATGCAATGCAACTACTGTATTCTTTTCGAGTAGAACCATGATTTTCTTCCGATTTCCACCCCATTCAGGATTTTTTCAAAGTTTGGACTTTTAGAAGAGATACGGTAGTCGAAAATTGACACTGTTTCTTGAAAGAATTAGCAATTAGCGGTTAAATTCTTGAGTCTCTAAAAGTGTACAAAGAAATTTTCAGGGAATGGGCCGAAACATCGATGAGTTGAAGGAGAAAATCGGGGACAAGGTCTACCATGCGAAAGAAGCCGTCAAAGAGACGGTTAGTTTTGATTACAGTAGAAAAGGATTGCGATAGAAAATATGAAAATAGCTACAAATACTAGAATATCCGGCTTTTCGCGCTTTCTATTTGACGTTAAATTGATCGTTTTGAAAATTGATCAAAAGTTTTTGCATTGACCTAATTCTAATCCAGGCTCACAAAATGAAAGAGGCTGTCGAGGGGACGGTGAGTGAAGAAATGAATAGATCCTAATTGAGCATGTGTTTATTGTGGTAAATGTTCATTGAGCATGTGTCTTATTGTAACAAAACCCTTTGTGTGAAAGCCCCAAGTAGAAATTTTCTTGCATTATCAGGCAGTTTTAGGACATCAGCAAAAAGGCGGAGAATCTCAAGGACAAGGTTGAGAGCAAGGTGGGATTTAACTCGAATTTTAGTTTATTTATTTTTTTATTTTAAGGTCTCCGAGGCGGCTCACGAGATGAAGGGCTCGGTGAAAAATTTGGAAAAGTTTTAATCTAAAGATTTTCAGACTTTGGGCGAGAAAGTCGGCGCTGTGAAAGAGAAAATCGGGGACAAGGTAAGGAGGGGATTTTTGAGATTGGACAGCCATTAGAATTCATTTCAATAGTATAATCAATAGAAGCAAATATTTTTCTTGTAAATGAAGTCGATTTGCAAAGATTTATTAGTATTTTAACGCCATTAAAGTTTTTTTTCTTGGCTTGGCACACTTATTTAGATCATAAGTTCGACTTTTTCTTGCCTAATCTCGTAAGGAACGGTTTTAATTAAGACCAAATTTCGATTTTCATCACTTTCTATTGAAGCTTATTGCCATTTTTCAGGTCCAACAAGCCAAAGAGGCCGTCGGGGAAAAGGTGAGTGTTTGTGGAAATTTTGAAAGTGGCATTTTCGAGTTCCCAATGCAGTTGAGCTTTTCAATACTGGATATCTTAAAACTGTTAGATTTTTTTGAAGTTAAATGCATCCAAGAGTAGATTAGTAACCATGTAAATGGCTACTTTCACACTAAAGTTGAACTGTTGCAATCGATTTAGGCTCATAATTCAAATTTTGTTTGTAAAATTCGCGGTAATTTCACTGGCTAGACAAGCTAAGCTGAAAGTTCAAATTCAAAAAAAAAATCATCCATTGCACTTTACGGAATCGATTTTCAAACAAAAAAATGGCTTTTTTTGTCCCAAAAATAACTCGACACTTGTTTACGAGTAGGAGAGGAAAGACAAAAAAAGGGAAAAAAAAGGCAGAGGAGCCTAGTCAAGATTTGCACTCTTCTGCACTTTTTGTTCCTTTTGCACTTTCTATTCCTATTTTTTCTTCTGTTTATACCCTTTCTGCTTGTTTTCGTGTTACGGCTCAGCGAGAAAAATCCATATTTTGGCCGACACACTCAAAAGTTGATTACCAAACGAAAACCGAAATTTCACCCTCTTCATCTCTTGCCAAACAAATAACAAGAGCTTGTGTGTTTTTGGGAACAAATGAAGGAAGTCACGGATAGAGATCTTTTTATCTTTTTTTTTTTGAATGGTGATGAAATAAACAACGCGAGGGATGGAGTAAATATTTTCGACCACGGGGAGGAGGGGTTCAAAATGGGGGAAAGGGAACACGATTTATGAACAGTTCAGGAATAATTTCCTTTGCAGAAATGAAAATGAAAATTGAGATGAAATGTTCAAAGAAAGTTTCGTTTTGTCTTGTCTTGGGGGTTTTTTTTTCGTAACTGATTGTAATTTCTTGAATTTTTGACTGAAATTTATATGCTGATTAGATGAAAATGTAGAAAAAAAGTCGAAAATTTGAAACCAATTTAAAACTATAAACGAAATTCAAAAAAGCAAACTTTCACTCTTTCAAGAGTAAGATCAGCGTAGAAGGTTCGTTTTTTTTTCTTTAGTTTTATTTTGAAACGCATTTCCATTGATCCAATTTCAATTAGATTCTCTTTTTTTTGTCAGGAAATATTTACTCTAAGCTAATTTACAATTGACAAAACCGAAGCTTTATATGCTGATTAGATGAATTTGACGCTGACGAATTTGACGATGGGCACACTGGAGATTCTCTCCGGTGTGCCCATCGTCAACTCTTCTTTAATCTAAAAAGATATATTAGGTTGATGCATAAGTCTTTTCGTTCCTTTTCGTCTGCCGTTTCAAGCCAACAAATGCACCAATTAAACTACGGTTGATTTCATTAGAAAAACCAATTATTTTTCTGCAAAATAACATTGAAACGGGTTTAGAAATATTTAATGCCTGGATTTTCTTGAGAGTATGAAGTCGGGTAGTCAAAAAGGGCTAACTCGATGATGCGGTTTAGACACCTTAGCTAAAGAAAACCTATCTTCGTGTCAATAGATAAAAGATAGAGAAAAAAAAGTTTGATATTTCGCCAAAATTTCAGAGAAATTCATTCAGCCAATTTTTCCGTAGAGTTTTTTATAGATTTTTACGAAAAAGGCGTTTTTCACTCTCGAATTTGCTTGAAAGTGAACCGAAATTCATTTAAAAAGATGCAAATTGAACAAAAAAACACTTTTTTTATAGAGTAAACTATAGATTAATTAGTGAATTTGTTACTTTTTAACAGAAGTACGAAAAAAACGAAAAGACTTATGCATCAGCCTAATAGTTTAAAGGAAATGAAATTGATTTTATTATTCACCCAATTTCCAGGTGGATGAGTTGAAGATGAAAATCGGCGCCAAAGAGGTGAAGACGAATCCGGAAGAGGTAAAAAGAGTTGTAGATCTGTTCTTGACTAGATTTAACCTAGATAAATATCTAATAATGTAAAAAAGTGAAAGAAAAGAAACATTTTCAGTTTGTCCCAAACAATGAAATTGCAGCGAATTTGTTATTTGACGACATTCACGATATTGATCGCATTAAGGTGGGTTTGAGATGAAAGATTGAGTTGGGATTGGGTAAAAACTGGACTTTGTACTTCCATAGAGTGTAAACGCACACTTTCTGATGCACTGAATTCTTCATTTCTCTTATGACACCAAGGCTGTCTAGATAAAAAAGAAAAAAAATTATTGTGATCAGCTACTTTTTTTTTGAGCAAAAAATACATCAAGAGGACTAGTTTGATTCGATTTTTATTAAAACTCTTTAGATCTTGAAACTCCAGTATTCTTTCTAGCAACAAAATGATTAGTTACCAATTTTCTAGGCCAAAGCCGAGCACTTGACAGACGAGCAATTGACGGATTTGCTTCGCAACGAGATGAAGTTCAGTCGTCAACCGAAAGATGTAGGTTTTCTTTTTTTTTTACTCCCGAAGTGCCCAAAATTTCACCCACACCGCGTTGAACATTGCAGCATTCGCAGCAAAAATTGAAGAGGAGTGAAAAAACGGCAAAAGTTGAGCCAGTGATGATGGAAGAGAACAAACATTTTCACTACGATTTGTCTTTCGAACGGGGAGACGCCGAGAAAATACAGGTGTCTGAGAAAAGGATCGCATTAGGTAGAGGTGAACATATTTGGGGGAAAGCTTTTCGAGACTTGTCAATTCCGTCATTTTCCTTGAGCTTTTCGAATTCCGAACAGTTCCTTGAGCTTTCCTTGAGCTTTCCGAATTCGAGTTAGTCGCTAAAGCGTTTGAGAACTACCGTAACCCGTAACTGGACTAGAGTAGTCGTACTCTAGTCTAGTTACGGTTAGTCTAGTTACGGTTAACATAACTGACTACCGATTACTGTAATCTGACTGCCGTATCTGCCTACCGTAGATCAGTTACCGTAACTCAACTACTAGACGTATGTTGGATACAGTCGTAATCAGTATGCAATTCTAGAATCGGAACCTTTAGACTAGCTCCAATCTGTTAGCCAGGCACTAAACAGGATTTATTATCGTGCTCAAAAATGGTCAATAATCGTGCTCAATAATCGTGCTCAATAATTAAACTTAAAGAGTTGGCCTTTCCTTGAAAAATTTCTACAAATATGCTCATCATGCATGCTGTTTTTGTGTTGAAATCGATATTCCTCTTTTTTCAAAATCCACAATGGCACTTCGGGGAGTTTAGGCAGAAATGCGCAATCTCAGCGAAGAGCAGTTACAGGCTGAGCTGATGAAAGAGACGCAAAAAAGGAGCAAGTTGTCTGATCCGGATCCAGAACAGGTAAATGAAAAGTGATCACTGATAAGTCAATATGTTAAGCACTTCGATTTGTAAAGGATAAACATCTTTAAATCTTTGAAAAAGCCGCCAAATTTTTCAGTTTGTCCCCCGAAAAGACATCGAGGACAACAAATATTATGATCACATTCATGACACCGGAATGATGCAGGTACTAGGTAAAAATGGGTTTTGAAGATTTGAAAATGTTTAGATGAAGCAAGACGGTCAACTACAGAAATCTCTCGAGGAGATTCTTCGGGATGAATTACGCAAGAGGCAACTTCCAGAGCCCGATCCCGAAGAGGTAAGGGATTTAGTTTTGAAATTAATATTGTCCGTTCGAATCGAATCAATATCAATAAACAATTGATCTCAATCAAACATTTAAGTCTTAATTCCATTTCCGATGCCAAAGCTCGCTTTCAGTTCGCCGCTCACATGGAGGTGGCCGAGAACAAGTACTTCGACGACATTCACAATATTGATGACATGAGAGTTTGTTCTAACGAAATTTCGAAAATTAGAGCAAAGAAATCAATTTGATTTCTTCTGCAATGAATAGTATTTTTGTTGATTTCTTGATGATTGATCTCAAATTTCCAGATCAAGGCCGAGCACTTGGATAAAGAGATGGAAGCTCTTCGAAAGGATGTCTCAGCCACGGCGAGTCTACTTCAAGTTTCATGGGCAAGCCCCTAGCAATGATTACTGTTCATTAAAAAAAAGGATAATCACTTGTAACTAGACTTAACTTGAACCTTTGATAGCTTGATTAACTAGCAAACTCAAAGATTCAATAAAGATTCAATAAATAATTAAGTTTATAATCGATTTGATAACCATAGTCTACTCGTAATACCTACCGTAAATACTGTAATAGTACCCCATCCCCCTCGTACAGTCGCGTAGTCGCAAAAGTTTTTTAGTATTTCATTTTTTGCAAAGCACCCGTACTTTCAAAAAATGCGTCTTTGGTATCAAAAAATAGCCCTGAATTTCAGCTATTTTTTGATACCTAAGCGCGCATTGTAGTATAAACGAGTGTCGAGAAAAACTCGTTCAAAGCTAGACTACGCAACACTCCGCACCGTCATTATGGGGGCTGGGGTACTATTACAGTATTTACGGTAGCTACAGTATTCAAATTGTTTCATACTATATTTCAAGCCTAAAACCTAAAAGTTGTGGCAATGATTTGAATCTGGAATGACATCCAAAATTTTAGCGCGATCAAACCCCAATGGAAGAGGTTGAAGAGATGGAAAGAGCGGCGAAATCGGGCAAGGTGGGCACAGCACAACAGAGCACTAGTAACCCACGTGGACCTCATAGCACATATGAGAGACTCACTTAAGAAGCTTCTAATGTAAGATACCTAATCTAACAATACCGTATTTTCATTAGAAGATCATCTTTATCGTACGTTTTCTAAACGGTGTACTTTGAGGGTACGCTACCGTAATCCAGCCGTTTTTTTTTAATTTAGGCTTATGGGGTGTAGCTTAAACTTAACCTTAAAGTAGCTTAAACTTAAGCTTAAAGTAGCTTAAACTTTAAAATATAAGGGCGATAAGTATCTTAAAATAAAGATTTATCCAAAAAGAAACCTAGATTATGGTAGCTTTTTCCCACAAGGAAATAATCCAAATTGGGGAATCCTAGACAATAAGAGCGCGCCACACACGACCGGCCAAAGAGTAGCGGTGGCCTAGACGGTAGTGTCCCCGACTACAAAGCCATCTTGGTTTTTGCGATGGGTTCAAGTCCCACCACGTGCAAACTCTTTTGATAAAAAGACATACCGTTTTTTAAGGCTATTACGGTGCTTATCGGCACTAGGAAAAACTCTTAATCAACTTAAAATAGTTGCAACAAAAGTGCTTTTTTTGTTATTATTTCTTTTATTCATACATTGTGTGAATAAGCCGACTAGATTGCAATCTGGTCCCAAAGCGCACCAAAAGCTTTGCTCAAAAGGAATAGCCTATTTCTAATGGTTGAAATGGATTACGGTAGCTTTCCCCCCTCTTTTCTAAGGCTAAAAGAAAGCAATCCTTCTAATCGCTGAAATAGGGTATTTTCTCTTGAATATCTTTTCTTTTCCCCTCTTCTTCTCAACAATTCCCGATTTCTCTTATTATACAAAAGTTTTCTCAACAGTATAACGTATTTTTTTTAAATTTCTAGATGGATCCGTTCCTGAAGGAGAAGTTGGGAAGTGAAGTGAGGAAATGAGGAGACAAATCTTCATAATGAGAATGAAAAATGAATAAAAACAAAACAACAATTTTCTACCACTATTCTCCAATCGATTACCCCGATTTTCTACCGATTTTCTATCGATTTTCTACCGATTTTCTACCCATTTTTACCCCCTCAATCCATTTTCACACAAATTTCTTGTGTTACGTGTACTGTAGATATGACAATGTACAGTAAATCCTTATGTGTTGCATGAGATTGCTTTTTTTTGGCTACAATTAGACACTTTTTATGGTGTAAATAGCTTTTTTAAGTCTTTTTTTCCCTTTGCGTGTGCATTATTTGGCGAGTACTTTAATGTTCGTATAAACGATTAGAAAAAAAGTTTTTTTTTTGTAAATGAACAGATCAAACAAACTGAACAGAGCAACGTTTTCAACTTGATAGCTTGAGCTTGATGGTCAGAGTTGAAATTTCAAGTCCAGAGGCCGACTACAAGGAAATCATATGATTTCGAGGAGTTTAGGCAGAATCTCAGCGAAGAGCAGCTAAAGGCTGAGCTGATGAAAGAGACGCAAAAAAGGAGCAAGTTGTCCGATCCGGATCAAAGTCAAAGGGACAAATTTTATTTAGATAAAATGTTATGTGACACTTGAAAGAAATGAGATTTACGACATTCACTTATAGTTTGTTGGTTTTAAACATTTAATTATGATTTGTTGGACTTGAACTTTTGTTGGACTAGAAATTTCATTAGTAGAATTGGTAGAATAATTAGTAGAACAATTGGTAGAATAATTAGTAGAATAATTGGTAGAATAATTGGTAGAATAATTGGTAGAACAATTGGTATAACAATTGGTAGAACAATTCGTAGAACAATTGCTAGAACAATTGCTAGAATAATTGCTAGAATAATTGGTAGAACAACTGGTAGAACAATTGGTAGAATGCTCTGTGTTGGGTTTCCTTGATGTTGATGATACAATTTGAACAGTTTAACAATTTCTCTTGATTCAACTCGTCTCAAATATGGCATTTCAGTTTGTAGAAGTTAATTTAACAATTAACAATTTACAGACAAAGTCTTGGGCAATCCTTTTCAAAACAAAAGCTCGGTCGAAAAGATTAAAGAGAAACAATGTGGAGAAATGGCGGACAAATAAGGGCAGGAGGTCCACACTTTAGTTAACAAATAAAAAAAAGTCTGTGGGAAATGATTTAAAACAATTCTTATCTTCCGAACACAAACAACAAGTGTTATTTCAAGATACGATTCGATATTAATCCTTTGCGTTTTTACAAATCTACAAGAAATTTCTACAAGAAAACTCGAGAAATGTGTTTTATGTGAAGGGAAATCACCTTGTACCTTGTACATCATCACAATCACTTTACTGATAAAAAAAAATCGATATAGTGCAAGAGAATTTTAAGTTTTCTTATGGTTAGTCTTATAGCAATGAATTTTGGTACAAAACATAGGCTTTATCACCAAATTGCATACTATTCACTCTTCGTAAAAAGCTAAACGATTACGTTTCTTTTGAGTAGTTTTTTTAGAGGACTCTTGAATATCTTGAGATCATATAACATCAAGAATTGGTAGAAGAATAAGAAAAGGGGAATAAAGAGGAGGAAATGTGATGGTGTGGAGATGCACTTGAAGATGAAAAAAGGGAAAGAAAAAGACCTTTCTTGAGCACTCCCAAATTCTCGACGATGAAAGTGAGAAGGGACGCAATCAGTCTTTTTTTGTTCTTTTTCTATTTTTCCTTTTCACTCTTTTGCTGCATTTGTGCTTGATTGGCGAATCTGATCGGCAGATTCTTCTTCTCTTTTTCTTCGCTCCTTCCGCCCCGGCGTTCCCTTCCCCACCAACTTCGTGAATCAGAAGAGATATCTAGAATTTCTTCTTTATCTTCTTCATCTTTTCCTTTTGATTTTCTTCTAATTTCCCGTAAGTAAATTTACTTGCTCTATCGCTCTATAATTGTTGAAAAAGCTTCAGGCTTTTCAGGACTATCGATTCTCTATTTTCTTTTGATCATCTGAAAGTGTTTCTTTAGTTATGAAAGTTAACTTTATCCGTAAATAGAACTCTACCGTAAATATTGGGTTGTCCAGTTATGAATGCGCGTTTTTACTATTTTGTAAATTTCTCAAGATATCGAACAGATGTATATGAGCGTTATATATCATTCGAAAGCTGAAGATCTCCTCTACATTTTGATATAAAAACCTTTGGAATTTGTTCAGCTTTTGGGCAAATTGACTGCACAAAGGGAGAGGTCGTTTTCGAAAAACCCATTCCAGCTTAGCTAGTCCTCAAGTTTTATGGTGTAAAATAACCGCCCAGAAAAGAAAAGAAAGGTAAAGGTGCTCTGAAATTGTTATATTTAAAAAAAAGTTGTATTGATATATCTATTGGCCAAACATCAAACGGTTAACTCAATTTGAGCGGAGCCAAAACTTGATCCAAAGGCACCCTTCCATTTTTTGGCCACCTCTTCTTCTGTGCAGTCAATTTGCCCAAAAGCTGGACAAATTCAAAAACTTTTTATATCAAAATGTAGAGGAGATCTTCAGCTTTCGAATAATACTCATATATATCTTTTTCTTGATTTCGGTATCTTGAGAAATTTACAAAATAGTAAAAAACGCGCACTCATAACTGGACAACCCAATAGAACACCACCTCATTTCTATTTCGATTTCAATTACGATACTTTTTGCCACAAAACTCAAATCTCAGCAGTGCCAAATCCATTCACTCTTCGGTAATCTCCGAGTAAATCCGGCTTGTCAAAGAAGAAAGCTTTTGAGATAGCCAGGAAAAAAGGGGAAAGAAGAAAAAGAGAGATCAAAACGGGAAACCCGTTTTGATCTTTTACTACGAAAAGAAGAGACAGACAAAAACGAAATAGCTGGCACATACGGGAAAAAGTAGCTCCATTTAGCGCTTCTGAGTGAGGAAAAAACCAACAAACACCCCTCCCTGGCCAGAAAGTCCACTTTTTAAGCAGAAAAAGTTGTTTATTTTATTCAAAAAGCTTCTCCGACTAGGTTTCTTTATAGTTTTTGCTTTAAAAATGATAATTTTTGTTGTAAAACTTGTCCTTAAAAGCTTTTATAGTAATATAAATCCTACAAATACAGTACTAGACAATGAAATATGATATTTGAAAAACGATCGTCACTTTCGCGCGTCTGTAACTCCCTTGTCTTTGAGTTTAAACTATTAGTGTTATACATTTTCTGAAAACTCTTTTCAAGGGCTACACAATGGTAATATTAATATTTAGGAATACGGTAAAGACAAGGGAGTTACAGACGCGCGAAAGTGACGATTGTTTTTCAAATATGATATTTCATTGTCCAGTACTGTAGCTGAAGAAGCCTTGAATAGAATAGTAAAGGCAAGCCCAGCCAAGCCAAGCCAAGCCATTTCCCTCACTCACCCTGACTCGATCGGCGTACTGTTTCGCAGCGATTTCCAATTTGTTCTGTTGTTGCTGTTGTTTAATCATGCTCTGAAAGCTCTTTTCAATATTTGAATATATCATATTTGAAAACGATCGTCACTTTCACGCGTCTGTAACTCCCTTGTCTTTGAGTTTAAACTATTAGTGTTATACATTTTCTGAAAGCTCTTTTCAAGGGCTACACAATGATCATACTAATATTTAGAAATACGGTAAAGACAAGGGAGTTACAGACGCGCGAAAGTGACGATCTTTTTTCAAATATGATATTTCATTGTCCAGTAGTGTACTTTTCAATTCACGACAATAAATAATAATTTTAACTCGATTACACAAATTATAAAATCAAGATTTAAATTGAACACTAAAAAGTGTTAGAAGAAAAAAACTCGAAATTCTAAAAACATTAAAATGTAAGAAATATGATTGTTAGAAGTTCAAGAAGTTTATAGTAACAGGTTCAACAAATTTCTTTTAACACTTTTTGCAAAGGCGAACTCTTTTACTACAACATATACATTTATTTTTTTTGGTTTTTTGCTTTCTAACTTTTTCAATTTTCAATTTTACAAGCCACAAATGGAATCTTTGTCATTTTTCAACTCGTGATTTGATTAGCGACTTGTTCATCTTCAGCTAGTTCTCTTTGTCTGAACAAGAGTCGGAGCCGTTCTCTTTGTCAAGAACAAGAGTTGGAAAAGGTTCCTTGTGAGATGCTTCAATGTTTGCTAATATCATTACGACTAATGGATGAAGTGAAAGTCTTTTACGTAGTGGATAGAGAATTGATATTGATAATAAATTGGATAAAGGTGAAAAGCTCATTTTCACTGATCTAGTTCAATAGGACGGGAAAAGAAAAAAAAAGAGCTTTTTCCACCTCTACCTCTTTGTAAGAGAGTCATTTTTCGGAAAAGTCAAGAATTGAGGAGAAAAGGAGGAGGAGAAAGAAGGACTTCCTCGAAAATTTGAGTTATAGAAAGAGTTGGGGGTGGTGCACCCTTCCAGTCTCGACCAGCTCCGAGAGTCACTTCACACCTCCGCCCTCCTCCCCTTCCCCCCGTCCACTTGAGTGCCGATGAAGTCCATATTTTCTTCTCATATATTTTCTTCTTTTCTCTTCTCCTTTTTCAAGCTATCCTTTGCCATTTCACCCATCTCACTTGTATTTTCTTTGTTCCCTTTTGAGGACCATTGGGTGTCACTTTCCATCCTTTTCTTTGGGTAATTCTCATCATCTTCTTTGACTAATAATTTCTATTTCTGTCATTTTTGACTCTAATGGACTTGTCCAAGACTTTTTCAATTCCAGAAATTTGAAGTTGAACAAAGATTCGAGACAAAGATTCGAGACAAAGGTTCTTCAACAACTTTTATTCCTGAGTTCATTTTTCTAAAGAATTACCATCCTAGCAAATACCTTTGTACAGTATCTCATTGATATAATTTTAAGAATTTTAAAGTTGCTATCAATTGCTCAATTTCTATTGTTTTAGTTTCTTAAACTTTTAAATTTTTAAAGCTTGCCTTTTGTCGAATTCTTTA